AAGGGTTGTCCCGGTCCTGGAGAGGAGTTCTGGGAACACTGCCAGATCCCGAAGAGAGAGAAAGACTGGCATGATCCCTCTTTCTGTCTCTCTATCAGTTGTTTTCTTGATCAGATTGTTTGGGTTATGGAAGAGTCAGTAATGCATTCTTAGTTTTTATTTAGATGAAAGCAGTTTTGGTTGTTCCAAACCTTTGAGTAAGACTGAGGAAGCATTGCTCCAAAATTAGGGATACACTTATTCCAGCATTTGTTCCTGGATAGAGAGGAACAAATGAGGGATAATGTACAGTGAGCTGGTGCATGGGTGAGAGTGAATCCCTGATTCCTCACCAGAATCAAGTGATGAACGCAGCTGGGTGATTAATAAGAAGGCCTTATATTAAAATGTAATAACACAATTAAACAATACTGAATTCTTTAAAGCTCCTGGCAGTATTTTTTTTTTAAACTTTTTTTTGCCATGAATATAATTGACTGAAATTCACATTAATGCCTTTTTATGATACATTACAGCAACAAAGACCATCACTGTATACCCTTAAAGACTGAAGACTTTTATATCCTAATTTTTAAAGCCTGAAACTTGGGTAAGGGGGTAGGTGTCAACCAAGCAGCTAAAAATAGCCAAATTTTTATAATTGAATAAATAAAACATTTAACACTTTAAAGTCAGCAGAGTGAGAATTTCTTTTTTTTGTCAGAAGCCAATACTTAAACACAGCAAGGACCGTTTTGTCCACAGACAGAGACAACATAATTGACACAAATGGAAAGTCCCTTACAGGAGCTTTAAATATAACTTATAATTTACACAATTTTCACAATATATTGGAAAAAAATTATTCTGCTCTGAATAAAAGAAAAACAAACATTGAAATGATATTTACCTCTTTGTTTTGATATAAGTTTTCTGCTTTGTGTATTTGTTAGCTTGCACTTTGACATAAAATCTCATCTTTTTGATTAGGTAGATTTTGGCATCCTCTTTTGGACAAATTATGTATTATCAAATCCAGTTGTTTCACAGCGATTTTTCAGATTTAGTTATTCTCAATAGTACTCTTTTTGATGAATCCAATCCTACTTTCTAAAGATAACTAAAGCAAGAGTAAAATGGAGCTGGATCAGTCTGGTCCTGGTTTAAACAACCATCATTTTGCTCTGAAGTTTATCAAATTACATCCATGGGAACACTGAAGAAGTCCTGAAGCTCGTAATGACTAATATAAGACATGGATGCAAAATAAATCAAAATCTTGTTATATATGGGGACCTGACATGTATTAAATCAAACAGAAAGCAGCGTCTGTTTTCAAGTAAGTGGACAGCACAAAGATGGGGAGGGAAAGAGGGCCTGAAGGCAAGAAAATGGAAAGATGAAAAGGCCGCCGGGGTGGCGAGGGATGCACATTAAAAACATTAAGAAGAGAGAATTACAGTGGAGGAGAACAAGGTCTTGGAGGGAGTGTTCAGGGGAAAGAACAAAGGCAGAGCTGCAGGAACAGGGAAGCCCTCTCTGTGGATAAGACTCTGGATAAGTGTTAGAGACAGGATCGTAAATCCCTGAACCCCATAGTCTGCAGGCTGGGGCCGGGGGTCAGGGGGGGAAGATCACAAAGAGACGGGCTGAGGAGGGGCGGGAGGTAAATGACAATGTAGAAAGATAGACTGTAACCGTAACCATAAAAAACATCTTACGGTTGATACTAAATCAGTTAAACCAGATGTGATTTGGATACTTTTCCCACTGATGTTCTTCAAACCACCATACTAAATGCTCAGAAGTGGGATGTGACATGGGGACATGGCGAATAGCAGTAATGTCAAGGTCATGACGCATGGATCAAGTCCCCTGCAGGTTGTCATTATCACTCCGTGTCTCGCAGCAGGCATTCCTCACATTCTGTCTGCAGGTACAGCTCCTCTCAGGCATCTGTGCATCTAAATACACAAATGACACGCAAACAGGAACAGGAACTGTCACAAACAGGAACATTGAGTGACGTAAGCCACACGCCCAGGTAGCACATACCTGCCTGAGCTGGATCATACAGGGGTTGCTATCCAGAAGTTACACATAACAAACATAAAATGAAAAGTTAGATTAAGTGCAAACAGGGTCGTGTCCAAAGGGGAGCGACCCAGGTGACATGGGCCCTCTTAAAATCTGATTGGAAACCACACATGCCACTTCAAAATAGCAAACTGAGACTGTATATATTTGCAATCAAAGCTAAGATGTATTAAAGTCAACCGTGTGGGCTTTCAGTAGCTTTCTTTGGATTTAAATGTGGATTATTTTCTTCTGTTGCTATTTCTACTGGCAATGATTGTATGTTACAGTATTAACAAGTATATTGTTTCATTTTCTAGATCACCAGATAGTTATCCTGTTATCAAGGGAAATCAAGATATATAACGCCCAGATAATGAAAAAAATAAGTAATGACCTTGATTAAAAAATAGAAGAGGGAGTCTGTGGCTTGTCTAAAAATTTCTACACACACTGGTAACTTCTCATCTCTCACTTCAAAACAAATGACTGGAGTTTTGTGTCTTTGTGTTGTGTTGTGATCACAGTTGTGTGTGTAAAAATAGTCAGATAGTGGCGTGGTTTTCTAAAAGTATATGGGTGTAGTGATGCAGGTGCATGCATCTTGAGGTGTGACCTTGTGGAGCACAGATAGTGTTCAGGATTAAGATGACATGCCATAATATGTTCCAAGGGAGTTCAGTCATATCATAACAATACTTGTATACAAGGCAACAGCTGAAGTTCCATGTGATGTTCTCCACGAAACATTTTCTAGGATACAGACTCAAAATGGTGACAAACTGGTGAAAAAGGCTGGCTCTGTGGTTGGATTCAAGTTGACTTACTGGAGGATGTGGTGGAGAGATGTACACTGAGGAAGGTGAAGGCCAATCTAAAAAACATGGATCATTCACTTCATTACACCTCTATGGACCAAAAAAAGAAAACAACAACATGGGTGGATGGCTCCTCTCTCTTTAGCCGCAGGATGGAGAGATTCAGAAGATCTTTTGCACCTACAGCCATCAGACTTAATTCTTCTTTAAATAGTGGACGAGATGAGATTCTAGACAAATGAATTTCCCTTTTGGGAATAACAAAGTTCTTGTATTGTATTCTTTGCTGATGTTATTCATAACCAGCTGCTCCCTCTATTTACTTGTAATAATAGTTTTTATTTTTACATAATCACTCATTTGTTTTTAAGCATTATGTCTATGTTTTTTTGTGATTTCTTTCAAAATATTTTATTCATGTTTTTGTTTTAGGGGAGTTGCCACTGGTTACGCAGAAAAAACAAACCCATAATATTTTCTCTTCTTTTGTGCAGAAGGTGAAAAGAAATGTGGTTTAAAAAAAAAAATCTGAAAAATATCTGGCTCCATCTAGTGGTATAGCTCTGCCTGGGAACAATCTTGTTGCACTCAGTGGGTCAAGTCTTCTAAATGTTTATGTGATTGACTCTGTCTTTGAAAGAAGGTATGAGTAAGTTAGGAGTAAAACTGCAAGCTGAAATTAACATTGAATTGTTTTTTTACACTATTTTAAAACCTTAATCTTATGGAAACAGCTTTAAGAGAAGATTTACCATGTTCTCACATATTCCTTTATGTGCAGGTAAAAAAAACATAAACAGATTTATAACTAGCTCTAGTTTAAATGATATTATCTTAACTGCAGTATCCAATTTTTTTAAAAAGAGACTGAAGTCAATTAAAGTCCATGTTTATGATATACTTTTAAAGCTCCTGTGTGGCTGGTAATGAGTCAGACTGATATTACCACAAATGCCTCCATGTTAATGTTGTCACTGTGTTGTTTTATAATTCTGTCAACACTGGTATGGCAAAGTTGTCATATCAGGTGATTAACAGGACACAAGCTTTTCCAAGTAAAAAATTAAAGCTACTGTAAGGAGTTTTTATCTGTTCATGAAACAGGAATGTATTAAACCTGGTCCCTCTTTTGGGCCTAAGAAAACCAAATAAAACCATAATGACACGACCAGATATTTCTATTAGGTTGTTTTTCATTGTTGAAAGCCCTGCTGTGGGGTAGGTGTCAGACAAGGTGCTTATTTAGATCTTTAAGTGATAGAGTTTAAAGTAAAACACTAACATGAAAAACAAAGGGACTGAGGATCTTAAAGAAAAAGTGTGTGTGGTGAATTATTGAAAAAAAAGTTCAAATCACATATTAAAGCTCCTTTGATGAATTTGAAGCTGGTCTCATAACAGGCGTTAAGTAATACTGACGCCTCAAATTTATCAATAAAGGCAAAATAGATGATCAGCAGATTATTATTTAATTATTTTCATGAAGTTATTTTTAATATTTGTTAAAGCTGCCAGGGTTAGGTGTCATACAAACTCACTCTGCTCAAACAGCTTTTTTAAAGGTACCATAGATGAAAAGATTAATACTTTTCAGTTAGAAAACACTGTGAAGATTGAAGTAACATGTTTCAATTTGATCATTTAAAGCATAAAAGGGGGGAAAAAACTTTATTTATCAAACAAATTGTAGCCAAACTACAGATAAAAATAGGTGAAAGCATGCAAATGACATGTTTCCATTTACGCCTGTGCTTTAAATGCTGCTTATCTGGGTTCATTCTGTTTAGGGTCATTCAGTTCATTGAAAACTGTCTTTTTTCCTCCTAATTGATGTCGCCAACCTGGTCCTCAATTAGTTTTGTAAAGACGAAATACAACTGAACACCCTGCATCCATATACCATTGAATGTATTTCCTACTGCTGTTTTATTATGCTTTTGTTTGACTAAAATATTCCACAGCTTCATTTAGCAACCTCATTAGGACATACATGCCATTTCTGATGTATTCCTCAGAGCTGGGTGTTACTCAGACTGGAATCTATTCACTTTAAATGAGGCTGGGGGTGCAGATGTATCAGTGACGTATGGTTTCTGAGTCTTTAATAACAGGGGATTGAACAGTCAGTGGGACATAGGAGCATGAGTCCTGGTCCTGTCCTGAGAGAGGGAGTCTCTGTGAACATGTTGATTACTGTGTTTCTGTCCGTGCTGCTGATGCAGGGAGGACTTGGAGGGGCAGCGACATCTGAGCTGCAGGTTCTTGGGAAATCAGTCCACAGAGCTATAAGTTTGCTGAACGGTGTTAATGGGAGACACACAGTGAGGACGCACATGCACCAGCAGGTAAATAAAAGCTGGTTTTAATTAGTTAGGGTTTGACTTTAAAGGTGAATGATTACTGAATTAATAACACTTTTTAAATTTTTTGTTTCATCTTACAAGTTTTACAGAGTGTGACTTGACCTTTTCGACAGTAAAGTTTCAAATTTTCTTTCAGAAATTGTACATTTGAATGTTATGGGCCTGCTAATGGAATTTATCTGCAATATGAAGACATTTTGCTCAAAATGGAAAAATGTTAGAGGGTAATAATTTTCCCAGTGACAGCTCAATATTTCTTTTAATCTGCAATGTAATTGTCAAGAACGTGACACATGAGCGACCACATCATAGCCTCCGCGAGGAGTTTTTTCATGTTCACATAGTGGACTGAAATTCATATTAATGCCTTCCCATGACATCAAAAAAACAGGACTGACCATTTTCATATCACTATTTCAAATTCATGAAACTCTGATGCTCTGGTTTTGCACATTTACACATATAGTATTTGCAGCAATTTATACATTTGACTGTTTAGGTCAGCAAGATGAGATTTTTGTTTTAGATCTCTTTTCAAACATCATGAGGACAAGATAAGTTTATTGTCCACAGGGGATGCCAAAATTTACACAAATGGCAAGTTCATAACAGGATCTTTAGACGGCGTTGAAAATACACCATCCCTGCATTAATGTAAGGAAAAATAATGTCAAAGACGATTCACGATGCAACTATGGACAAAAATAGGGTTGATACTATTTCTAATGTTTAAAACAATGCTTCTTTTTTTTCTAATTTCACTCACACCTCTCAGTAGTCTATAGGATTCTGTTGGGATAGGATTATGTGTGCCTATTTTCAGCATGTTCCAAAGACTGAGTGAAAATTCTAAATTAAAGACATAGTCCGAGCTCAAGTTTATTATTACTATCATAAAGGAAATTTGATTGCAACCGGCATTAGAACACTGAAAATTTACGACACCTTTCAAGAGAGTTGATGCAATGCTGTACTGATACACAGTATGATGGCAATTAGTCCAATCAGTGCGTGTCAGAGTACTTGGTATTAAGCTGATACATATGTGCATCTCTAGCATTTGTATCTAACATGATAAAAGCCTCATTAGATTGAAATAAACCAAAAGTAATATTGTATATCCAACCAAAGATGATGACTACAAAAAGTAACCAAACTCAGGAAAGAATACAGCAATAACGCTGCAAATGTATCTGGAACATGAAATTAATTTGGTAAGCAACAACTTTTTTGTAACTAAACCAATTTAGTCATTGCAAACGTTAGCAAAGGTGAAAAAGCAATCGCCTAAAATAAGCTCAAAATGTTACTATCATAACCATTTACTTCATAATGTAACCAAAAAAGCAAGAAATCTGAGAAAATAAAAATACAAATCTTTTGCATACTTGCATGAAAATGACAGAAGGATCTGTGATTTATAAAAAGTCCAAATTCAAAATGGATCATTCTCCACTCCAAATGGTCTGAGTCACTTTGTTTTATCTGCAGGCCAAGAGTGACCACAGCAGGAGTTTGGACTTCGAGAGCTTCAACATCCACACCACCCCCTCCAGCAAAATCAGCCTCCCCTTCATCGTCAAGCTGTACCCACCCACCACCAAACCCCTGCACCTACACGCCAACATGCCAATGCGCTTCGGGAGGCAGAGTGGTCCCATTGATGACGGGGGCCAAAACTCCACCCCTAACATGCCGCAGAGGTTTGGACGGGCTTGGGAAACAATTTATGTGTGCTCAGAGTGCCCGAAAGTCAAAGAGGCAGTGAACATGGCACCGTCTCTGTTTGGTAGGAGCAGTCTGTTCTGGAACCTCCTGAGGACTGTGGTGAACGAGCGGTTACTGAGCGGTGACGCACACTGGTAGGATCATCTGAACTAAAACTGATATTAATGTATGTGAAACATGGAGGCCTGTGAATTATAAAAAAATAAATAAATAAAATCAAAAAATAACACAAACTGTATTTCCTCCCTGCAGGAGTGAAGACTTTGACTTCTCAGCCAGTTCAGAAGAGGTGGAGACGCAGGGCAGCATCCTTTAAATGCATTAGGAAGCATGTAAATAATAAAATTAAGTGTTTTTACTCCAAGCACAATTATAACAAGACAAAATGACTTCTGACAAAAAATGATGTACATTATTCTCCTCTATAATCTAAATATGTAATCATGACAAAAACATGAAATAGTAAAAACTGAGTTTAAAGCAAGCAGTTTTAGGTTTGGGTTTTTCTTTTCTATTTGAATTGTATTTATATATATATAAAAAGGTTTAGGTTGCATTTAAAGTATCTTTAAATTATGTGATTCAAAGCTGGATGTGATATATTTGAGTATTTACAAGTAGATCAGACCAATTGAATTTACCTTCAGAGATCAATGAAGTTCTTCTTCTTCTTCTTCTTCTTCTTCTTCTTCTTCTTCTTCTTCTTCTTCTTCTTCTGCTTCTTCTTCTGCTTCTTCTTCTTCTTCTTCTTCTTCTTCTTCTTCTTCTTCTTCACCCTGGCAGCGCCAAGAGGCCCAGAGTGTATTGCAGTGAAGTTGTGATGTAGTACTGTGTTGGCCACTAGAGGGAGACCAACAGTAAGTGAACATGAGAAAAAAGTCCCCAACAAAAGACCTTTTCCTTAACGATCAGGTAAAGTTGATGATTATTTAAAGGGCTGAAGGAAATTAACAGTTAAACGCATCATTAGGAAGATATTTGAATTAAATGATATTGTCTCTCTCTCAGCTGTATGGCTGTGAATGTAAATGTTTATTGTGAATTTACAAATCAGGACAGGCTCAGGCTGGTGCCTTTGGTGGATATAACCAGCCCAACACTGACATTATACCCTCAGCAAAAATCAGACTTTCTCCAGAGCTCAAAGCTTTGGTGAGGATACTGCAGCTGGTTGTAAAAAAGACACTGTTTAATTACTTGAGTCCAGGAGTCAAACTCAAGCCTGACTCAAATCCTAATTTTCAGGGACTTATCTCTCCAGTAGGGCTCGACAAGAGAAGACTGAGTGGAGGACTCAGGGCAGAAAAATAACAGGCTATCCAGAGAAGAGAATTCAACAGGCCTCTATACACCTTTTTGGATTAGTTCAAATCTGGAATAACCAGACTACAGAAAGCTATTTAATCCCTCAGTAAATGTAACGGTGATATATTCAGGCTACTTTACCCAATTCACTCTGACTACAAATTCCTCAAAAGTCAATCTGTGGACTTATATTTGTCTTAAACTGCTTGGCCCTGTATGGTGGTGTGATAGCTCCATCTGCTCACCCTCATTAGTAACTTATAGTCATATCACTTGTAAAAGATCAGAAAAGGGTGATCAATCCAACCTTTAACAAGTGTTGAATCAAACTATTTTCTGTGAATAGTCAACAACAAACACTACTAAAGATAAAGGCTTTATGAGCACTGGAATTGAGCTAAACTTTCTCGGAAGGTCATCCACTGATCCAAGCAGACTTTAAACGTGAAGACATTTGCATTTCAGGCATTAAAAATCAGCTAAACTTTGATCAAGTTTTTCATGTTACAAAACTCGTCCATGAACTCTAGACTTATAAACTGGTCTCATAGACTCTCATACCCTGGACTTGTTAAAATGATAACTGATCTTTCTGACCTACTTCAATAAAAGATTCAGCCACCCCTTAGAGTTGGAATGAAGTCCTGATCCCCTCTGAGAGCAATGTTATATGAAGGTACTCCATAAATCTGCTGCCCCTTCAAACATCTTTGAATATTGAAATTTGAGTACAGGGACCTGGTAAAATACAAAGATGAGTCTTGATAGACTGTCAGTCATTGAGGACTCAAACCTCCCATCATTCAGTTCTCCCAAGTTTTGTTTTTTAGTGGTTCAGTTAGGGTTACATTCATAAAAAATCAACATAGGTGTACATAAATTGAATTATTTGTGTCAGAATTGGTGGACAAAAAAAAACAAGTGTCATCCACCATTCAGTGAGAGATACACCAAAGCTTAATCTCCCCATGTAGAGCTGGCAGGAAAGGAAGGGATGGGTTCAAGAATGGTATCAGGAACATCTGATTCTTCACCGGGAACAATTATGAAGCCCTTTGGGATCTCAAAATATCTGTTTAGGCTGGTCTCTAACAACTGGAAGTTTGGATCAAGAGTGGTGTAAAGTTTCCACTTCCAGTGCTTTAAAAGTAAGTACAAATAGACTGAAATGAGAGTAAGCCGAAACATTCAGTTGGTTTGAGGCAGACAACAAAGTATTTCCCTATCAGTTCTTCTTCTGTGGTACAAGTAAAACAATAAACTGGGTATCTTCTGTGCAATCTAGGAAATATTGCTGACACATAAAGGTTAAAAAAACCCTAGATACTGGATATATCAAACAAAATCCTAGATCATCATTCACCAAGTGCCTGACTTTAACTGAAGCCTGCTCTCTTTTGATGACATAATTATATCATGTTAACTATTGTATAACTGCTACACAAGTAGCACTTGTTGGGGCAAGAAAATCACCTTTGTATTTCATAGCATTAATAACTGCCACATTCTCCTTCAGTGTGTCAGTTTTTCAGATAATGAGATTTTGCTGATTCACTGTCACAGCTTCCAAGGATGCCTCAACAGGAGGGATGGGACATTATTCCTGGAAGTGCACTTTCTTAATGAGCCTCAATCTATTGAAATGGAAGTAATAATGTATGGTGGTGCATTCAAGGTCCAGTGGGAAAGCATTAATTCAACCTATATGGTTCGTTTTATTCACGCTATGCCATAATATGATGCATTAAGTTAAAAGTACCATGTTAAAGGCCCTTATAGTCCATAGAGAGTAACTGTATTCTACACCAACTCCGTTTTGGATGTCACCTTATAAGTTATTAAAGGGATATTCCGGCGTAAAATTAATTTAGGGTCAAACACACCGTAACACTGAGTTAGACACCCCCTCAAGAGATGAATATCTAACTCTGTGTTATGGTGTGTATTAATTTTACGCCGGAATATTCCTTTACAACGTTTTCATCAATCTGTTGCCTTTTACAACACAACATACTTTTGTCTCTGTGTCATGGTCTTAGTTTTCTAAGGGGAACAGTGAGTCACATTCAAGTGACAGTATGCAAACCATGTAGAAACTTGTTTTACTTCTTCAGAGCACAAATCAGCCACGCGTGGGCTGATGATTAATGCGATTACCATTGGCGACCAGGATAAAACACACAGGCTTAAACTTCCACGGTGATGAAAGGATAACATCTTCAAATTTTGAGCCTAATTTCAACATTATTGCAAAAGTTCAGCTAGTGATAATTTGTTCCCATAGACCGCAAACATACCTCACCTGCCTATGGAATCTTAATGGGTGTGACCCTCTCACTGCAGCCGTGTCCTCCTCACTCTTGTTGCGCAACGACTCTCATCCCATCTTACTCAACGTAACTCAGCCACTCCCTGTCAAAATCTGACATAATTTTACATTAGGTTCAAACCCGGTCGTGTTACACGAACAGCTAGTTTAGAAGTTTAAAGGAGCTGAAAAACGACGACAAAAATCGGAAAAGTTTGACTCTGAAAAAGGGAGGAAACTTTTACCTGCCTGGAGGTCCGTGAACTACACACTGTCATCAGGTACGTTACGGTTATGTAGACGTTAGCTAGGCTATGTACGCTATATTATCAATATATAGACGTTGTTTGTTGCTAACTCGGAAGTAAATTGAGTTGTTTCTTCACACTTTTGTTGTTCGTATGTTTGAAGAGCCAGTTCAAGATACAGCCAACCATCCAAGTTATGTCAACGCAAAGTTTCGCTGTCCGTCAAAACGACTTTTCCCGTCTAGACGGGTAAACAAACAGGGAGTTTCGGTGCAGTTTGAGCTAGACAAGATGTTCAAGAGTGTTGATTCGTCAACTCAAGTGGGATTTTTCCTGTTATTGTGATCCCTAAAGCAACAACAAATCCGGAAATCAGGCTGCAACTTTTATAACTCTCAGTGAGCCTGCTTTACTGAACAGTCTGCTTCTATGTCTCCGCGTATTCTTCTACTAGATGTGTCACAGCAGACAAGTGTGACTGCGATAACTCACTGTAGGCTAATACTGGTTCCCATCATCTCCTTTCCCTCTAGCTGGTTATCATGGGAGACATCGCTAAAGGGAAGAAGTCTTTCGTACAGAAATGTGCGGCCTGTCACACAGTCGATGAGGGGGGCAAACACAAGCAGGGACCCAACCTGTGGGGTCTGTTTGGAAGGAAGACAGGACAAGCATCTGGATACTCCTACACACAGGCTAACATCGACAAAGGTACAGATTACAGACACTGCAAGACTGACAGGTTTCATGACAAAGCTATTGTGTCATTATAATTTCACTATCCTGTCTCAAAGCAACCATGGTTTAGGATTTTGGAGAGGCATCTAGTGTAGCTTAAAGATTTTAAGTGGGCCCTGAGTGTAAGGAGTACCCTTTGTTTAAGAAAATGACATTCAGATGTGAAAGGCACTGTGAGAAGTTTAAAACTGATTTTTAAGACATAGACTAAAACTGATGCTCATGCCTCCTTATGCAAAGCAAAAAAGACCATCAGCAGCATAACTGATAGAAACAAACTAAAATTAACTCAAAGCAGCTTTGGTCTGTTTCACAAACGGTACATTATTCCATGTAAATCTTCTGTCTTGAAACTACTGTAAATCTTCTGTGATGTTAAATGTCAGAATTGCATTCCAGGCTACTAGACAAGCCACTCTGTCAAACATGGTATGCATTACCATATATGTCTATACCTTAATAGCCAAACATGTGTTGTAAGTGCTGATGTCAGAGAACAGAGCTTTGATAGGAATAACTGAGATTTGGGGTCCTTTCACTGGATCCCAGGGGACCCAGGTATTTCTCTGGGCAGGTCTTAAGGGTCATGCAACAGGTATGGGATTTTAAACTGCTTAAGAGACATTAAGTTGATTGATTGATTGATTGATTGATTGATTGATTTAAACTTTTATGAACGTGTGAAGCACAGGAAGTGCCAAACCCACATGGGCTTACGAGACACCAAAAGGAAAGGAACATATAATAGCAGATGAAAAACAGAAAACAGACATTGGTCCATTTAAGCACATAAACAATCCTGATGTTTTTTCCAAGCTTCAGAGACAAAATGGGCTTACTTAAAGACATTGAAGTTAAACAGCCAATTCATTCTTCAATGTCTGGTAACAGACATTGCAGTAAATAATGGAGCTCTCTGAAGTGCTCACACTTGAGAGTTTGATGATGGTTTTATGAGAGATTTATCTTCTTTACCAGACTGCTTTTGTGTTCATGATGTCTGGGGTTTTTTACTCATTTGTACTGGGCCAACAGCAGCGACAGTTACATGTTAATATATTAATTTGTGCAAGCAAGTGTATTACTGAACAACTTTTCCTCTTGGAAAAAAGTTAGGGTACACAATATTTGCAATAAGAAATAAAGTGGTTCAACTGAATACCTTGACTGTGATGAAACTTGCTGTAGAGTTTTGTTTACACAGATCCAGACTTTCCTTGAGATGGTTAACTTTTACTGGAGGATAATCTTGACCAAGAGTATGCAGGAGGGTACAGGAAAAAGTTGATTTTAATCATACAGCATGGTACCTGACAATTTGTACTGTGCGGATGATTGCTTGAAGCACGAGATGTCTTAAAGATGATACTTCCATCACACAGAAGTGCAGGCAAAAACAGCCATTTCACACTCATTAACTTAGTAAACTTTGAGTTTCCAGTTCTTTCTCTGTACAACCCAAATAGCCCATTCTTTTTCACTTATCATGTAGCTGAGAGTTTGGAGTAGTTTGGTTTTCAAATGGTGCCATAAACAGTCCTCCCTTTCTCAAAGAAAATGTAAAATATCTTAAATGCATATGTAAAGAATGTGCAAGAGATGTGTCACAGTTGCTAATACAAAGCTTCAGGGCAGCCTGCATTTTCTGTAGCTTTCAGTCAAAGCAGCAGGTCTGAACAGGAAGAGTAGCTCTGCTCTGCCTCGAGGAGATAAAACCAAAGACAGTCGTCAGAGGTGTGAGGTGTAAGATAATGGTCATTAAAGTGCGAGTTTATAATGTGCTCTTGTGTCTTTTAGGGATCGTTTGGGATGAGAACACTCTAGATGTCTACCTCACAAACCCCAAGAAGTACATCCCTGGTACCAAAATGATCTTCAGCGGGCTCAAGAAGAAAAAGGACAGGCACAATATTATCGCCTATTTGAAGGATGCCACCTCCTAATGTTCTGACACTCACACACTCAGCTATGGACAGAAGCACCATGCTGCACACTTAGGACAAAACACAGCGTGTTCTTTGCAGTAGGTTTGTAAAGTCACATCCCTACATTGTGTTACTTTGGAACATTGCAGCCACAGTGTTGTTGTGTGTGGGAGACTGGTTTTAATTATCATATGAGTCAGCCTTCATGTTACTTGTGGATTTTCCAGACTGTTCTCAGTCAGGGCTTCTTAAAGGGGCAGCTTTCCTTTCGAGTTTCTATCGTCTTGGTTGTTCACTTTATTTTTGACTACTGCGTGCACAGAAACAACAAGCTTTGCATTACTACCACTTTATCTCCAGTTGCACAATCTGACATTTGTTTTCAGATTTATTTTCTATATTTTTATATCTCTTTGTCTCTTTGTTTAAATAAATATTTGTTTATTTTTCATTCTTAAAATGGGTGAACTTTGAAAATGTTCTGGGTTCTTTTTCTTCTCTTGATAAGCCAGTGGACATCATCACTTTTGTTTGTATAAAGCTGAACTTGAAAACCAGATTGTACTCATACATTTTCTACATTCAGTATGTTTTAATGAAATATTCATTAAAAAACGGCAAGTTAAAAACTTTAAGCTAATTTTTACAGGTTTTAACTGGGTCTCATTAAAATACAAGGCAAAGTGTTTATTTATATCTTTTTTTAATGAGTTTTTATTTTATACTTGTCAATGTTTCTCTTATTTTCTGAAAAAAAAAAATACTTTTCCATGAATTGAATAGAGGGATGAGGCAATAAAGTTCTTTCTTTGTGACAATAAAAAAGTTCATTGTGATTCTATTGTTTCCTTCCTCTCTGTTATGTTACAGACACTCTTGTCTGCATTTATTTGGTTTATTCATTGCACTAAATTGTGCATAATGGAGCTGCATTACTGCATTGTTTTGAAAGCAAAAGGCACGATAGCCCTGAAGGTCAATCGCACAAATAGCCTGTTTCAGGAAGGTGATTTCAGAAAATACAAAAAAATATAAAATTTATAAAATTTTACAGAACACCAATATGTTTCATTTGAACAAAATGTGTTTTAGAGAAAGGATGGGTTACAAAAACGTTAAAATATTTAAGAAACCCAGATACATTCAAGGAACAGAGGCTTCTAAGGGAAATATTTTTATGTTTTAAAACTTATTTGTGCTTCCCAAATACATTTGTTTCCCAAATATTCTAATTGTTAGGATTTTTTTTTTGTGGTCATGTGGAATATCGTAATATTTTTATTAGATATTTTGGAAGAAATATTTTTTATTTGTAATTAAACGTTTTTTGTTTTGGATTAAATTTCTTTATATATGCTTGAAATATTTGGGTCATTTTCTTTCAGGGTTACCCTTGCTCAGTGAATGACAGTCCAGTTTTAGTAAAATGAATAACAAAACACAAACAATAAATCGATCTGAAATTTGTAATGTTTTGACCAAAAAAAAAAAAACGTTATAAGCTGTATCAGGTTTGTGGAGCTTAAGTCACATACATGTTTCATCTCTCAGAGTGAAGTTATGTAACGCCCCACAATATTGATTTCAATGTTATTATTTTCTATTGACTACAATCACCAGCAGAGGACGCTATTTCACCCCAAACGAGAGCGTCAGTTAGGGCTTCAAAACGTGCATAACGAATGTAAGCATGCTGTCTTGAAATGTCAGAGCCATCCCAGGAATCCAGCACGAGCTGCACTGATGTCGACCCAGTTTAAAGCCAGTTAATGAGAGTGATCCGGATCCACAGTGACGGAGCTGTCACCGCTGTGTTGGCTGTACTGAGCATTTAGCACCGGGAGTCAAGAAAGAAGAGGGTCCTCCCGCTTCAATTGTGTTGTCATTGATTGAGAAGGAGCAGATCGATAAGTGGATCAGTTTGATTAGTGGTGCGGATTTGTTCCAGCTCTCCAGATGTGAGAGGAGCCCCAGTCTGCGGGGCTACACGCGGCTTTTTAGTGAGCGGAGCGCGAGACTGCGTGTCTACAAGTGCGGCACAATCTCGAGGAAAAGGTAAGAGGGGGTCTCGAGCATGAACAGGCATGCAAGGACACGGCTGCTATTCCTTTAATTAAACTGAAATGCATTTGAAACTGTGAGCTACTGATTAAAATAACCGCAGATAGATGCAGTTAATTTTAAAAACACGTGTCTAAACACGGGATAATGCTGTTTTTTAAACATTTATGACATAGTCCCTGCAAACACTATCATGGACTTAACGATAATGGTAAAGATGAGACCACAGATGCAATTATTGTGTCAGACTTTACATTGTAATATGATTTTTTGTCATGATAAGCCTGAGTGACAGACCCCCCCCCTCGCCGGTCTAATTCTGGCACGAGGCTCAGGGGGCGGGTGCACGACTGGAATAACAGCGGTGGCTGCATCTGCTGCAGTGAGAAGCTGCAACAAGTTTATTATCCAGTGAGGAAAGAGAGAGAGAGACAGCGAGGACTGAGGTTAAGGGAGTGACAGTAAGGAAAAGTGACAGCTGCCAGTGAGTGCATATAGGCTCAGGCTGCAGAAATAGAGAGTGTGTATGTGTGTGTGTGTTTGACAGCTTGTGTTGTGTTTCAAGGACCTACATGATGGAGCTGGTCAGACTTGCAGTGTCCTTGCACATTCTTCTGTGTCCTGCGTTGGCTCTACTCCGTCGCCCCTACATGGACAGCATCCTCTCTGCACGCTCAGGTGAGTTGTGGGATTGCATATGTGTTGCATGCATGTTTCATCCCTTTTCATTCATAACGGTGCTGCTCTGTTTCACGTCCTTGCAGCTCTTGGCTTATCTGACGAGGCGTTGAGGTTTGAACCCTGCTGCCTCATGTCACCTCCTCCGCCGCCACTCTTTCCCCCGCCACCTCAGCTGTGGAAGCGTGGCACCCCTGTAGGTCACACACACACAAACATACACACACATTTCAATAACTCCTATCAGCAAACTCATTATAGTACACATACCAAAACCCTATTCTCTCTGTGTTTTTGACCAAAGGATAGTATTAGCTTCCTAGAGCCCGGCGTTTTCGAAGGAATAGAACCAGAGAAAGAAAAACCAGTGATACCTGGGTGTTTACCTGGCCCTCCAGGACCTCCAGGGCCCCAGGGGCCAGAGGTAAGGCTTGTTTTCAAGATAGGAACCTCATATTACTAGCTGTACCACTTTTAAGTCTGACTCAACAGGCAGGAAGATAAAGACAAATGTACTGACTACTTTCAAATACAGCCAATTTTCATGAAAACAAAATGAAAAAATTCAAGCTTGATAAAAATTTGGTGTCATTTTCAGGGTCATAGTGGACTGCCCGGCATAAGAGGACCAAAAGGAGAGAAGGTTTGTTTATTTAAACTCTTAAAACTCCCCTCTGATGTCTGTCTCTATGGATGTATTTGTGTGTCCTTGAGTTCCCTCCTGCTCTAAAGACCACTCCATCTCCTCTCTCTTCATTTGTCCCCCTCCAGGGAGAAATTGGACGTCCAGGGTTAAAGGTGAGCCGCTCCTCCCCTCCTTTGCATCGTTCTTTCCTCGCTCATTTCTCCCTGGTCACTTCTGCATGTCCTTGGAATAATAGGATCTGGATACCGCTCTCCTTCCATCTCCGTTGTCTCCTCTCTGCATCCTCAATCTCTGTGATGTGATTTGTCTGTTAAGGATGGGTCATGCTACAATAGTCTTTGAGCACGCAGCAGAGCTCGATCACATCCCTGAAGGTCTCCTGTCATCCACCCTCCCCTCGTCTCTCGTTCCCCTCCTCTCGCCTCTGCATCTTCCTTCTCTCCCTCTCCTCCCTTCCTTTGCCTGGCTCCATTAGCACTCGCGCTGGACTCAAGTCCTGCTGATCCAGGCTCTTCGCTGCTCCGCTCCTGCGCTTTAATCTCCCTAAGTGCTTTTGCTCTCCATGATAAATCATTCCACGCAGCAGCAGGTCCACAGTGTCTCTATAGGCTGCAGTTTTAATGACAAGCGGCTAAATGAGAGCGCGCTGCTAGCATGGCAGCAGCTCTGGGATTCTGGTCCAGGTGTCACTGAAATGTGAGGCCTTTGTGCTATATATTTGGCTTTCTTGCTTTCAGGGAACTGGCGATAGAGCAAAATCAATGAAGCCATTATGCCTGTCCAATAAATAGCAAGTTCAGTGGCAAGGTTGTAGTTTCTCATGCTTGGTTTTGTACTCTGTCAGTTTAATACTTTTCTGTTTCTGTCTCTTATTTATTAAGAAAATACTTGACTCAGTCCTCCATGGGGAACTGAGTTATGCAAAAATGATCATCAGATACAGCTGCATATCATCAGCATATAACACAAATGGTCCTAATTCTGAGAAAGATCCTCTGTATTTAGAAACAGGCATCAGAGCTGCATCAAAGATCAACATCTGGAGGAGACGGCAAGCGACCTCAGTTAACCCCAGCTCCAGTGTAGTCAGTAAACACAGCCCTAAAGTCGTCACAGCATGTTAACACTGCTAAAAACTACAACATGCTGCCTTTCCATTTTGTAAAGGTGAATTAAATGAGACACACCTACTCAGCACATCATTGGGTTGAGGGTCAGCAGTTTTGTCACCCTCAGACAAAGCCAGGCTAACTGATCACCTATTGTCAGGATTTCTGCGAAGCTAAGCTTATACAATATTCCAATGGAGGTACGTTACCGGTAATTAATTTAATAAACCCAGAACAGGGGTATTAATCATGAGCTTGAACTCAAGACAGGAAATTTCCACATGAAATGAAAAGTAAGCGTAATGATGTTTGTGTTTCTGCAGGGTCGTACAGGGGCTCCAGGCCTACCAGGGAAACCAGGTCTTCAAGGATGGCCCGGTCCAGAGGGACCAAAGGTACGTCCCACCCTCCAAATTTACCTCAAAGTGAATTATGAACTGCTGCTTAGTGTGGTGAGCCAGTGAAAAATGCAGAGTCAGAGATCCTCACTGGGGGAGAAGCTTCAGTGCCGTATGCAACAGGAACTCAACTTTAGTCCTGACCACCTAAGGAACAAAGGCCAGACCTTTTTCTCTGTGCTACAGCATTTAGAGTTACAAGGTCAAGCTTGTCATCTGATCTGAGGTTAAAAATTAGAAATGTACCTCCAGTTCATTTCCCAGTATGTCTCCCAGTATATACGGCTAATACAGCTAACAGCTGTAAAGAAGCATTTCCAAGTGTTGGAAACATAGAGCAGTCATGTTATCAAGAAAAGATTCATGTGTCGTTAAGGGAAGATTCCTGTTTTATGTCCATGTCTAGAAACAGACCGACTGTCAAGAAGCGTATTTTTGTGTATTTCAACATTAGGGTGAAAAAGGAGATCCAGGACTCATGGGATTACCCGGACTGAGGGGACCACCAGGGATGAAGGTGACTTTGAGCTTTCTGACATCTTATACTCAAATTCATTCATGTCAGCAAAGAACAAAACACAGTCTCACAGATTCTTATGCTATTTTCTGTATTTTCTTTGTCTTTTCAGGGTCTACCCGGTTACAAAGGAGAAAAAGTAAGTTCAGGATCAACTCTCACAGTTCGTGTTTGTCTGTACACAATATCATATCTCCTCTTAATTTTTTCTCTCTGGTGTCTCTTCTAAAAGGGGACTCGTGGTGATTCAGGAGGAGCAGGGCCAAAGGGAGATAAGGTTTGTAAAGAAATGTCTGTTGTTTTTTTAGAAGAGTAAGTCCCCCCGCATCTTTTTCTTTTTTTTGAGATGGATAATGTTATGATAAAAAAGGCCATATTTATGTGTTACAGCTGTTGTAATGGAGGAAATCAGCAGCCAGTCCCTTTCTTAAAAATGAGGATGACAATGTTTCTGAAAGTTTCAATTCAATTTGAGGGAAAATGCTTCATAATCATGTTCTTCTGAGAGCCTATTCCTTTCAAAAGAAAGTCCATGTACTATTACTACATCTTAATGACAACTTTATTCTCATGATATTATGACTTTATTGTTGTAGTATTATAGTTTTAGTCTCATAATGTTGGGTCTTTATGCTCGTAATATTTTGAAATTTTTATGCGTTAGTTGACCTTAGTTGACCTTAGTTGAACTTAATTCTCACAACGCATTGTTTTGATTCTTGTTATATAATGACTTTAATCTCGTAACTTTATGACTTTGACTGTATTTACACAACATTTTGTCTCTGTTGTCAAATTTGACAGCTTTACTCCAGCTATATTCTGGAAAAATTATGATTTTATTCATAATATTTGGCCAGTTTTTTATCAACTTAATTCTTGTTAAATTATTAATTTATTCCCCTTATAAACTTTAATTCTAATGATATAACTTATTTCTCATAATATCAGGCTGATTTTATTAAACTTTTATACGAGTATCATTTTCTTTTAATAACATTATGACTTAATTCTTTTCCCATTATGACTTTACTCAGACTTTATCTTCTCCTTATTTGATTTGAGTAAATGTCCTTACTTTACCACAACTTGCATTTTTGGGACCCTTTTTTCATAATACCAGGACTTCAGTTTCTTATGACTCTACTTGTACCAGAATGTTTTGTTTTTTTGTGTGTGTGTGGAAAATTGTGACTTTATTCTGAAAACATTGTATATTTTTGTTCCTGAAAATTGCTCTAGCACTATATCATAGTTTTTTTTATAACATTTTGCATCTTATTTATGTGTGGCTCCATCTAATGGCACCACAAACTGTGGTTTGAGACACCTCTTTTTAGGTCCCTCATTCAAAGCTCACCTGTGTCGTCTTTTTGAGTTTAAGATAAAGTGATCAAGAAACAGATAAGTGTCTGCTCTGATGAGTTAATGACTTTTCTCACATCACATTCTCATTTTGTCTCCATTTAGGGCTCCATTGGTTTGCCTGGGATGCTTGGACAGAAGGTAAAAATGATTCCTGTATAACTACAGCAAAAACCAGGATTCAAACTGATTCCTTCCCAACTTCTGTCCCAGGGTGAACAAGGACCTAAAGGAGAGCCAGGAGTCTCAGGGAAGAGAGGACCAACTGGACGGCCTGGGAAGAGAGGGAAGCAAGTAAGGAGGAAACGAGACAGGGAGACGTATGGATTGTTTGGTTTCCTCTGTGAACTACGTGTGTCTACATGATTTTGATGCATCAGATGTCCCACACCTTTAAACACATCCTCACAGCATCAATTAATCTGTGTGTGTGGACTTCAACTCTCTGAGCTGACAGCTTCATATGTCTCTCACCAGCCAATTTAGTTACTCAACTTTTACCTCAAGCTCTAATTTTAGACTTTAGAGGGGGGTAGAGAGTCTTTGGCATTCCTATATATTTAAATTTGCACACACACACCTCTCACATGCACACACACACTCGTGTATTTTTCCATAGACTGTATCATCCCAGCTATGCACAAGTGTCTGAAGCATGTAGGTCACTTCCAGTATGTGGGTTTGTGTTTTCTAACGTTGTGATGTGGCCGGCTTTGCACAGGGGATGAAGGGTCATGGTGGAGCCTCTGGAGTTATGGGCCCCCCAGGACCCCCTGGTCCAAACGGTCATCCTGGTCCACCTGGGCCTCCTGCATCAGGTACATTAACCTGCTCTCTGACACAGAACTATAGTTTGTGGTGAATAAACATTGACTGTAGAAGAAATGACGTTAGGCATCCTGCTTTGTGGACGGTCTTTGGAGGCCTGAAGTTTAGCTTTGTAGCCTCATTGTGGGTCTCTGCTATGAAAAAAGTTAAAGAAGTGGTTTCTCTCACATGCTTTGATCACTTGGTCTGACACCTACGATCTTGCAGGAATTAGAGATGTTAAAAATTACCATAAGGAAATTGACAATGCTTTTGCTAACAGTCTGGATCATTTATATAGGACAAAAAGAGGCGGGGCTGTTAATTTTAAGTTCTTTCATAACTATTCAAAAACTCCTCACAGGAGCTTTAACGACATTGTTTAAAAAAGAAAAGGGTGCTGCAACAAAAAAGCCCACATGTGGCTACCAAGACTGTAAACCTATTCGTTTATGGCCTAGAGTTTAGTGTTTTCATATGAGGGACTTAGAGAGAGAGGGTTTTTGCCTAGGTTTTAGTCCAAGTGGTTACGGCTCAGTTTAATATCAAACTAATGTGGGTATACGTATTTACTCATTTGTTTTGCTGTGTTTTACTTTGTCATTGCTGTTGTTTCAGGTCTCTATCTGGTCGGAGAAAAAGGAGAGAAGGGTCTCCCAGGTCCAGCAGGTCGCTGTGACTGTGATTCCACTGTTGTAGCTAACAGTGCTCCTTTTGGGAGCTACACACAGCGGGGCGGTCCTAACAAAGTCCCTGCAGTAAGACCCTTTCCTGTATAAAACTGCAACCTTGCAATATCAACCTTCAAAAATGATGCTCACCAGCTTTACCATCCTTCTTCTCTGTGTATGTGTGTGCAGATATTTGTGGTAAACAATGAAGAGGAGATGGAAAATCTACAACTAGACAGTGCAATAGCATTCAGGAAGGATCAAAGGATGCTCTACTTCAAAGATAAAGATGGATGGAAAGCTATACAGGTAACAACTATGATCAAATTACTGAGCTGGAAGACCGTGGCATTTGTTGTAATTAGTGTTCAGTTTCCAGTGAACACCTGACTGTTCAATTTTACCTCAAAACTTTGTAACTAGCCTCAAAGTTTGTACCATTTTTGATGGTAAGAGATTGTTTTTTAATGCCAGGAACTGCAGTTTCCAAAACACTGAAATTAAGGTTTTACTCACTTGGTATTTTAGGAGTTTTCCGTCACTTTTATTTCCAATCAAAGGCTGTTTGGTTTAATTAATTGTGTTGGACATGGACTGAGTTAATTCCATCTAATGTGGAAGCGTAAAAACGTCTAATTTTCGATTTTGATTGAGGGAAGCTGGAATGCATCATGTAAAAAATCTCAAACTCCTTCTGGGTGATAAAATCTTTTGAAGTGAGTGTTTTGAGCTCGTTGTGTGGTTTGGTTTTCAGCCCTTCCAGTCGTTTCAGTCCACAGAGAAAGTCCCGGACAGGGTTGGTGTGTGTGGGGATGGAAAGGTGCAGCCACAGCACGGAGAGGAGTGTGATGATGGAAACCAGATCGTGACTGACGCGTGTCTCAGTGAGTAACATGCATTTCTTAGCTTATGTAATGAAGTATGTGTAACAAGACTTTAGAACAAATAATAAGCAGGCTTCTCTGAGAAGAGGAGTTTACAAAGCATGTAAGATTTTTGCTGGACAAGCTCTTCCAAGCTGTTCAATGTCAGGCTGTTTCTAAGGCACCCTGCAGAGCTCCACTGCTGCACCCCACAGAGTGTGAACCCATGGGGCAGAGGATAAAAGCAGAGGGTGCTGTGAAACCTTTCCTTGATCTTTCATTAATCTCTCCCTCTTTTTCCTGCCATCCTCTCATTTCTTGGTTCAATTAAATTAGCAGAAAAATGCTGTTTTGGCATCACTGGAACACAGGAGTGCCAAAGCATTCGTAACTTCTCTCTCCCTTCCCTCCCTCCCTCCCTCCCTCCCTCCTGACTCTGTTTCTGCTTCTGCTTTTTCCTCTGTCATCTCAGACTGTAAATGGGCTTACTGTGGAGATGGATACAGGCATGAAGGCATGGAGGAGTGTGATGGAAAGGACTTTGGGTATCAGACCTGCAAATCCTACCTTCCAGGGTATGTTCAATGACATGCATATTTGTCTAGGTTTAAAGGCCTATGTTATCTCTCTTGTGCCAAGGCAGTGCAATGCATTTCTTAATCATCAGCATATTTATAGTGCAGTGCAGCCATCTGAACACAGTACAGGTCACTTAAATGACCCACTGTACTTAAACTGATGATCTCTCTGAAATTAGGGTGAATTATTCTTCAAGCATGCACTGTTCTCTAAATAATATAATCTGTATATCACTGTGTTCTGCGTGATTTACATTAACACTTAAAGGACACTTCCTTGTCTCTTCAGGTCCTTTGGGCAGCTCAGATGCACAGATTCCTGCCTCATTGATTCCACTGGCTGCAAATATTTCACCTGAACTCTAATGTGAAATTAAGGCAAGATTGCAACTTTGCAGCTCCCCCTTTCTGATCACGGGGATTGTACTCCAGATTTCCACTGAAGTCTGACCCTTTAAAAAAAATAACAGCTGGACTGAGAACTGAAGAAAGCTCTTATGCCTGCTCTGAGCCATGAAAAGTCAATGAGGGTCAGCTTTGGCTTGAAACTCTCACTGGCCTCAGGGAGGAGCACTCAGTTTCTATCCCTTCATCGGCTGCAGGACTGTTATGGACACTGGTGATGGCAGGGAACATTTAAATGATTGTATCATATAAAATACTTACAATGTGTATGACTTGCTGACTGTTGATGCAGAAATAAGCTATGTCCTGAACTTTTTTTGTAATAACATAGGAGAGAAGGGCCTTTCCTTGAAGAAGCAATGATATTATTGATACTCTATGTACTGTAGTATGCAAATCAGGGGTGTGTAAATGTGCCAATTCCTGTGCAATGTATTACAAAACCTGTATTTATGAAGTGCAATGTTGTTAAACGCATGTAATTGTGAACCAGCACACAGATGAACACTTTAGATCGTGCTGTAAATGTCCTTGCCAAAGTTTTACCCCTATGAAGTGAATGTTACAATAGCCGACAGAAGAGAAGTGATTGTAAGACGCAACAAATATGTGAAAAAAAAGCCCCCTGCAGCATGAAGAACTGCTTCAATCACACAAAATTGAGAAGAAGAGGTCTGATCTGTGGATTATCTACCTGCATGACTATAAATTTCTTAAAATATGGCATATTAATAAAGACATCTACAATTCACAGTAGTCTTCATTCAAAAGGTGCCACATGGGATCTAGCATGGGGGAGCGACTGTGGGCGGGGCTATGAGAAGAAAGCGACCAATCAGAGAAAGACTTCCTGCAACAACATGTATGATGAAAGTGCCACGTATTGGACCATCTGCACTCCTGCTAAACATTTGTTCAAAGTTTTACTCGCCTGTTGTTCCTGTTGCCTGTGAGCACAGGTTGGAGGGTGTTGGTTAAGCATGCTGTTGTCGGTGCTGAGCTGGCTCTGCTCCTCTCTGCTGCTGCCGCTGCTGACTGTCAGCGGGGGGAAGCTGCCTGAGGCCGAGGTGACGATAGAAGTCCTGCACAGACCTTTTATCTGTCACCGAAAATCCAAGTATGGGGACATCCTGCTGGTACATCATGAGGGATACTTCGAGAACGGGACCATGTTTCACACCAGGTATGTTTGCTGACTGTCACGGCGGCCTCGCGGTTTACAAAGTCACAAACAAGGTGGAGTTACAAAGGTGCTACTCTCTTCCTTCAAATTCACTTTTTCATCGAATTCCTTATGTATATTTTTACACGTTTGGACAGCGGTCTAAACTTCATACAGGTAAATCCACATTATTCCCCCGCGGCGTGGCTAGGTTTCAATCTGGGGCACGCGGGGAACATCTCCTTGGAGACGCCTGTTTCGTGCAGGGTCACGTGACGAGAACGGCCAGGGGCGCCACCTGGGATTTTAGGACCCATGAGAAAATATACCTTCAGGCCTCACCGGTCCTCTATTTTAAGTTTTACTATTTAAAGGGATATTTCGGTGTAAAATTATTTTAGGGTCAAACACACCGTAACACCGAGTTAGACACCCCCTCGAGCGATAAATGTTGCTAACTGCTTGCTTCTCTAGATAAACCAACTTTAGTAATGACCGCACGATAGCAATACACAGCAGTCTGAGGAGCCGTAACCAAACCACAACCGAAAAGCCACTCTATAGCCACAAATAATGCTCAGAACAGCACCTAACTTCATCAACAGTACATATAGGGTCCCAGTCATAGTACTAGCCACCAAACATCTTTTTAACTTTGCCTAATTTCTTTAGCAAAGAGACTAAACACAACTCAACTACTCTCTTCCAGCAGCCGCTTGTTTGTAGTGAGACCTCGGGCCAGTCCATTACGGACTGCTGCGGGGTGACACAGCTCAAGGAAGAACATTCATGATGAATTCTTCATGGAAATGGAATCAGAATGAGATGCTAAAGCAGAAGAACTACTGTGTCTGCAGTGCAAAATGATTATTTTGATGATTATTACTTCAAGGAAATGATAAAGTGATGATCGTAAATGTCCGTAATGGACTGGCCTGAGGTCATGCTACAAACAAGCGGCTACTGAAAGAGAGATGGTGAGTTGTGTTTAGTCTCTTTGCTAAAGAAATCAGGCAAATCTAAAAAGATGTTTTGTGGCTAGTACTATGGCTGGGACCCTATACTGTTGGTGAGGTTAGGTGCTGTTCTGAGCATTATTTGGGGCTATAGAGTGGCGTTTTGGTTGAGGTTTGTTTATGGCTCCTCAGACCGCTGTGTATTGCTATTGTGCGGTCGTTACTAAAGTTGGTATAACTGGAGGAGCAAGGGATCGGCAACATTCATCTCTCAAGGGGGTGTCTAACTCGGTGTTACGGTGTGTTCAACCCTAAATTAGTTTTACACCGGAATATCCCTTTAATTCAAATAATTTATTAGCATGAAAGCCATAAACAATTTTACTCACTAATCAAGAACAAATGATAATACACACAATTTTTCTTAGTTGATGAAATATGCACTTGATTGATACAATATACAATATAGTTGTGGTAGCATCTCTTATTCTCCAAGTTAGACCTCCAGGTGCCCTCACTTTCCTTTGTTAAAGCTGCCTGTCCCACTCCACTCACTTAAATATGTCTGTGTGTCCATTAGTCGAACTGAAGGAGACAAGCATGCTGTGTGGTTCACTCTGGGCATCAGAGAGGTGATCAAAGGCTGGGACAAAGGCCTGCAGGACATGTGTTCAGGAGAGAAGAGGAAACTCATCGTACCTCCTGCTCTGGCCTACGGCAAAGAGGGGAAAGGTACTGTGGCCTTGTCTGTACACTCAATGTATGCTTCACTGCATGAGGACTTAAAGTTTATTATTGCATACATAATTTATTTATGTATGGCATACTTGTCTGTCTTCTTTTGGATGGCCTTTGTAGGATTTCTACCATGAATGAGGGTCCTACTCAGTGATAAAAGTCCACTTTTTCTCACCATGGAGCATGCACTGTACAGTACTGTGTTTTTTCCTGGTAAGCACAAACCATACTAACTATTAATAACTATCTGTTCTTTGCTTGACAAACATTGCTGTACTGACAACAACCTGCTTTTACTAATAATGCACCCAAAGTTTAGTTCTTGTTTATAACTTTTTGCGCTCAGTTTGAGACAGAACGCTCCTTCAAATCTTGCAGTAACCTCATGTAAAAATCCAGTCTGAGTTTAGGTTAACATCTTGCGCTCAACTGTTGTCCATGATCAGGTAAGATCCCACCTGAGAGCACGCTGACCTTCATCATAGAGGTGCTCGAGATCAGAAATGGACCAAGATCACACGAGTCATTCCAGGAGATGGATCTCAATGATGACTGGAAGCTCTCAAAGAGTGAGGTGAGAACTTTGTTTCAATGTTTTCTCTTGGCATATATTTAAACTTTTACTCATGCAATTAGCCACCCCTGCACATAGTAAATCGTGCTGATTTGGGGGGTCCAAATGTTCTAGTTATTGTTATTAGACAAGTTGAAAGATCCCATCAAGGCCTGTCAGTCATCAAGTCATTCCTGAACCACAGCTCACCGTCAAAGTAGAGGATTCATGTTGAAAATCATTTAAACCTCAGATTACATACGCTTTTTTCTTAGTTTGATGCCAGCAACTCAACAGTTTTGGGTCTCCTTTGTCATATTTTTGGTTCCATAATGTGCCAAATGTTTTACATCAATGACAAGTCAGGACTGCAGACAAGCCAGTTTAGCAGCAGGACTCTTCTACAGAGCCATGCAATCATTACACACACAGAATGTAGTTTATCGTTGTCCAGCTGAAATATTCATGGTCCTTTCTGAAAAAGTCCTGTTTGGAAGGGAGCATTTGTTGCCCCAAACCTGACTATATCATTCAGTGTAAATGATGCGTCATATTTCTTTTCATATATTTACTGATGTTTAATCCCTTTTTCTCAATCTTTCACTGTAACTTGTCTCCTGCTCACTCCATCCACCAGGTGAAAGAATACCTGAGGAAGGAGTTTGAGCGTCATGGCTACCCTCCCAATGACACTCTTCACGAGAACATGGTGGCCGACATCTTTGCCAAAGAGGACGAGAACAAAGACGGCTTCATTTCTTCCAGAGAGTTTACCTATAAACACGATGAACTCTAAGTCATTGATTCAGTGTTTCGTGTTGTTTTGTAAGTTCCTGATTGAAGCCATGACAGGAAGATCCCTCAGGTAACATGATGTTATTTATGTTACTGGGACATGAGCCAATGTCTTTTTCATCTCATTATTCGACTTTTAAATCATATTTGCACAGATTTAAAAGCACCATTCAGCACATCACTTTATGTTGTATGTACATTTTTAGAGGCAGAAAGGAGGCGAATGCTCATAGTGAGAGTGCACATTGTGGGCTGACTTTCTAAGCAGAGAACCATCTCTAAATCTGTCACTGAAACTCAATAACTGTTTCCTTTTACAAAATGTGATGAGATTAATAGAATTTTTCTTTTGCCAACCCACTCAGAAGACAGTGATTCGGAAGATCAATACACTTAGGAAAGCAATATTGATTGGTGGATTTGAGTGCAGACAGTATATTTTCAAATTCAGTTAAAAAGTGTTGATTTATGTGCGTGAACTCATGGCAATGTCAACTTTTTTTTCTTTCAAGCATCTAAATGGATGTTTTTCAGGGTCACTTGAGCTGTTTTTACTGACAGGAAATCATCAGAAACCCTTTTTGGATAAAAGTTTTTTTTTAAATAAAATAATAGGAAAGTTAAGCTTTATTTAGATGTCCGCAGTAGTGTTGAAGGGTATACTGGTAGTCTTTCTGGATGGCCATCTTTTTTTTTCAGACTTGTTTGGCAAGTCAAGTCACGTCCCACATGCATACCCTGAAATGTTCAGTTTTATGTACCCTTGGGGAGAGGTTTTCATTTTGTGACAGATTTTCTATCAGGGAAAAAGGTCAAGTTAAGAGTGTCTGTCACTATCTTTAAAGAGCTACGTGCTGCGTTCAGATCTTAGACTTTTTTTTCTTGCACTAGAAAATGTTCTTGAAGTGCCAACCCCAATCCAGACCGTCCTGTTTCTGTAGCTGTGGGGTTGACTTCTTAGATGCAAATAAGCCTAAACTCTGTAGGTAAATGACTGTTGTGTTCAGGGTTTAGTTCACTGCCAGTCTGCGAATATGATCAATAAAGTGACATCTCTTTGTTTTTTTAAACAAAATACTGTGATTTATTCAGCTCGCTTTGTTTTTTACACTTTGAACCAGAAGATGGCACTGTCTTCACAGGTGTTAGTTCACGCTCATGTATTTGAAGAAAGGAAACGTAATACCTCAGTCATTATCTTTTCATAACAGACAACACCTCAGAGTAAAAGAAAACTGATGTTTTCCCATAATCCTAGTGTGTCAGTACTTTTCACTTATACTCCTAAGGGTTAATATGTTACTTACATATAAAAAAAAAGTAAACACAAGAAAGCTCAAAGATCATAAAGTCACAGATATGAAATAAGAATACTCCGTTCTCTGTGTACTGTAGTTACAGTCATACTCACAAACTGTGTCAGGAGTCAAGATTAATATAGCTGCTAGAGTGTGTGTGTGTAAGTGTGTGTGAGTAGGGAGAGCCCACCTCCTCACACACATTCAAAACATTCCACACTGGAAAAAGGTCAGAGGTCACATAGTCAGAATAAGGCGGGACCCTGTTTGACACTCACATATACACACGCGTACACACAAATTCACTAAACACAAACATCACACACACGCACAAAGACCCGAATCCAAATGAGTCCATTGCTGTCCTGGTGTTGTCATGGAGATGAAGACAGGGTAGCTGGTGATCGGATTGGGTTTGTCTCATCGGAGGTGTGTCCTCATCCCGGGTGGTTTGGCGTTCACTGTACAGGAAGAAAAAAGAAAGAATACGGGAGGATTACAAGATGATCCTGGAGTTGTGTGTCAGAAGTACTGTCTGTCCTGTGGTGTCACCTCTGTTTTCTTTGCTGGGGTAGATCCGAGGAAAAGGCTTGAACTCATCGGGAGGGGGTAAATCTTCAACAGGGTGGAACTGGAACTTGGACTCAAAATCATCCGCTGGAGATTTTTAGAAGATAAGAAATTGAAATTGAGGCAACTTAAATGATATTAGTGAGATGAAATGACGCTGACTGTAAGGTGGCTTACCCAAGCTGTGCAGGTGACCGTTCCTGAGGCTGGATGGAGGCAGGGGAGGAGGCGGTGGAGGTGGAGGAATGCGGCTGGACAGCTCAGTAGAGGGGGAACGCACTGGAGGAGCTGGAGGAGGAGCCAGCCGACCCACACCTGTATCCATGGGCAACAAGAGGTCAGAGAGGTATTAGCATCAGCATTAACATTGGGTGTAAACAATGATGTGATATATTTGATGCTGTATGACGTACAAGACGTCATTTTCAGCTCTGACATCTGAATTCAAGGGCAAATGGATTGTCCAATAAGGGTCTGATGTACTAAGTTTCAAAATGTGGAGCACTAAATTGCGTCTAGGTAGGGGTCCACCTACCAGCACTCCTGGGCACGGCAGGGGGCCGTCGGGTTGGGGCGTTACAGGGATATGATGGAGGCAGGGAGCGCATAGTTGGAGAGGGCACTGGTGGCATCTTGGGTGGTGGAGGAGGGAGGTTGGAGGGGCAGCTGGGGGTGAAAGAAGCTGGAAGTGGTGGCGGAGGAGGCGGGGGAGGACCCAGTGGGCTGTCCCGCAGGATGGGGAACCTGGAAGATTCAGAGTTGACAGGAGATGGAGAAGGGTAGAAGCACCCTGACGATCGGTCTCCTGGCACAGCAGAAGGGGACTGGAAAGGTGGAGGTGGAGGTGGAGTAGAGGGCTGGGGGATGGAGGTGTGATGTACATGCTGTATGGGAAGCCAGGTGGGCTTGGTGACCTGGGAGGGAGGTGGAGGAGGAGGAGGAGGACAGGAGGGGAGAGGTGGAGGCTTGTTGGCTGGACGGTCCTGGAAGGCTTGAGGTGGAGGAGGGGGAGGAGGGGCTGAGGGAGGGGCAGGAGGAGGCGTAGGGGGAGAGGAAGCAGGGAAGGGAGGCGGATGCCTGCTGCCATGAGAGGGAGAGGGAGGAGCGGAGGACGAGGTTGCGAAGGAGCGGTGGGCGGAGCTTCGGACTTCCACCGTCTTCTGAGGTTCAGAGTCTGCTGGTAAGGGGGGGTTCCAGAGGGGCTTCAGGGAGGTGGAGGAGCTGGAGCGGAACACTTAAACACACACAGACAGACACATGTAAGACTCTACCACACATCAGAATATACAGACAACATGAATTCAGAGAGAGTGAGATATTCTGCACCAACCTGGGGTCTTTCCTACAAGGTCCCTCTGTCCTACAGGTCTGAGGGCAGGGAACCCTGCAGCAAAGAGTCCACTTAATGGGGGTCCCATGGGTGCTGCCCCTCCAGTAGAAGAACCACCACTGATGGATGTATCTCCAGAGCTGGTTTTGGTTTCTTGGGAAAAACACATGTGCACATTTCTTATTATTACCTTGATTTCTCCCTTATTCACAGTTGTTAAAAATACATCATTCTTATTGGCCAAAATCCCAAAACAACTGTGATCAATACTAGATAACATAGACAACAGTAAGCTCAACCTGATCACACATTTTGTGATACATTTGTAGAAAGTCTGACTCATTTCACCCCTGCCTGTTGACACTGTGGCAAAAACATTTGTTACTCTCAGGCTGAGAGTCTGGAAATGAAAACAGTTCCCAGGCACAGGCGTGAGGACAGCCTTTAGAGCTACTCCTTGACAGAAAGCCAACCAGGTCAGACCAGGAAAAGTGGAACAAGATCCTTTCCTGCACTCTAAGCAATGGCAGCAGAGATAGTGAGAGTATATTTTCATTGCCTGTTGCTAGAAAGTCAATTTTCTTTGTTCTGCTCACCACGTATGGATCCTAAATTAACTTAACTTATCCCCTACTTAAAACAGAGATCATTTAAAGCTGCTATGAGGAACTGGCATCCCTGAGAACAAATTTGGACCTCTTTTGTATTCTCCTGTACATGTTTAAGTAGTGTTATCAGACAAAAACCTCATCCTTTTAACAGTAAAGGTTTCACTTGCTGTGAGTATGAAGCACTTTATGTATTTAAAGAAGAACAACCTCACTCTTTATAACAACATCTTGCTTAATTATTAAACAACAACAAGCTATTTTGAATGTATCCAAGTTATTCAGTTACACAATGATTGTTTTGTCTGTAAACAGTGGTTTTCTATTTTGCTCACATCCCTATTTGCTATAAAGTTCTGCATACAACTATGTGTAAGATAATGCTCAAATGTAGCTCACAACATATTCTTACTGAGCCCCCTCTATAAACAAATACGTATATATACTGTATATAACCATATAACTAGAGAGAGATTAATACACAATTGTACAATAAATTCAGAATTACAGTGGTTGTGCTTCAGACTGGCAGAGATTTAGTGTCTTAGCACAGCCAGAGTGTGTGTCTACTGGTAGAGAGTGGGGTCATTGCTCTTACTATCAACAGCCGGGGCGCTGCGGTCATTGACCTGTGTGACTTTCCTGAGCCGGGCTCCTTTCTGGATGTCAGCCAGCAGGGCATTTCTCCCTCCTCCCCCTCCTCCAGACTGGAGCTTAGGAGCCTCAGCTGGACACTGTGATGGAAAAATGACAAAGAGCTTCATAACTTTATCCTTTGACTTGCTGTTTTACCCCATATGTTCTCTCTATTGAGTCTGAATCAGGATACTTAAAGATTTTATTTCTCATTACTTCCCTTCAACTCTAATTTCCTTTATCCTTCCTCCCTTCAAGACTAATTGCTCCTTTGCTGTTTTGGCCCCACTCTCTGAAAACATCTTCTACAGTCGAGCAGATCTGCTGAATCTCTGAACCGTTCAAAGCAGCTTTTCCAGCTATCTTTTATGGACAAGGGCTTCTGTAGATCTCACTCTGTATTGATTTTATAACATATCTAATGCAGGATTGGAAGTATTGTAAAATACAGCATACTAGTCATTGTACTGTATGAGACAGTTTGTCTTTGGAGGCATCCCAGAGGGAAACAGTTTCAACTATCTCCCTGCAGTAACACTTTCATTGCTTTCCACAGAGTTCACAATGTGCTGTTTCTGTGCAACTGTGAAGCTCTTTCAAGAACCATCTCTTTTTGCTGTCCCACTGATTACTAGTACAGTCAAGTCAAGCTTGTGTTTATCATCATGAGGTACAGATGGGCCTACTGCATGCAACCTATTCACAGAAACTCACATCAGCCTCCTCCATTGATTATTTGTTGTTTTTAATTCAGGAGTCTTTTCCATAAAACATCACTCCACAAGATTTATTTAAAGAACGAATCAAAATGCATAATTCTGACCTCATGAGGAAGAAAAGATGTTGTGGAGCTGTAAGACTCAGCTTATCATTTGCCTTGAAGCTTAACAGTTCCTTTATTGAGGCCTTCCACATAGTTCCTTGTGACTCGCAAAACAATGGCATGATGCGTGGCAAGAGGCAGTTCACCCAAAAGGAAGTAATAACAGGCAGGGTCCAAGATGCTGTCATATACAACTCAGTTTTGTTGTGCTTGCAATATAAACTTTGAAAATAAACATATGAAGTATCAAACTACTGTAAAATCCACTCACATTGTGAGACCGTACCAGATCCAGGGCTTCTCTATCCACGTGCACTTCAAAGCTCTCACCGTGTGTTTGTACACATCTCTACATCGCCATAATGTAATATGAAATCACACTTGGACACTTCTTTTGCCTTTGCAGAGTTCAGTTTGTAAATACAGAGGTCTAGTGTTGGTGGTACTTTATTACTGTGAATGGCTACTCATGGTTTAGGATTTTAGCATGGCCTCGGAGGTGGCCAATCATATTTTAAAGGGGCATTCCCACCCCTGGACGCCTCTCTGAGTCCGCCCCTGGAAATTTCATTAACAAGGCTCTGTGTTTTCTGGCATATTTTAAAAAATCTAATCCTAATAGCATCTAAATCGAAACAAACATAATCATTAACTGTAATCCTGCAGTGTGCATCCCAGATTGGAGGTTTTATTTGATTTAATCCTATTACATAAGGAGCTGAGTAGGGAATATATCATATAGATCCCTTATACCACCATTTCAACATCTCTTATTATAAACATGCATAAAAAACTAAATCTGTGGAGAGTTATAGAGGATAAGAGAGGATCATTTTTGTACACTGTATGAAGTTTGTTGTTTTCTCATGTAGTCTGGTTCAGTTTATTGACGTCTCCTGAAGCTGTGTGTCTCTGCGGTGTGGCCTTGTTTGCTGGCAGTAACAACTCATCTAACATGAGGACACTGTGCCCCAGCTGTGGAAACATAACACTCTGCTGCTACTGAGAGTCTGCCGTCTGCTTGATTCTGTGTGTGTGCGAGTGTGTGTGTGTTTGTGTGTGTGTATATCATCCCGATCAATAATGCAAATACCCTGCAGGTGACGGTCAGTGAGAAGGACACTGGCGAGCGTTAACGATTGCATGGAATAGTAGAGTCACTCAAGCTCACATACGCACACTGTTACCTGTGGTAGGGCAGCACTGGGTGGAGGTGGAGGCGGAGGGGGAGCCTGAGGTGGAGGGGGAGGGGGTGGAGGAGGGGGGACTGGCATGCCAAGGCCTCAGATACCTGCAGACACAAACACAGACGCCAAACAATTCATGCCAGAAGCTGCTACTGTGTTAAGGGGCACTTTGATGACCTCCTACCCCATTCTCTGAGCAGGAAGTTCTTTCACCACCGGGCTCCACAAAACAGGAAACAGCGAGCGCTCCATCCTCTCCAGAGAAATCCGACACACATACCCTCCCTCCCCTTACACGCTGTCCTCCTCTCCTTCCCACAATGCTTGGTTGCAGGACTTGGGAGAAGAACAATGGGGCTTGTTGTGTGCAAAGTAATGGACCCCTACCCTTCAGACCTTTAGAGTTGCAGAGTGCATGGAACATTTTTTTTTTAGGAAACTTCACAGGAAAATTCTCCAAACAATGTTTTTCAGCACATTCAGGATGTGTTGTCATCCAGGAACAGCTCATATACCGGTCTATGTCTCCATGTTTTAGTCTCTGCATGTTTTGGCAGCTCACTTAGTAGATGACAACAGCGACAGTCCCTAGCCCTCCACCCCAACTTGGTTACATCATAAATTCTTGACATGCTGTCTTCCAGAGGCTGAAAACAGCCCAAGGTTTTGTGCACATTCAGTTCCCTGCTGAATCGGCACATGCTTCTCCTGAGCAACTTAATTAAACCGACAAGAGAGCCTGTTTTTGTTAAATATCTGTGCCCTCGTGTGTGTACATGTTGGGTCCCATCTGATCAGTGCATTTGGCAGAGTGTCTGGTGTTTCTATTTCGATCTTCTTATCTGTGTCAAGTAGCCCCTGTGACTCTGCCAGTGTAGGTTATTAAAGGGGGCAAAGCTGAATGCTGGTTAGCTCTGCTCTAGAGAAACAGGCGGGAACCTCTCACACCAATTGCTTGTCTTTGACCTGTTGTATATCTTGTCGTTCCCACAAAGAAGACCTGATGGGACACACAAACAGCTAGAAGGGGCTGCTGCTACTGCAACCGAGTGAGCAAGACATTTCCAATCCTTTTCTTTTTTAAATATGTGTAATGCGATAAGGAAAATGACTTTTCTAAAAAAATGATAATGCTTTAGTCCAAAATAAATACATTGTATTTCTGTTTGCTTCAACAGTTCTGTTCAGGCAAGGCACAACAGGCAGGTAATTAACTTATCATATCAGTCAAAGGTAAAGAAAAGAAAGTTTTAAATCTGGAAATTTGTTTATTTGCAAAATGACATTAATTTTACTCATGCATATCACATGAATAACATTCCACAATGTTTGAAATCATTTCTATACATCTAGACCTTTGTCAAGCAAAACTCTTAATCAAAGGGCAACAGATATCTTTCTTAAACTATAGAGTTGATTTTATTTTAACTTAATACAGCAGGGGATTAAGTGGAAGCCCAAACAATAAGGAGCTGTGCTTACAGAGAGTGTAAACAATATCTCTTCCGTATGATTACCTTGAATCATACGGAATTTAGATTTACAAATACAACTAAAAGCGTTGAAATGTGGACTTAGGAAAGCCTGCTCTACTTTTTACAGAGAGTTAACCTGCAAGACAAGATGCTGGGACAAACACAATCTGTCTTTCAAAACAGTTCTTCTCAGGGACTTAGTTTTTCCTCATTTTTGCATGTTTCACAAAGTTTTAGAAAAGAAAAGTGCTTCTGCCCTTTGCAAATAAAATCAGGCTGCATGTCTATATAAAGTTACCTTCTTACCTTCACTAATTATCCGAAATCCACCTGTCCAGCCGAGGAGCCCTCAGTGAGATGGGGCGCAGCAAACTGGCCTCTTCGCTCCCATTTAGAAAGTTACCAAGTTAAATTTAGCCAAACGAGGACACCAACTATCCGACGTATGAGATCCTGTTAACTCCTAAAAAACATACTAATGTCTTTAATTTAACTTCCTTTTGATTTACACGCTACAAGAGCGTAAAATAACAGGAGATAGTGGTCCCGCACTGTGCTGTCTTTATAACTCTGTTTATTCCCTCGAGCGCGCGATAGGAGGGGAGCAGCGCGAGGACACACCTCGCCACCCTGAACGCATCACGGGACCAATGACGGACAGAGAAGGAGGGAGGATATATTCAAGGAGTCACTTTCCCTCAGCCCCCACTACACCTGCTGTGGGGTAAAATAAACGTGTGAAAAATTCATGAGAACAGGCTCGAAAAGTTTTCACCGGTGGCTCTTGGTGTAAAAAGATCTCTATGGGTGGAGTTTTTCCCACTATCAGACCTACAGTATATTTGACTCCTTCTTGGATCTGGTTCCCAGGTTGTGAAATAGCACATTGTCGCCCCCCTGTGCTGTAAAATACGACACTGCAAGTGATTCAAATATGTGTGTGCAAAATCCAGCAACAGTGGGGGTACTTAGTATCATGGAAGTGTACTGCGTTTACTAAAGGGGAAAAAAATCTGCCCTGTTTTTCCCAAATTAAAAACAAATTTATCTTGTAATTAAAAAAAGAGAGCTGATTGTTCCCCAAGTTGATGCAATATGCTTCCATAGTTTACATCTTTTACATAAAATAATATAAAATACTTACAACAGAATAATCATGGTGAATATTTTCCCCCCAAAATAAAATAAGATAAAATAGTAACTAGGCACACAGAGAAGCCGAAAATGGGAAAACACCAAAGTAAGAGTTTTAAGTTGCAATTTGGTCTCCCCTTCTTATAACTTAAAGCTCCTATGAGAGACATGATATCCAAAAACAAACAAGACCATCAATGACAAGACTGATGACAATTATATTGTTATTATTGTAGTGTATATTATTATTATATTGTATATTGTAAATATTTTGTCTGTTTCTGTTTTTTGTGTGTGTACAGCACTTTGTGTTGCATGTCCATGTATGGAAAGCGCTCTATAAATAATGTTTCGATTGATTGATCTATATTATACGAGAGTTTTTAATGCCTGAAACTGGTTTGAATATTTCTTTTCTTTTTCTTTTTAAATGTCCTTGTGAAATATTTAAAAATAATGATACATTTATCCCTCCTCAAGCATTAAAAAAACAGACAGGCGAAGACTGCTTTGTCCACAGGGGGTGCCAAATTTGACTCAAACAGAAAGTTCCTCACAAGAGCTTTACAGGCAGAGAGTGGAACCTGAAAAAAGCACACACAAATATGAACAAAAAGAAGCACACAAACAACACTGACTCAGACCTTGACTTGTCTTTTACACACACTGCTAATTACGCACAAAAACACGTTTCACAGCCCAGCATCAACATTTGTCCCCTAACCCTTGATTCTGATAAGTTCTTAAACCTTAACAAATACACTCATTCATGCCAAAGCAGCCTGTTAAATTTAATCAAATTGATATTCGTTGCCATAAAAGGTAGATCAGTCACTGTCACCTGGTTATATAAACATGAAAGCTGCAGACTTACACACCTCAATCCTCCACAGTGACGCAGGAATGCAGTGATACAGGCGTGCTCCTCCCTTTAACCCACGGGACAGCGTTATTTAGGCCTGACTTTGACTTACACTGCAGAGGCTATATATAAATGGCTTTAATTCCTTGTAATTGCTCTTCTTAGACAATGAGATATCAACACACCTTCTTTTCCTCTTTTTCAGGTTACGCGATGAGGCACCGACATAGCTGCTGAGAGGTCTACTATTGTTTCTTTTACGCAACAAAAGAGGTCATGCTAGTTTGAAATGCACAATTAGCTCTGTTTACGTGTCTATTTGTAGCCTTGAAATGAAAAAAAACCTGCATGTCAAAGCACTTTTTCCTTAATCTGGAGAAAACAAAGTTGTCTTCAAGCTTAGCCATTTCATTCTCCACAAGGGGGGTAATGAAGCATACACACTTACATTTCTTTGAAGCAGTTATCAGATTTATTTCGCATATTTTGCCTTCATTGAGTGTTCACAGGTGGTCCAAAATACAAAAGCTGAATCAGACTTCCTCTGCTAGAAGCTTGTATATCATTAGCTTTTACTTCAATTATTAGCTTTCTTTGTGGATCCATTATGTCTTCAGCACACTGGATTTGTTTCCTTCATTTAAAGTCTTGTATGCTGGCAAGTGTCGTGCATCTGACTAAAAGCTGCTCACTCGTTTTCCTTTATACCTTCCACTAACAGATTTTTTCACACATAACAAGGAAATCATGTTACAACTTCATAAACATCCTTCTTACCCTTTAGAATCAACATTTTAAGAAACAGCAACTGTAAAAGGAGTCTTAAACTATTCCTTCATTATTATACATATATTATTCTTATGTCATGTAAAAATAATTTTAACAACATTCTCCTGAAACAGATCCTATTTATCTGAGTATCAAAAATGGCATGGAGGACGTGACTTCTTGTCCAACGAGGAACACTGAACTATGTTTAATGTCCATAGTTGTCAATAGAACTGGCGCCTGAGTGCATTTCTACTGGGTCGCTTCCTAATTTGGAGAGATAGTCAGTGAGGTGGTTCAGTGACCACCTTGGAAAAACAAGTACAATCCATTTTCAAGTCATTAATCATTGTGGCTCTCTGCCTCAAGTCCATCAACACAAAAATCAGCAACATTTCATGTACAACTTAGCCTTACTCCTTCAGTGCTACTCAGTGTCACCTTCATCATCACCATCATCACCAACATACAGCGGACCTCCTGGAGAAGCATCTTCAGGTACTCCAACATTCCTCTGTTTCCTCAAGCATCGTGTTTTAAGCAGTCTCGGATCACCTCCTCCTCTTCACCGTCACCGTCTCTCCTCTTTACCTGTCGCCACACTCTCAGTCCCTCCTTCCTGTATGGGAAGGCTCGATCGTACCCTCCTCTTCTCCTTGAACCGACCCGAGCGTGACACGGCCAGGTTCCTGCGGCATGTCTGCTCATTGAACATGGAGTCAAAACGGTTGTCATCAATGGTTTCCTCGCTGGAGTGGCTGGGGCCCTTGTTGGAGTCTGGTTGAGAGGGGTCACCTGGAGCTTTGTTGGGTTCCTTTTGCTTCTGGGGGCGTTGTGCAAAAGGGTCAAAGTCTACGTCTAAGTTCTGGGTTGGGTCTTTGCCCCCACTTTTCTTCTTGGGCAGGAATGCCCTCCACCATGGGGTCCTCTCTGTCATCTTGGAGTGGAGTCAGTGGGCTGAAACAGGAAACAGAAGCATTCATGTGGACAGTTGTAGCTGAGATGTTCACCTCTAAACCAGTATAATTTGGAGAGATGTAATTCTATTTTTATGGTCATATTGTCAGCTGTTTACATGCCTTTAGCTGCCTGTCCTCTCTACCTATGTCTGCCATGTCAACCCCCCTTATTTCTAGTTGGATACCATCGATTTCTGTCTCCTCATTTTAATCTGATTTGTTTTCACCTCTGTAATAACAACTTCCCACGCGTAAGACCAATTGATCCTCTGAATAACCAGTGCTACCATGTTTACCTTCTCTGTAAAACTGGTTTAATGAGTCGTGAGAGCAGAGGAGCAAAGCCAAGCTGTGATTCACAGCTGAACAATGCGCAAAAAAGCTCTTATGAGGACTCACCTGAGCTGTGGCAGGTGTTGTTGTCACTTTAAACGACCCCCGAAGAAGTGGATTTGAGACACTATGGCTTGTTCAGAGGTAGCCTATAGAGCGAGGAACAGGTGGGTGCCCTCTTCACGGAGTGGAGGAGTCCTTCAAAGGGTCGCCGCAATATCCATTACACGCACGAGCCAGGTGTCCTCCCTCCATACATCTCCCACCGCCAAAAACGTGCTTTTTTCTCCTTCGGTTCTCATTCACTGTCTCTTCCCTTCGTCTTTCCTCGACTCTTGAGAAAAGTACAAATGAATTGACACATTTATAAGGAGCGGCTTTCCTCTACTGAACCAGCAGGTTTCCGCCTCCGAAACTCTCACCTGTTCTGTCTCCTGATTGGACGAACGCTTAGGACTTGTCACGTGAGTGCCCGCTCAGGTAAAGCGCTGAGATGTTAGGCGGGGTTTGTGGTTGCGTGGCAACATACCCCATGGGAGCGTGCACCTCTTCAATGACAGATTAAAAAAAAAAGAGCCTTTTGTATTAGCTGAACCCAACCCAAGCCAGGGAGCCAAATTACCTGCCGGCTTTCGGACGCCCTGTAGTTGCGGCCACAATGACTTGTACTTAATGATGCTAAGGACAGGAATGTGGTAGTGAGGTGTTTATTTTGTGAAGGCCTTCCTTAATGGAGCTAATAGACAGGTTAGCGTGCAATGAGGGTGCACGGTGTTGCAGTAGACCCCGTGTTGAAATATTCAGGGTAGGCACGCGACAGGAGGGAGTCTGCAGTCTCCTAAAATAACATTACTGTCGTAGACCTACAATTGAGGCTGCTGTAAGTTCACATTAAATGAGGGGAAGCTGTTTGGCCTGGCGCCAGCTTCACCTGCTGGGGTACTTTGTTGTTACAGGAGTCTTCCGGATGCTCCCATCTGTCCTCGTGCTGTAGGCCACTTTCAAGTCCAAACCAATGTGAGTTTCCAAACACTGTTAGTCTGACCACATGTTGTATTTGAATTATTCATTTACCTTTTTTTAGGGGGACAAATGTGAGTACATCACTTGTTGTCCTCTATAACCCTTTGTAAACCAGGCCTGTCACATAGGTTACAATCATGTAGGCTGGGTCAGAGGCTTGTTTTCAGACCTGTAGATAACAGTTTAATGAGTTTTGACAGTTAACACCCAGTTATGCCTCTAAATGGTTCTTGCAAACATGAAAAACAGGCTTTATGTTACTTTTTTCACATTTACTTATGAGGCAGCTCCCCACTGTATGCCTGTCTAATATGAAAATGCGCAAGTGATCAGAAATGCCAAAACTATTCTACTTTGCCCTTAGCAATGCCAAAGTTGAGATACAATTTTTACTGAAGGTTTTAACATGTATTTTGCAAATCAACAGTCATACACTTACCAATACGTAATAGAAGGCTATTAAAACAAGTTCACATATCTATGATGTGATGGTAGCAAAAAAGGACAGAGGAACAGGTATTTTCACCTACTTATGAATGATTAATCACCAGCCCACTTATATTTAGTTAAACCAGGTATTAGTAAATCAATGGGACTTAAGAGCTGTGCCCTGTAATTTCACTAATGCAGGATATTTTTAGCTTGTGTCATTAATTCATCTACATTTTTGTGTTATTAAAAAATATGATGCATTCCTTTAAAATAACAACTTGGCTAGACCTGCTTGTGTTTTATCTCCATCTGGAAAAGTTACTAGAGTAAAATGCAGCATGGCAAATGCTGTGCTAAAGGGAAGAAACACCAGTTTGCTGAATTTTTAGAAATGAGCACATTAGGCTTTTGGTGGCTTATAACAAGTGTAGTAGTAGCTGCAATTTTAAACAACATATTATCACTTCTTTGTTAAGAAGCTCTGCATCCTAGGTGCAATACTTCCTACTTAAAACTATAATACCTGCAACTTGTGACTTTTTTTTAATCTCTGTATTTATTACATTACATTCACTTATAATCTTATTCAAAGTACAAACACAAAGAAAACATAGGGGCTGGTGAATACAGCAGTTTATTGACATAATTAAAACTTTGCAATTGAGCTTGCCCCATCATGGTTACTCATCATCCAGTTGATCCATACCAGTTTGCCTTAAAGCAAGGCTATGAGACGCCATCTTTAGACAAGTCAAACAAGAGTGCTGAGATGATGCAGCTCTGGTTGCTTTGCAAATACTACAAGTAAGACCGCATCTGTATACAGTAAGCAAAGTGGTCAAATAGAGTCATAATGATGCTTTGGAGATAAACACAGAGAAAATATATTTGGTTTACCATCTAACTCTCGTAAGGCGAAGCCAGGCAAGGCAAGTTCATTTTTATGTACTATGTCTGGGACCCTATATGTACTGTTATTGATTTAGGTGCTGTTCTGAGCATTATTTGTGGCTATCCAGTGGTGTTTTGTTTGAGGTTTGTTTATGGATCTTCAGATCGCTGTGTATTGCTATCGTGCGGTCGTTACTAAAGTTGGTATGACTAGAGAAGAAAGCAGTTGGAAACATTCGTCTCTCAAGGGGGTGTTTAACTCTGTGTTTTTATTTAACGCTGGAATATCCCTTTAAATCATATTTCTGTTGACCACTTTAAGATATAAACTGCTCCTCCAGATTAAAATATGGTTGAAAATTGTTAGAAGAGACTCTCTGATACCAATAAATATGAGTTAAACCCAGCGAACAACATTATCTCTAGCCTTAACAGTGCTGTAAACTATAAATATGAACTATTACCATCAAAGCTATGGGACAAGTTCTCAGATTTGTAGTCAGAATGAAACTCTTTGTCTATGCCAGTCAAGTCTACAACTAAATTTGAAACCAAATCATATAAATTAAAGGTGTAATGGAGGCCTCTGAATATGCTCACACGTTTTGGTCATTTCTACCATATCATCTTTGCATTTCCTAATTGAGGTCTGGGATGTGCTGTACAGCGAGGTGAGTTTGGAGTTAATGGGGATGTCTTTTTCGATTGTGCCAAAGCCAAGTTTCTAAATGTCACTGGAATCTCCTCGTGAGGAAATCACAACCCCATGACATGACGTTATGCTATGAAAAGCTGACTTTTCTCGGTATGTTTTTCAAGCTCGAAACAGTTTCTGTCCAGATCCGTGCCAACAGGGAGACCCGGTCTGTGCTGAGCAGCAAAACAAAGAAAAACAAACAGAAACGGAGAGAGAGGAGGGAGGAATCAGGGAATGCCTTCAGTCTCCTTCCTCCTAAAGCTGAGAGCGAAAGTTGTTGTAGCAACAGGAATGTGAGTGGTGTCTGTCTCCCTCTCCATCAGCAGATGGTGGCCTGCATACCTGAGGGACTCCCTCTCCTTCAATCTCCCATCAGAGTCGAAACTCCACAGAGGAATTTCATCACACGAAGTCTGGATGTCTGGAATTGTTCTTCATCCTGCATGGGCACACATACAGGTGAGCATTGACGCAACTGACACTCAAATACATACAGATTTTGCGCATATTTGATACCATTCAAATTTTAGATTAGCAGTTCTGGGCTGCAGGAAATGTTTGTTTTCACTGACAGATTATCTGTTGAAGTTTTTATGATTATTGTGATAAGTTCATGGTCTGGTAAATATATGAAAATAATAAAAATGACAGTATCCCTGAGCTGAAACAAAGTTATTGGAGCCAAAATTTTAAATACATATTAGTCTTGACCAGCTAAAAGAAAATGTTTTAAACTTACATCAAAAAAGCCGATGTGATCGATCAGTGAATGCAGCACTTCTTATGTTTTACTCACCTACAGAGATACAGATTCAGCTCCTCCTGGTCCAAACAGTGTCAAAACTACCAGAAGATGTTGTTGTATAACCCTCCAGTTTTGCTCTGCCTCTCCAGCTCTCTGTCCCATATCTCCTGATCTACTTTCCTCTCTATAAGCCACAGGTAGTCTCACTGAAAGTTGATCATTAACAGCAGGTGGACCGGATAAAGAAAACATCCATGCCGAGATGTTTCAGATAGCGGCGCACTGTAAACATCAGCCTCTCCACCCTGAGAGCGTATCTCTCTCTGTGAACATCTTCCAGCTGTGACCGAAGGATTTCCTCGGGGTCTGAAATCAGAGCATCTGCCCTTTGAGATGGAGAGGTATGTGGAGAATGTGTGTAAAAATATTAAATGACGTTACAGATCAGACATAGAAACGATGACTGGGGATTAGGTAATACCCTCCACCCGTGCTTGCTATTGACTTGGAAATCTTTCACTTTGAATGGACTTGTTTGTCCCTAGCAACACACACAGCTGGGAGGAAAAACAAAATACAAATGAGCTTTCATTTCCTGGTCTTCAAAAGCACATTTACAAAAGCAAATTTAAATTGTTTTTGTAATTATTACAGATATATGCAAAAAAAAGTCATTAACATGAGTTTATGAAAATCAATCTTAGTTATTATTATCGTGCAATTGATGTCATTGATCATATTTAAATCCTAACTATATTTAGTTTAACACAGTGACTCATTCACCCATGCATAAATACTTATGTTGACTCAGATTCATAAACTACGTGCGCCCGTCTACGCTCTTGTTTTGGCGTGATGACGGGAGAGCGCTTGCATCACGCATGTGCCTTGTGCGTAAGAGTCCAGTGGAGGCTTTGTGCAAGTGCTAAACCAGAAAATCTCTGTTTGACACCTCACTGCATCGAACAACAGGTTGAGCCGAGGTGTGCTAACCCTGGGAAAGAGAGCAGGAAGGCAGCCAGTCAGACTGGTAGAGTCAGCTGAGAAAACGCTCTCAGAGGAAGTGAGTGGCTACTGTATGTGAGGATTGTGATGATACACAAGAACTAAGGCTGGTTTTCTCAGACACACAAACTGTGATGGGCCCTTTAAATGCTGAAAGTAAACAAATGTGTATTTCATGGCTCATGGCTGACACAGAGATAGAGGAAACTGTGCAAACTTGACAAACAGACAGCTGTCTCTCCTAGAGAGTTTGGGTGGAGCAGGCTGAAATGTGTTCCTGCGTAGGGAACGAGTTTCGATGAATTGCTTTGTGAGCCTGAATTGAGGATCGGATTGTTTGGCCGGTTTTCTTCTTTGGGATTATTAAACAGTAAGTACAGTAGTAGAAACTCGGCTCTGATTTTGTGCTGCAGACGTGAACTATGAAACTGTCAGGAATGCAGAAAGGAATCTGACAGTTACCGGACCTCTTATTGGCATTTTTATCCAACAATTAGTTTTATGTTTTGACAGACAGTGAACCCAGAGGCTTAAAAATGCAGCTCAGCACACACACACACACACACACACACACACACACACACACACACACACACACACACACACACACACACACACACACACACACACACACACACACACGGAGGACATGGAGGTTATTTGTAACCCTTCTACGTCCTCCTCGTAGGATCAGTTTTTCCCAAAAATCAAATAAATTTAAAGGCACTTTATTGGTGGCATAACCTTTGATCCAAGACCGCACCTCTGGAAACCTTGGATAACCTTGAAGATGCGTCATACTACGATTTTAGGAGTGCTAATAGTTCCTTGAAGATATACAGTATAACCTTGGTGACTTCTATTAACTACAGAGTCCTGATCAGTCATGTCAACTTTTTAAAACTATTTCAACAAATTACACATCTTCAACAGTATCATTACTCTTATTACTCTTAATGACATTGACTTCATTTGTATCACAGTTAAGGGCAAGAAAATTTGGTACATCAAGCTCTGCAAGAACCAAACAAACACTTGCTGGTACCTTAAACCGCAGGGTAAATATGAACTAAATTAGTGTTTTTCAATTCAAGTCTTACCCTGTTGATTTCTTATTGCTCTGCATATTATTGTGTATTCAAAAAAAAAACACAGAAGGGGTTTGTGGCTTGACAGGCACAATTTCCATTGGGGTTCAAGCTATATTTTTGTAGCAGGAGGGATAGACAGCTAGGCAAATGAATTTTCACTGTGCTTTGACATCTCATTAAGTTATTTTAAAGTTAGATAAAACACATTTCCAAAGGTTCTTGACAACCTGGCATGTTCTTTTGTTCCAGAACGCCATGAGCTAAAAAGTGCAGCTATCACAAAGAGTCACAGATAGTGGAGCAGAACTTTGTTTTTTTAGCTGCTTATTTAGCTCAGAGCTGCACCATGTTTTCTTAACTCGTGACTGCAGCTTTTATGCTCTGTTACATTACACTGTGTAGCAGCCTTTTGCTTTATACTTCAGTTTTCAGAGCTAAAACAAATGGATATTAAGGTTGGACTGATCTTCACTCACAATTCCTGAATAGAGAGGCACTGTAAACGGATTGTATGAGAAAGGCCAGCTGGTAAACTCCAGTATTTTGTCTTGTTAAACTTACATGAGCCCTTAAAATGAGGAAGCAGCATTGCAGTAGGAAAAGTGCTGTAGAACCAAGCAGATGCATCTGCTGTTTGACCACTAGATGGAGCCAGAATTAACTCTTGATCATTTGAGGTTTACCTTTTTTTGTAATGGGTGCTTTAAATGTTGGCTGCCCTACAGAAAGTAAACAATTGTGTGTTTCAAGGCTGATGACTAACATAGAAATAGAAGGAATTGTGAAAACCTGATGAGTAAACAACTGCCTCTTCCAGAGAGTTTGGGTGGAGCAGACTGAAATGTGTTCCTGCGAAGCGAAAGAGTTTCGATGAATTGCTTTGTGAGTCTGATTTGAAGATTAGATTGTTTGTCTAGTTTTCTTATCTTCAAAAACTTAACTCTGATTATAATAATAACTCATTAAAGTTTGGTTGTTTGCTGTCAGGGCAGGGACACAGTAAGTGTACATGTACCTGTCCATTTGAAAGGCCTTAGAGAATAGCACACAGCCAACTTCTTGGGTCATTTGAGTGTGGACACTTACCTACCTTAAAAGAGAGAATCTGGACTTCACTGACCCATTTCAAAGCACATTCATATGAACAAGAACTGGAAAACATTATTGTAAGGATGCCTAGCCCATGGTCACACATTAAAAAATTGAAGGTCCACACGAATGATCATTTCGACAAGCTTTACTGGTTGCAGATCTGGGTTACATCCTCATCATGCCACAAGTGTAATGAAGCGTGACAAAGTGTAACAAAGATTGGTCTGAGACCGTTCAAGTATATATAGCTGTCCACATTTCTAAACATACTGCTGACATTTAGTTGACTCTAAGAAAAATCCATGTACGGTAAGAACAAAGGACAACATATTTTAAGGAGGTTTAGGTGAACATATGGAGGGTCCATAGAAGGAAATACCATGACAGAACATATTTTGGGGACCTGTGTGATGTTGGGTATAAGGTCATGACATGGCATGGGTATAAGGTCCTTGTTGAGGATGATTGTCGGAGGCCCCCGGCTCCAGCAATCTAACACTGAAGTATCTGAGGTATTTAAGAGACACAGCTCCACCACTCTAAAGGCTACTATGACTGGCTAAAGAAACTCATCCTAACAATTATATAGACCACCAAGCTAATGCTCTCTCTGTCTGATGTTCACGCTGTATGGAGTCTGGTCTCCTGGCTTTTTGTCAGGTGAAAAGCTCAAAGATGGTTCCATCTTTGAGGTCAACATGGTCAGCCACAGTCAACATGGCTGCCATGCTGACCAGCAGCCTGCCATGTTGAAGCTGCTGGTCAATATGGCAGCCTGTACTTCCTTCATTAGACCCTCTCTGTGAGTAGCTGATGGTTGATGTAGGTCTCTTGTAGTTTGACTTCTTCTAAGGAGTTCTGGGTCTTCACCTTATCCTCTGTCTTAAACCTCTCCATGACCCTGCATGACAGCAGGTTTCCAGACATCATGGTACGGTCTTTATTGTCATTGCACTGTGCACAACGAAATTGCATTTACAGATGGGGAAAGTACACACAAGAGGGAGGGAGGGGAGTAGGTAAAAAAAAGAGACTCTCATTAATATGAGTGCAGTGACAAAAAATATATATATCATATCAAAAATGAGGAAGGTCCTCATCCACAGAGACACCAGGGTCTTTTCTGAGGGTCTCCATGGTTGCTGCACTCATGTGGAGACAGAGTGCCAGTAGTTGTTGCTGGTCCAGATGAGCCCAAGTGAAGCTCCTTAAATGGTTCAGCTTCAGCAGCTGCTGGACCAGCAGGTCCTCAACCGGGTCAGTTCTTACAGTTACCATAGCTGATACAGAGAGGCTCGAAATATCTTATTTCACAGAGGAAGTGTTGAAGCTCCAAACCAGAGTCCATGATCCCAACAAGTAAACGTACAAGGAGCAGTAACAAGGAGAAGATGGTGACTGAGTGGATCCCAGAGAAATTTGCAAGATGCAAAAGTTAAAAACACGGTTGAAATGAAAAAACAGGCACAGTCAGAAGTGGTTTGCTTGTAGAGTGGCTCTATGCAAAAATTAAAGTGAGATTTGACTCCAGCTATTGCAAAGTTGTGTTATTTTTACAATCTTTTATTTTCTGTTCTATTCTCAAATTCTGCTCTACTCATTTCTATTCTATTCTATTCTATTTGCATTATCTTTATTATTGTGTTTTATACTACTTTATTCTGAAATTCTTTTTTATTCTATTCTCACATTCCATTCTATTCCATTCTATTCTATTTTATTTTATTCCATTCCCAATTCTATTCTTTTCTATTCTTTTTTCAAATCCTGTTCTATTCTACACTGTGTTCTATTTCCACATTGTGTTTTATTTTCACTTTCTGTTCCGTGTTTACATTCTATTCTATTCTGTTCTTTTCTACTTCTATACTACTTCGCTTAGTTTGATTTGTTAATAATTTTACGAATTGAATCTTTTTGTTAACCCTCTAGTTTAGTGTTGGAAAAAGAACTGCTCTGTCTCTGTGATCCAAAAAGAAAATGGACTTGAACATGCTAAAGCTCCCATGATGAACTTTCTGTTCTTGGTTAATTTTGGTGAATCATTCTTTCATTAAATACTCTGAATTTTGTTTAATTGGATGTCTCAGCTGAGCTCTCCCTCTCTAGTAAGCCAACTGACTGCTCCACAGCAGACAGACGTCAAAGAGATTAATATGGCTCCAGTGGCTGAGGCTTTGCCCAGCGTCACCTCATGTCCTCTCTTAAAACTTATTACTGATAAATCAACAAAGAAAGTTTAAACCCGCTTTGGGTGTGTGCTTGATATTCAAGTTCTTCCTCGTCATCGACTCAGAATGCTGTGAAAGTACTTAGTGAACAATTAAGTGAACGAGGTGACATTTTAATGACAAAATATGCTTTGATGGATAAACTCTTGCACGAATGTCTATAGCCAATAGCTTATAGCCAGATATATTAATATGTGTATGTATACGTATTTCCCTTTTGGATAAATAAAGCTCTTCTTGTACTGTATAACATGCTGATGAATAAAGATTAATCAAAGCAGAAAAAAATCTTCATTATTCAGAGACAGTCCGTTTTCTTTGTACAGTTATTATTCAAATATCACTTGGATATGCATTTTATTTTATTCAGTAGTTTTTTATACTTGTAGAAAATGTTGTATTCTTCCTGTAGATTTAGATCATTTCATAATGCAGTTAAAATTTGGGTCGATTTAAGTGTAAATTGCAGGGAAGTCGATTGTCTAAAAGAGGGCGCTACTGAAAGAGCTTTGCTAACAAGCACCGTTTGCAGTAGAAGAAGAAAAAGACACGAGCTACACTTTTTAAATGACAGAAGAAGACGGACTGTAGTGTCATGTAATCATAACAGGTATCAAGGTTATTCTGAAGATTCTGAGGGAAATTATGACCAACTTTTGACCTTTATCATCATTTACCGGTAAGTAAAAGAGCTCACAGTCTGTGGTTTTGAATAAGCTAAAGTGTTTGTTACATAAGCAGCCAGTGACACCCCAACACTAACGAGCTAGCAGCTGTCGCTAACGTGAGCTAACTGACAGCTGCGTGACGGAGGTCACACCAAGCTCTGTTTAAAATTATCCGCATTGGACACAAAGCTTTTATTTTGTCATTTGTATCATTGGAAAGGAAGTGTCGTGTTTTGTCACCGTCCGGCTGGTCTATGAAAAATAGTACGGCGTGTACCATGGTGCTTTTATTGTAACAGTGAGGTCTTGAGGCGTGTTTTATGATGTAACCTGGTGGCTTTCACCTGACATGAATGAGGAGGAATACCAGATAGTTCTGTCAGTGGGGTTCAGTGTGGTTCATTTCACTGAGATGATGAATCTGCTAATAGTTATATAGACAGAAAATTAAAAGCAAAAATAAATAAAAAACTGAGAAATAATCAACTCCATATTCCCACATAATAGAAACTAATGCTGCATGTTTTCTTCTCTCCTCTGGTCAGTCCAGGTCACAATGAGTGTCCCCTGTGTTTTGTCCTCTGCTGCCCGAAACCTAAGCCTCCAGTGTCCTGTGGCAGGTCTTCTCTGCAGTCGGCTCCTGGGCTCCTGCTCAGGATCAGGGTGAGTTTTACCCGCTGCTGTATCCCCTTAAGTCTCTGTAAGCCATCACTTGACCCGCTTGCAGTGCCTCTGTTGCTTTATTTGCCACACCTTTACACACATTTCTGGCTATTTTCAAGTCACATCTTATGTATATACTGCCTGAGTTTATAAGAATAAAGAGCATCATAGCCACCTCAGTAAAACCAAATGTTAGAAATCAAGCTCCTGTCAAGCTTGGTCTGAGGTCTAAAGCCAAAAAATGCACTGAATTGTGTCTTCCCTTGCTCTAGCTTGCATACAACTGACTTTCCTGCTCTTCTTTTTGTGTTTGTGGTGTCAGGGCAGACAATAACAGCTGCTAAGAAATAATTGCAACAACCAAAGGTTTATGTGTATTTTGAAAACTAGTTTTGGAAAGATAAGTTTTAGTTATTATTGGTTAGATCGACTTCATGGTTCTTTTAACATTTTTAAACACAAAATCTCCACTTTACCTTCTGCACTGAACAATTACATATAGTGCTTGTGTTCATGCATTTGTTACCACATACAGTAGAATGGATGAATTTTTGAACTCCATCAATAAACTGTGTTTGATTCTGGTTTATTGGGTCAGCAGAAGAAGTGTAAGTGGCCAACAAACCCAAAATTAAATCACATAAAACCAAAACAATATGCGTAGCAAAACACAGCATGGTGGGAATCACGGCTTGGGTGCACTGGCCCTTTAAATTTCCTCATGCTCGCCCTGAGGACAAAGTCTGCTTACTGTTTTCCTGTATTGTTGTAACAGAACTCTGCTGTGTTGCTTTTCTCTTGCTCCACAAAAGACTATCTGAAATTTGAAAGGCTTCTTTTTTTGAACAGGAGGAGTATGTCCTCTACACGGCAGATGGACCATCTTGAAAGAACAGCAAACAACTCCAGACAAAATGTAAGAATGAGTCCTCTTGTCATCTCTTCATGCTGACAGAATCATTCAGTGATGGTCCATCTTGTGATTATGAAACAGCTGATGGCGTGTGTTCTCTCCCTTTGTGTACTTATGTGTTTTTGTGTATTTATGTGTCTGATTGGGGACCGAACACAGGCTCTGTATCCAGCCCAAGTGTGCGGCATTGAGAATGAATCTGAGACGGTGAAGCGCTTGAGGTTAGCGGTTCATCCAGACTTCAGCTTCAAGGCTGGACAGTGGTGAGTAGACGGCTTACTTCACTCTGTCACCCTTTCAGGTTGGAGCTTTACACGTTTGTTTGGATAGGACTTTTAACTCTTTGAAACATGAACCTCTTCTCTTTAGGGAAAGCCTCTGTCTTGCCACCATGTGACCTTCATTGGTCCGAAACAGAAAGTGTGATCATTACACTTTCCTCATGTGAAATAAATAAGCAGAACCTTGCGTGTCCCAGCCTCTGTCAGAGGTTGCTTTATAAGAGATCCCTACAGCTCATTCCTCTTTGCTGTAGTGCTCACAGTCACCACAAGAGGGTGGCATTGTTTTGTCTTGTTATCTGTTAGTTTTCTTTTTCCAGAAACATGTAAAGTGAGCAAATTGAATAATAAAATCACATTCAACATGTTTTTGTGGAAAAAATGTGTGCTATAAGAGGGTTTAAATTAGAAATCTGGCAGAACTTTTTATTTAAACTTGACAAAAAAGTAAACATAATAAAAAATAAATTAAAAAAAGTAAAGATTTTGATAACTTCTTCACAGAGATGGGAAAATGTGGAGTCACCAAGTCATCTCCATGCCATGTATTTGTTCTGCTCGGTTACTGAACCAGGTGCCTTCACTTATGAGCTCACAGTCCTGGCTGCTCATTGGAAGCAGCTGGTTCAGTGACAGAGCAGAACAAATACATGGCATGGAGATGACACAATTCCCACCTCTGCTTCTTCATTCATATAATTACATATTTGCCCACAACTTTGGCTTGAAACAGAGCCTGTTGCACTACTGTTCACACATAAAATCTTTGCAACAAATCAAAAAAAACTGTCAACCTCGCCAAGCACACGGAAAGAGTTAGATGCTTCCTAGACTGTGTTGTAGGAGGAACAACATTTCTGTGTATCAGGTCTGAAGCAGGTATTAGGAGCGTTTGATGTACATTGTTTGGTGCTATTAGCGTCTGGAATCCATTTCATTGTGAGCTTCCTTCCTGCGTCTTGTTTTCTCTGGCGCTGAACTTCATAATAATTTGAAGCAAACTTCTAGAGGCTCTTTTTTCCCATCACAACAGAAAGTAAAGTTTTTCTCTGATGAAAGCACAGCTTTTTTCTGAGTCAGTGTCTATCAAACAGTGTTGCCAATGTTAATTAGTGTTCCTTGCACATGCGGTATACGTACATGAGCCCATACTGTAGGTGGGCGGTGGTGCGATTAAAAAAAACGGCAGCCAGTTGCCCCGTGGCGGCTGATAATGAATGTAAATAGATGGAAATCCTGGAGTTTCAGTGTTTCTGAGAGAAAAGGACTGTGAAGTTGTTGGTCGCCAGGTGGGGAGAGGAGGAGGAAAGAAAAGGAGGAGGTAGGTGGGTGGAACATATGTGTGCGTCTTCACAGCAGATCCATATTTATGATGCCTGTGAGGGCTGCGCAGCCAGTGTCTCTCTCTGGTGTAACAGTGGGTCATTGTGTTGGTGGAACATGAGACCAACTGTTTAGCATTGCTGTTTCCCTCTGAGGGGGCTCTGCCTTGTTTGCTGACGGACAGATGCGACCATGTTGGATGTAGACGAGGGACACCACGCGTTGTTTAAACATAGCTGCAGGAAAAGTTTCCATCTGGTTCACTTTTGTTCGACTCTGTTTCTGGAATGGGCTGCCCTCTTCACTGAGGTCAAAGGGCACCATGCTGCCTTTATTCACACTTTGACCCTCAGAGCTGCATGTTTTTTTTACTTCTTTTGAATTAACTGTTGTTTGAGAATCTGCAAAGTCAGCTATAATTCAAACAGGAGAAACCAAAGCATGTAAAGTGTTCGTATTCTGTCACTTAAGAGCAGGAATACATGTGTTTGACATTTGGAGTAATTACAGAAAATCACGTTAAACATCCCTGTGGTGTATAAAGTACAGGAAAGACGGTTTGAATAATTCATGAGGAACTTGTGTTTTGTGTTTTTGTGTGCAGGGTGGATTTCTTCATCCCTGGTGTAGAGACGGTCGGAGGTTTCTCCATGTGCTCCAGTCCAGGTCTGCTTCAGAGGGAAGGTGTTGTTGAACTGGCTGTCAAATACACCAAACACCCTCCAGCGCACTGGGTCCACACCACGGTGAGTGGGGCAGTCAGATTTGGCCAATATGAAAACACTTAAGAAACACACAATGGCCTTTACCTCGTTACTTATTAGCATAAAATCAGCAGTATATTGGCATCTCTTTGGCTCTTTGGGAACTTATTGATTATTTAATGTGGGGACAACACACAGACAAAAACAGTAACACAAAGTGATGCATTTTAAACTTTGAAACCTCAAGTTAGGTGAGAAATCTTTATTCAGCAGTCACTCTGACCCTTTCATTATTGAGTCTTAAAATCCAAAATCTGTGTTATATTCCACATCAATAGTTTCTTCCCAGATGTGCCATGGATACTTATGCACCCTCACCATCATGGACTTTTGAACTGTACACTTAGACCAAATCTGATTGGCTTTTTCCTTTTTAGCCCGGAGAAGTCAGTGTCCATAATTTCCAAACAGAATTTCACATTTCTGAACAAAGGATTTCTGCTTCACCTCAGCTCACCTTAGATAAGCCTGGGCCCGTGTTCATATATGGTCTTTTCTTTGCCTTTTACAGTTTAACATTTATTTTTCAATGTAGCACAAACTGTTTTTACAGACAGTGGTTTTTACAAGAAGTTCTCAGCTCATGCAGTGATTCCCACTACAGAGTCGTGTCTGGTTTTAATGCAGTGCTGCCTGAGGGCCCGTAGATCACTGCTATCCACTATCTGGATACTCATCCTCCCTTAATTGAGCCCTATTAATACCTAATATTTATAAGTGAGACGGTGTTATTTGAACACAGATTGAATAAGTTTAAAACACTTAACACTGATTTTTTTTTTTTTTCCAAACTGGGTCTTTTCCTAAGTCTGAACTTGACTGAGCCCTTTGTAGATCATACATTTATAATTGATAAGCACCTCTCAAGCTAAATCTAAAGTAAAATATACTGATATCAACACAAGAAGGCAAGTAAACACAAGTATTATATTCAGCAAACCACCGAACGTTGAGTAACGTAACGTAACGTAACGTAACGTCTCCAGTGGGTTGGGCGATTCCAAAATGGTGAAAATAAGGGGGGTGTTCTAAAACAGGCTGTTACCTATGAACGGGGGTTCTCTAAAAACATCTTCATTAGCACTTGGTACATTCCTCCTGAGGAAATTAACCCATAGACTGTATATAGAATGGACAGAGTCTGCCTCCTTGCTGGGTGAAGCCACTCCGAGAACAGCACCCTCTGTTGGCAGGCTGCAGTATAGGTCATAAATCCCGCCTCTGCCAGTAAACCCTACATAGCTGTGGACAAACTTTAGAAATTAATTACACAGAATATTAATTTTTTTCCCCCTGCTTGCGATTTTGACATGTAGTTATTGTAAGATTGGTTTGTGCTCAACTGCTCTTTTTTTCTGTGCAGCTTTGTTTAAAAAAGTTATTAGTCTCAAGTTTTCTATGATTGACACTTGATACAGCCTATGGACGTACAAGGATTGCGTAGCTCACCCGGGGGATACGCTGTTTTAGCCAAGCGTCATCACAGCGACTCTCCTGTTGAATGCGTACAATACTACTGCGCAATGTTGGTTTCAGGAAATGGAGAAAAAAATGCAAAATTACAGAGACCTTTTGGCTTCAAATCTGTATACTGGCGGAAGGCGGAACCAAGTTGTCCATAGTATACACAGTCTATGAATTAACCATAGACTGTAAATTGACGCAGAAAAAAAATCGAGTTGACCAATCAGAATTTTGCTCGATTCAGCGCGTATCAACCACTAAGTTGAGCCGTCGACAAGGACTTTACAGACCTCGTAATTTGCATGGCTTCTCATTATAGTGCCTCCTCTCAGTAACGCTGTTTCTTTCCAAAGTATATTAAGACTATAATTCATAGACAAAAAATTCCTTCTACTTTTGATAAGCAGTCATTAGAAAGTTTGGTCTCACCAACAGCCAAGAAGTTGTAGATTATAGTTGCACAGAAATTACCAAGTGCTTTAAAATGCTCCCACAAGAGCCAACAAAGCTGCTAAGAGCCGCAAATATACAATAACACACTGGCTCATATACCTCCATTATAAAGTGATGTCACCTTTTCTCATATGGAGAAGTCCTGAAAATGTCGAGAGCGCCAAGATTTCCCAAAACTACAGTGAAAGTCACTTGGAGAGATTGCTGCCGAAGAGCAGGAGTATTAAGGAATCCTGTGGTTTTAGCTTTGCTGCTATAAGATAAAACGCTAAAAACGAGTGAAAATAATCAGGGTTCTTCAATTCAAAAAGACGCTCCTCGAAGAAAGATAAAAAAAGACGTTGAATGGTGTCAGTCTCAGCTTTGCTTTCTTCATCATAAAGGTATTAAGTCCAAACGAGTCCCACTGAAAGTTCTTCATGCACAGAATTGTGTTTTTCCTACAATGAGTCTCCTCGTTTTTATTTAATCCAGTGTGTGCGAGTCGTGGTGTAAAATCCACAATGTTTCCTTTCTGCTTACCTTTCCCGTCCATTTCTGTACTCGGCGTGTTTGTTTGCAGCTTCTGTGTTTGATGATGGGCCCTAATAAATAGCTTTGAGCTGGTGCGCTGTGTGTAAATAAGTATCAGAAAGCGCTGTGATGTGTTTGAGTGTTCAGACTTTTACAGCTCTGTGCTCGGGGAACGTTTGATGATGCATGTTTGATATTTGCGCTCCGACTCCTCTCCGCGAGCAGGAATAGCGCAGGGACCATGACAGCAGATTAAGAGTGCGAGCATTGTTATTATGTGTATGTGAGCTCACTTGTGCACAAAAGCAGATGCAGGCATATTTGCAGCTTCTTATGACTTCAAAAGACCTTCTCTGCCCAGCTCGTGAAATCACTTCCCCCTGTAGCACAGCAAAGGTTTGTTGTGTTTATGCATGTGGATCTAAAAGTGGCTTTTTACTGTTTCCCGGGGCTGTGGCAAAGTTCACGAGATGCTGTATTTTTCTTGGAATTTATTTCCTATTTCAAATTTGTTTCAGCTGCCAAGTATTTTGGAGCAAAAAAGGCTCAATATGCCATCTGATTTTGCCACTTTTTTTGTTTCTTTTCCCCACTCTCTCTCTCTTTTCCCTCCCTTCTTCTCCCCAGTGTACAGTCGGCTCTCAGGTGGCGATGCGTGTCGGTGGAGACTTCTACTTCGACCCCTCGCCCTCCGACCCGGCTGTGGATCTGCTGCTGTTAGCTGGCGGCGTTGGGATCAACCCCTTGTACTCCATCCTGCTGCACACCACGGATCTGCTGCATCTCAACCAGGCATCTGGAGGGCGTGACTACAACATAGGCTCCGCCCACATCTGCTACAGTGCCAAGAACACACAGGAACTGCTCTTTAAGGTGCGGCATTACATTCGATCTGTAAAGAAACTTAAAACACTGGTTTATTTTATCAAGAAGGTCTTTGCTGCGAATGTCTGACAGCCGACCTTCTGTGTTCCCAGAGCTCCATCATTGAGGCGTGTCGGGAGTTCCCTGACAAGTTCTCCTGTGACCTCCACGTCACGCAACAGAGCACAGATGTTGACCCACACCTCCAGCCATTCCTCAACCGTAAGTAAAGACCATTCGCACACACACACACACACACACTCCTACACACTCTTCTTTGCCAAGTAGAAACTTCAGTAGTAGAGCTGAACAGACTCTGTAAAAGCTGCAGCTGGGTGACTCAGAGGCTGCAGAATTCATTGACTTCTCATGTGTCTCAAGGTGGACGAGTCACAAGGGAGGAGCTGCGGGTTCACGTGGACCCACAGAGGACTTTGTGCTTCCTGTGCGGCCCGCCGCCGATGATCGAAGCACTTTCAAAAACCCTCACAGACCTCGGCCTTCCAAAAGACAGAATCCTCTTTGAGAAATGGTGGTAGGACCCGAGGACCCTGCGGAGAACCCCTCCTGATCAGTGCCCCGTTTCCTGCCTGCAGGGAAGTTCGGAGGTGTGTGGCGAATTGAGAGAAAGTGGAATATTGAGGAAAGTCACCCTGCGATCATGCTGCTGCAACCTGTGCCTGATCTGTGATGGAGCGCCGGGACCGCCCACTCTCTATCCAGCAGCTGACTCACAAAGACAACAGAGAGGATTTTTATTCCTCCAGATCCGTGAAGAAGACTGAACAGACTGTAAAATCTCAACTTTGGCATGATATTTTTCAGCTTCCTGCCTCTATGAATATGGCAACGATTGTGAAAGACCATGTGACTGAGTTTGTGGGGCATCATCAAATCTGGTCTCATTGGTAGCTTTTATGACTGCCTGAGGACTTGCTGGAGTCGAGTCACGGGTGATGTTCAGTTTCACCCCAAACACGTCGACATTTTAAGTAGCTACTTCTTCCAGTTACAATTTGCCGTTTCTGTGAAGATAATCACTTTGTGCAGTGAGTCAGATAAGGAGATCATGAGCATTCTGTAGCTGTTAGTGCAGCTTAAAACAAGGACAGAGATGCATACATAACTAAGTAACAGGCTACATAATTAACTATCAAACTACCAGGAATTAAAGGTAAATCCTCCACATAATGCAACACCTCGTACAATGTGTTCCTTTTTTAGTTTTAGGCAAAATTGTTTCGTCAACCAGTTTTGCAAAGAGAGCAACAGACGGTGACACACTAGAACATGCAGCTTCCAAATGTTTCAAGTCTGGGCTGCCGACCACTAGAGGAGGTGAAGCTGAGGGTTCTTTCTTTGTAGATTCACTATCAGCCTGATGTGGATCTGCTAGTTCTTTTATGCAATTGCCCCTGTTTTGCTGCTGTAGAACAAGTTTGTGCATTAATTTTATTGAGCCCTCCATCATAACTCCCGCCTCCCCCCATACACACTGGTGTTACCCCCCTATTAGGGAATTCCTGACTGAGTTTTCTACCTCGTCTCTGCCAGTCTGTCATATATATTTCCATTAGTTCCACCATCAGCTCTGTATTTTGTATTTCTCTGTCAGTGTCTAGTTTGAGTGTCTTAACGTTCTCCTGCATTTCCCCACCGCTTTCTCCCTTTTTTACCCACAGTAAAAAACTGGATCAGTCAGACATCTTATCACAGAGTCTTGCTGCATTTGAGTAACCTCGGAAGTCAGATGTCGTAGCTGGGAATGACGTCACACCCAAGTGTGAAAAAAGCAAAATCGGAGGCGTAAACAAGATGGCTACATCGAAAAAAAAGGATGCTAAAATAACAAGCGCTAAAATAACTTTCGTAGATGTAGCCATCTTGATTCCTCCTCTGATTTTGCTTTTTCTGACTTGGTAACTGAAACTCTGGTAACTCAGGTGTGACGTCATTCCGACATCTGACTTCCAAGATAACTCGAACGCAGCATCTGTGACTTAAGCTGTTACCATAGCGATGGTCTGCTATTGAGATGTAAATACTGTTGCTGTGGAATATTGACAAATCAGAATCAAGTATTAAACACAGCTATGAAATTACAAAATATTACTTGTTAAATAAACTGTGAGGCAGATTTCCTAAACTCTTTTTATCTCACTCTTTGCAAGACACAGAAAAGTGAATTTCAAAAATGCCAACTGTTGCTTTAAAGTCTCTTGTGGTATAGAGGATCAGGCCAGACAATTGTAACCTGTACTGTTAATTTACACTTTTAATAAGTGTTTAAAGTGGCTTATTTTCTTTTGACAAAGTACCTCAGTTATTTTATTACACTTTTTTTAAGAAAGTGTTTTACTGTGAGAGTGCAAACTTAATAAAATAGCTCTGATATTTATTAGCAGAAGTGAAGGTTGGAAACAGTTTGACTGAGTTACTGTCTGTAATGTTTTTCATTTTATTCACATGCAAACTTCTCAAGCTGTATATTTTTAGAATCAGACGCTTCTCATCCTCCCACTTCTTGGCCAGCTTCCCCGCCTGGTTTACCCACTCTGATTGTTATGCATACAGTGCCCATCTCAATGCACATTTAACTCAATCACACCTATTAACACGGTGAAGTGAGTATCCCATGGTGCACTGTAATGGAACCTCCAGGTGGTCTCTGATTGGCTCAGATCACTGAACATCCCTCGGAGATGGGAGCGAGTTTCTTGTTGTCATCTATCAGTGGGGGGGTCGCGCTCTTGAGACTCATTTTCGAGTTGTTTCTGCATTTCTTTCTCGTGTGAGGAAATAAAGGAAATTGAGTCGATCTGTTTCGGAACACTTTATTGACCTCTGCTTTTATATAAAGACACACGTGTCACACTACTTACACACCACTGAGCTCGTCCAGGAAATAAGTCATAAAAAGTCAATTTCTAATTTACACATTTTTAAGGAGAAAACCCTTTACAAGCGAGCTCCAGCAAATTATTAAGAGTTTTGTATTATTTTCTATTTATTTCTCCAGGATCTTACCAAACACATTTTTGCCGTTTCCCCAGCGTTGAATAAAAAATTAATAACAGCATCATGTTCTCCTGGAGGCGGTGGTGAAGCTGCTCTAGATAATCACCGATCTTGTTGTTTCCTTTGGCGAGAAACTGAAGATATGGTGCCTGAAAAATATAACCTTTGTGTGCATGACATTTCTTACTGAAAATGAACTTTATTTTTTTATGCAAAAAGCATCAAAAACGCAAATCATTTTACCTCCATGTGGAATCCTTTAAGTTGTGTTGTTTGGGTTTTTTCTTTAATCAGCTGATACTGACATATGTATGTGGTGTTTCTGATCAGTATCAGTGTATAAACTCCATTTGGTAAAAGCAGATGCATCATTCAGGCTCAAGTACATGCAAACATGATTTTTTTGACGGGTCCCTTCTTGTTTCTTTCTTAAATAACATACTGAACAAATGAACTTACAGCATACCCAAAGGGGTCAGCTCTCCCTTTTTAACAGTCATATGATAGCACAAGAAAGTAGTAAAGTACAGCAACTGGAAATCATTGTTAAGGCTTGAACAGGAGACTTGCTCTAAAGGTAAGCCATTTAAACATTCAATCCAAACACAGTCCTATCAAAAGTTTTATTCCAGAAATCCATGATAGCATTTCTTTTATTTAAAACTATTTTCAATTGTGAGAAATATAATAAGAGTTGTTCACAACAACATTCTTACTGGTGGAAACTGTGGAATCTGAGGCTATTTCTTACCAATACAAATCAATTCAGGATATCTTCTAATACATTAAAAGTATAAGTGGCCATTTTAACATCATAACAGCTAGACTGGAGAAGGATACTGGTAATTCAAGTCCTTCCTAGTAGAAAGTTAAAATATCCACAATGTTTATCTCCCAACAGAATCAACAATTTACACTGCAATCAAATTACTTTCTCTCCCAGCTCAGATAACTCTGCAAGTGTCTGTTTAAAAATTTAATTTCTAATGTCTTCTGAACAATTGTTTCATTTAAGTGTTTTATAAAATTCGAAATACAATGTGGCAGGTAGGAAATCACTACAGATATAAATTTGTGTTACTGCGACATGCAAAATGCTGTTTTATTTGTAGGCCTTTCGAGAGAGCTGTAATTAATTGTGTACTTTCAGATATCCAAAAATTGAGGGTTTTACATTTTTGGAGCTTATTTTGAGGATAAACAACAAAAAAGAAGAATTCACACAACATTAATTAACACTAATTCCCTCAACATCTCCTCACTTGTGTAACTGTGTGTTTAAGTGTGTGTGGTGTGTTTTCTCTGGGTGAGCTAATTAAGCTAACTGTCACCTGGAGAATCCTGATTGGTGCGGCATTGTAGGCCTCCCTCCAATCAGAGCAGGTCATCTACCTCTATGGTAGCTCTATGGTAGTCTACGTCCACATTCATCTTTAAGATTGTACATTAGTTCCCTAGAATTAGAGATATTAGTTAATTTATTTGTTGTGTTTTGTTGGCTGGTTCAAAAAGCCTAGTGAAAGGTGGATGGTTAAAGGTAATGGTCGGAAACGGTAGCGCCTCTAAGCGATTGGATAGACCTACAACCAATCAGATTAATACAGTGACGTAGAGCAACATAAGCGTAAACGTGGGAAAATAACGTCTTACCAAATACCAATGAGCGCTGTGTACACAGTTGTACCTTCTTGTACGGTTGGTGCCATACAGATCGATAATAACATTAAAAAATGCTTCATTGCCTTGATAAATGTAAGTAAATCCAGTATTCTTATAAATCAGTTGCCAGTCATTGCCATTCCAAGTCTCCAGCTTCTAATCATTCCTGCAACATCACTGTTTTTCTACAGTCTTAGTGGTTATAGGTCTGCACAATCGCACCAAAAGGTACTCAAACGGAAAGACTTCAGAAGACGATATCTGAGGTTGAAAAGTAAATACACATTAAAGGGATATTCCGGTGTAAAAATTATTTAGGGTCAAACACACCGTAATACTGAGTTAGACACCCCCTCAACAGATGAATGTTGCCAACCGCTTGCTTCTCTAGTTGTACCAACTTTAGTAACGACCGCAGGATAGCAATACACAGCGGTCTGAGGAGCCATAAACAAACCTCAACCAAAACGCCACTCTATAGCCACAAATAATGCTCAGAACAGTACCTAACTTCATCAACAGTACATATAGGGTCCCACCCATAGCACTAGCCATCAAACATCTTCATAACTTTGCCTAATTTCTTTAGCAAAGAGACTAAACACAACTCACCTACTCTATTCCAGCAGACACTTGTTTGTAGTGAGACCTCAGGCCAGTCCAATACAGACTGCTGCGGGGTGACACAGCTCAATGAAGAACAATTATGATCATTACTTCATGGAAATGCAACCAGACCGAGACGCTAAGACAGAAGAACTACTGCGTCTGCAAAATGATTCATATGATTATTACTTCAAGGAAATGATAAAGAGGGAGTGTCTAACTCGGCGTACTGGTGGTTTGACCCTAAATCAATTTTACATCAGAATATCCCTTTAATGGTCAAAGTGACGTCATTTGTTCATCCAAGAATATTATTATGGATATCTGAAATGACATGGAGGAACTGAGTTACATGTATGTGTCTGATGAATAAGCAGGCTAGCTGTTATATGTTTTAGTCTTACAAACTTTCTATTTTTGAGCTCTTACAGCCTTATATAGTTTTATTCATAACATAGATCACAGAGCAACACTGACCCTAGGCAGAGAACAGCACAATACTTTCCCTTTAGTAGGGGCTACAACCTCAGCCTTGCAAGAGTGTTAACACCTAAATCAAAACAGACCACAGCAGCTTCTGTACATGATGACTCGTTTCAGTACAGCTCTCCACAGAACAACTTCAGTTCAACAAAAAGTTTTCAAAGGCCCTTTTAGACCAAATAAGAAGTTCCTGTCGTGTTCCTGATGTGTCAACAGACTCCAGAAAACAGCTGCTGTTTGATCCGCTCCTCTGTCTTCACCTCCTCTTTGACCCCTCCTTCATCCCTCCTGCAAACATCTGTCCACCTCACAGACTTCCCCTGAGTGGATAGCAGGATCTCGTCGATGTCCGTCTCCTCTTCCTGATCTTCAACGTAAACCCTGCTTCCTGGCAGGAACGAGAGCCGCCTTTGATACCGCTCTTCCTCCTCCTCGCTCTCCTCTACGCCCTTCTGAAGGCTGTCCCTGCTCTTCCTCCTCTCTGCCTCGTCTTCCTCCTCTATTGTGTATCTCCTCCACCTGTCCATCTCCGTCTCCATCACGGGGGACCTGTCCTCTCTCTCCTCCTGCGTTTCTCCGCTTGATTTTTTCTTTGCCTTGCTGCGACCCCTGAGGTTGAGCATCTGAAACCAGATAGATGTGTTTGAGACAGTTTCGGGCTTTGTGTTGTTTCTTTTTCTTTCCATCTCTCCAGACACCTGACAAACTGCAACAAAGCATCTTTCATTGACGCCTCTCTCCTGTACACTTTCAGGTCGGCTACCTGCCTATTCTTAGACTTCTCCTAAGTGGGTTTATATTTGCTGTACATCCCATATTTAGTAACATGACTTTTTAATGACATATCCTAAAGGTACAACAGAGACGAGTGACAGATTCACAGTGGAGATGGAAGACAAAGGGGAGCAAACCTTGAAGTCTTTTCTCTTGCGCTGCAAAACAGGTCTCTGAAGGAAGAGGATCTGCTTTGTCGACAAACTCCCGTCACTGCGGAGAGAAAGAAGAAAAGCACTTTTACTACTGTTAGCTGTTATGTTATATCCTGAAGTGTCTGCACATCTCTCTTCGTATATCTAAATCCAGCGTCTTTGAGGAGTAAAAAGTGACAGGTTACAAGACTACAGCACAGCAGCGACTGTTTCTTTTTTTTTGTGTGTGTTCCCGGCTCCGACAGATTTCAAAGTGGGTTTCATGTTGAGATGAGCATACGATCATGATTTGTCAGATCTCAAACCATCTGTCCTGTGTGTCTGAGCTACACTGAAGGCTCTAATCCCCAAACAATAAGACAGACAATGCAATTAGTCCAAGCTCATTTCATATCTTATTTAAAGTGATCAAATGTAGAAAAAGAAAGAAATGAAAGGCGGATTTAGTGGTTATTTTTGGAATACATTTAAGCAGTGATCATTTTACAATCAATCAATGATTATATGGTGATAAAATAACAGAAAGTGTTGGAAAATGATCATCACAATTTCCCAAAGCCCAGATTAGTGTCTTCATATTTTTATTTACTTTTTAAACAGTTCAAATCCCCCAAAGACTTTCTATTTACAAAACGACTAAAGACAATAATCCCAGCATTTAGAAGCTGAAACATGATTTCAAAATCAAAACACTCAAAGGAACGACTAATAAATCTTGAAGCGATGTGAGTTTATATTTTAACTCTGGAGTCTCTGGTTCTTGTAGCTACCTGTTGGTCTTGACAATCGGCGTCGGTAACACACACATCAACCTCCATCCGTAAGGAGCCAGAGACTGGAGCAAAGGGACATAGTCTGCCTTCACCACAACACCCTGAGCAGCAGAGAGAGGCACAAAATCATTAAAAATACAGACGCAGTTCACGCTTTCTCCTCGTATAAGATCTGAATGGTCATATCTTAAAGAGCCCATTGTGCCCACATACTTTTATTGGAAATACAGTCCCAGATTGCATCTCTAAAAGTTTCAGAGCATGTGATAATTGGCCACCTCTTCTTTGGAGTCATCTACCAGTCAGGGTCTGGGAGGCAGGTGTCTTTCCAACTTTTTTAAAATAGACTTGAAGGTTTTCTTTTTAAGGTTAGTTTTCGCTTGAGATTGCCTTAGAGAACCCTCCCTTCTGCTGATACAGGCTTACACCCCACAGGGGGGCTTGTGCGTCATGTTCTGTCCAACAGTGCACACCCTAGCCTGCTGGGAGTGTTTGAAGTGCTGTGCAGCAGAGTGCAGCAGGAGCAGCTGAACTCATATACAGAAAACAACCTACTAATAACAGGTGACTTCACCTCTGTGTGGTTGATTTACTGCTAAAATAGTCACCATGAAGGGTGTGTGTCTACTGCTGATGTGCCTGCTATATAATAAAGTTTCATTTTCTGTTACCTACGGATAAAGTAAGCAGATAAAAGTTCTTCTGGGGTCAACATGGATCACAGATAAGCTATGAGGTTGTTCTTCTGTGTTGAGGTTACATCCATCATTATGATCTGATATTAGCTCAGGAGTCAGCATACTGTGTTTTATCTTGAAATCAATTAAATGACATATTCACTTCTCTCTGTTCAGCTTGACGGCATGGGCTCTGTTGAAAATAGATATGGGAGAAGCTTCTGGGACAGAGCTACGGTGCTCCCTGTAGAGACACGAGCATTGACTAAAACAGGCACGGATCAGCTCCAGAGTGCGCGGAGCTGACTGAACGCTGTGCACAAGCATCCTGTGGGTTCCTCCCCTGCACTCCCTGTGGAAACATGGGCATTGACTAGAACAAGAAAGGGTAACCCCTGAGGAGCATGGCACAGGGGGATGAGACACATCAAGCCCCTGTTTCTCCTTTGTATTATCATTGTGATCATTACTAATGCAAAAGCTCATATCAGACTGTCACTGGTACTATTTTAAGATCAGCTGTAGCCACATCATTATCATTACTGCGCTGTTAGTACATGCTTATACTGTTATTCATGGCATTGTACCTATCAGCCTGTATTATCCCCTGTTCTTCTTGCTGTAATTGATCGTCTCTCTCTCTTAGCCTATCCAGCTGTAGCAGATGGCAACCAACCAGTCAGTCTGGTTTAGCTCAAGTTTTCTGCCTGTATAACTGGGCGGTGTTCAACCAAAAGAGACGAATTAAATAATTTGATTGGACTCACAAAAGGAAAATAAGCACCAACACATTACGGTATGACTTCAGGTACAAATTTCAGCTCCGTCACAAGCGTGCACTACTTTCTCTCCTTTCCCCTCTTGCGTTATGTTTGACAGAAAAGAGCTTAAGTCTTCAGTCACACTGGATTTCTCACGGTGCACATCTTCCAAGAGTATTAAAAACTCGAAAAGACCCACATCAACGACGGTCCACTGCTCCACCACGATGGCGTCGTAGGAGGTTCCTGTGGTCTCCTCTGCAGAGCTCTGGAAGATGAACACACTGTCCACACACGAAACCCCATTGTCTGCAGAAAGAGGACAAATTAGAGACAGAGTCAGACAAACAGAGGAGGATATGCGTGCGTGTGTGCGTGTGTGTGTGTGGTTTAGACAAGAGTTACAGGCTCATCTCCGCTGTACAATCTCTCACTATTGATCCCCTGTTCCCTTTGCTTTAAGCCTTCTTATTCCACGGGTGACTGAGCAGTGACTTATGGAGTAAGCCGCAGACTTACGGCACATAACTCCATGAATGCCATCCAGCACCCAGCAGAGGAGCGGTGATGTACAGCAGGAGAGAATTTCTGCTTTTGTCAGGAACTAGCAGGACTCCAACAGTGAAAATTCTCAGTTCAGTTCAGTTCTCAGGCTGTTTTGATCAACTTTCTACACAAATACATGATCAAACAACTTGATCTGATGTGAAAGGGAAAACCTTTGCAGAAATAAGACAACTGGATGAAGCGTTTAGAACAGGACTTGATACTGTCACAACCTTTTCTGTGAGGACACAAGAATGAAATTCACCATGACGATTTCTGATGATGCTTGAAACTCTTGTGACTTCGATTAAAACTGGACACTTCCTGGTACATTTGCTCAATTGTTCGGCTTTTAAATGCTGAGAAATCTTCCCCTTGCGTAAGTTGAGGGCCAAAACGCTTGCATAAATGACATTCGTTCTTCGCTGTTTTCAAGGACGTACCATTCTCCTCGCTGAGGTGGAAAAACCCGTCGATGAGCTGCGCGCCGCTAGTGAAATGCTGAGTCATGTGGTCGAGCCAGTGTGTGTCCACCTCTGTGATCTGGCCCGCTTCCTTATGAACTTGCAGCGGCACCCTGAGGGAGTAAAACCTCAAAGACGTGTTCAGCTCCCCGGTGAGGTTGTACAAGGCGAAGAGCTGCATCCCTACAGGCGGGAACATGGAAGCAAAATTAACGGTTTGAAAAAAAATCATGTTGTGTGATGATGATCGTCTTATGATCCCACTACAAACAGGCAACTACTTACTACCCTGAGCTGGTGGTGACGTTGAGTCCTTCCCCTTCTCTGAACTCTTCATCCGGATATGGTTGTTGTTGTGTGTCGTCACTCTGCTCTGCCCATCTGAAAAGGCAGAGCTGCATTTCCTCTCGTGGTTTCGGTCCAGTTCTGGGGAGCTGAGCCAGCTGTCAGAGCTCGAACTCTGCCTCTCTCTCTGTATGGACGCTTTGACGTCCGGTAGGTGGCCCCTGGTCTGTCTGATCATGCCTGCAGTCTCTAGAGGGTTAGGACTCAGCTGGGTCTCCTCTTCATCTTCATCTCCTTCTGCTGGATTTTGATGTGGACACCTTTGAACTGCCTCTACGTCAGGCCTGCTGTGGATTTGAGGTTGGTCTGTTTGGTCTTTGAAAAGCTTGTTGGACTCTTCGCAGTTGGGTTCCACACTCTGGGTGGGATTTAGAGACTTGTGATCCCATGTGTGCTCTGCAGCTTCATTATCCGACTCTGGGGACTCAAAGGGAAAGTCAGGCTCTGTGACGTTATGATGCGGCTCTGTTGGATCTGTCGGGCTGGTGTTGGCACTGAAAGGGTGGCGACGTATGGGCGAGGGGCTTGAATGCAGAGATGACAAATCCTCTGGGTCCCAGTTCCCTAAGTAGCAGGGTCCTCCACCCGGCTGCTGGAGGAAACCTACAAACATCAGCCCTTGCTCTGCAACATCCTGGATCTGCAAGGTTTGATACACACACACACAACGTTAACATCCACTCACAGTGTTTTGGTCTAAATCTGAGTGACACATTAATATAAAGGAAGCCAATCACAGCACGACAAATAAATTTGCACCTTCTTTTCTACGAGTCAGACAAACAAAGCCTCATTTACACACAAACAAAGGCTGACGTACACAGAGTCGATATTCTGCAAAATAACAACCTACCTAATCATCTGCAAAGATCAAATATTCAAATGACAAAAGGAACTCATTATCTCAACGCCTCTGTGTGTGTGCAAATGTGTGTGTGTGTGTGTGTGTGTGTGTGTGTGTGTGTGTGTGTGTGTGTGTGTGCTGCTCTCTCCCGTAGGGTTCTGCTGGTTAATTGTCAGCTGATATTTGGGCTGACAGATTCAGACAGCCTCAACAGGAGAGAAATCAGATCGCAAACTACCACCAAACAATAATGAGACGCATCGTCTTCCTATTATTCACGACTTTTGACACTTCACTCATCCATACACACACACACACACACACACACACACACACACACACACACACACACACACATCATAAAAGTAAACAGCCTCTCTATCACCACCCAATAGGCTCACAAGAATCACACACTAACACACTTTTATCTGATGGTGAGTCTGGAGACAGATTGAGAGTGGGTGGGCTTGTGAGTTGCTGGAAAAATAGAAGTATAGAATTTCAAAACTCCACACACACACACACACTCAGACACACACTCACTCACACACACATAAGCCTGTCACTCTCAGCCCGGTGCTGCTCCCAGGTTCTTATCTGGAACTCTCTCTGGCAGTTTTTGATCTGATTGGTTATTCATGTCACGCTGCAGAAGCCTATCACATTATGCTCAGTGATGTGCATTTCCATCCAATCAGGTTTCCCTTTGTGCTCGATGGGTGTTCAGATGCAAATCTATTCAATAGCGCACATTTTCATTTCCCATTGTTGGACTGTTGGCGAATTCATGAGCAGAGAGGCTAAAAGTGAGTTTTACAGCACATAAAGGCCAGTCATGACGCTGTGGCCGATTGGCTATTTCAGGGTTAAACCTTCCCATACCTTCCCATAGCTCTCTGTTTCATGTGTAAATCCTCCTTTTGTTTTCCAGGTATGAAATACCAGTATGCAAATCAAGTAGTGCTTGAATTCTCCCAATCAGGTAAATTCACTAAATTTGAAATGGAAAACCTTGAATCAAATTTGCTCCGTTTGAATTAAACAGACCGCATGTCAGGACAAGATGCACCGTTAGCATATGTCACAGACAGGCAATTATCGGCATCTGTCTGTAGGCCTTTGAGCCCCTTAATGTTTCTGTCACAGTCACAGCAGCGCAGCACAAACATGAAACGCAAACATAAAAAACAACAACACACAAAGCAACAAGTAGACTGAGATAAAAACAGAGGCAGATTTAAATTCAAGAGTGCTTCATTTGTTTAGTCTTAAACTCCTGTCCTTTGATATTTTAGGAAAACAAGTATCATTATTCATATGACAGAACCAAATATTTTTACTGGTCTTGTGAAATAAACTTACAGTGCAACCTGAACAACAACGCTTTGAACGTAATGCAGAGTATCCTGTGAAATTGTTTATCTGTTGACCTTAGACAGGTTTTCAGCGATGGGGACCTTTCAGCTCTCGCAGTTTACAGCAGGATGATGCAGAACAGCTTTAACAGCTTGCGCACCTCAGGCAGTCGAGCTTTTGTGGCATGATTTATATAAAATGTCTCTAAAATTGATAAAACTGTTAGGCTCTCTTCCTTCACAGATGTCTGAATTACACATGGCAACATCTTAAGCTGTGTAACTAAACCGCCAAAGTCAAAATCCCTGGTAGATGGTAGACAGGCCGTCTCTATTATAAACTGTAGGCTCTTTCAGGGTATTAATGTAAACAGAGAGTACTCTGGATGCTCTACCAGTGGATAAAATGTAAGGAAGTGCACCCTGAGAGCCTCCCTAGTTCATAAAATGTAAACTAAATGCCCCCTGAATGTCTTTCTAGTTGATTAAATGAAGACAAAGGGCTATCTGGCAGCCCAGCTTTTTCAGGCGTCAAATGTAAACAGAATGCCCCCCGCTCGCCTTTCTTTTTCATTTAATGTAAACAGAGTTCACTGAATGCCTCTAGTAAATAGAATGTAAACAATGCCACCCTCCTCCATGCTCCTCAGGATGCTTCTCAGTGGGTTATATGTAGATAAAGTGCCCCCCAAGATGCCCCTCTAGTCAACTAAATGTAAAAAAAAAAGTGCACTCTTAGAGAATTTTTTGTGGATGAAATGTAAACAGAGAGCTTTTGTGGTTGCCTTTCAAGTGGACAATATGTAAACTATGTACCCTCTGGATGCCCTTCTATTGAACTGAATGTAAACAAAGTGCCCTCTGGTTGCCTTTTTAGTTGATTAAATGTAATTAAAGTGCACATAGGGAGCCTTTCCAGTAGATAAAATCTAAACAGAGTGCTGTCTGGTTGCATTCCCAGTTGGTTTAATTAAAAAAGTGCACCCTAAATACTCTTTCACTAGCTTAAATGTAAACAAAGGGCACTGTGCTCGGTCCTTTATACCTAAGTGCTTATTTTTTGGACAAGTTAAGTTTTACTTAGTCATCAAATTTCTAAAAAGTGGATGTGAGATCATGATTGACAGCTCTGTTGACAAATGAGGCTCCTGCAGAGGTCTGGGACAGATTACAATGGAGGAATAAACACTCACACAGGACTAATTAAAACATTCAAATTTCCATGACCGTAAGTGTCTGTTTCAAATCAACACACGTTATCTGTGTAGGAATGTGAACATCTAATCATAAAAGTTAAATTTAGACTGCCTCAGCAAACCTTGTCCTCATGTTACCTCAGTAATAATTCAAATAGAGGTGAATTCTGGACATTTTAAATTGGGTGAAGAGAGAGCAGGTACCACATCTGCACGTGCAGATCCCCAGAGTTCAGGCAGTAGAATTGGTATTCGTGGAAAAAAGATTAATCTGGTGATACTCAGAACTCCCAAACAAATTGAGTGAGGAATTTTTCTCATTTAGCTTTTCGGTGTCCTTCAGGTAGATTTATTGTTGCATATTTTCACTGGGAGGCTCTTCTGTGAAGCAATGGTAAGCCCTTTATTATGGATGTAAGAGCATTACTGTTACAGCCAGGGTGTAGTCAGATCCTATTTGATCAACCTTGGACGTTACATTGAAATAAGACGCAAGAATGAAAACAACAAGTGGAAATATTAATCTGAAGCTTCAAGCATCTGAGACTAAAGACGAATTCATTTTAAATAAATCACGATGAGCCGAGGCGGCATAGTCAGCATGACTGGATTACTTTTAAACTCACCCTCTTAACGTAGCTTTGGATCACCTCTGGATCAGCAACCTGGTGACCGGCCACACACACATCTGTCTCCAGACGATGTCTGCCACACTTCAGCTGGCTTTTCTCTGAGCTAGAGGAGAATAATGAGAAACTGTGAATGATATTCAGTATCAAGCATCAGTTGCGTGCATTCAGTCAGGTAAAGTCCAGCTCCTATAGGCCTGAAAAATGTCTGCTGCTATAATAACATTTCCCTGGACGGTTTCCTTAAGGTTAATTTCCTGTCCATTATCACCAGAGCAGGTCCCTCACAAAGTAACATCACAGTCTGAGCGTGACCCGACTCTCCCGAGCGAGACCCCACTGACATTCAGGAGCACTCATCGACCCAGAATGATCACAGCAGAAACATAATGTCAATTCTAGTATGGGTGAATCTTTCATTGAAGGCCAGCACACATTCAGCGGAGTCACAATAGTCTTATTAGTCAGAAAAAAGGACCAAATTTCCGCCTGCTCCCACTGTAAGACACAATCATAAAAGGAGTATTCAGATACGCCTCTTCAGATTTGGATTGAGGTCAGAGCGAAGGCCGCGGTAATATCTTGTGCTCCGAGGCGTGAGTGACATTCCGGCTCCTCAGATAGATTTGAAACAGTGGATCTGTCAGATTCTTTCCTTTCATTTTTAGGGTTTTTTTGATGAAAGGGGGACGGCGGTGATGGGGACATAAAAGGCAGAGTAAAGGGGACGAGGGGGGCTGCTGAGGACAAAAGAAAACGGGGGAGACGGCCATCATTGAAGTAAGCAGATGAAAGGATGTAGAGATGGTTCCTCGCTTTCAGCGCATCGTTCTCCTCTGGCGAGAGCTGGTGATGCAATCAGCCGTCTCCACGGTGACAGGTGCCAGGAAGCAGCAGGACCACTTGGCAGGAGGGGCATCAAAAGAGCAGCCCGGCACCTGCCTGTGCACTAGCATGTGTGTGTCTGTGTTTGTGTGTGAAGAGGATGCACCGTTCCTTCAACTCCAATTAAAAACAGAGCTAACAGGACACAGGAGGACGCCCGGAACTGTCAGCTCTGCAAATCAATTCCTCGAACTGCACTGGAGTGATTTTCAACAAATGGAAGTTTACATTTATAACCAGACTGTGTGAGTGAGCGGGGACCAGCTGGGGGCCTCCGTTTCTCTACCAGTAAGACACTTCATGTTTTTTCTTAGGATCTTGACTTTAAGCTCAGTCTCACTGCTGTTCATCTCTCCCTCTCTTTTTTTCATCCCTTCTCTAAACCCAGCTCAGTCTCAGCAGATGACTGTCTGACATGAGTCTGGTTCTGCTCAAGGATTCTGCCTGTTAAAGGAAGTTCTTTCTCTCCTCTGTAACTTGATAAATGATACACAGTGTTTGACTTGTGTGGTTGAGGATGGGATGGGAGTGGTTCTGATCTTACGATATGGAGCTCAATCTGTCTGTGGGACGACACTTGTTGTAAATTGGCGCTACATGAATAAAGATTGATTGATTGTCTAACTGTTTAGCCAGATAAATAACTCAAGCATGGCATGAGCCACTACACTTGATCCTAACGGTGAGAAATCAAGATGTGTACCAAATTTTGTGTCTGTTTATCAGACAGATGTTGACTTTTTACAGGACTAACAGAGATTCATCCTCTGGGAAAAACTTCATGGTCATCAAGTTAAATTTGTAGTGATAATTCATTTTGGATAAAAGTGTCAAACCTACTAATGAACACACCATCATTTCCATTTTCTATTTCCATATCCTTAGATAAGACTACAAGTTATTATGAGGAATGGGGTCCCCTTCCACGCAGGACTAATGGCTATCAATTATTTAAGACGTCTTTTCATGAAAAAAAGTGTTCACATCTTGGGAAAACTGGGGCAAAAATGAAGTACTGACATCATTTAGGACGCAAATCAGAACGATATGAAAATCCAGCATCAGACCTGCACGAACAATGGTAACAGGTCTGTGCACGCACGTAGCCTGGTTTCAATTTGAAGCAGATGTGTCAATAACTTCCATGATCAGACCTGTAAATGCAGCTCGGCTCGTATCCTGCACCAGAGCTGATAGCAGCGAGGGAAGAGAGTAAGTCTTTGTTCAAATACGGTGGCGAATATTGTGGTTTCCAGCCACCAAAGAATAACTGGGTTACAGCATACTACAGTATATTATCACGTGTAGTCAAAAGTGAAAGAATTGGGACAGTGAGCCAAAGTTAGCCACTTTTGTGGCTGACTCGGCAATTAATTTTACATCAAGTGAGGAAGGAGAGGTGTTGAGTTTTACTGGTGATAATGGCTCGCAATTGATGACACTGAAAACAGCTGCCAACTTCTAACTATTGTCTACATGTGGCATCATGAAGCATCTCATTTATCTCTAGCTTATCTTTACACACGAGTGTATTTTGTCATGTAAAGCAAGTGTGGAAACAAACAGATTATTTTGCATGTTTTAATATTCTTAGACAAAAAAAGGATTATTGTATTATGAAAAATATTATGAAAATTACCCTTTCTTGGGAGTATTTGTTATCTTTATTCCCCTTTCAAAGTGAACCAGTGACTAAACAATGTGTGACCAGAAGTGGAAATGTAGTTTTCCATTTTTAAGACAGTTTATAAGGTGTATATAGAAATTAAAATCATGTAAAATACTTAAAAACCCATTTATAAGTTACAAGTGACAGTCATGTACTTCGGCAGCTACTGTTGCTGGTTATAGGTTAAAACAAAGTGCCTGATACAAGCGTGTTTAGGTTGCGTACCTTGGTGTCTCCCGGACCAACACGGCCCTGTGGAGCTGCCGCTGGATGTGTGCGTGCCGAGGGCCGCAGGGATGGACAAACGGGTGCACGGCAACCAGAACGAAACCCTGAGCGTAGAGTTCTCTGACCTGAACCGGCAGCTCTCTGACCGAGGAGAGACACAGGACTGATGACACCGGCACCTCTGAAGAAAGGGGGGAGGGGGCAACATGTGAGAAGAGATGAGGGAGAGAAACATGGTTAGACAAGACAGGATAATGGGGAACAGACACGACAAGGACATGACAGGTTGGAGGGAAAAAAGAGAGGCAGGGGAAGTAAGTGCTGTATGTAAGTAAGTAAGTAAAGTGCTGTTTGAAAGTGGATAAAAGCTGGAGGAGGAAAGAAAGGGAAGAATAAAGAGAAAGTGGGACAAAGGGTGAGAGGGAACGAAGATGGAGCATGTTTCATTATGATAATTCGCACAGAACACAGCACATGGCATCTTCACGCTAAATCTGAAACTAATTATGCCAGAACTATTAGCCTCTGTCCTGCCTGTCACCATGCAGACCATGCACACACACATGCACACACACATGCTGTGGAGTCCCTGCACCAACAGACAGCTGTGTATAGTCTTCAAAATCCACACACACATATACATACAGTACATCAAAAGGTTTGGGAGACAATGCTATCACATAGCCTGTTCAGGGCGTATGGTATTAGCAGCAATCGCTAACACAAGGCAGGTTCCCTTATTACTAAACACAATGGAAAGAAAACCCCTTCACTTCAGCTTCGGAAATGGTGAGCAGAGCTTATCGTACGAGAGCAAACTGACACGGCAAATCCACCAGGGAGAGAGCAATGTTTGTGAGAACCGCCCTCTCGGGGTCAATGCATTGTGGTGAAGCCCCATCTCTGTGCACAGGCTCTTAAGTGAACACGTGCACGCATGCATGGCTGTAGTGAAGCCAGGTGTGTGAGAGAGGGAAAGAGGAAGAGAGAGGAAAAAGAGATCAGAGAAGAGAAAGAGAGAGAGAGAGGCAGTGTTGGAGAGAAAAAAGAGAGAGAGTGTGAGAGAGATGAGGCTGTCTGTTTGTGCCTGAATGCTTGTCATCCTTTTCCATTCAATCTCATTTGCATGGGTCTGGAGAAGAGAAAATAACCTGAATAAATTAACACACACACACACACACACACACACACACACGAGAAAAAAATGTACACACATGCACACACACTCAGAGAGGGGGAAAAAAAAGGAGATGCACGAACCATCTCATTTTCAATTTGTTCTCCATCATCTGGCGTGTTCTCACATACGCGCACGTATAAGAAAAGCTGGCCAGCATGTTGTGATACAAGCACATGAACTAACACTGCTGTCTCGGTTTAACAATGGAAGCAAACCCCCTCCCCAAAAGAGAATCCAGCCATCACATCAGCTTGGCATCACGAGAGCCTTTAATCAAGCAGACACCTAAACGGGGGTCTGTGGGGACTTATCAAAAGCAGCACAGAGATGATTGTAAGACTACCAGCTGGGGACTCAGGATGGAGTGGCAGGGTGGGATGGGTGTTGAGGTGGGTGGGGGGATAACATCACTCCTGTCACCGTAAACAGTCATTAGCCGTCATTAGCTCCGCACGGCTGGCGCTCACCCACCGACAAGACGAGGGAAAGGCAAGGCAAGGCAGCTAATTCAGGCAGACATACAGAAGTTATTAGGGTGTTATGCAGCGCTTTAGGCTGAGACGAGACTTCATTTATACCGTCTGCCACTGTGGGATTTAAAGAGGAGGCTGCAGTTCCACTACAGAGCGGGAACATGGGAACAGCTCAGGGGGAGAGAAGCCGGGTGGGGTTTTATGGGGCCGGCTGGAGAGGGCAAGGAGGCATGGAGCTGGAAAGAAGTGTGTGTGCATGTGAGAGAGGCAGAAGTGAGGAACAGCATGGATGATTTTCTTTCTCTACTTGATGGATTAAAGCTCCTGGGTCCAACTTTGAAATCCAAATACATGTCAAATAAACTTTCTCAAACCTGTTTCCTGTCTTAGTGTTTTGTTCTCTGTATGCTATGTTATGTTACAGTGTTCATTTTTCTCATAGACTGTATATAGAATAAACACCGTCTGCCTCCTCACTGGGTGAAGCCACCGCAAGAACAGCACCCCCTGGTGACGGGCTGCAGTATAGGTCATAAATCCCGCCTCCGCCAGCAATCCCTATGGAGCTGTTGACAAACTTTAGAAACTTATTACACAGAACACAAATTTTTCTCCTCCCTGCTTACGATGTTGACATGTAGTTACAGTAAGACTATTTTGTGCTCAAGTCCTCTTTTTTCTGTACAGCTCCATTTTTAAAAGTTATTAGGGGGTTCATGTTTTCTATGATTGACACTTGATACAGCCTATGGGGGCATACAAAGATTGCATAGCTCACCCGGGGGATACACTGTTTGAGAAGAGCGTTATCACAGCGACTCTCTGCAACTCTCCCGCCAAATGTGTACAACGCTACTGCGCAATGTTGGTTTCAGGAAGTGGAGAAAAAATGCAGTTACCGATGTATTTTTGGCTTCAAATCCGTATACTGGCTGAGGGTGGAACCAAGTTGTCCATGGTAGTCTATGGTTATGCTACAGTGTTCATTTTTCTGGGTAAAACGCAATGATTGACAGCTCTGTTGATTAATGTAGTTGCTGTGATACTGTGTAGAGGAAGAGATTCTGAGAAATTCCAACAAAAACTCACTAAAAAGTTGTCAAACTGGCACAATGAGGGGTTCAGCTGTAGACTTGAAGAGTCTTTGCTGCTCTACAGGAAAGGGCAGGACATCTATACCTCATGTACTTCTGCTGCAAATTACATCATCAGTGTAGGTCTGAGCGATAAAACGATAATGTTATATATCAAAAATTAATTTCCCTTGATATCAATATAAAACATAGTCAATATGCTTTTTCGATAGCAGGCATTCTGCCATGTTGAACCAATCATGTGCTGAATTAGAACCAAGTGGCAAACAACTGCGTAGTAGCAGGCTGCAGCTACACGCAACCATAGCATTTTAACACATGAAGCCGACAACACTGATGGTGAGAAAAAAGAAAATGAGTGATACCCCCGGCAGAAATGCAGATGAAGGCTCAACAGATGACAGCATCGTTGACAACACTGGCATAAAAACGTTGGTGGTGTGGAGATATTTTGAGGTCAGACATGAAGCAGAGTGATGTTCACTGCAACTTAAGTCCAGTACATGTTAAATTTCAATTAAGAGTAACAGGGACTTTTAAGATTGACAAGTTTTTTTTATATTGTGAAACATACCGATATCAACTGATATGAAAAAAATATACTGTGATAAACTTTTTCCCATATCGCCCAGCCCTACATCAGTGCAAAATGTAAGCCCCCTTTTGTATGACAGGAGGTGGAGTACATCACTGTCTTTATATACAGTCAATGCCTGTAACAAGTGTTTGAAGTACATACTCATACACCCAAGGGTGCCTTTGCCGTAGCGGCTGTTCAGCTGTTGATCCCCGCTCTTCTATTTCAGTCTCAACCTCGCAGCTTTGACCACATGTCCGCGCTTGTTTGCTGCCAATGACGCCTCACTTTCTGACCCTGGTTATCAAAAAGCTGTATGTGGAGTGTGAGAGTCACCCTCATTTTTTGAAGCTGCTTGAAAGGCCTTGTTAATTCCTCGTGCAAATCCTCTGAATTTGTATGTGTGTGAGCGTACAGCAAAATTTGTGATGTAGTGAAATCTCAGCGAGAGCGTATGGGCCATCCTCTTGCACAAGAGTGAAAGAGTTGCGCAAAGCCTGCTAGGTGATGCATGGGGATTACGACTCGCAGCCATCCTCCAGGCTTATCCCTCTGCTTGCTGGTGGTTCACGTTTTATTTAAATAGCCTTCTAATGACTTGCAGAGGTTTCTAGGTGAGGATGTGTGCCAAAACAGTGACTATAAAATAATCAGCTTCCTGGAGCCGGGAGCTCCCCGCTGCTTGGGAATGCAGCCGTTGGCTACAGCAGTTAGTTGGTCAGCATCTGAGCTTCGTCAGACAGAGTGTGATCTCTTAAAGAGGCCAGGTTTACAGGAAATGACTGAACGAAAATGGCTGATGTGGAGGTGAAGTCAGGAGAAAAACAGGTTGGTTTGGTGAGAAAATATTGTTGCACTAAAGGCACATGCAGTAGCATGTACGTGTGATAGTGTGAATCTTTTCACAGCCGTGTTTGCCAGTATTCTCTCAGCATGAAGGAGCCATCAGAGAAAATGGATTAGGCTGTGTCATATCAGCATTTTTGACAACCTTTTATTATAAATGTTTGTGTGTTTACCTGGAAACAGTGTGTCAGACTGAAAAGATGTATCAAACTGATGGATTTATGCTTCATCTTCCATCCGAGGGAAATACATCACAGATTCAGACACACACAAAAAGAGAGAGAGCAGCTGTTTATCAATCTTTTTCAAGAGAGGATGTATCCATCACGACCTCCAGGTGTAGATCACAATCAAAAATGTGCACGCTCGCACTGTTATATACCTAAATATAAACTCCCCCACAGGTATACAGTAGCAGCTCACAGAAAAAAGGCCACACAACACACTCTCCACTGAGCGTTAGACACATGTTGTAAGTTTTAATGAGCCGAGTGGGTCTCGGTCTCTGCAGGGCGGCAGAAAGTCATCAGCAGAGTTCAGCTCCTCGCTGTCTGCTCCAGAGACCAGCGTTAGTCACACAGCATCACACCTAACTTACTTCCTCACACATCCTCAGATTCCTGACTCCTGCTCACTCGCTTGTTCTAACACCTCCGACTCCCTCTTCTCTCGACTTTTCCTCTCCTTTCCTTGAAACACCCAGCTTTCCTCCAAATGCTCGCTTCGTCTCTCACTTTTCTTTATGTCTCATTCATTCTTCTTCTTGCCTAGACCCCCTTTTTCTCACTTTATTCTTCCTCTTTTCAACTTTGCTTTCTTTCTCCGCTCTCCCCGTACTTTGCTAATGTCTCTCTCACGCTTTCTTCTGCTCATTATCTGAGCACAGCCGCTACACAAAAGGATTCTGGGTTAAAATGTCACACCTGGCTCTTACATTTTATACTCCACATTCATGCCGACATGTCAGGGTAACCCATCACTGTTACAAAGGAAATAATGAAGATCATGGCACCCTTTTGTCGAGGTGGGGGATGCGTGGAGGTGCGGCAGATTGCTGATTAGAGAGTATTAAGCCAGGTCAGTAGAACAAGACATTGGTTTCAGGTTATATGGATTAAATGGTGCATGTTTTTTAAAAAATGGTGCGTGTATGAATGGTCTAGAATTATTCTGGTACTAAGACTAGAAATGTACAGGAAAAATATTCAATATGGAGAGGCTGTAAAATATGTGTAATCTTTAGAAGTTTAGACTCATTACTTGTAAACAATCAGTAACAGCAGCATCTTAATAGCTAGCAACAGTGGATAAAATTGCTAAAAGCTTGTCATATATATATTTAGTATATTAGACAAACTTTAAAAACCTTTTCTGCCATTGAAAAAGGGGGCTACATATTCATACACTGATGAGACCAATAACCAATATCGAAGGACGCATCCTTTTACATCCTGGCGCTTATAAAAGCAAGCAGCCACTTCAACTGGATACATGGCAAGGTGGACCAGTTAAGCATCGTCACATTTTAACATTCCTCCCCCGTTTGTCAGATTGTTATCATGCATTTAGGGAAAACTGTGAAATACTATGAAGTAAATATACCTTTAGGGGTTCACGTTTTAGTAAAAAGACTTATCAAGTCAAGAGAATGAGCATCCAGTAGAGGGCAGCAAACGCGATTAGATGCTCCCTCTACTCTGGCGACACAAATGACACGAGTTGGGCAGGAGCTGAAAATGTCTCAACTTGAGCAGAAATTTACGTCATGATAACTAATCAGCACGAAGGTTGCCAGGTGACGTATGAAAACGTTGTTCACTGGTATTTAAAATGGAGGACAAACTGATCGTGTTGGTGTGTAAGTGCCCCGAATTATATGATACCTTTCCTTTCAATTATCAACGCCGGAATAAAAAGGGAGCTCGCCTGGAGGCAAGTGAGCGAGGAGGTCGGTAAGTTGTTAAAAAACCTTATTCTGTCCGTAGAAGACAGATGTTACCCACTGAAGCGGTGTGGCTCTGTTTAGCCACCACATGCGACAGGAGCTAGGTGAAAACGAAGCCCATGCAGTGCATTTGACTGTTACAGAGCACACCTACAACAATCTGAGGAAGAGTACCACTCCATCTCCCACACAAGAAGTTTTTTTTCTCAGCAAGTTTTTAGAATCAAGAACTTTTTTTGTGCGAATCCACACAGATCCACAAACATTTCATGAATGAGACCCGGGGAAGCTTGTAAAATGTTAGCTTTAAATGCTTTATTTTTAAAAAAACAATATTAAATCAATTTTTTCAGTCATGTTAGTTTTGTAAGGGCACTAAGGATCAGCCAAAATTCAAGTCTCTGTATTTGGAGGGGAAAACTGTTAAACATGTTTTTGAACATCAGCTTACTGCCTGAGAGATTGAACATGTTTCTCCTCACCCTCCCTGATAATCACAGGGTCGATATGACCCAGTGTGAGTGAGTTGGACTCGGTCACGCACAAATATTTTTCTGCTTGCTGCAGTTAAAGCGAGGCTCATAAAACAAAGGCCGACACTTTATTATCAGCCTTGTTGTTTCTCTGTACTTTCATCACTGAGCAGTCAAAGTTCAAGTTAGAAATAAGGCTCCACTCCAGGCTCTGAACATTAAGCTCCTCTTCCTGAGAACACAACTTGTATTAATAAACAGCGTCCTTGTCTCATATTTCTCAGAGGGGCACCAGTGCAGATATTTGTTTTTCATTACTGTGTAGGAGTCGTCAAGACACGCTGGCAGGGAAATAATATTATTAATGGAGGCCAAATTGAATTAAAGCATGGATTTGACCGTGGGTTTCCTCAATGTCACGGACTGACATACAGATTCCTCTATCTACTTCCTACACACACACACTCACACACACATACACACGCACGCACAAACGCACAAATACAAATAAATCCCCTTGCTGGGAATGAGGTCTCTCAATCTCCACAAACAATCAGATAATCCTTCAGGAATCCTTCACTTTCTCTTGGTCTCTCTATCACAAATGGAGTAAGAGAGAGAAAAAGAGAGAGAGAGAGAAAGAGAGAGAGAGAGGCAGTCGCACACCCACTCACAACTACACACATACACACAATCAATTCACAGTTGCTGTGTTTATCCTAAAATAGAGTATACTCATCTTAAGCAGCTCAGGTGGCGTCACTGAGTTTTCCATATAAATGACCTGCCTGTCTGTTCAAAGATAACACTAACTCTGCTGAATAAGTGCTGTAAAGTGTTTTGTGTGAGTGTGAATGAGCTGTATGAACAGTGTGTGTATGTGTGTGTGTGTGCGTGTGTATGTGGGGGGTCTTTCTGTATCTGAATGGGCGCCGCTGCTGCTCATGCGATTAAACAACTTATCTCCTTCTGCCTTTACCAACAAGGAAGATCCTCATCCTCCAATCCTCATGTCTATTGTCTGTTTTTGGTCACCATCACGGCTTCCAGTTGCCAGATCTTCCTCTCGGCCAGAACTAGAGCCTAACTCATTTGCCAAACATAACAGCGTTGGCTGAAAATGAAGCCGACTGGCAACCAAAGCCTGGTCACTTGGCTGTGGCGTCCTGCCTGCTGTCTGTTACAGTGTTGCATGAGAAAATCCTCTAAAAAAGACTTCAGTGGGCTTCTTGCACCTGTTTCAGCTTGTAGGGTGATGGAGAGCACAGTGCAGGCTTGTAGAGACATTAAGCCATAAGGAAAAGGAGTTTTTTTATCTGCTTCGACACTATCTGTTTCTTCGCCTTGCGATTCCCCCGCCATGTCCCTCCCCTCCATCTCCTCACAGTCCACACCAACACAATGGCAGAATTAGTATTTTTAGAAACCTCTACATGCCTCTAGAGGATTCTCATCAAATGTTCTCAAAACGCACGCACAAACACACACCCACACATTATCAGACTCACAATTTCTCTATATTTTCACACAGAAACACACAAGGTTCCCAAGACAGCATGCGAACACACACCAGCTTTGGTATTCTGTCACTGTGTGAGAAGCAAGAAGCAGGGGGGAAGTTGGAGGGCAGAATATAGCTGAATCTGTGAATTAGAGAACTCTTTGAACTCGCAGCAACAAGAGCCGCACACAAAGACACAGCTTTAGCTTTTAAGCCACTTTTTGCCCTCAAGATACTTAAAGGAAGGGGAAAAAAATAGGCTACTGTTACAGAAATTTGCTGACCTAAACATTTTATTTAACTGGTTAAAGTTGGAAAAGCAAGTGTGGCTATTTTATGAGGGGAACACACAGAAGCGCAGCAGCCAGAGTTCAGGATGACAAAGCAGAGCCGGGTTTGACAAAGATGCAGGAAAACTGGTTTCAAAATTCTGAGAAAGTTACACTTATTTACCTCTAGACACAGACTAGTGTTATCTAAATGAAACGTCTGCGACTTTCTCTTGTGACACAGATTACGCACCACAGGAGGTTTTAGACCCAGCTCTGAACAGCTTTTTTCTGAATCATTAGTTTTGGTAAAGGATAGACCAATAATCGGAGTTGATATTCAGCATTTGGCTGTTGATCTGTAAAATTTGGGCCTTTTATTTCACACTAGACAATAAAAGCTGCCATTGTGTCTTTTCCTCTGCGTCTGTTTTTTCTTGCACTACTTTATCTCACGTAACATCCTGCCCGCAACACTATCTGCTTGGCTGGACACCACATGAAATTGTGAGGTAACTGTGCTGTCAGTGTAACTGGTTGACTGTTAACTCCTGTGCATGATGTCAAACTTGGTAAAAGTTCAGTGTTGGAGTTTGTCACTTTTAAAGTTCAAAGTTTTGTAAATGCGTATCGATTGAAAATATCAGGTATCAGTCTTATGAACTACTTATGATCAGTATCAGCCCTGAAAAACCACTACCTGCTAACCCCCCAGTTTTGGTTTGTGTCTCTTTATATACAAAAAGAGGTGTTCCTTTTTTGAATTAGGGCAAAAAATAGGGGGAAATCCCATTTTTAGGGCTTTAAATGCCTTTACTTTGCAAGTGTCCAATCATGAGGAATGAATAAACTTCACAAAGGTGATATTGGACCCCACATAGATCCCCGCATTGTCCATTTTTTTTTAATGAATTGACACATTTTTAACATGAACCCTTGCATAAACTACACATTTTGAAATTCAGAGGTGTAAATTGTATCGTTGGCCATCATGAGCAGGTTGCTTTATGTATGGATTTATTATTTCTGGGTCATGCAGAAGAGAAATTAGTGTCTACTGTATATCACAAAGAATTGTGTCTGACTGTGCTCAGTCACAGATAGTCAAAATGTTTCTGACTTTGGTTTTTGTAGAAATGCTAATTTTCACATAAAGAGAGATATTATTTGCCAGAAATTGGTCCAAAATGAATCATTTAGCTTCATGTACCAGTTTGAGGCATTAAAAACTACAATGTAAAAATTTTTTTACATCGTCTGTAATGGTCCCATTTGTTTGAATGAAATGAATTTAAGTCTGTTTCATAAACGTAAAAACTCCTCACAGAAACTTTAAAGAAATCTCAACTCTATTTGTTTCCCCATGGAGTTTCTAAAAACTCAAGGCTTTATCTCATGGCCACTCTGTAAGTTAAATATTGTAATCCATCACCAGCAGAGTTTGAGTTTAAATTAAAAGAAAAATATCCATACTGCTAAATAATAAAAATAAAAAAGATTTGTGTTTCTAAAAACTTTGAAAGAGAAGAGGAAAGCACAGAAAGAAATCAGACATCACCTCTTAAAAGGATATAAGTGTGGGAGAGGTTTGGTCACATGAATTATAAATCTCTCTGGGTTTCACAAGCTCAGCCTGACAAAGAAAAATGAAACCTTTAACAGAGATGAATATGAAGCTCTCACAGGATGACTGAGTATTTTTTAAACATACCATCTTTCCCCAAAAGGAAATCCAGGAAGTGGTAGGTGTAGGAAACACCCACTTTAGTTTCCACCTGAGGCCGTCGCAGGGTGGAGTAGATGTTGCCAGGGCTTCGCCTCTCTTCGGCCTTACGCAATTTAGGAAGCCTGCACCCCATATCTCTGTGAGAAAGAGGAGGGGAAGAGAGAGAGAGAGATGAAGATTAAAAAAAGATCAGGGAAGAAAAGAGGAGGGTGCTAACAAAAGGCTCGAGTGGGAAATGTGGAATTGATAGAGTTTCTAAATATACAGAACACATTAGCACTTCCAATAGAGTGTGTCATACACACACACACACACACACGTCTCAATGCTATTGTTCATGTGCAACCTCGAGCTGGGGGAAAGAAACGTCCACATCCCAATCTCTTCTCTCACACATACACAGCATAATAATGCTGAAATATTAAAGTGTTGGCCATTACCTGCTCGGTGGGCTGTGATACGGGCATTTCCTAATCAAACGGGGCTGATTGGGAGCGACATGTTTGATCAGAATGAATTAAAGCAGAAATGAGACTGATTTCCTGCCCCGTCAAGCAAGGCGACATGAGACTAGATAGAGAGAGAGGAGAGAGGAAACCAGGAGGAGAGGAGGTTTCAATCCAAAGTTGAACCAAGGCTAGCTTTGAAGTTTAAAAATGATTTTTTAGTTCTTCTTCAGAATGTGCAAGGACCAGCACCGTCCTCAAGGGTGGGTGACTGAAAACACAATTCACAAAGAGCTTCTTATCAAGCTTATTTTTCTTCTGCTGTAAAAAAAAATCATTTGGCACCCACAAAAATTTGACTTGGATACAATGTAAAAAATAAACATCTTGAAGAATTGACTAATTGGAAGTAGAGAAATGGTAAGACAGTGTGAGAGTAAGGAGGAAAGAGAGGGGGAAAGGACAAGCGGAAAGAGGTGTGGCCAAATGTTGTCAAGCTTAATCTGATGTGACAGCGTCAGTACCCTGAAACCATCACCACAGATACGCTTAATATCCCCTTCTGCCACGGCTTGTAAGAGCCACACAATGAGGTGCGTATCTGCACGTCAGTCTGTGTGTGTGTGTGTGTGTGTGGATGTCTTCCCCAAAGGCAGGTTGGTATCTGTATCTCTGTATCTGTTTTGGAAGTGTGGAGAATGACACAGTAACTCCCATTGGGGCAAGTGCACGGACATTAACTCGTCTAACGATCCTACCAGACAGCATTAAGCTGAGTGTGTGTGTGCTCTTTACAGCTTCCATTGCACGGTACATGCATTTTGAAAGGTTACATAGTAGTAAAAATGGGACATTTCTATACACCATCTGACAGCAGACTGTGTGATCCGTCACTCTAAGTTTTAGAAAAAAGAAAAAAAAAAGAAAGGCAGCTATTATTCTTTCAAAACAATATGCTATCTAATATCAAGAACAAATGAGGATAGGCAGAGAGAGAGAGACATGAGGCCAAGTCATCAGTATTCCTCTTTTTTGTTCCTTCCATCTTCTGTCCTTCTTCCCTTGGCCTGTCTTTTCACTTGGTAAACTCAAACCATTGTGTCTTGGATGTACATTCATCACCTCTTTCTGTTCGGCCTTTGCTCTTTCTGTCCACCATCTCTGATTAGGACACTCCTTTCTTTCTAAGGGCACAATGGTCCTGATTAATATCACAGGAGACGATCAATTTTTGTCACTCTGCCTTTTCATGTCCACTTGATTACAAGAACACGTAACCTTCCCCAAGTAAATATCAGTTAATCCTCAACTTTTATCTGCCATCGCTCTATCCATCCAACCATTTAAACCATCCATGCTTCAGAGTTTACCAGCTATTCCATCCATCCATCAAACCATTAATCCATCCATTCCAACCATCCATCTGTCAATCAGTCATCCATCCATTTTAACCATTCATCTATCCATCAGTCAATCCATCTTTGCAATCTTTTTAAACCATCTATCCATCTCTTCCATCAATTCCATCTATCTCTCCATTAGTGCAGTTTGTTTAATCTATTCATCCATCCATTCAACTTTCTAACCATATCTCATCTTTACCATCCCTTGTAACCATCTTTCTATCCATCCTAGCCATTTGTGCCCATCATTACCACTATCCATCCCTACCATCATTCATCCATCCATCAATCCATACCAGTTCATTCATCCATCTATCTCTATAATATCTATTATCTATCTACTATCTCTACCATCTATCTATCTATCTATCTATCTATCTATCTATCTATCTATCTATCTATCTATCTATCTATCTATCTATCCATCCATCTATCATCTATCCATCTATCTATCTATCTATCTATCCATCCATCCATCCATCCTTTCATGTGCACTATCCTGTACTTGCCTTTCATACTATCCATCCATTCATCAGTACCATGCTATACATCCATCCATGTACACCATCAATTCTATCCATCTAGCTATATTTATCATGAATCAATCAATCCACACATATTTTTATACCATCCATCCATACTTTCTTCAATCTTTCTCTTTACTATATCTATTTAATCCATGCATCAGTCCATTCTATTTCTACCATCATCCATCTTTCTTTCCATCCATCATTCATCCACCATCCATCCAGACCATCCGCTTTAAAATCCTTCCATGTATTCAACCATCTATTCATCTATACCGTCTGTCCATATACTTATCTATCTACCCATCATCTCACAAAATCTATCCTTTCCATCCATATCTCTTCACTTTATGAACATGGACAGTAACGTGTCCTCCAGGTTCAAAAGCTACTGCAGAAGTGACTGAAAATTTACACGCCATCAAACAGCCAACCTGGGGCGACTCCTGAGATACCTCAGTTTATAAAAAGGAGTGGGACTCAGGGAGGAAATCTGAGCTCCTGATGCCACACTGTTAAATCCCATAACCAAGCCCTTCATAACCACTGCAACCCAAACAGCACTGCCACTTTTAAGAAATCTAGATGCCATTATTGCAAGCTTCTGGGTATTGACTATCTACTCTACCCCATGGCCACTGATGACCAAAATGTGAGCACAGGATAGAGGGGTAGTAATGTGTTTCTGTGTTGTCACGCTTATGCTTGCCTCTGGATCCAAAGCCATTGCATATGTCAAAACCGCCATGAAAGGACAAACAAATTGCCAAAGTCACAGTCCTCTAAGTATATGTTGCTGAGTTTACATGATTTTGCTACATTGTGTTTTTCCACTCTCTGCCTACATTCCCTTTTGGCAGACCATCCAACTCTCTCCGTCCTCCATTTTCCCTCCTTCAGGCTGTTGGCTGGCTGAATTTTCACAGCCGAAAGTGCCCCCCTGCTGTGCCTGTTAAGTCCCATAAAACTGTTACAATGTCTCCAGACAGACAGCCAGCCAGGCCTTGGGTTATGACTAAGTTAGAGCGAGTAGATCCACTCCTAAAACATTTCCCCAGTAGTGCCGGGCTTGACTACGGTCCTTCTGAAACAGGGGACACAGGTTTAACATTTGGATGTGGAGCGGCATTCATTCATGTCTGGAAATTGAAGGCATACAGGGTAGGATGTTTCTAAAATGATTTGCATTTTTCTGTCTCGTGTCTTTTTTTGGAACCACTTCCCATTTCTCTCCCTCTTAGCTTTCACCCCTGTGTTTAATACTTTTTCTGCCATATCCCTCCGCAAATGATCTCAGTTTAAAACATGAAATCAGATTATTCATTGTACTTCATCTCTATGCATAATGCATTATTCAGTGCTAAAAAAAATCATAATAATTTCATATAATTCGCTTACCATTTAGCTTGTGGCATTTGGTTTTATTGCTATCATATAAAACCTGATTGGTTCAAGTCCTAGTCCTGACTAGCCTCCAGCCTTACAGTTTGATCCAACATCATATCAACCTTTTCATTACACTCTGACAGTTCAGCTTTTAAACAAAGGTCTGGCTTTAGCAGATGAACTCTGTGTCTGTGAGCTTGAGTAAAAGATCATGTAATTGGAAGAGATGGAGAAAGAAAAACCACAATGAGTGCAGTACCGCAGAAACTCAACCGCTTCCAAGACTCAAGGCCTTTTTTCACTACATACAAGGCCTTTTTCTCTACATGTTGACTTCAAACAGAATCTTCCACTCGCTTTCTTGCAAACAAACAGGCAGAAAAAGGCCTTGACAGCAGAAAAATGGAAAGAGAGACAGATGAAAGAAGCAAAAAGGAGAGAACGGAGAGAAGAGTAAGACAGACAAGGAGAAGCAGAGGGCTGCTCATTAGAGAATCTCTTGTAACTGAGAGTTCTGAAATGACAGCAGATTTACGCGAGAGCATAATCCGTCTGCGCTATGCCACTGCTCTGCTGCCTCCTGTGCCACCCAGGGGAGGGGGGTGTCTGCTTTCCAAGAAGCAGGGTCCATTCCCTGCAGGGCGAGAGCTACAGGCAGGTGCAGGTTTGGGAAAATTCACAGTAAGTATAGATAGAATCAGCTTTGAGGCCCTACAACGGTGCCCAAGTTTAAACCCAGAGATTAAGTCCTGAGTGGCAACAGCTGCTCTGATGAGAAATGAGTGGGCATTATTTCCTATTGGTAAAAGTGAAAACCAAAGGCATTCTGTCTGCAAACCTTTAGGTCATTCTCCCAAGTCTATTACTGAGCCCAGTCTAGAGAAATTAAATTTTGATTTGTTGAAATTAAAGTAGAAAATCAGGGTTCCTTAGATAGGAAGTGGCAAGTAAGCCAAAAGTACTTGCCATGAGCTCTGACAAACAATGACACAGACATTTGACATACCAACAAGAGGTGTCCTGAATATGGCAGAAAAATGCTGAATCCTCAACTCAACTTAGACAGTGCCATCACTCTGCCCACATTTGATCACTTAGTTTTCTTGGGAGAATTTTACTGGGTGCTGGTGGGGTTGGGTGTTTAGTTGACCACATGATTAGACACAGTCATCTGTTCAAGTTGACACTGGAATTACTAGGTGGTTGAACAAATTATTCACATTTTTATTTATTTAGCCCAAAAATACCACTCGCATCAGGTCACAGCTTGGGGTAATGGCTGCCTTTGTATTGCTATAATGCTCTACTACCTGGATGTAAACAAGCACAGATGACATTACACACCCTGTGTTGGCTAGCAAGAAAAAGAGTGAGTAAAACCTGGGTTAAAATTTTGTCTGTTTTCACTCACAAATGCAATCCATCCTGATAAAGTCAAGAAATTATCAGAGTGTTTTGTGTCAGTCTGTGTGAGTGAGTCTTTCATACTTACCTAAATGTTTCCCTTATCACCAAAGCAGAGTTTCAATATTAGTATTTTGCCTGAAATAACAAGGAAAGGCAAGGGACTTGTGAGGTTTTAGTGTTTGCAGGTCTTGGGTGACTTCTTGTAAGAAAGGCTTACATTATTAGAAACATTTTTGGCCGTGAGTGTGGTAGAAAACTTTAGTTTTGTTGTATTTAATATATTGCTGTTTATATGTTCCCCCTGGTGCAGCAAACTGATTAATAGCGAGCATAAGCAAATAAAACTGTCACTGCTGGCCTCCTGTCTCCTTTTTTACAGAGCTTTATGGGCCTCCTTGGAAGCCGTAATTCCTGCCTCTGTGTGTGCTTTCTATTCAAGGGGATTTATCCTATTAACAGTGTTTGACTCTAAATTAAGTCACTTTTATTGCTGAATATCAGTAAAAACAAAAACAAGGAGTTGTGTCGCTAATCTACTGCCATATTGTATCCCTATCACTGCATTTCAAAATTAGAGGTGACAGACTGAGTCGTGGGGAGTGGGATTCCCTCCCACTGGACGGGAGCACCACTCAGGGTCCATCCAAGGATGATGGGATGTGCTGATGATGGAAAAAGGGAAAGAAAACAAGGACAAAAAGGGGGAAGGAGGAGGAGAAGGAGGAGGGGGCAAATGAGACAGACAGAGAGCAGACTTGGAGCATGTCAAGTTGCCTGCAGGGAGGAGCGATTCCCTTAAGCAACAAAGTAATCACCTCAAACCGTGTTTTAATGAGGCTGCATGGGGAGGATAAAAACAAATTATGACATTGATGTATTGGGCTGTCGCACGCCTGCCTGCAGAGCCTACTTTGCTCTAAAAAGAACAGTTTGTGAACAAAGGAGGACTGTTTGGACCAGGGCATCAATTTACTGAACCCAGTGGTGGGCTCTTTAAGTGCTTGAATCAATTTCTGGGAATGACTGATGACTCTCAGAGTATCAGTGTGCATGTGAAGTTTCATTTGGTAAAAGAAAATTAGGGTGTACCCAAGAGAGTTGATCAACATTGGATTTGTGTATGAGGTCGACTTATCTGTAGCTCATGTCACTGTATAGGTAAGATACTTTATTGAAGTAGAAGACATATGGTTCTTCTTTATAATAAATTGTCTCATCATTGTGATTGTGTGTCTGCTTCGTTGTTGCTAATGTGTGTAGTTAATATTGCTTCCAGGGGGGGAAATGATAAAACAACATATCAAAACGTGTAGCTGTTCATGTAATAGCCAAAGTGTCACACAGCACTAATGATGCTCCCAAATATACTTCCAAGTCACACTGTACGCACCTCAACCCATATCCATGTGACTAATTGATGCCCCATGCATTTGTGGGTGCAGCCTAGCTTGAAATTACATGTTTCTGTTTCCCCCCTTTCTTCCTCTCTCTCCACTCACTCACCCAGCAGCACGTGCCTGCCTGCCTGGCTGCTGCTGCTGCCGTTAACGCCGGTAGTTTAGTGAACAGGAAATGATACATGACAGGTCGCTTACGCACCAAATCTTATCGCTGTGACGCTCGCGCGCACACGCTCGCGCACCCCATCCTCCTTCTTCCATCTGCGCGCGGCACATTTACTCCGTCACGCATATCTGGAGTTCACTTCAACCTGTGACACTGAGCACAGAGGGTTATTCATTACGTTCCGCCACGATAACAAACGGCACACAACATCACACAAATCAAATGAGTGAGTTGAAGATGGCTAGTCGAAATGAAGCGGATTTTTCTCCGTCAGTGGAGTTTTATTGTGAAAGGTTTCCATGCAACTTGAACTTCCGCCTTTACATGAGCGTCAAAGTTTCCCCAGGGCTCAGGTATTTTACAGTAGCTACACGAGAAGAAAATTTGACGCCGCTTTTTGACTCTTAAAGCTCATTTGATAGTTTTATTGCGTCTTTAGGGGGATTTTTAGTTTAAGGTTATTTTGGCGCCCCTTGTGGAGAAAATGGTGCCTCCGGTGTCTCAGCAGAGCTCGCCCTGTACAAACAAAAGTTGTACCTTCTGGTGTAAAATATTGCCATACTTCTTTTAAACACCCAAAACCATTAGAATTGAAATGTTTATCTTGAAAATTTTCAAATAAAACTAAATTGACTGTATGCAGTTGGTTAAGTGAACCATCCTTTAGCAATTGTCACAGAAACTAGACATTTCTAATTAAACTTGGCGCTGGCCTTGTTTGCTTTTCTGGATTGCAAAGAATGCAAACCTATCAATTTGATAAAAATAAAAAATAAACAACTCCTTACAATGACTTCAAACACTCGTATCTATATGTCACTGTAAAAATAAACATAAGCAGATCCAGTATAAAAAGAAACAAAAAAGTTCGACTCACCGATCCAGTCGTCCTCAGTTTCGGTGCTTCAAGACTGAAATCTTCCTCAAACTTGAGTGCCTCTACGTGCGTCCCCCCTCTCCTTAATGTCCTCACTGTTTGTCACCGTCACGGCTTAAATAAACTGAGGTCCAATAGGAAGAAGACATGAACCCTCCATTTACAAAACTACAACTGACTATTGCTGCTGATGGAGCTCGCGGACAGCTCGTGATAAGCACTCCGTCTGGCTCTCTGTCACCGGCGCGTGTGAGGAGGAGAGTATAGGAAAGGAGAGGAGGGAAGGGAGCTTTGCACACATCCTCTCTCCTCCCTGTCGTCTCACAGGCGCGGGTTAGATTCAGTGAAACTCAGAGAAACAAGATCAAGCCTATTTTAAAGGTTATAAACCAATAAAACCATCCCAGAGAGGGTATGGTATTTTAAAAAGTGACACATGATTGAGTGACCAAATAACCACAGAGATAAACCCACTCTTTGCAGAAATCTTCACCCCACAAGTGAAATAAGTTTAAGGTTCAGTGTGAGAATTAACCGTGTTTGTGTTTTTCAATGGTCTCCTTTGCAAAATTCATATTTTATAAGAAGCTATCCAGACTAATCCATAATTCAGAAATGTCTGACTGGGTGGGGCGGGCTGGTGGGTGGTCGTGGGGTAGGACAGGGCACCCTGGGGAGCCCAGGCACACTAGCAGACTGTGACAAAAACAAAACGCTCTGTGACCGAAAGATGATGGGCTTGTTGCCAGGGAAGACAGGGAATCCAACCCTGACTGAAAGGCGACAGCCACTGACAGGCTTTTGGAAGAGCAGGAGGTGGGAGCATCACAGTCTGAAAGCTCTGCGCTACAAAACCATCAAGCTTCACCTGAAGAGTGTCAAATAAACAGAGAAAATGTGTTAAATTTACACATTAAACTAGGACTACTATACCAAATAAATCTCCAGGCTCTCCCAGGCTTAAATGGAAACACATTTAACTTTTATTTATTCAAACAAACCTTGAAAAACATGAACAGTAGCAACAGACCAAACAGTGCAGCGCCCAGGCTCTCTGAGCAAAGTAATTTTATCAATACAATCGAATTTCTGCACATTGGAGACCCTGGGATTAATGCCCCAGCAGAACCACACAGAAGTAGGTCAAAGGAAAGAGATGTACACCAAACGTGTCTGAAACAGCTTGACGTGACTTCAAGTTCTACACGTGTACAAAAAAAAAAAAAGTGCAGTTAATGAAAGGAATAAAATAATTATTTTCAGTCATAAAAAGTCAGTAAAATTAAATAAAAGTGAAATGTAAGCTTACCAGTGACTATATAAAACACCTAAAGGAAACAACTACCTTAAAGTGAACCATATACAGTAAATATTTGGACCAAAGACAGCACTTCTCTTTCCATCATTTGCAATCAAAAACTGATTAATGGGGAAAGAAATTAATGTCGTGATTGTCCTACAAGTGTGAACCCCAGCCAGTCAGTTTGGTCACACAGCACACAGATGATCAGTGTGCAAAAACCACGCTCATAAAAACTCCAGTGGAAAAGCCTTATGTTTAACAAAGATGAGAAAACAGTGTTACTGAGGAGGCTTATCCATTTGCTGCCTCCATCGACACCCAATTAAACAAAACAACAGCACAAACTAAATGAGTGCTTCAAATTAATGGAATGACCAAGTGCTCTGCTGCTGGAGTGGACATGCTAATGAAGTTTCCTAATCAGAGGAACATTAAACCTGTAATGGAGTTTAAGAGGAATTTGTCTCCAATACCAAATAAACTGATGTTTAGACATTGTTAGAGTAAAGATATAAATGTACTTTTTATAAACAGAGAGCCCTTGAAGATGCCAAAAAAAAAAGCCCAAACAAAACAAACATTTAAAACAACTTCCAAAATAAATTAAACATAAAATATAAATAGGCACAAAAAGTGAGTTTAAAAGTCTTTGCCATTTTTTTTTTCTTTCTGGGACAAAAAAGAGTGGCAGATGTGCGCCCAATATCAGCTGGTCAGTGAGGGTGCCCTGCTCTTCCTGTGTGTCTGCCATTGTGAGCATTGTGGGTTAAAAGCAGTCTGACCACATGACAGCAGTCCCTGCCAGTCGTGATCAAAACTTTGCATCAAGATTAGGGGGAAAAAGAGAAAAGAGGGATTGAAAGAGGGAAGTTGTGCTGCTCTGGTCGTCCATCACACCGAGATTTAATCCTGTCCGCATCCTGACTCACTGCAGCCTGTATGTCGGAGAGCAGAGGACAGAAAACCACATCACAGACAAATTATGGTTCCCTCCTTCAATTACAAACCCAATCAGGAGAAGTCATTTTTAATTTACCAAAGTAAGGAACGAAAAGACAGGACAGAGTGGACAGAAAATTAATAGACTAATGCTGGGCATGACTGCAAAACATCAGAGCTTCAGGAGGGAAAACATGGCTGTAATACAACCAAACAGGAAAGACAGACATGCACAATTGAAGGCCAGCTGTCTACAGGTGCTTCTAAGGACAAAATGATTCACCAGAAAGAGAATTGTTCACTACCCAACTGAATCTTAGCTACCTATGGCACATTTGTTACCCGCTATTACCACAGCCCTTTTTTTGGATTATCATGTTACCTGGTGAGGGGATCCGTGGCTTTAGACTACAGCACAGTCAGCATTGTCTGGACTCCACAGTCCACAAAGTTCTGGAAACAAAGTGCAGAAATAGAAAAAGCTTGTTTAAAATAGTCTTAATAAATATGCTTAAAAATTTGAACAGCTTCAACAAAATAAAGCAAGTGCCACAAATTTCCAAAGAATCAGAATCAAGACTTAGAGTGTGGGTAAGAAGATCTGTCTGTTCATTGCATACAGTTCTTGTCAGAAGTGGCCAGAGGCACCATCTAGTGGTGTGTATGAGTACTGCAGCTTGGACAATGTGAGGACAGAAACGCTTGAAAATCATATTAATTTTTTCAACAATTTAAATAGATTGAGTCGTTGTGGGGGAGTTTCCCCCAGAGTTTTAAGCCGGGTTTACAAACAGCAGAACCCATTTGCAATGCTCTGAAACTGAACCACACTGCCCACTATATGCCTACTCCTGCTACAGGTGGTCACCTGCCTGACCAGGCGTGTCCTCTGGTACGTCTTCCACTGAGGAGGATTGTACTGCATCAGAAGGGAGAGGGGTCAGCAGTCAAAGAAAGGGCAACACACAAACTCAGACCTGTTTCTACAGAAGATCTGAAGGGGTGGGGATGAAGGCTGGAGGGGCTAGGACAGGTGGATTTAAGCCAGGCTGAACCCTGCATCTCATTTGCAGAAGCAGTGCAGTGTCTAGGAAACCCTGCTCAGGATGTTGCTGACTAATTGGTCTGTGTGTGTATGTGTGTGTGTGTGTGTGTGTTTGTACCTGGTAAGCATAGCCGTTCTGTGGGTAGTTCATTGGCACCTGTGGGACCATGACCCCGCCGTAGTTTGAGTACGAGTACGGCTGCAAAAAGTGCCAGAAGAAAAACAACAGAACACAGCTTTTAATGTTTTAAACAGTTGGTATTGCCTGAATTATTAACAACCTTGGATATTATTAGCAATGTCATTAAATGTGCTGAAGCAAAATTTAGTTTTTCTCATCTTTTCTGGCAAATTGAAAAGTAAATTGATGAATTTTACTCCAACCTTCATTTCTATTCTTGGCTGTGCTAATGAGCAAACTTCCCCTCAGAGGAAGTGTATTCATTTAATTTTACAGAGTTACTATGAACGACAGCGTTACTGATTCCTGCACAGTTTGGTTTTTAAATGAGATGAAGTTGCTCATAGGGTGTCTGAGTGCATGTGTGGTACCTGACAGTAGGGGTTGCCTCCATTAAGGACGGGTGAGGGTTGTCCCATCCCTGATCCCATGGGTGAACAACAGGCACAGTAGAAGTACGGCGGGGTGTTCATCCACGGAGCAGGGCCAAACAGACGGGGTGGCATGAACCCTAGGTAAAAAAATAACTATTACACATCTGTATGACCATTTATTTAGCAGTGAGGTCTTTTACTACACTGCTAACTTCCATGAAGCTATTCTGAAGAATATTTGAGGACATACGTGCGCTCCTTTCTTTCATGATGGCTGGGCCTAGCTTGAGTTTTCGGCCCTTGAAACTGATCTGTTGCTATTGAAAAAGAAAAAAAACAACATAAATTCAAAACTACCATCAAGTGGATATAGAAAATAACAAGAGCAGTTGAAAATATATACACACTTACGTCAATGAGTGATTGGATATTGACATCTTCATTGAAGTACACAAACCCATATCTAGAAAAATATGATAAAGAATAAATCAGCAAAAAATAGTCACACTAACTCAATATTATAGCCAATTCAAAGTTGAAGAAAAATTAGACCCCAAAGCTCATCATGAAATATGTGAGTGAATATTCATGAAGTTTCTGTGAAATTTAAAAGTTCCCTAGTTTACACCCACACACTTCAACACAAGTTTTCCAACAAATACAGAGAGCAAACTTTTTAAAAGAGGACACACAGCTTTAAATGTACTGTGAATTCTTTAAAATGTCTTTTTGTGAATGATAAAAAGACTGTACATTTTGCTTTCCTCTAAGTACCTTAACTTAAACACTGAACACCTTTTGCACCACTAACCCATAATACTGTTTAATATCTTAAGATGTTAAAAATCACAGCCTAAAAGACGGGCATCAAATATTATTGAAATGACCTCCTTACGCCCAAGGGATTCCCAACTGTTTGAACTCACCCCTTGCAGATCCCTCCTCTGTACGTGATTATCTTAACTTCCTTGACAGACCCATATCTGGCGAAGAAGTCCTGCATTTCAGTTTCATCCACCTAAAGGTTTAAAATGAAAATCAAAAAATTGATACCAGTTGTTTGACTACTTTAAGACTACAGAATACATGCATGCATTGCTATATGCTCATTGTGCCTTTGAAGTGCACTCAAAACAGATTTATGTACAAAATCTGATCTCAAGATTAACCCTCGAATCACAATTTTAAACTCACTCTTTCAGAGCACACATTTCTCAGCCTTGGCGTGTTCATTTTAAGAGATGCAGGCTCAAACAGGCTTAACTTAACCTCAGTAGGATGGTCAAAATATACACAAATTGGTCCTTAATCATCGAATATGACAATGAACCCATTTAGGTAGAAGAGATTGTTTGCTGTCAAAGTAAGCTACATACACCCTGGTCCTACCTTCATGTCAATCCCACCGACAAAGAGGGCGTTGGGGGTCAGCTTGCCCTCAGGTAAGATGTAACCATTGGACAACTTCTGAGCAGGTGTCTCGTGGCTGCTTCTGGGCTTGTGGACATCCTGTCAACAAAGAAAAGTTTGATTTGTTATATGATAGGAGAAAAAACAGAATCTATTAGTTGTACACTTTCTTTGACTGAATACCAACTGTGAAGACATCTTGTAAATTATCAACATCATTTAGCCTGAAGTACAAGTCAGTGTTGTGCACGTGCTTAGACCACGTGATCATTTTTGTAGGGTTAGGCCATTATGGTGGGATATTGATAAACTGTATTAGTAAGTAAATTTATGTTTCGAGACAAAGTATTTTTACATTTTTCTTTGGGTAACGTCAACAATGGCAACTTCCCCACAAAAGTGACACAGGTACAAGTACAATATGTATTAAGTTATCACAATGGGTTGCAACAAAGGTGAAATAAAGCACCAATATAAATTCATTAACATGGCGGACAAACGTTATTTATTCTTAAATTAAACCCTGTTCATACTAATTCTTCCTGATAGAACAAAGCTACTTGAAGCAAGTGCGCTTTTTTCGTTTCCCCACAAGGCCAGCTAGCTTACTAACTAGCTAGCTATCGCACATTTGACGTTAGCCGTTAGCGACACAGAGAGAGGATGAAAACTGCGGAGTTCATCAGCGGCGACAACTGGATATCACGATTTTATGGCTTGACTCGTTATAACGCTATTAATGAAAAAAAAAGTAACGCCCAAACTTACCATATCTAAAACCGTTAAAATTAATAAGTCAACTTCAGACAACCAAAGACAAGCCGCTTGGCGCCTCTCTAGCCCGACAACTAACACACCCCTCACATCGATCAATTCCACGCCCATCCCACGTGACTGACCTCACAACCTATCAGGAGCCAGCCAGGAAAGGTAAACAAAAGCCGACAGCCTTACAGAAAATTTCTAAATGTACCAGTTCATTGGGCAGTTGTGTGAAAATGTAAGCTTACATTTATGAAGATACTTAATCATATCAAAATTATGGACTAAATCAATGTAAGTCAGATTAAATTTGGGACCATTTTTACACTAATGCTTGACCCAAAATTTGAGAAACCGGGGGCCATACCAGGTTTCCAGACAACCCTGTGTTTCTGCTGAGCCTCACAGACACTGGATTGATACTTTGACTTCACAGTTTGGGATGATTCAGGTCGGTTTAAGCTGTAAACTATATTTAAACAGTGTTTGTTGCGAAATGAACGCTCCAATGAAAGATAAACAAACGTGAGATATAATATTTAAGTTGATAGTCCTTCACCATCTCGGAGTGATGCGTTCAGGGCAGCCTCAGATAAAATAGTGCTGTGTTGCACGCACAGATGTTCAGAGAGCCTCATACAGGAGAACATGTAAAACATATGAGGACTTTTACACTAATATAAGTGGACTGAATAAGTTCAAGGCATATCGTAGCTATTTTTTTATACCATTTGTTATTGTTAAAACAAAACAAAAAAAGTGTGCAGCTTCACTTACACTTATTTGGATGAGCAATTTAATTACAAACACTCTTATAATTAGCTCATATCCACCATACAAGGTAACCCTAAAACTGCAAAAATCTCCCATATTTTATAACCCAAATGTTGGCAGGTATGTTTAGGGTCCACATTGGAACAATGATCCGATGATTTTCACATGGTTCCCTTCCTTATCAACAAAACATAGCTGTTTCCCTTGTAAAAAATATGTCATAGTTTCCTTCTTTTAAAGATCTTTTTTCATGCACATCTTGTCCTTAGACATAGGAAAAGCTAACTCCGTGATAAAATGATCCAGTCAGTTTTTAATTGAATTTATATCTAATGCCTGTTAACGAAAGTTGTGAAGATGAAGCTCTCCTTCTTGGAGTTCAATCCTTTTGAAAACGTGTAAGTCTCGGTTATTTAAGACCCTTACTGACTCTTGGCCTGGGCATATTTCGAGGGTAAAAATCTGAATGGTGACCACTAGAGGGCGAAAAAAAAATGCTAACTGCTGATTTTCCAGGTAAGTTGTTAAACCCCATTCTACTCCTGAGCCTTGTAGTCGTTGTTCTGTGTAATGCAAGACTTAAAAGGTAGACCCAAGTGTCTAACGTCAGACCTGCTTTAGGGAACAAGTGCACGTGGCACCGCCTACCACATAGTTGAGCTTTTCTGATAGCAACAAGGTGGTTCATGTTGCCATGGCGACGTTCCTAGATGAGTTCAACAGTGTTTCAGTTTACAGCAACGTGATGGCTTTTCCTCTGCTCGACTCTGACAGGGTAAATTCACTCTCAGCAGCTTAAAGTAGTTGTAACACTTTTAAAGAAGGAAAATTGGGGTTAGTAAGTTTCTAAAAGGCTTTTAACTCCTGCTGCTGCTGACGAGTACTTGTCATTTTAGGGTAATGTCACAAAGTAACGTCTGAAATCCTGCCGGGATAAAGTTTACAAGCGACCAGAACAAGGTAACTGATATAAAATGTGTGTTATTTCTGCTTACTTTCACTCTTTAATTCGCACTTTTTTCTCCCTAACAGAAAAGCTGAACAAGATGGAACGGCTGAAGCAGGTAAAGTTAGACATTTTTCAGTGAATTAGCTCTAGATACTCTCCGTGTTCCGCCTCACGTTTATGGCAAATTCACCTAAATCGAGCAAACACGCAAATAATATAATAGACTTATTATGCAGTGAGAAATGAGAGCTCAGTTGGCTGGTTTGCAATTTAAAAACCAATTTGCAGTCTCTCTGCATCTGATATTATGTTGTTTTTGCAAGCTTCTACTTAAAGCTCCTGTAAGAAGTTTTCTTTTTTGTTTATGAAACACTGATATTCTCATCCATTCATTTCTTTTCTTTTCTGTACATGTGTTTTAAATCTTTGAAGCCTTTGAATCTATTTGGCTTGTGCTTTTACAGAGCAGAATAGGCTATTTGACACACTTAATGAAATGTAGCTACAACTCAAAGTAGACTTAAGGTTGGAGTGGTGTTTACTGATTCTATCTTCACTGCAGATGGAGGACGACTCCATCTTCAATATGAGTCAGAGCAGAGGATTTTCTGTTCCCCCTCCTTTGCCCTTGTCCTTTAATGAAGAACCTTCAGATCTGTATAAAGTAAGTCACTGCGTCAAATTTAGAGATAGTCATCCTTTCCAGATAAGTCCAGAATATTTCAAACTCTGCCGCCAAAAGTGAACCAAACACTGCTTTTTTTTCCCCCAAGATTGTCTCGAGGCACAGTCATTACCCACCCATCCTCCAGACCAAGTCACGGACTCTGGCTGTTCCCTTCAAAGAGCAACGTCATCATCGCTCGCCCAGTGAGTCCATTGCAAACAACTTCAGCCCTGGAGCACAGGACCTCAAGATTATAAAACTTCAGCACAGGCGCATTACTGTACGCCAGACATTTGCAAAATCAGCAAGGTCTTGTATCCTTTGTGATTTCTCTCATATCAAACCCCAGGCTGAAACCTACCTGAGGATATCTGTGACAGAAATGTGTCTAATTTTGTTTTATGGTGATAGTTTTACACAAAAACCCTGAAGACTGCTCTACACATGTATAATTTTAAATTGTTGATCTTAATGAGATTTTTAGCATTCATCCTACCTGGAAGGAGTCCAGCGATAACACCAAGGAAGAGGTTGTTATGCCTTTAAAAGTACACATTACAATTGTTGCTTATAGTGGCATTACCATGTTTTCCTGGAGGAGCTCAATTTTACATGTTCATGCTTTTACAGGATTTCATCCTCCAGGGCTACAATAACACCTCAGCCAAAGTCCAGATCAAGAAACAGTTGCACTCCCAGTAGCCGACCTCTGAGTCCTGAAGAGCAGCTGGACATCATGTACAGCCAGGAGCAGAGGAGGAAGGCCATGGAAAGAGAGCCTAATGAGAGAGACCTGGAGGCAAGTATTCAGGATTCAGAAATGGATGTGACTTAGATCCTTTATTCTCATATTTCTGATTTTTGATCTAAACTCTACTCCCACAGAGGTATATGTATTATATCACTACTGGCATCCCCAGCTCTGTGCTGGCACCTCAGCCCTGCCAACAGATGATAAACATCAGTCACCTGCTGCCTCCTGTCAGCGGGAATAATAAACACCTCCAGATTATGAGGGCAAACTTGGAGGAAGAGGTCAAAAGAGATTATTACCTCAGCCTCAAGAGGAGCACAGGTGATTCTTGGAGACTTTTTAAACCAATATTATCCTCATTAATGTAACACCTTAAACTCCTATCAATCTATCAGTCACTATAAAATTGCTCCCATGCTGGTCTTTGCTAGTGGACTACATCCTGATGGATCCGTCAGAGCGGGAGCGACTGTCCATATCCAGCATCCCTAAGCCCTATCCCAGGAGGCTAATCCGTGCACCAGTGCCCTGGGCAATGAGCTACAGGGAGGCTCACGAGTGGCTAGGTCAACATCTGTATTCTGTCAATCACATCATGGTTCATCTCCAGGATGTCTGGCTGAACAGGTGAAAGTCTGAGTGTGTAGTTTGTGCATCATAGATCATTTTTTATATTCAGTTGTTTTGTTGCTGCTCAACCTTCTGAACACTTTTATTTTATTAAAATGCCCCGGTTACACTGTTAAGTATTTAGCATGAGAAAAAGTTTTTATGTGCTGCAGATGTTTCCATTTTCTTTGCAAAAAGTAGTCTCTAAACTCTCTATTTTTCAGCTCAGTGCAATTCTATGACACTGCCTGTGGTTTTTAGGAGCTGTCTTAATGCAATGTTTTCTTTCATGCACAAGTTGTCATTTGCAGTAGGTTTAAGTCTAGATAGATTTGCTTAATGCTTTAAGTACATGGACATGGTCTCACGCTTCAAATTCAGCTGGAAAATATTAGCCTTCAACTTGTTTTTTTCTTTGTCGGAATAAGTCCTGCATAACAGGGACTCATAGAAAAAAAACTACATTTTACAATACTGCTTGTTTTGGAATATAGAGATACACTTAATACATGTTGTGCGCAACAGCTTCAACAACTATGCCATTGGACGCCACATTATAAAGGACTCTTCACTCCCTTACAACAATCATTTTAACAGTTGAGCTGCTGTCTTATAAGTGTTTTGATAGAGCCAGTGGAAAGTAATTATAAACCTTTTTTTAATGTGAAGGTTTCTCAAGAACATTGAAAGTGTGAATATGTGTTTACAGGTGTGTCTGTGGTTATTTTCATATGTGTTCATTTTGTTTGGTTTTTCCTGTATTGCTGCAGGACGGCCCCGGAAAGGAAATCTAGAGCTCAATGGGTCCTCCCTGCTGAAGCAAAGGATGAAATTTAAAGATGTACTAACAAATGTCGCAAATAAAGTTAATCTAGAAAATATGAATCTTTTTCAGCTTCTCATCCTTGAGATTTGTTCAACTTGAGGACCTTTTCTCTGCCAGCCTCCCCTTCCCGCCATCTAAGTTTGAGGAGTTTGTCCAGGAACAGTGCCAACACACACGAAATGAACTGATCCAAAAGTGAGTACTGCCAGTACTAGACTCTCAGCACTGCCAGACCGTCAGTGACAACATGATGTGCTTTCTCTATCACTGGTGTGTGTCCTCTCTTGTCTTTGGCTTTTCTTTAGCTTGTACTGAATGCCCACAGTATGTACACAACTGAGAGAGCTGATCCTCGTCTATAGGTGGTCTCAGGTTTCCACCTTGTCCACTCTGTCAGGGCCACGTCAGGCTGCTTTTCAGAGGATTGTTTTACACGCTGCCTCACTTTAGGTTTTCATTGCGTCCTTTGTCTCCCGCCTGTTGTTGAGTATGAAAGACTATGTCACAACCATGGAGGAAGTGGAGCCGCATGACAGAAATATGAGACGCTGTAATTAGCAGAAGCAAGTTGCTGTTTGTTTTCTTGCTTGTAATTTGCACCTCCAAGAACTCTATTATTCTGAAGTGACTCCGTTTGTTAGCCGTACTTATAAGATTGATGACCTTCAGTCTTTGTTAAATAAGAAAAAATACAGTCCGAGCACATATTCAGACTAAAGTTTTCATTTAGAGGAGATCTAACATACTTGATTTAACTTTAATTGTGTCAGTCTAGGACATCTAAAGAGTAGCTTTGCTTGATTTGTAGCTCAAAAATCTCCTAATTTACCTTTTCCTGGGGTCCATTACTATTGTCTCTCATTATCTGCTGCTTGAAAACCACAAATTCCCAGTTTGGGGATGAATAAAATATCTGTCTATCCATCTTAAGAGAAAACTTACAACTCAACCCTCTGCTCTCAGGTGGCTGCCTCTCTGTGCGTCAGTCTTTAACACTTATCAGCACCTGTGGCATCCGCTCTTACCTGAGAGCAAGCAGGAGCCTCCAGTTGCTTTGCAGGAGTTCTTTAGCTGTGTGGCCGCTCTCATGTCCCTGCAGCTCCGGAGCTTGGTGATCAAATCTTTAGAAGACCTTCTTTATGTCTTCACTTTGCATGAGGTATTCAATCAAATGAAGTTTTTTTTATCAAACTTAAACAGCCTTCGTATTTTCTAGGAGGAGCCTCTCAGTCTTTTCACTCAACCACCCTCTATTTATCTGCATTTTTTAGGGAGGTAACGACTTTGGTGATGTGTATGATGAGGTGAAGTTTGTCCAGTCTCAGGTGCTGATGGTAAAGCTACAAGTGAACCAACAGCACATCGACTTTAGTCCGAGCTTTCAGGAATGCTGGGAGCTCATGTGCCGAGCATTCATGGAAATCATCAGGAGTGCTGAGAAGCTCCCCAGGGTGCGGTATTTCCTTTGGAATACAAGCAATAACTCAATACCACCTTTTTGAATGTACCCAAATAACAGCAATGCCCTATCAAACGCATCAAACGAGGACAATCTGTGTTTAATTTTGCTTCACCAGGTGGAATGTTACCTTTTCACCAATTGGGACGACTTGTATTTACGCACCGTCGATCCCGATGAGCCATTGGTCCAGAGTTTGATCAACAAAGCCAAAAAGGTGCTCCAGGAGAACACCGCAGGACCTACAAAGTAATGACAAATAATCTGAACCTGTGTAAGTGAAATATCCACATGTAACAGCAACTGTGCAAGAAGTTCTTATGATATATCTCATTTCTAGGTATTTGAATGTATATAAAAAATACATGAGTCTGCTAGACCATACAGCAAAGCAGGAGATATCTTCCTTTCTGAAAGAAAAGCACTCATTAGAAGAGTTTACCGAGGTAATTGAAACTTTCATTCAAAATTTGTTCTGAAAATGTTTTTCCTTTACTCACTAAAGTTCTCTTACCCCTCAGAAAATTGAAAGCATCAATCTCTTGTGGAAGGAGATCGCCTCGCTGCGTGTTACAGTGCCTCTATCCATGTTTTGTCTGAATGCTGGTGAGCTGAATGAAGACCTCTGTGAGCGTGCCAAGGGACTCGAAAACAAGATTATCGTGTTTAAAGTGGAGGAAAACCGAGAGCTGAACAAAGAGTGAGACTTCTTTAACTTTATCATTTCTTATGTTTCATTACATTTCATTCAAACTGTAAAAAAAAACACACGATTTTGCTTCTTGTAGGATTTGTCAAAAATATGAGGAGATAACTGAATTCATCAGACAGCCCTGTGAAACCACGGAGATGTTGGTTTCTGTCGATCACTACATTAAAAACACCAGGGAAGTGACCGTTCACAAGCTGATAGATGAGGTTGATGAAGCAACACACCGCCTCAGCTTCCTCCTGGCCTATGCCACTCTATCCTGTAAGTGACACTGCAGTATTTGCAAATTTCAATCAAAAGTAATCATGTCAAGAACACAAACACAGAGATGATGCATATTTTACATAGTCTTTTTTTAAAAATATAGGTCCTTTCTGCTTGTAGGGATATTGAAATATGCAGTTTTTATGTCTTCCTTTCTACAGCTGATGACATGAGGCTGAACACCCATCTTTTCCGGTGGCCCAATCAGATCCTTATTGAGCTGGAAGAAGGCAAGACTTGTCTATCAACCATGAGAGAAGAAGCTGAGGACCATCTTAACACAAGGTAAACAAAGTGACTTTCAAACTCCAACCACCCTACCTAACTGGGTATTTGTCCGTTAACTAGCTTTGATGTAACAAATCTTACTCCCCTTGCTTCTTTTAGGATAAATGACTTTGAAGAAAGACTGCAGGGTGTGGAAATGGAGATCCAGACCTTTAGGAAGGAGGAAATTATGAACATAGAGGAGATGAAGAACAATGTGGAGAAACTTGCTCAGATTACAGATAACCTTGAGTCTGCTCTTATTGAACTGGAGGTAAAAGACACTGCAAAATGACTAACATGCAGAAAATAGCTGCCAGGATTACCCAGGCGATTTTGAATTGAAGATTTAATGCAGAAATTGAGCTTTGTCCCTCTTTTACTCCCACAGGATATCAACAAAGAGCAGACTTTGTTAGAGAAGGAACAGAGCCAGTTCCCACTGCTCCAAACTCTGATCGCTGACAAGCAGCCATTCGACCAGCTCTGGACCACAGCACTGAACTTCCAAACCATGTCAGACGAGTGGATGAATGGTGGGTGACTCACAGGGGCCATTTTGATCTTTTACTTTGAGTCTGCGCTTCAGTCCCCAATGGTACAATTACAGTGGCAATAAGCAACATAAACATTACAACCGAAGAAAATCTTCCACCTCTCCATCTGCCACCTAAAATCACTGTGGAAACCCTCCAACCAAATGACGCACCAACGAATATGTGCATTTTGCCAGGCCTAAGCAGGAAAGTCAAGGTTGATACTGCAATACTCAAAAAAATCCAATGAACTTTTTGAAAAGTTCAGCACCAGCAGGACTGATATATCGCTCATCACATCAATCTGTTACATACCAGACCTGCACAATATGAGCTCAAGGTTTTATCCTGTTTTGGGTCATAATCAGCGACAGACGGTGTGTAACTGCTACATACTGTGATGGACTTTGAGTACCAGCGCTTTTATAGAGATAGAATCAGGTCCTTTTAAAGTTACTTCTACTGCTTCTACTTCTACAATTACTACTATTACTCCTACTTCTTCTACTACTCCTTCTTCTTCTGCTCCAACTACTACTCTTACTCGTACTACTACTACTTGGTCTTGCATTACTGCTACTAAAACTAAATCTACTACTTCTATTACTCCTACTACTACTATTAATTAAGTACTATTTAAATAATACTATTAATTCTTCACTACCACTAATACTACTACTCCTACTCCTGCAACTTTTCCGACTACGACTGTAACAACTTCTTCTACTGCTCCTACTACTACTCCTTTGACTTCTGCTTCTACTACTTCTTCATATACAACCTCTACTTCTACTATTACTACATCTATTTCTTATTTTTCTTCTTCTTCTACTACTACAATTACAACTCCTACTAGTACTACTTCTATGACCTCTTCTTTTACAGCTATTTCTACATCTAAGATTTCTTCTTCTACTTTCACTCACAATACTAATAATAATAATAACAGTTATAATGATTAGATTAGATTAGATTAGATTAGATAGACTTTATTGATCCTTTTGGGAAGGTTATCTCAGGGAGATTAAAATTCCAGCAGCATCAGTATGAACAAAAAAAAAACAGAAAAAAACATCAAACAATAAATCAATCAATAAATAAAAATAAAATGATCAAATAAGTAAGAAAAAAAATGCAATATATATGAAGAATAAAACTTAAAATAAATTATTTACATATAAAAAGTGAGATATAAAGCCATGGACATTTGCACATTACTATTACTGCAACTACTACAATTAATACTATGATGCAACTATGCCACTGCTAATATGACATAATAATAATAATAATAACAATAATAATAATAATAATAATAATAATAATAATAATAACAAAAACCCAGATTTTTTGTGTTGATTTAATAAACATTATGACATGCAGCTGCTGCTTTAGCTTTTAAAAGCTCACAGCATGTGCATGTACAATGCCTGGTCGTTTGACGTCTTTTTTCTCATGACCTCCAGGCCCATTTGGCAACCTGGATGCAGAGAAAATCTCAGATGAGCTGGACGTCATGTGGAGGACAATGCACAAACTGACTAAGACTTTCTCCAGTCTACCTGGGCCTGGCCGTGTGGTTAGACTCCTCAAAAGCAAGATAGACCTGTTCAAGCAGCACCTCCCTATCCTGACAACCATCTGCAACCCGGGAATCAAAGAGCGTCACTGGGAGAAGGTCACCTGAATTAATATTCTTTTTGATTCAGTAGCTCAGGTGACACGGAGAGTAATCCAGCGTCAGATTCACTTTGTAAGGACTAAGTGTCCTGTGATCCGTGAAGCCGCTGTGAATAATTTATGAGTCTTTTGTCTGTCTACAGATTAGCGGCATTGTGGGCTTTGATGTCAGTCCGGATGTGAACAGTTCACTGCTGAATATGTTGGAGCTGGGGCTTTCTAAGTTTTCTGATAAGTAAGTCATTGACAGCATTATGCAGTGCTGGGATACATCAAAAGGGCGCTGTGCCTGGGGGGAAACCAGCATTGGTTTTTATTTTGATCAAACATTTTCATGACTTGAAGGTGGTTCATTTTTGATTTATTTAACTCGGCCTTAGACTGGAAGAGATTGGTGCGTCAGCCAGTAAGGAGCACTCTCTGGAAAAATCCATGGAGAAGATGAAAAATGAATGGGCAGAGCTCCGGTTCTCCTTCACTCCATACAGAGATACAGTAAGAACGACTTAGTTAAACCACTTAGTTAATAAGTTATCGACCAACAGATAAAAATGCTTTAACACCATGACTCAACTTTAATCCATTATGCTTTTTACTCTGTTACAGGGTACAAATATTGTGTCTGCAGTGGATGATATCCAAGTGCTTCTTGATGACCACATTATTAAGACACAAACAATGCGAGGCTCACCTTTCATTAAGCCAATCGAGGCTGAATGTAAGGTAAGGAACTCTCAACCTGTAACACCAAATCAAATCAGTAAAGACAGCGGATAGAGCCCACATTTCTGATCAGATAACAGACTTGTCCTTTCATGTCCTGACACACAGTTATAAGTGAATTATTTTAAAACCAACACTGTGACATGATAAATAGATTTGGGAAAAGCCAGGACTGTGTGTGTGCTCAAATCCGCAGACTAAAACAACAAAAGTCACTCTGGTTTTGTGCAGACACAGGCGGCTTGGGCACAATTTCATGCCAGAACAAGTAACAAAATTGCCTGCTCTTTACAAACACAATCTCATTTTTACCACGCTATAAACCAGAGAGTGTGTGTTTTTTTAGCTATAAAATAACCATAAAAAGGCCTTGAACAGCCTGTTTGTGGAAATCCACATTGCTTTTTATCGTTTTGCATCAAAAGGATTCCGTGTTAACAACCATTTTCAAGGAATTCTGATTGTACAGTTTTGTTTTACATGCATTTGTTTGGTATGACTTGGCTTCATGGATATGCTACATCATTTTGTAAACCATATTTAAAATAATCCGTCATTATTGGACGGTTGTGGCTTCTTAAACCCTACATTTATATTGTTCTAACCTCTTTCCTCTTCTAACCAATTTCCCCTCAGTGATAAATGAAGTTCTTCTTCTCTTATCTTAAAAAGCAATGGGAGGACAAGCTGCTGAGCATGCAGGACATCCTAGACTCCATGTTGACATGTCAGGTTACCTGGCTCTACCTTGAACCGATCTTTAGCTCTGAAGACATCATCGCACAGATGCCTGAGGAGGGACGCAAGTTTGCAGTCGTGGACGGATACTGGAAGAACATCACAGCTGAAGCAGTAAGATTCTCATACCACACAATGATCTATTTTAACTCATTCAGAATCAGTTTTCATGCACTTTCCTCTGCTTTGTGTGATTTTACCGCTTCAGGTCAAAGACACACGTGTGCTTGTGGCCACAGGCCAGCCAAACATGCTGCAGCGTTTACAGGAATCCAATGTTTTTCTCGATGACATCCAAAAAGGTCTCAATACTTACCTGGAGAAGAAGAGGCTCTATTTTCCAAGGTTACAACCCAGTGCTAGTTCTGCTTACAGATAAAAAGTGGGCACTTAACGTTTTTCGTCATAATTTCCAAGAATGCAGTGTGGATTTTATGTTTTCTCTCCACCCTCATTTATCCTCAGATTCTTTTTCTTGTCCAATGACGAGCTGCTGGAGATCCTCTCCCAGACCAAAGATCCTTTGTGTGTGCAGCCTCACCTGAAGAAGTGCTTTGAGGGCATCGCCAAACTGGAGTTCACTGAGGACATGGCGATCACTGGCATGATCAGCTCAGAGAAAGAGACTGTGCCCTTCACAGAGAGGATTTATCCAGCCCACGCAAAGGTACACAACAAAGTCATTTGTTTTATTTGTCCTGATTTATGTTTGCAGATTCACTTTCAACTCTTTGGATACACACGGTGGTCTGTCTCTGTTTGTTTTGTAGGGAATGGTAGAGAAGTGGCTGCTGCAGGTCGAGAATCTCATGCTCAAGAGTGTTCGGCATGTCATCCATCAAGGAGTCATCCAGTACACAGAGGTATTCGGAGCTGAAACTTTCTAATATGTAAAGAAACCAAGGCATGTCTCTCCTTGGGACTGAGATGAATTTTAATCTTAATTTAAAGATAAGCAATATCTAAAATTTGCAATAAAAAGTCATGAAAGACTGTTTTCTACTCTTCAAACATTTACATTTGTGCAAATACAGTATGCTCCATGGAAATAAGCAGTGAATAAATTTTATTTCTACCATCTAATGTTTTTTCATGGTCTAGCTGCCCAGAAAAAAGTGGGTGTTGCAGTGGCCTGGCCAAGTTGTCATTTGTGCCTCCTCCGTATTTTGGACATCTGAAGTATCTGAAGCCATCCAGACCAATTCTCTTCCTGTCAGTAGCAGTACATACAGTCCATCACCTCATACAAAAATAATATCCCTGCCTAAAATATTACACCCTAGTCTTAACTGTGTACTTATTTTTATTCCAACAAAGGCCTATGTGGAGAAGTGTAATGCTCAGATTGCTGACATTGTGGAGCTGGTGCGTGGGAAGCTGCCAGGAGGTGCAAGGATGACCCTCGGCGCTCTCACTGTGATTGATGTTCACGGTAATTTAATTGTTGTTATAAATTTATGACATCTGATGATCTTTTGAACTCACTCTGTATCAAATGCTGCTTTTTTCTCTCAGCTCGGGATGTTGTGGCAAAACTAGCAGAGGATCGCATCTCCTCCCTGAATGACTTTGCATGGATTTCTCAGCTGCGCTACTTCTGGGAGGATGGAGAAGTGATGCTGCGAATGATCACTACCTGCTTGAAATATGGCTATGAGTATCTGGGCAATTCTCCGCGTCTTGTTATAACTCCACTCACTGACCGCTGCTACAGGTATTTCACATTTTATATAATAGACAAACTTTTTCCTTTGATATGGGAAGAAATACAGACTTGATTCCTTTTTTTGAATTACACTACATTTTTTACCAGAACTCTGATGGGGGCTTTAAAGTTGAACTTGGGGGGAGCGCCTGAAGGTCCAGCAGGAACTGGCAAAACAGAGACCACAAAGGATCTGGCAAAAGCACTGGCCAAACAGGTACATTAAACTAGTTAGCATTTAGCACTGATCAGCAATTTATCTTAAATTTTTCCGGACATTAAAGGTCTTCTTCTTTTTGCTAGTGTGTGGTGTTCAACTGCTCTGATGGTCTGGACTATAAGGCCATGAGTAAGTTCTTCAAAGGCCTGGCTCAGTCCGGGGCTTGGGCCTGCTTTGATGAGTTCAATCGCATTGAGGTAAGATTATTATGGGTGAAGATGAATTTATTGTTTTTTGTTTTGAAGCTCACAGTTGCTCATTTAGGTAAAGAATCAGAGCAAGAGTGATTATGGATCTAAAATCAAGTTTGCACACTCACATATTAGCAGAAACTTTCCAAGAAATGAAGATAAATTTAGATCAGTTGCAGCTCAGCAGGATGTGAAGAGGCTGCTTGGCTTTTGTACCAAATTGATTGGATTATTTTTAATACTCTTCAAACTGTGGGAACAAATAGAGTGATTGATGGATTGTTCCTCTTAAAAAGCACTGCCTTCATTTCATTTCTTGAGCTGTACTCTGCTATAATCTTTAACAAAAATGGACCATGTTAAGAGTGAACACTTGACAAGATTTACTCTGCAAGTGAATTACAATCTAGTTAAGGCAGCAAACCCATGTTCTTAGCCTGATAGGCTTAAACTATTGAATAATTGGATGATCCCTGAGAGAACTTCTGTCAGTATATTGGCATGATACATAATATTTAATACATCAGGTATTTGAGTTTGTCAGTTTACTATTGATATTGCACATAACAGACACAACACAGATTTTAATCCCTCAAATTTGTACAATTCTTAAAAAGTTCGCCTAATTACCTTTTAAATACCTGCAGATCACCTGCTGTTTAATTTAAGAAAGGCAGTTATCACCTTTTACACCTGTTGTATCTTATGTACCTGAAACAGTTTTAATAGGATTGACTGTGAAATTAACTTCAGTGATCTGTCGTTTTACTCCAATTAATATTCCTCTTAAAGTGCCCGTAACAACTTGAATGTTTCAACTTCCTAAACTTTTTAAAAACTGGATTAATTAAGCAATTTATTATTATTATTATTATTATTATTATTGTTATTATTATTATTATTATTATTTAATTTAATTTATTTATTTATTCATTTATTTATTTCTCCCCTGCAATGGCCCAAATTTAATGTTAGCCCCGGGACAAGGGTGGGGGCAAGGGGTGTGGATAAATGGAAATGTAATGAAATAAAACAAAATAAAAAATTGATCACACACACAAAAAAATACAATAAAATAAATAACTAAATAAGCTTTTTAACAACTGGCATAAATATCAGCATAAAACCACACAAGGGTCACAGACTGACAAGCTGTGTATGTGATGTGTTACTAGAGGGTCCTCTGGGGCCTGCATCCTGCCCCCTGGTGGATAATTGATGATTTACATATACCTGGATATATTGATGTCTCTTCCAGGAATAAAAGTATCACCCTGATGATGTAGAGGTCTCTCAAACTTCGTATTTAACATGATGTGTTCATAATTACTTGGTTTCTCATTGCTTCCTAACTGTGTTTGTTGTGTGCTCGTCACAGGTGGAGGTGCTCTCTGTGGTGGCTCAGCAGGTCCTTTGCATACAACAGGCCATTGCCAAAAATCTGAAGACGTTTCTGTTTGAGGGGACAGAGTTGTCACTTAACCCAACGTGCTCTGTGTTCATCACCATGAACCCGGGTTATGCTGGCAGGGCTGAGCTTCCAGATAACCTGAAGGTACATGCTGAGATTGAAATAGCCTCGTCTTAAAGCTAATTTAACAGATCAGAGAGTGAAGTTAAAGGTGAACTGTGAAATGGTGAGACACAGTAAGATGCTGCAGCAGGTAGTACATTTGTCAATCTTTTCCTGCAGGCTCTTTTCCGTACAGTAGCCATGATGGTGCCAGACTATTGTCTCATTGGAGAAATCTCATTATACTCCATGGGCTTCATTGAATCTCGCAGGTATGAGTGAATTACCTCTTCAACAAAACAGCCCAGTGTTTTTTCCAAGTAGGTTGATTCACCGAGCTTTATACATCTCTGATTTTACCAATAGTCTGGCTCAGAAGATCGTGGCCACCTACCGCTTGTGCTCTGAGCAGCTCTCCTCCCAGCACCACTATGATTATGGTATGCGAGCTGTAAAGTCAGTGCTGACTGCAGCAGGGAATCTGAAACTGAAGTACCCGGAGGAGAACGAGAGCGTGCTGCTGCTGAGGGCGCTGATGGACGTCAACATGGCCAAGTTTTTAGCCCAGGATGTTCCACTGTTCCAGGTGACAGATCAGGAGCACGGTTCAAGGCTGCTTTTTTTTTCCATTTATCATAAGGTAAAACAATTATCCAATGTTATTTCTCTACTGCTGCCCACAGGGTATCATCTCAGATTTATTCCCCGGCATCGTCCTTCCAAAACCAGATTACGATCTCTTCCTCAAGGCTCTTCACGACAACATCGCCAAACTCAATCTCCAGCCTGTCCCATGGTTCATTGGAAAAATTATCCAGGTGCTGAAGAGGAATATTTTCTTCATTAAGGCCTTTACTACCTTTTGTTTTGCATTAACCACATTAATCAACATAGTGATGATCTTGTCTCTGTTTATAGGTGTATGAGATGATGTTAGTTCGCCATGGTTTCATGATAGTAGGAGATCCATTAGGAGGAAAGACCTTGTCATACAAAGTTCTTGCTGCTGCTCTGGGAGACCTTCACAAGGGTTAGTGTTTCAACTTACAATTGTCCACAAGTTTCAAACATTTTCAACCTATTTGCAAAGATTTAAATTTGTTATTTAAATCTGTTATTCAAAAAGTTATTCAATATTTTTCTAACTTTTCAGCTAAGTTGATGGAGGAGTTTGCAGTTAACTACCGTATCATCAACCCCAAGGCCATCACCATGGGCCAGCTGTATGGCTGCTTCGATGCAGTCAGCCACGAGTGGTCTGATGGTGTGCTTGCCACCTCCTTCAGGGATCAGGCCAGCTCCACCTCAGAGAATCGACAGTGGATCATCTTTGATGGGCCCATTGATGCCGTGTGGATTGAGAACATGAATACTGTGCTAGATGACAACAAGAAGGTAGTCTGGTGCTTCTGTTGCAGTGTAATCCCGATAGTCTTCTCAAATTAACTCAGGGCACTTGTGCTCTAATGAAAAGGAAAGCACTCAGTCCTTACCTCAACATTAATGCTCTGCTGAGACCCACCATACAGCCCAAGTATGTAGGCAGATGCAGATTAATCAGTAGCAATAGCATACACTTCACTGTGGTGATCATGTGGGCATCTTCCTTCACTGGTGTTATGCTAAGTTAGGTCCTTATCACCTTAACAGCCAATTTCCCCATCCCTGAACCACCCCTTTCCATGCTGACTCCTCCCACCGTAATCCCACACCAACACAGGGGAGAAAAAGCAGAAACAGAGAAAAAAAATATCTAGATAAATGTTAGCCAAGATTATGCAGATAAATGCTGAAAAGAGGACAGAGCAGTCAGATTTTTGGACACAGTTTCCATTACGTGAAATACTTTGATCTACTACATGTCCATTAGTCACATGTTGGCCAGATTTAAAGGTTTTTGTGAGATGAACAAATTGGATTATCAGTCTCTCTCTTGTCTTTCCCTTGTCTCTGCTAGCTTTGTCTGATGAGTGGTGAGATCATCCAGATGAGTCCGAAAATGAGTCTGATTTTTGAACCTGCTGACCTGGAGCAAGCCTCTCCGGCTACCGTTAGTAGGTAAGTAACTTAGAGAGAAGCTGACCAAGCAAATAACAAAGATTGAAAGTTTAGGAAAAAGTTGCTGGTTATAATTTGTTATCGTCTGTAGGTGTGGTATGATCTATATGGAACCTCAGCAGCTGGGCTGGTCTCCTCTCAGAGATTCCTACATGAACACGCTGCCTGAAAGCCTGAACACTGAGCATAGAGGACTGGTAGGATTGTGAACTTGCAGTTTAATGAGGTGCTGCTTAGTTTTTCTTTTTTTACTGTTAGATCATCGAAGATATCTTATATCTGCTCCTTTGTTTTTTCTCCTGCAGATAGTCGATCTGTTTGATTGGCTGGTTCAACCCTGTCTTGACTTCATAGACAGAGAGTGTCGTTTTGTGGTCCAAACATCCCCCATCCACTTGGCCTACAGTCTAATGAAGTTGTACACTTGCCTACTGGGTATGAGAGAATGACATTTGGCAGTATAAATTTTTGAAGGTTTATATGTATTAACATTTCTGTCTATACCTAGATGAAATTTCAGAGTCAGGAGCCAGCGGTACACCAATGTCCAGCCGGCAGGTAACCATATGGCTGCAGGGTCTCTTCCTGTTTGCGGTTGTTTGGACTCTGGGTGGGACAATCACTGGAGAGAGTCGCAAGAAGTTTGATGTTTTTTACCGCAATCTGATCATGGGCATGGACGAAGAGCATCCCCGGCCTAAGAGTGTCAAACTGAAAAAGAACAACATCTTCCCTGAAAGAGGTGCAACATTTCACAGCAGCTGTCTTCTAAATAACTGTGAAAATCTGCCATTTTAACACAAGGAACCCTGATCATTTCCAGGCTCTGTGTATGACTACTATTTCCACAAAGACGGTCAAGGACAGTGGAACATGTGGACGGATTCAATCACAAAGGACGAAAACATCATTCCAGCTGGAGCTAATGTAAGTACAAGTTACCTCCGGTTTCAACTCTTGAAGAGCATATTCTATACTCTGTTTCTCCTCATCAGGTATCAGACCTCATCATCCCAACCATGGAGACGGCACGTCAGCTTTTCTTCCTGCGTACCTACCTTGCACATGAAATACCCACGCTGTTTGTCGGACCCACTGGCACCGGCAAGTCTGTCATCAACAAAAGCTTCTTGGTAAAGCTCCCTAAGGAGCAATACACACCAAACTGCATCAACTTCTCAGCCCGCACCTCAGCAAATCAAACCCAGGACATCATCATGGCTAAACTGGACCGAAGGAGGAAGGGCGTGTTTGGACCTCCTGTGGGAAAGAAATGCATTGTTTATGTTGGTAAGATAGTCACATGTAAAGTATAACTTCATCCTGCTGGTTTAAAGCCAATCTTTGATTTATACAAATGTTACACATAATTTTGTGTGATTTTTAACTCTTCTGCACAGATGATCTAAACATGCCTGCTAAGGAAATCTATGGCGCTCAACCCCCAATCGAGCTGCTGAGGCAGTGGATCGACCACCATCACTGGTACGACAGGAAGGACACCTCCAGACTGAACATAGTGGATGTGCTGTTTGTGTCTGCAATGGGGCCCCCTGGTGGTGGAAAAAATGACATCACAGGTGTCGTAATACTTTGTTGATTGAATATGGGTATTAAAAAGTAGATAGAGTTCAGTTAATTGCATCTTGAAAAATGCTTCTAATGTCAGGCCGCTTCACTCGCCACTTGAATATCGTCACCATTGATTCTTTTGACGATGAGACGCTGACCAAGATATTCAGCTCCATCACTGACTGGCACTTTGGCAAGGGCTTTGATGCTTCTTTCAACAGGTAACGTCAAATTTACAATAAATTAGAAATCATACATTTGTAAAATCAAACAAAGAAAGACAAGCTTATTGTGATTCGTCCTCTGTCTAAGACTCGGCAAGATCATGGTCCAAGCTACCATGGCGGTCTATAAAGACACAATGGACAGCTTCCTCCCCACTCCATTAAAATCCCACTACATCTTCAACCTGAGAGACTTTGCTCGAGTAATACGAGGTGTGCTCCTTGCACCGCATACACACGTGCAGGTAAGTGGCAACAGAAGCAAAATATTTTTATCTGTCGTCTTGAATATTTTCACTCATTTGTTTAACATGTACCGCAGGGTGGAGACAAACTGATCCGCTTGTGGATCCATGAGGTGTACCGAGTTTTTTATGACCGACTTATTGACGATGAAGACAAGGAGATGTTCTTTAACATTGTGAAAGAGAGAAGTTCAGGCTTCTTCAAACACAGCGTGGAAAAGGTTTGGTCACACACCCTCAAGGTTCACTTCAGCCAAAGTCAAAAGGCTTGTTGACTCACCATCTATAAAACACAGCAGACATTTTGGGGAAAATGCGCTCTAATAAAAAAAAAATGTACAAAGTAGATTTGATTGACTGCTGCATTCATGTGCAATAGGAAATATAGAAATCGAGGGATTTCTAGCTGAGGACTTAGTAGCCAAACTGGAAACATGGACAACAAAACCAGCTGTTGGAGTACCAATGCTTAGTAGAGTGTAGTAGTGTGTGGTGTATTAAGAAAGTTGACTTGTTTCCCATCTAAATTCTCTTCTGTTCTTGTTTAGCTCCTGGGCCACTTGAGCCCAGATGGCAAAGTAACAGATGAGAGCATCCGCAGCCTGTTCTTTGGTGACTATACTAAGCCTGACTCTGACGTCAAGGCCTACGATGAAATCACAGATTTGGGTGCCTTACAGGAAATCATGGAGTTCTACTTGGATGAGTACAACAGCTGCAGCAAGACACCCATGTCCCTTGTCATGTTTAAATTTGCCATCGAGCACATTTCTCGCATCTGCCGGGTGCTAAAACAAGACAACGGCCACCTTTTACTTGTGGGCATTGGGGGTTCAGGGCGTCAGAGTGCCACCAAGCTTGGCACCTTCATCAACGACTATGTCCTGTTCCAGATTGAGTTGACAAAGACGTACAACATGTCAGACTGGAGGGATGACCTGAAGAAGATAATGCTTAAAGCAGGCATTGAGGGGAAGAGCCTAGTGTTCCTGTTTAATGACAGCCAGATCAAAGATGAGGCAATGTTAGAGGACATCAACATGCTGCTGAACACCGGTGATGTACCTAACATATTTGCTGCAGATGAGCGTGCTGACATCATTGAGAAGATGCAGGGGATCGCCCGCATGGAGGGCAGGAAGATTGATGCCACCCCGCTCTCTTTGTACAATTTCTTCATTGACCGCGTGAAAGCAAACCTTCATATCGTGCTAGGTGAGCAAAGCAAGGTTACCTTTTTTAATTTTTTTTATTTTAAGTAGTTTAAACTGACACTTTCTGTATCGAACAGCCATGAGTCCTATCGGCGATGCATTCAGGAACCGTCTCAGGATGTTCCCCTCGCTCATCAACTGCTGCACCATTGACTGGTTCCACGCATGGCCGAATGACGCTCTAGAGATGGTGGCCCATAAGTTTCTGGAGGATGTGGAGATGGACAGTGACATCAGACTAGAGTAAGTATGCAGTTGTGTATATCCTGGCACAAACATTCATTTTTGGTTCCGGTAATAGACTGTAAATTATAATGGACACCAATTATGTTCACTAACTGTAAAGCCAAAATGTGTAGAGCTCCCCCTACAGACTGGCTGCTGCAAAGGTCATAGATTTTAACTCTTTCATGTCAGCCAATGGAGGGTGGGTCAAACTGTAAAACTAGCAGAGTCGGAGAAGATCCAAAACTGTTTATTAGTCCCTCGTTTGTTTTTTTTCTGTGATCTCAGAGTGGTAGAAATGTGCAAGACCTTCCAGACAAGCGTGCGAGAGATGTCTCAAAGGTACTTCTCTAGACTGAGGAGACACAACTATGTCACCCCCACCTCCTACCTTGAACTCATCCTCACCTTCAAGACTCTCCTCAACATCAAGAGGAATGAAGTGAATACTGCCAGGAACCGTTACATCATTGGTCTCCAGAAGCTCGAGTTTGCAGCATCGCAGGTGATGAACTCTTGAAGTGAACACCTTTGATTTTCTTGTCTTTTCTAACCTATTTTAGGCTCTTTTCATGATCAAACTTGCCTCCACGTCCACAGGTGTCAGTGATGCAGGCAGAGCTGACAGCCTTGCAGCCAGAGCTCATACAGACCTCAGCAGAAACAGATAAGATGATGGTTAAGATAGAGGGAGAAACTGTGGAAGTGGACGCTAAGAAAGAACTTGTGTCTGCTGATGAGAAAGTGGCGAATGAAGCAGCAGCTGCAGCACAAGCCATAAAGGTACACATGTATTTCTGGAGCACTGATATATTAAACCAGTGTGAAAATGTCCATAATTCATGAATTTTCTAATATTTATACATCTGAGAATTTTTCTGATTTTACAGGAGTTTTTGAAAATATTTGATTGTAGATTTATTCACCTGTTTGTTTATCTGTTTATCAGGATGAGTGTGAGGGAGACTTGGCAGAAGCAATGCCTGCTTTGGAGGCTGCTCTGTCAGCCCTGGACACCCTAAAACCTGCAGACATTACAGTAGTCAAGTCAATGCAGAACCCACCAGGTCTGGTCAAGCTGGTCATGGAGTCCATCTGTATAATGAAGGGCATCAAACCAGAGAGAAAGCCTGATCCTGGTGGCTCAGGTGAGATCCAAGTCACACAAGACTTTTTTTCAATCAAATGGTGTTTTTATGACTGAGGGTGTTATTTCATATGCTGAAGATGCAACACTAGATCTATTGTGCATAAATGTGTTGCAGTTAAGATGATTGAGGACTTCTGGGGCCCTTCTAAGAAGCTCCTCGGTGACCTAAAGTTTTTGGAAAGTCTCAAAGCATACGACAAAGACAACATCCCTGCTCCATACATCAAGAAAATCAGAGATAAGTTCATTGATAACCCTGAGTTTCAGCCCGCTGTGATCAAAAACGTCTCCTCTGCGTGTGAGGGTCTCTGTAAATGGGTGCGAGCCATGGAGGTGTACGAGCGTGTTGCCAAAGTGGTTGCCCCAAAGAAGAAGAGGCTGAAGCAGGCAGAGGAGGAGCTGGCAGTGCAGATGGAGATGTTGGCTGTGAAAAGAGCTGAGCTGAAGGAGGTGGAGGACAGGCTGCAGAGCCTGAATGATGACCTGGCTGCCATGATTAACAAGAAGAAAGACCTGGAGGACAACATCGAGCTGTGTTCTCAGAAGCTGATAAGAGCAAAGAAGTTGATTGAAGGGCTTGGTGGGGAGAAGGACAGGTGGACTGAGGCTGCAAGCCAACTGGAGATCCGGTATGTTGAAAAACTGTCTTTCTGTTTTTTCGTGACACTTTATTTATTTATTAATAAATTTGCTTTGCTCTAAACTTTCTCTCTGCAGCTACACCAACCTGACAGGTGACATACTCCTCTCTTCAGGGACTGTTTCATACCTCGGAGCCTTTACCGTAGACTACCGGACAGAGTGCCAGGAGCAGTGGCATATCCAGTGCCAGGAGAAGAAAATCCCCTGCTCTGAGGACTTTACCCTCAGCAACACCCTCGGAAACCAGGTCTCCATCAGGGCGTGGCAGATCGCTGGACTGCCGGTTGACTCCTTCTCCACAGACAATGGGATCATTGTGTTTAACTCCCGCCGTTGGCCGCTCATGATTGACCCTCAAGGCCAAGCCAACAAGTGGATCAAAAACATGGAGAAGGCTAATAAACTAGCTGTCATCAAACTCTCAGATGGAAACTATGTGCGAGTCTTGGAGAACTGTATCCAGTTTGGGACCCCAGTTCTTTTAGAGAATGTTGGAGAAGAACTAGATCCTGTTCTTGAGCCTGTGTTGCTGAAACAGACTTTTAAACAGCAAGGCGTGGAGTACATGAAGATCGGGGAGAATATTGTAGAATACTCTAAAGACTTTCTGTTTTATATGACCACTGGACTGAGAAACCCTCACTACCTCCCAGAAGTGGCTGTCAAGGTCTGTCTGCTGAACTTCATGATTACACCACAAGGCCTACAGGACCAGCTTTTGGGGCTGGTGGCAGCTAAAGAGAAACCTGAGCTGGAGGAGAAGAAGAATCAGCTCATCCTGGAGAGCGCCGCCAACAACAAGCAGCTGAAAGAGATCGAGGATAAGATCTTACAAGTGCTTTCTTCTTCTGAGGGGAACATCCTGGAGGATGAGACTGCCATTGAGATCTTGTCATCTTCCAAAGTCCTTTCTTTTGAGATCTCAAAGAAGCAAAAAATTGCCAGTGTGACAGAAAAAGAGATTGATGACACTCGTATGGGTTACCGCCCTGTGGCTGAGCACTCCTCCATCTTATTTTTCTGTATCTCAGAGCTGGCAAACATCGAGCCCATGTACCAATACTCCCTGACCTGGTTCCTCAACCTTTACCTGTATTCCATCGCTAACAGCGTTAAAAGCGAAGACGTGGCTGAAAGGATCAACAACATAGTCGATCACTTCACCCTCAGCATCTACAACAACGTGTGCCGCTCACTTTTTGAAAAAGACAAGCTTCTTTTCTCCCTGCTGCTTACTGTCGGCATCATGCAGGGCAAGGGTCTGATTGACGACCAAGTGTGGCGCTTCCTTCTCACAGGCGGCATCGCTTTGGACAACCCTCACCCCAACCCTGCTCCAGAGTGGCTCTCTGACAAGTCCTGGTCTGAAATTGTCAGGGCATCCAAGCTTCCAAACTTGGACGGTTTCTTTGAACATGTCCAAGACAACATCCCTAAATGGAAGACGCTCTATGATTCAGGACGGCCTCATAAGGACGAGTTACCTGACCAGTGGAGGGAGCTGGAGGGGATGGACAGAATGGTGGTGATCAGGTGCTTCAGGCCTGATAAACTGGTCCCAGCAGTCCAGGATTTTATAGTGGATATCATGGGACAGGCTTACATTGAACCACCAACTTTTGACTTGGCAGGGAGTTACAAAGACTCCAACTGCTGCTCTCCTCTCATCTTTGTGTTGTCACCAGGATCTGATCCAACTGCAGGTGCTTAACTGAAAACTTAACTTTATCCAAACTGTACATTACTGTCAAATAGAGGAGTAAAGCTGGTTCAGAGGTGACTATTTCTGAATCTAAAAGAGTCTAAAAGAAGTGCTTTTTTCTGCAGGTCTGCTGAAGTTTGCAGATGATCTAGAAATGGGAGGCAGTAAGACCCAAACCATTTCCCTAGGCCAGGGACAGGGACCCATAGCAGCTCGGATGATTGACAAGGCCATCAAAGAAGGCACCTGGGTGGTGCTACAAAACTGCCACCTGGCCACCAGCTGGATGCCCACTTTGGAGAGGATCTGTGAGGAAACCATCACCCCAGAGGCCACACACCCCAGCTTTAGGTAACTGATTCTACTGAGTGAGTTTAACCAGATCAAGAACTCGCAGAGATTGATGTTTGAGAAAAGTGTCCCCCCTTCCCCAGGTTGTGGTTAACCAGCTATCCATCCGACAAGTTCCCCGTCAGCATCCTGCAGAACGGGCTAAAGATGACCAACGAGCCTCCTAAAGGGATAAGAGCCAACCTGCTGCGCTCCTACCTGAGTCACCCCATCTCTGATCCTGCATTCTTCGATAGCTCTAAGAAACAAGCCATTTGGCAGAAGTTCCTGTTTGGTCTGACATTCTTTCACGCTCTGGTGCAGGAAAGGAGGAACTTTGGACCTCTGGGTGAGAAATTGTGCTGCCCTTTGTGTTTTTTAAGGATGCTCGCGGCTTTTCACTTAAATGTTTTAAAAAGATATTTTTCATCACATTTCTCATTATTCAGCTGTTGTTTAAATATGGAAACCCCTCTATAGTTTGTACTATGTCCATATTCTCTTAGGTTGGAATATTCCCTATGAGTTTAATGAGTCTGATCTGAGGATCAGTATGAGGCAGATCCAGATGTTCCTGGATGAGTATGATGAGGTTCCACTGGAGGCTCTCACATACCTTACAGGTAAGGATTCAAAGATGCTAACACAGCAGAAATGTGGTCAGACCTCTTTGTAACACCACAACTAGTTTTATAAAGATTTAATGATCCTTTCTCATCTCTCTCAGGTGAGTGCAACTATGGCGGCAGGGTGACGGATGACAAAGACAGGCGTCTGCTGCTGTCGCTTTTGTCAATTTTCTACAGCTGGGATCTGATCCAGCAGGAGGGCTACCACCTGTGTGAGGGGGATCTATATTATGTCCCTGCTCACGGCCCCTATCAGGTACTGTCAGCATGATTGTCAATTTATGCGAAATGTTACAGCTATCATTATCAGTCTTACCATGACATGAAGCAGCTTTCTTCGAATTATGACCAAATTAAAAGTATTTTTGAGAATAATGGTTTTAATCTCAGTCTGCAATGTCTTCTTGATAATGTTTGGCCCTAAAGGAGCCATGCTCAAGATCATAATCACTGTCACTGTCACAATTAAATAAAGATTAAAAGAAATAAAACTTCTCTTACATGATTTTCTTTCTTTCAGACTTACGTTAGCTATATCCGCAGCCTTCCAATCTGTGCCGATCCCTCTGTGTTTGGACTTCATAGCAACGCTGACATCACCAAGGATAATCAAGAGACCAATCAGCTCCTAGATGGAGTTCTGCTGACCCTGCCCAGGCAGACAGGGGGCGGGGCTAAGTCTCCACAGGTTTATACTATTTTTAAGCCTATTTTAATTTCCTTAAAGAAGAATCTCATACAAACTAATTTTCTTACAAACAATTGTAGGAAGTAGTTGATGAGCTTGCAGAAGACATCCTGTCCAAACTGCCTGCAGACTTTGACATCCAACTAGTGATGGATCTGTACCCTGTCATGTATGAGGAGTCCATGAACACTGTTTTGAGGCAAGAAGTCATCCGCTTTAACAGGTAATGACAACTTTTGATGCAACATGATCATGATAAATGAAGGAGACAAACTTCATTTCCAATCACTTGTTGATCACATGGATAAAAAACCTTATCAGACTCCACTTCTTTTTTCACAGACTTACACATGTGGTTCGCATCAGCTTGATTAACATCCGCAAAGCCCTGAAGGGCCAGATCGTTATGTCTGCTGAGCTTGAGAACGTTTTCAACAGTATGCTGGTGGGCAAGGTGCCCGCCATGTGGGCAGCCAAGTCATATCCATCTCTAAAGCCAATGGGGAGCTATGTGACCGATCTGTTAGCCAGGCTGCAATTCTTACAAGTAAGAATTATGGTCCTACAGTGCAGCAGAGGTGGAATATGACTGCCAGGATAAATGGAGCACATACTGAGCTTTTTGAATCCAGCAGCTTGGGCTGTATTTACAGTTTGCTTTGTGTGTAGTTTGGAAGAGATTTAAAATCACATCAGTATGTAAAATGATACGAGAATGAATCGATTTGTTACATTCAGACAGCAGTCAAGCCACAGAATGAATTGTGTCCCACCTAATGCTTGGATGTTTCTTTGGACAGGACTGGATAGACAGTGGCCCGCCCACAGTCTTCTGGCTCTCCGGTTTCTACTTCACTCAGTCATTTCTTACAGGAGTCGCTCAGAATTTTGCCAGGAAGTACACCATCCCCATTGACTACATCGGCTTTGAATTTGAGGCAACTATTCAGCTTTGCTCTATTCATATGCATTTCAATAGAGTTATAATGGGGATGTATCAGGTTGATATCTATAGTGCGATTTGTGTTCCAGGTGACTAAAGAGGAGACCCATATGGAGGAGAAACCAGAAGACGGAGCCTATGTTCAAGGTCTTTTCATGGAAGGGGCTCGCTGGGACAGAGAGAACATGGTCATCGGCGAATCTCTTCCCAAAATCCTCTTTGACTCCTTGCCTATCATCAAGCTCAAACCAGGTGAAATGGATAAATTTAAACATGAAGATGTCTACGTTTGTCCCGTTTACAAAACCAGTGCCCGCAGGGGGACCCTGTCCACCACTGGTCACTCCACCAACTATGTCCTGTCTATCGAGCTGCCTTCCGACAAGCCACAGAAACACTGGGTGAACCGCGGGGTGGCCTGCCTCTGTCAGCTGGATGACTAAGACCGAGCATTAAGTGATTTAATCTGCTGAGCCATTGAAGCGATGCATATGCCAAAGACAGACTGTGTGTTTGTGTGCCAAATAAATACAGGTGCAAAACAACACACTAAGATACAATTTTATACTATACTGTTACCAAAACCACTACTGACATGTTGTCTTTTATTAATGACATGATATCATACTATTTGAAACACATTTCTTGGATACTTAGCTTATGTTTACATATGAAACAAAGTTGATATCACCAATTTACTTCACTTTATATATACAGAGTCTGTATTTGACACCTCATCAGACAAGTTTCCCTCTGTGAGCTGCATATTTTGTGGATTTTGAGTAAGTTTTTTAAAAAGTTGGATATATTTTACTTACTTTTCTAACAAGCTCTAATCTTGTTAATATGAACGTAATATTAACAACTGGAACTTTTTTGTTATTAAAAAGAGCACAATGAGCATTTTATTAAGCAATTTCTGCACTCTGTTTTTTTTTTTTGGAATTTTGGAATAATTTCTCGTGAGTATGTATAAAACGACTGGATACTTGGGTGCTTTCTCAAGGCGAACACTAGATGGCAGCAAAGGCATGCCATACCGAACAAGAGTCTCAACTTCTCCCCATGATGATGAATGTCTGCGCTCATTAGTTTTCACTCAAATATTAATCTCTGTGAAATTTCTACCTCAGAAACATTAAGAAGTGTAATCCTCCAGCTAAACAATGTACCATCAAATGCAACTATGGATCAGGAGAAATATAGTCAACTCTGCTGCCTGCCTGAAAAACAGGCTGTGAATGTTAAAGACCCCCCCATCCACCTGAGTGCAGCAGGAAGCCAAATACCTTTCTCACCTCGCTGATTGAAGTCCAGCCTGGGAGTTAGACAACGATTTTCTGTCCCGACAGGCAGATTCATGACTTAATTATGAAATGCCAGGATTCAGCGCTGGATTAATGCCGCTCTCTGCATGCAGGCCACACATTAGAGCGCAGGACGCACAAATCACAGCCAGGCCTTTGAGGGATGGACTCATTCAGACAAACTTTTCTGAAAAGAATGCTCAATACAAAAAGGCCTGGTGGTGTCATTTCACAAAAGCAGACAGCTGAGGAGTACTGCTGCCCGACTGATGGTGTATTTATGTGAGAGCTGCCTGATGTTATGTGAAGTCAGCACTTGTGGGTTTATCATAATTCATCTGACATCTGAATTCAGGCACTGTGCCCACAGCCAGGCTTGATTATAGGGCATAAAGAACTGCAACAATAAATCTATAAGTTACATAAAATAGGATGGAGTGCTGCTGTAACAGTCCTCAGACATTTCCAGCATCACATGTGTGACTAAGGCAAAACCTTTGGTGTTTTATCTGACTCAAGATCAAGTTTGGGTCGGCTTTCTAAGAGCAACAGAAACAATTGGAGAGTTTGGAGAACATTGCAAAGAAAAATGGTTTTGTTCCATCTTATATCAAGTCTCTTTAGGCCTCATCTTTCTTCTCTCCTCTCATCTTACTGACCTCATATCCATTGCGGTTATTGATTCAATATCAGATCCTTCAGATTATGGATTATTTCTCAGCCTTCGACTCTTCCTTTGCTCTGTTTCAACATAATTTGTCAGGAATTTCTGTAGTTTTTTGAAGAACATACTCTAGATTGTGTTAGATTCCCCCCTCTGTATGTCTTGTGTTGTTAAACATGATATCCTACTGACTTTGTCTCTCCTCATTTTATGACTCAGACACCTCCATAAATTTAACAGCACTTCACAAAAACTCTACTTTAGTTTTCAGGGCAAGGACACACGAGCACAGAGCTTTTGCCAGTATCATTATGTTAATGTCGCGCTGATACTGACACAGAAGAACCTCCTGTGTTTTATGATAAGGGTCCGTTAAATGATTAACTCTTTGAGATACTGTGCTTTATTAAAGGGGAATTATGCTAAAAATGGAGGAAACACTCATCCGATAAATCACACAGCAGTAGCATTGGTTTTGTGTCAGTGAATGTTACGCTGACCTTGATTTGTGTAAGTATTGGTCCAACTGTGTGTCAACAAGCAGAATCATTTCAGCTGTTTAGAGCATGTTGTTTATCTTAGACAGAGGCACAGAAACACTGCAGCCTGTGCACCGTGGACACCAATCTGCCCAGAGGACCTTGATGAACATTTCTCCCTGTGTTCTAGCTCCAGTAATTACATTTCACTGGGAAAAAAAAAAACATCTGAACTCATTCATTTTATTTGTGGTCTACCCTTGAGGAGACATCTTGGCGTTTATCCCTGAGCAATGAATCACAAAAATGTCCTCCTGGATCCTTGAGCAAAATCCATGACCTTGGTTTTCATTGGATTTACAAAGCTGATTGATAGTGCATTCTTCTGTTTAAGATGTCGGGGACTGTCTCAAAGGGGCAAAGACGAAAGCAAGACATCAAAATTTCAGCAAATTAGGATATTAAAATACTTTTATGTTATCAAAACATGCAAAACTGATTCTACCAAATGTACAAATGCACAGTTGCCAATTCAGGTGATATACTGGGCTACAAAATGTGTTTTTTTTTATATCTTAAGGACTAAATTTGTTAAAGGTTACTGTAAAAGTTGCCCCCCTAAACGTTTACAAGCCTACCCTTATTTTTGATGCAAGATGGCCTTCCAAACGCTGCCCCATGCAGATGCTCAGTTATCACAACTTAATTTGCTATGGTGGCCTTTTTTAGTTTTTCACCCCTGTCCCTCAAATAACCTGTGTACACCCCTGCCATTTACAGTAATATTTAGCCAACCTTGCATTTCAGTTTTGAATTTAATATTATAAAACCCAAGCACCATGGTGACAAGAAAGAGTTTCTATACCATGTCAATTTGGTCTAAGAAGTGATTCAGATTTTAAATAAATATATTGTTTTTATGTTTATTGGTGGTATATGGGGTATTGATTGTCTGAAGGAAATGATGTTTTATGTGATTTTCAGTAGGCTTTTGATCATACATTTTACAGTTGTAATATTAAGAAAGTACTTTAAAAGGATAAAATGATCTGTCCGTCCAGTCAGACCAGTCAGATTTAACAACAGTGTTCAGAGACTTGGCTGATCATCTCAGGAAAAGGTTCTGATTTATGAACTATTAAGAGAAAGTAGAAACAAAAGCCACTCCGTTTTGTTCCTGTAGAGACGGAACAGTACAAAACACCCACCCATCTGTCAGACTGATGACAGAGGAGGACTTTATTAGCCTGCTGCTCCCACAGACACACACATACAGAGAAAGGCTGTTTAATGAAGAGTGTGGTGAGAGACGGAGAGGGGCGGATTAAACCCGGAGCTGGTGGTCTCAATGTAAAAATAATCATTATTGTTTTAACTGTCATGTGAAGGATTTTAAGTCGGACAAACAGAAAAAGACTCATTTCTGATCGCACACGCGCATCAATCAAGCCGTCGCGAGAATGTGAAAGGTTTTGGCGGTGGAGGTCTGGAAGGTGTGTCGGTCGCTGCTGTCGCTCAGCTGTCACCCCGGCTGTCAGCCTCCCTCGGTGTGTGTGTGTGTGTGTGTGTGTGAGAGAGAGAGAGAGAGAGAGAGAGAGACACAGAGAGTGTGTGTGTGCGCGTGTGAGGGAGGAGGACGCTACGAGAGAGCGAGGGTGTGCGCAAGCTTGAGAGCAAGAGAGCGAGAGTGAAAGAGAGAGAGCGAGAGAGAGAGAGAGAGAGAGAGAGAAGTTTCCTCTGCTTTTGGCGCATGTTCGCGTTTCGCTCACTTCACACGATGGCACGCCTGTGTCAGCGTGCAGCGCTGTTGCGTCTGGAGCCCCGTTGCTATCAAGGAAATTGAGGAATCTAGAAAGTGTCACCATGGCCGAATTTGGACAGAGCAAGCCCACCGTCGGTCCACCGGTTGCTGGTCGGAAAGCTTCGTCAGGGGGAGCCGGAACGAGGCTGGAGACGCACCGAGGGGAGCCGGTGTCAAACGGAAACTGCAGCGTGCAAGACACCGTGAAGAGGGTCCAAAACGAAGCCAGTTGCGAGTCCCCGACGTGGGAGAGCGCAAGTCTTGATTCAGGCTCCAAGACAATCCCACGACGCAGCAGTCTGATCAAGGTAGGCCATAATTTCTCCAGGGAGACACAGCTAATATTGCTTCGATATTTGTGGAGGAAGCCTTTGAACAAAATAACGCAAATTCTTCCAACTCCAAAGTAGACTGAAATAACTATCTCAGAGAAGATGTCTAAGACGGACAAAGTCAATAAAAACACTCGAAAAGGCTACAACACGCTTCTGCTAGAGTGTTGTGCTGCTTGCAGAGAGCCTAAAAAAACACAAGAAATTCATTGAAGTCATGAAAATCTCCTCTGAGTCATGCATACAGCTCTGTAACAGAAACACTACTGAAAAATACAGATCTGTAAACACACAGTTAATGCACTGTGTATGGGCTTCCTGTCAGCTTCCTCTCCATCTGTGACAAATAGCAGAACAATCAGTCACCTCATTTCACTCACATGTCACTACTGCTGAAAAAACTTAATGAGAAGGCCATGACTGATAGGTATTTTAAGTCAGCATATATTATATTTTGGCTGAGATAGTGCACTACCTGCCAAACCCAGACAGCTGATTTTCTGAACAAAAAGCCTTGACATCAACTACATCTGACTGCACAGGTCTTAAGAAACAGATAACTCACACTGATCTTTTCATTTGTATCATTTAATTAGCTACCATATCAAAAAGAATGATACAATTCAATGCAACACAGTACAATGCAGTACAAAATGACTTCTTTAGAGTAAGTTGAGATGTCATACTACACCATATCACACCTGATTTATCATATCATACAATTCTATACAAAACGGTACAATATGATACATTACAAAACAAAACAATATGTTATGCTATAAAGTCCTACAATTAAATTTTTAGCTATGGGACACTATATGGTACAATACGATACAACATGACACAGTAAGTTATGATACAATACAATAAGGTAAAGTACGACGGTAGAGTATAATATGATATGATATAATATGATAAAATATGGTGTGACACAATATGAAACGATATAATATGATACAATATGGAACAATATGATATGATGTAAAATGACACAATTGGACAACACACATGATGCAATACAATACAATACAATACATGATATGATTGCCACAATATGATAAAATATGACATGATACGACACAATATGATAAAGACTGATATGTTGTGGCGCAATACTATATTGTACAATATGATACTATATAATACAACACGATTGACACAATACAAGCTGAAATAAAAGTTATGATAGATATGATATGATACATAATATGTTATCATGCAAACAATACTCTTATGCTAAGCTTACAAAACTGTTGTGTAGATAGGTAAGATTAGATATACTCCATTTTACCAGTTTATACTGTGGTGTTTCATACAGCTTAATGAAATGCAATACAATGAAATACATTACAAGACAGTATTATTTGCACAAGATCATAATGTTTCAGTTTAATACAATATGGTCTAGTATAATAGAAAGTTATAATGCAATAAGGCAAGGCAAGGCTTTTTATGTATACCACTATTCATACACAAGGCAATTCAAAGTGCTTTACAGATGCAAGGAAATACCCAAGAAATGAAAAAAGAGAGATTAAAACAATTAAAAAAATCAAAAAGACATTTTGAAATCAATGACATTCTAAAATGTAATTTAAAATCACTAAAAAAGTTGAAATTGACAGGTATCATTTAGTGTGATACAACACCACATGACATAATATAATACAACTTGATGTTATATGATAAGATTGGGCATGAATGCTGCAAATATCAAGCTGACTCAGTAACAAAGGTGTATAGAAACAAAACACAATATCAACAACAACAACAATAATATGTGTTTTTTAAACTCAGCCGTGCTGAAGATGTTTGGCTCCAGCCTCAACTTAAGTAAGTGCTCTCACTTATTAGCACTTCATCAGCCAGAAATGAGGAGGAGGAGGAGAAAGACCTAATAAGTGAACCCACCTGCTGTGGTCTTTGATTAGAATGTGAAATTGCATTCTCTCCGCCTTCTTTGGCTCACAGTTGAATACCCCTTTGTTCAATTAACCCCACTGCCCACACTCAGTTCAACTCACATTTCAGAAAATGTCACATTTGTCTGCACATAGCCCTGGAAACAGTCATCAAACTTCACTGTTCATGTTATTTTTGACTCAAAAGGCATTTAAAGTTTCGACATATCAATAGCATCAAATCAATAACTCATCCCCTGACTTTTTCCTTTAATAGTTTCAGCCTCCGGGCATGTGGGAGGCCTTATATTGATCCCTAGTTGCTGCTCGTCTCCAGAGCTGCTGCCTGCTAAAACATGATGATTTGAACACGGTTTCATCTGTATCTGATTGGCTCAGCAAGACAGGAAGCGAGCCAGTTGGCCAATTTCCTCACAGGGTTCATGTTGCAATATTGCTATTAAGTCATGAGCAGTCGGTGATGACACCTTCCACTCTTTTTCACTGCAAGACACGCACATTAACACACAAATATTTCTCACCTCTCTGCCTACGCACAGGCCCACTCTTGTCTTTCTTCTGTTTGTTTCATCGGTTCAGCCAGGATTGAAAAAAAACACTCTGTTTGCTCCAGTGAGGTTCTGCCGTCTCGTGCTGGGTCAGAATTGGCGCTAAATAAGATCTGGCTCCGTGTGCCGCTTCACATCCACTGCCATGTTTGATGTGTGACGTTAAATAGCTCCAGAACACAACATCCACCCCGGGTATTGCCTGTAAGTGCATCCTGTGTATTGAAGCAAAAATTAGCATGCATTTGTGGTGCGATTATGCATTTGGCTCCTGGATGTTCAGTGGGCACATTTAATGCTGAGAACGTTCAGTGAGTGATCAGCGAAGCGTCAAGCACGGTGGCGCATGTATATGTTTGCGCTCACCCTGCAAACGTGCTTGTGTTTTCAATCACAGACACCTGAGGCTTGAGATGGATGCAGCCCAGTCTGAGTACGGGGGAGTTATGAACCCACCTGTCAACACAACAGTGTGTTTTTCTGTGTTTGCTCAGCTCCCCCTGTGGCTAAACTCAGGAATCCACACAATTGTAGTCTGGGTGGTATGCTGGCAGATAAACAGGAAACATGACATTCCAGTCTGCCTCTAACAGGAGTCAGGGGATCTGTGTCCAGTGTGTGCGTGATTGTGTGTGTCTGTCTGTTCTTCGTGGCCAAGTTAATGAGTGCATCCTTAATTATGTTTCATCAGTGTGTACTTCATGCCCTCCGCTGTCCTCCAGTTTAATCCGTCTGACTGTGGTGTGCGTGAAGGCGGTGCAGAATCAGAATCAGAGCCCACTCAGTTTGTGTCTGCTTCAAGTTCATCTTGATGAAGATAACCATCAGCTACTCTCTCCCCTCTTAGTTACAAGCTTTGATTCAGTAACACACATCAACACACAAAAACTTGCACGGGCCTGCCTTCAAGTAACACACGTCAAGACATAACAAGCTGCCTTACAGTTCTTGCATTACTCTTGCCAGCATACACCATCAAAAAGCAGAAATATACAGTTTGCATGTTTGAGTATTCATGTGAGAGAGTATGTCTGTGCAAATCTTGCTGTCCTTATGTGTTTTTCAAAATGCAGTGTGGTTGTGAAATACATTTATAGGAAATTAGGAACTGTCTTGAATCCTTGCGCACGCTCATGTTTCTTCTTGACTGAAAAACAAAGCTAAGACACTGTGAACTTAGATTAAAATGAACATACAGAGGAAAGAGCTCCAGAATAAACCAGCTACATGCAACTGGAAAGCTCAATACTTTTCATGTAGGCCCTGATCTACTAAGATCCAAAATAGTGAGCGCTACATTGTGTGTGCAAACTAAAAAATTGCACGTGCTAATTGTAGGTGTGTTGTGGGTGATTTGCTATCATTGTGTGCGCAATTGATAACGAGTGCAAAAGTGGTGCAGACCCTCTTTAAAGGAGGATTTTGCTTGCGCTATTGGCCGTCACCATGGAGAGTTTGTGAGAGCAGAGTGTTTGAAGCCATAGAGTTGCACATATCGTATTGGGGAACTGCACAAAAGGCACGGCAAGTTTATTTGTATAGCACAATTCATACACAAGACAATTCAAAGTGCTTTACAGATACAAGAAGATATACTAGAAATCAAAAAAAAGTATTAAAACGATTTAAAATCAATAAGACAAACAGATAATTTTTTTTCGTCTGCTCCGTGTTTGACTAGATTATTTATGAAAATTGTCATTTACTAGAAAAACGAAATTAATCACAAGTTTTTAGACAAGGATCATGGCATGTATCATTGCACTTCTGCCTCCTTCTCCCCACAATGACCGTGCGTAATGCTGTGTCAGTTTGCATGTGCCTTTCAAATGTGCTTTATATAGAACAACAGCGATTGCAATTGGTTTTCGGGTTTGATAGATCACACTGTGGGTGCTAAATGATTCCATTTGCATCTGCTCCTCCCAGAATTTTATGCATTTTGATGATCTACATTCTGTATATTTATGACGGCAGACATGCTAAATCGATTGCACGTCTTGTTCATTTGACAGACGCAATCCTTGGTGGATGCTAGCACCACAACCCTTTGGTCCTTCCTGCAAGTTCCAGTCATGCCTGTTCTGGTTACACAGTACTGCAGTTAAGTTAACCAGACACTACCTCCATACGACCATATCTCAGTTTTTGAAATTTAAATGCAGACAAACCATGCTGTGACACAGATGCCATCTGTACGTCTTTACATTTTGATAATATTTTTTGAAATATTATAGCAATGTGACAGCCCCAGCTAGTAGCAGGGACTGGCATTTCAGACCTTTAGTAAACAACATTAATAACCAGTAGGGTCCACATCCAGAGGGTCCCTGGGTCACAGCTAGTCTGTCCTCTTTTTTTTTTTTTTTGTTTTTTGTATGAAAATCGAGTAGAAATCCAAATTCCACCAAATCTGTCAGACAAATGTGTGAGCGGTTCCACCCAACCCTTTTGGGGAAAAAAAGAATAGTTTAGAAAGTCACCAGTGATTGGATGCTCTGGTTCAAATCTGGTAATTCTCACTAATTCTCACTGTCATTTTTGCATCGTAACTTGTAACTAAGTTTTCAGCTGCCCAAACTCATATAGGGAACTACAGTGCCTCCTAAACAGTATACTGTGTGACTAATGTTCAGACCAAAGTGCTCAATCGTTGCTGGAGCCAAGCGGCAACTTTTCAAAAAATAAAGTAAATTTGTTAGTGCTAAAAACTGCAGTTTCTCAAATGTCCACTTGAGGCTGGTTCCAAAAGGCCAGGAGACACTTTTAATACCCATGTTGAACTATCTCTATTATAAGCAGAAATCTTCATTCTCTCCTCCCAATCTTTTCTCCTTTCAAAACTCAGGACTAATTCTCAAGCTGTTTTGAGTTCTGATGCTAAGCTACCAGAGAAATTTATCATATTTACTGAAATGGTTAGCATTGCTTGGCAGTTTTTGAGCCGACTAACTTTATTAGTAATCTGCCTGTAAACAAATTTGATAAATCTCTTTATCTGTTAATATCTTGAAACTTTGCGAGCATAATTGGGATCTAAAAATATTGCCAAACAGCTGGGGAGGGGAGTTATGGAGTAGAACTGCCCAGATCATCTCCTGCAAGCTAAATCAACATCTTTAGCTAGCTCTAAGCCCTTTAGCCTATGTGAGCATGGCCCTGCACGGCACAGGGAGTAGATAAATCTTCTCTCTGATTGTAATAGAGCCTGATGACATATTACACTGAGCCACTGTGGTGATTTAGCTGCTGCACATCTTCACTTCATAATCTAAACCTGGTCATGCAAGAGCAAAGCTATAGAGTATGTGATTGTGTGTACTTTGATTATATAGTGCGTGGATGTTATTCGGCCTCACCGAAGTCATCACTGGCTTGTGTGAAAGCCTCGCCCTGTAGTTAACAGCTTTAACCACCTGCTCTTGGTTTCAGTCCTCACATCTCACCTAAGCATCTTTGACGTTTGTCAGCTGACACTACAGTTACTTTTCTGACAAGATGACCTTTCAAGTTAACTGTCGACTTGGTTTATTCTCTGCGTTGCGTGTTTGCTGGTGTGCTTATGTGCTTATGAGTGCCCATAGGACTTCAGTGGTTAAAGCACAAAAGAGCAGCTGCTGCTCCTCTTGCCACAAGGGTAGGAATCGTCGACCTGAGCATTTACTGAGAATCTTCACCACATTTTCATGCTGAACATTATTCACATGTACAATGAGCTGCTGACAGAGTGTCTTCACCACATTGGGTTTCCTGTGCTGTTTAATGACCTGTCATCTATCACAGTCTCACACAAGTCCCACTCTGACAAAAGACAAGAAGACATTCAGGGGTTTAACAGAGGGCGGAAAGTAATTAAACTGCATAATTTTGCTATCAATGCATTTGAACATTCTTATGATTTATTCTAGAAAAAATAAGAAATGCTCACGGAAATGTCCCTGAGGGGTGGTATCATCAAACTTCTTACTTATCTTGACCAGAAATAAAAAATCAAGCCTTATTCATGTAGGATTTTTCATACAATTCATATGAAATTCTAGGTGCTTTACAGAGATTGAAAATAAAATGGCCCAAAGATGACAGAAAATTAAATAACCAAATGTTAGCAGTCGGTGATTTCATCATTCTTATGAAAATAAAATGCATAATAATATTGCAGATTACTGTAGAAAGAGATTGTTTATACGGTACCTATAAATCTTCAGTATGATTGCATCATGATTTCAAGGATGTAAGCGTTGAACCCAAAGCGCTGCATGCTTAAAATCAGGCACACAAAGCTATGCACTGTTCCTTGATACTTTGGAAATGTTTGAATAACATTACAGATTAATGTTCAGTATAAAAAAAATTTTGGTATCTGAGTAACCATCCATCATTTCAGATGGTATGTAACCTGCTTTCTTTGGCTTCATCAGTAATAGGTAAATGACACACTGCACAAAGCATCAGAGCTGTTGCTATGGTAACCTGCAGTACAATAGGCCATACCTTGTGTGGTGATTCAGAGCAGTGAATTAATTGTTAAGTGGAGGTATAATTTAATCTTTGGTTTTAAAGCCTGCCTGCCAATCAAAATCAAGCACATCCATTGTCATGGTAAAATGCAGTAAGAACTATGACTCCTTGGACAGAAATAGAGTTGTTTTTCTCTTCTGTGTTTTTACCCTAACATTTGATCTGTATTGTAGGGTTGTTAATTGTCTCTCTGAAGGCCTCTTCTTCGCATCTATACATCATCTGTGTTTCTTGTACATCGCCTGCTCACCTTTCTCCATGGTGTCGTGCCTTAGTGTGAGAGGCACTTGAATTCACTACTCCATTTATCATCCATCATGAACTGTCAAACACACAAGGCCACAGGAAAGACAGCTCAGCCTCCCGTCCAATTTACACTCCTCAGTTCAGCCTTTTCGCTCACCTAATAACCGCCTGTCCTCCTCAGATCTTCTGTTCGTCTCAATTAGGGAATCAAAGACGACGCCCACTAACGACCTTCATCTTTATTCTGCTGACTCGGTGATGCTGCAATTACTGTAACAGGCCAACTGCATCTATATGAACATACACTGTCATACATCATATAATGCAGGCATGTAAACGGGCTAATCAAGGCCATGCTAGTGCCTGTAGGCAAATATCATGTGCAGAGGTTCTGTCACTGTATACATTAAGATATACTGCCAAAGAGCTCCTGTGTTCATATCTCTGCAACCTCCCTCTAGCTCTCTTCTTTCTCCTTTACTGCTATTTATTGTCAATATTGACTTCATAAATATGATTCCCTGTCGTCCTGTGTGCTCTTCTCTTATGGCTCCTATCCCCTCACCCCATACCTACCCCTGCATGTGTCCATCTGCCCACATAGTTTACATGGTACATATATACTGGTAGGAAATCAGTCTTCTGGAAGTTGATTTGATTTGGAAAATGTCTGAATACATTTTCAATTCCAATTTAATTTTGACCTTTCACTTCTTTTACTGTAACTGAAAAATTAATCTCTCCACTCTCCATTAAATGCTGCATTTTACTGTTGAGCCCGTAATTAGAATCCTCCCCATTCTTTATGCTTAATCAATAATTTTATCATAATTTACAAGTGAGTAGATCTGATTCAACTGCAATACTTAAGAGCCTCCATTCATTAAAGCTCTGTATTCATCAGGTCATAAAAGTGCAGACCTATATAAGGACAGGGATGTGCGCATGATTAGCTTTGACTATGTAATGGGGAAAAAAAGGCAGAGAGACTAATAAGATCCTTGTTTTAATTGATTTTCGCTGGAAAACTGTTGCTGCTGTGCTGCCGTATCAGTTTCATAAGAACATAATGAGTTCCATGATAGAGAATGATGGTCTTTATTGTCATTCATATGTCTATTTGTGCCATTTGCTTTAAGAAAATATAATAATATGATTTCTTGGACCAATATGAGCTTTTATTAAATCTCTTTTTATTCTGCTGGTGCATGGTTTCTTCCACAGTGAACAGATGCAGAACTCCAAAGTTATCAGGATGATTTTTCAACCTTTTTTTAAAGAATAAAACAGCCACTGAAAGAAAATATCACATGGATTCCTAATATGCTCTCGATAATTTCAAATCATTAAGGCCTCAATATTTGTGAGAAATTGCCTCTTACTGTCACACACAGTACTGTCTTTGGTGGAGGTGAGGGGACGTGTCTGGGTAGGACATGCAGGAGGAGGAGGAGAGTGCAGAAGTGGTGACTGTCTCTAAGCTAATATTAAGCAACATACTGTGTGTTTCTGCAGAAAGACTCAGCAATGAAACCCACAATACTGACAGCTGCAGTGAGCTATAAAGAGCATTAAAATGCAAAACTTCTCAATATGAACACAATCATCACTCCCAAGCTCACTTGATGCAGATATTTTTGCAGAAAGCTGTGTGGGAAAGTTAAACCTTCTGCATGCACAAACTCAGACTATGTGAAGAAATTTCCAGGAGTGCATGTAAAAGGAAGCTTTGTCCTTTAATTCAAAAAGATTTTTATCTGGATCTTCAGTTCCCTTTAGCAATAAAAAGTTTTTTAACCTCTGTGAGCTCTTTGTTTCTCCCTCACAAACTACTCTTCGGTTTTATCTCTTCTCTCTCATCAGGGTTGGTTTTGGTCACATTATGCAGCTGTTTTTCATCAACTTTAAACACAAACAGCCTGAGAACGCATGTGAGAGAAAGATGTGTAAAACTTTTGCCATTTGAAATACAGCTAAAGTACAGTAAAATTTTCAGTGGTGGAAAAATGTTCAACCTAAAAATATCAAATAGGTTACTGGAACAAGTGCTGTGAGAGAGTTTTCACACCACACACAGTGACATCCGCCTACACTGAGTCACTTTCTGTTGTTCCTAATAACTCTTCTGGTTCTCAGTGTTGTCACCTCACTCTGCTCTCAGTGGAGCCACAGGAAGTTCTGTATGTCAAGCTGACGGGCAGCTTCCTGTTTTTCGTGCGGCGGTTGTTTTGGAGACTCATCTTGCTCTCTGTCGGGAGAAACAAAATAGAGCCTTTGTGAGAGGGAAATGCGGCACAGTCCAACAGAGATTAAGCTAAATGAAAGTTGAGTTTTATCAGGTGATGGAGGCTAAACTTATTTTGTTCTTCCGTGTGTGTGTTTATGCATGCTTTAATCTGGTTGGACACTGTGTGCTTCAAATTTACCTTTTTTATTTCATTCATGTGTTTATCCACTTATCTCCTGTTTGTGCCCTCTAGTTTTATCTTGCCAGTATAATTTATTCAGTCTTCAGTGACGTCAGCGAGGTTTGTTTGTGTGTTTGAACTCTGTCTGCCTCCCTGTCAGTAATTGATGCTGTAGACTAACAGAGCTAAATGTGAGGGACAGCGCCGTCCACATGAGATAATCAAATCCTGGCTGAACAGGCCTGTGGGAGATACCTGGTGTTTCCCCCCTTGCTTCAAACAGGACATGTGACATTGATTTAATTTTAAAAGGACAATGGCCATTGTTTGATAATCACACTACAGTCATTTCATCTGCTGTCACTCTTGCTACATTTGCAAAAAAAAAAGTGAGAAAAATTTAATGTCAACGAAATCTTATCCAAGTATTAGCTAGCTTAATATTAGCTTTTAGGTAGTATTAGCTTTTAGTTTAGTCCTCGCTTACTGTTTAGATGCTCAAAAGGTTATTTTAGCTGCTTCCAACTCTGCTATTTCAATGACAGCTGTGTGTTACTCAGGATTTGTGCATTTTGTCTACCAAAATTAGCCAATTTTTTAGCTAAATGTGACTTTGGCTGTTATCTGGCAGTTGTCAATATTAAGTTAGCTAGAATACTAAAAAAATTACTAAATTTTAAAGTAGGCTATGTTCTGTAACACTCTCTGGAATTAGTATTAGCTAGCTTAATATTAGCTATTAGGTAGTATTAGCTTTTAGCATGGTTCTAGCTTACTGTTTGGCTGCTCAAAAGCTTATTTTAGCTGCTTCCAACTCTGCTATTTCAATGACAGCAGTGTGTTACTCAGGATTTGTGCATTTTGCCTACCAAAATTGGCATTTTTTTTAGCTAACTGTGCCTGTGGCTGTTATCTGGCTGTGGGTATTTAACTGCTGGTCAACATTTAGTTAGCTAGAAGCCTAGAAGTGTGCTAAATTTTAAAAGAGGCAATTCTGTAACATGGTGCAGTGTCATATTATGCTGTGTGCACGTTACCTCGGAAGTCGGTGCTGAAAATGTCGTCACACCAGAGTTACCGGTGTTTCAGTTACCAAGTCGGAAAAAAGCAAAATTGGAGGTGAAACAAAATGGTTACATCTACGAAAGTTATTTTAGCGCTTGCCTTGTCCGAATATAACACACAAGGCAAGCGCTTAAATATATTTCGTAGATGTAACCATCTTGATTCCAGCTCCAATTTTGCTTTTTTGGTAACTGAAATACTGCTAACTTGGGTGTGACGTCATTTTTAGCTCCGACATCTGACTTCCTAGGTAACTTGAATGCAGCATTAGTCAACAGCCAAAGTAGCTCACTGTACTGAGTCAGTAGAGCTACTTCAGTTTGTGGACTATAAAGTCATTGTTTAGCTTGTAATTTGATAAGTACCCCTGCATTGTTAACTTTTATTGTCTTTTCAGTTGCTAATGTCTGAGGAAACAGTGAAATAGTATTGATTTTCCAGAAAACCTCAATTCAAACAACTCTTAACAGTGGGCCATTAAGCATCTGTTCTCCTCAACCTGAACAATAATGTCAGAGTTAAATGTGTGCTTTGTGTCTTCAGTCAATATTATTGCTGTCTGTACACCACTGATGATGTGTAGGAAGTCACACAGCGTCTTTGGAGACCCTGTTACAGATGTGAACTTTTCGACCCCTGCACAGTGTTTGATGCCGGTACAGCCTCTGAGAGACCATAATAATGCCACATGCTTTGAGAGATTTACATTCACCTCTGTAACAACGCTGCATTAAAAGAGACTGTGTGATTGATAAAAGACGGAGCAGTACATTTCTGCAGGAAGGTGCATGTGTCTTTGAGCCGTCAATGATTATTGTCTGAGCACCTCGTTTTGCATCATACGTGGATTTCCCTAGAGCTTTCTATGAAATTATTCAAACCCAGCCCTGTTTTTAAGATGAAAGAGAGAGATGCTTGGTTGCATGGTTAGATTTTCAGATTCTCTCCCTGCTGCCAGGCTGGAGTCACATCTGAGGCCTCCTATTTGAGGAAGAGTTAAATTTAGAGCTGTTTGTAAAAACTCTCCAAAGGGGCCAGATTTTTTTAATTAGAACACAAAATCAATTAACTCAATTACAAGTCAGCGCTTTATTTTGTTATTGGATCACCTGCCACCTACGATCTGTTTTTAGGGGCTATCAGAGCTTTGCTCTCTCTGTCAGCAGTTTTTAGAGGAAAGGAGACATTTTTAATGGGAGGGTCTCAAAGTCCACGCCCTCTTTTTCCCTGCATCTATCATGCCTTAAGGCACCAGGGGTATTTTTAGAGCACCACCTTCCTCCCGCCCTTCTTCCCTCACCACGGCGGCCTCATAAAAAAAACTTGTCGCCATTGGTAACACTTCTCCATCCTAATGAGGCGGTCTATGAGGATTTGTGATGGTTATGTACCCTCCTTTTCCTCTGAGGGAAACTGTTTCATCCTCAGTGAATTAAGCTTCCCCTCTTTTGCATGTTCATTCATACTCTTTAAATGAGAACACAGCTCGGGTCTTTTCCCTCTCCCCCCTTTTCTCTTATCTCCTTTTTGCCTTTCATATCCTCTAGATTTCTTTCAGATCAAGGGTCCCCTCCTTTCTTCTCTTATGAAAGACCAAAGTTCTCTTGAGGTTTGAAATGAACTCTTATTTGAATGAATCAGAGACATGCTAATGAGATTAATCAGACACTGATTAGTATTCACTGATGTTCATTATAAATATTAAAATGTCAATCAGCCCAATGCTGATAGGATGGACTAAGATGGATATGAGCTCCATATGTTTGGAGAGGTTTTTCATCAACAGGCTGGATGGGTTTGATCTTCCATGAGTAACAATCATATCAGCAATGATCACAAGATTTTTATCTCATCAAAGTAATCGCACAAGTTTTACTTTTTGTATACACACACACACAAATGTATGTATGTGTGTATATATATATATATATATATATATATATGTATGTAGTAGTTATTTGTTAGAATTTCAACTAGGGCTGGGTGATAAACGATAACAAAATAAATTGAAAATTAATTTCCTCAAAATCAATATAAAACATGGTCAATATCCTTTTTGATAGCTGGCATTCTGCCATGTTTTGGTAGACTATATGAATAGCCAATGAAAAGGGGAGTTGCTCTGGGTCCGCTTCGCGTTGAACCAATCGTGATGAATTAAAACAAAGTAGCAAACAACTGCGTAGTAGCAGGCTGCAGCGACACGCAACCGTAGCACTTTAACACGTGAAGCCGACAGCACTGTTGGTGAGAAAAAAGAAAATGAATGCTAACCCCGGCAGAAATGCAGATGAAGGTTTAACAGATGATGACATCGTCGACCACACTGGCACGAAAATGTTGGTGGTGTGGTGGTATTTTGTTTTTTTGAGGTCGGACATGAAGCAGAGTAATGTGCACTGCAAATGATGCTGAGTACATGTTCTCGTGAAGTCGGAGAATACCTCTAAATTTTTTTCACCGCCTGATGCAGTGCCATGTGCAGCTAAAACAGCTGACCATTCAGTCCGCTTTCTCTAACGCAATGCCTTATGACAAAACGTTGAAGAGACACAAAGACCTCACAGATGATGTAGCTTATAGTGTTGCTAAAGACATGCTACCAATAAGCACTGTTAAATTACTTTTTTTGTATCGTGATTTAAATTGATATCGACTGATATGAAAAAAATATATTGTGATAAACTTTTTCCCATATCGCCCGGCCTTAATTTCAACAAAAAGATAAACTTTCTCATATTACTTGTTGGGCCAGGCGTGAATTATCTTCATGACAATTTTGATGTTAGGAATGAATGCAGTAGTTGTAGTCCCTTTCCTGAGGACCTCTGTTTGTAGAAGATCTTGATGCGCTGACACCAGCCTCTTGTGAAGCTCTCCCAAGTGCTTGATTTCACTTGACAGTCCTCTCAAGGCCGCGCTCATCCCTGTTGTTTGTGCACCTTTTCTTATCACACTTCCAGCCAGCTTTCCATGAATATACTTTGATGCAGCACTCTCCAATCAGCCAGATTTGGCACTGACCTTCAGTGACTTCGCCTCCTTGTGGAGGGTGTCAGACAGATTTCCAGACACCTGTCAGGTCTTTTTGAGATGCACATGTGTACAAGGCATGGAAGATGGTTTTGGCTCAGCGGTTGAATTGCACAACCTGTGTGCAAGTGCTGTAATCCTTGAGGTGGGCAGTACAGTTTTTTTTTTTTTGATTGATTGATTGAAGTTTATTTTGAACATAAAAAAAAATAATAATAAAAAAGTAAAGAATACAACAACAAATGACAAAAAAGTTATTAGAGTTCAAAAAGGAGTGGGAAGAAGTCGAGACTTATCTAGTCCCACCTTTTATCTACACTAATGGTTTAAATATATATCATATATATCATTATATAATAATATTAATCATCATAGTAATAATAGAAATTAAAAAAATAAATAAAATATCACCACAGTGAAAATAACAAACAACAACAACAAAACAATGATGATAATAATAATAGTTACTATGAATGTACATCCCTGTTTCCCCTGAAAACATATTCTTTATATTTTGTTTTAACTGTTTTATGTTTGAACATTGTTTTAACTCCTCACCCATACCATTCCAAAGTCTCACCACACAGAATGAAATTGTTTTCTGTTTGTACGGATTTTATTAATTTTGAAGATATACTTCCCTCTTAATTGATAACCCCCCTCTCGATCGCCAAACAAATTCTGAATATTTTGTGGTAGAAGGTTATTTTTAGCTTTACGCATAATTTGTGTGGTTTGGAATTTCACAATGTCTGTAAGTTTAAGTAATTTCAACCTAGAGCTCTTTGCTGTGCATCCTTGGTGTCTTTCTCGATCCACTGTTTAATATAGACAGAAAAACCAAAAGTCCCTTAGGGGAGCTTTGTGTCATGGGACTCCAGCAGAGTATTATTTAATATCAACCATTTGGTAGGAGTTTTGGCACTGTGGGCAGGTGCTAAAATCCTGCTGGAAATGTAGCAGTTATCCTGTCAGACTCCAATACAAGATACAAGGACAGTGGGTCCCTCATAACATTTTGTCATCTCTGTTTTGTAGGAGTGGGAGAAAAAATCGATACAGCATAGTATTGCAATATTTTGTCTGGTGATATATCATATCGTCTCATTGACCAAGTATCATTTTTTTCAAATTAATTATCAGTATGAAGTCAAATCTATGATAATGGAAAAATAAAATCAACTGTTTGTCCAGTAAGGTTGGAGAGGTGACATCATAGAGCAGGAGAAAGTTAGTACAACGAATATATAAAAGATTTGCAAGATGTGCTTCATGAAATTAAAGTACAGCGTAAATGAGCCAAACAAGGAAAGCCAAATACTAAATTAGCTAAACAGTTGAAAAAACTGTATAAATCATAATACATTGTATTGCAAAATGTAAAAAATTGCAATAATATTGTATCATGGCCCAAGTATTGTGATAATATTGTATCGCGGGGCCACAAGTGATTCCCACCCATACTGTTTTTCTTTCCTACATGTAAAATACAAAGCATGTGAGCAGCTTTGTAATGAGTATGTGGGTGTTTTACATCCTTATCACTCCCCCTAGGATTGAATTAGTTACTTCTATGTCATCCTAGTGGCCCTCCCCTGAATTAACTTCAATTTTAGTCTTTAATTTGATTTGATGAGGACCCTAATATACCCATAATTGAATAACTACACCCCCATATATATACACACTTATCTGTTAGCATAAGTCTCTCTGTGGGGGTGACATCTGACCGGTCAATAAATCAGATAGATGAGCTGTGATGGTAAGCTCAGATAAACTGATTGGGTCTTCTGGGGATGTCGTGGAGGGGCAGAGTTAGCATGCTGCAGCCCTGCCTGTGTCTAGTCAGGTATGATTAATGGTGTAATGTTGAAGGGCAAGGGCAAACAAAAGCTTTTACCATCAGAAAAACAATAACAGATTGGGAGGAGGAGGAGAAGGCTCTATGAGGAAGAGTAAATAATCTGTGTTAATGTATGGTTATATAAGCTGATATGCCTTGTAATCCTTTGTGATCCATTCTGCACGAGAACAATGGTTGTCAGGCCCAAGTAGAGCATGCTCCTCACGGTCTGTCTTTCTTGTTTTCTCTGCAACTCATTCTTCTTCTTACATCCTTCCTGATCCTCCTTTCTTCATCTGCTCTGTTGTTCCCTCCCTCTTTCTCATCAGGATGGGTCACGTGCCAGCCGGGACAGGAAGAAGACTGTGTCCTTCAGCAGCAGCCTGTCAGAGAAGAAGATCAGCAGTGCTGCGGACTGCATCCACTCCATGGTGGGTCAGCCAGAGTGTGATCCTTTATGTAACATATAAGCCTACATACCTTTACATGAATTATTCAGTGTGTCATGGATGTATCAGGGGTTTCTGTGTGATGTTATCACAGGCTACGTATAGATGCCTTCAAACACTCAACAGGGCATGTCCAGATAAAACAGAGTGAGCTGCATTGAGAATCATTCGGTGACACCGTCATGTGTTTTCAGGTCGAGGGGAGTGAGCTGAAGAAAATCCGCACCAACTCCCGTGTTTACCAGCGCTACTACCTGCTGGACACAGGCCTCCAGGCTCTGTGCTGGGAGCCCTCCAAGAAGGAATCAGACAAAGCCCGAATCTCTCTGGCTTCTATAAGAGAGGTCAGTGTCCGGAGAAAAGACTCTAAATCAGCTCTTTATGAAATACCTCATTGATTCCTGTCGGGGCAAAGGAAATATTAACAACCTTGCGAAGTTTTGAAGACAGGGGATGATTCGTTTCATTGTGTCTGATCTTAAATTCTAGGTACGGACTGGTCGTAACACAGAAACCTTTCGCACCAGTGGAGTTTATGAGCAGATTTCTGAGGACTGTGCATTTTCCATCATCTATGGGGAGATGTATGAGAGCTTGGATCTGGTGGCCAACTCTGCTGAAGTGGCAAACATTTGGGTGACTGGCTTGAGGTATGACTGCACAAAAAAGCTAAGCATTCCCTTTGGATGTGGTGTAAACTTTGAAATGCGGCAGACACACAACAACACATCATCGACTGAGTTTCTATCCTTTAAAAATGTATTCAGACTTTAGTGAAACACAAGAAAACTTTTACCTACCTATAAACTCAAATTTGTCATTTTCTTTCCAGCTTGATTTCCTTTGTAATTGGTTATAGCAGTTTGGTGATACATTATCTTGGTGCATACAAGTCATAGCTTAATTTTGCCCCAAAAAAGGGCCCATTTTCAGCAATTGACCAATTATCTATTCATCTATATCTGCTGTAAGTGAAGTGCAGCAGGAAGCACTAGAAAGGAAGCTGTGGGTCTTTTTCTCAAAGAGTGGAAATTGAATATTTGCATTTGCATACTATCATAGAAATCAGTATGGGCCTACTCTCTTTTGAGTGCAGCACCATCAAATTATTACTCAAATTTACATTGTGCAAATAAAAAAAAAGAAAAAGAAACAGTGCTCAGTTATCATTCTGACGTTTAAGGAGGCTTGATTGATTCACAGCGCCAACTCGTGCCCTGAATGGTGAGAGAAAACACTCCGTCTTAAGATTTCCGCTGGCTGTAGTACAAGTAAAAAGGTGGTGAAGCAGACTTTGTCCGTCCTCCTCCACAGAAGTTTGCAGGCGCTGTGTTTTTCTGGAGTCTGGTGCTCCTGGACTCTGATGCCACCGGGTGTGACCCGCTGGATTTGATCCATGTCCATGTGCGCCATCAGTCACTGATTACAGTGTTTTGTCTGGTGTGCCATCACTGATTGACCCAGAATTTGATTATTGTTATATTGCTGACTAATACTATGCCGACTTATCACAGCCGGAGCAGACTCGGGAACTCCTGATAATCTGTATTAGTCAGTCCTGAAAAAACAACATTGGTAGGGTGGATTCCTAGACATTTTGAGATACTCTGTCTTACAGGCACCTAAGAAAGAGAGTGAAAGACACATAGTGCATGCTGATGACACTGTTTTATAAAATCCAGAGACTGTGCTGTCCTGTTGTAGCTTTAGTATGGACGGTTTATAGATCTAATAGTGTTAATATCATCTTCACTACTCTACACACTAATCCACATGCCTTGTCATGTGTGGCACGTTGCTCTACTAGATTTTTTTTATCTAAAGTTTGGTCTGCTTCCTCTTTGGAAACTGGGATATGCCTGTGTAAATGAAGGATGTGTCTGTTTTTCACTCACAGGAATCAAGTTGCCTTTATTTTGAACTGCTCTGTAACATAAACCAAGACTGTAGTCAATTCATTTTCCTATAAAGCAGAAAATAAAGACATCAAAACTGATCTGTATGAAGTTCTGCAGGGCTAAATTAAACTATTATCCTTCACAAGCCCTGTTGCTCTTGCACGTGCTGTTATAATTAAGTTATGTTGGCATACAAAATAAACTAACATTAGAATGAGGGAACACAAAAAGATTATATGTGGTTGAACTGAGCCCCTTTAAAGGGATATTCCGGTGTAAAATTGATTTAGGGTCAAACACACCGGACTGCCAAGTGAGACACCTCTGGAGAGATGAATGTTGCTGACTGCTTGCGTCTCTAGTTATACCAACTTTAGTAATGACTGCACGATAGCACCCGCTCACCTCCAGCAGCCACTTGTTTGTCGGGGAGCCCCAACGAGTCGATCACCAAGTGCAGCGGAGTTTCACAGCTCAGGGAAGAACAATTATGATTGTTACTTAATGGGAATGCAATCAGACCAAGATGCTAAGGCAGAAAAACTACAGTCTGCAGTGCAAAATGATTATGATGATGATTATTACTTCAAGGAAATGATCTGCTGCACTCGGTGATCGACTCGTCAGGGCTCCTCCACAAACAAGCGGCTGCTGGAAGAGATTTGGTGAGTTGTTTTTGGTCTCTTTGCTAAAGAAATCAGGCAAAGCTGAAAAGATGTTTGATGGCTAGTACTATGGCTAGGACCCTACATGTACTGTTGATTAAGTTAGGTGCTGTTCTGAGCATTATTTGTGGCTATAGAGTGATGTTTTGGTTGAGGTTTTTATGTGGAATGGTAGCCCGCTGTGTATTGCTCTTGTGCGGTTGTTACTTAGGTTGGTATAACTAGAGAAGCAAGCGGTCGGCAACATTAATCTCTCTCGGAAGTGTCTAACTCTGTGCTGTAGTGTGTTTGACCCTAACATAAATTTACGCCGGAATATCCCTTTAAGTCACTTGTTAGCTGTTGTCCTGATGCTGTGTTATGTTGGCATACAAAATAAACGTAAGAGTGAGAAAACATTTAAAAAGATGTAATATGTGGTTGAACTGAGCCCCTTTGACATCACTCAATCATCATGTCACTATTTTAGGCTTTGCCTCTCCTTTCTATTGATTGTGTCGTGCAGAATAGGGAAATCTCAGCGGGGTTATTTCTTTGTAATGCAGTTTGAGATGTGCTTGCAGGGAAGCGCTGTGACAGCAAATGTGTTTTGACTTTCAGTTTATTTTGCCAAAGCTGTTTTTCATATGACTGTCATTAAAATGTTCCTGGTGTAGAATTGTGAGACAGATTTCCTGTCCTACTACATCTATCATTCTCTCCTCTCCTTCTCCTCTCGTCCTTCTCCAGGTATTTAATGCAGTACGGGAAGCATGCCCTCGACATGCTTGCCAGCAGTCAGGACAGTCTTCGTCATGTCTGGCTGGAACAGTTGTTCTCCTCTGCTGCTGATTCAGACAGACGGGGAGAGATCGAGGAAGGGATCCTCTTGCAGTCAGCTATTAAGCTGATACAGACAGTGAACCCTGGAGTGAACTTCAGCAAAATAGAGCACAGGTTTAAAGAACTTCAAAGAGTCAGGGAGAAAATGTGTGGGCTTACCGTGGAAAATGCATCTGGAGTTAAAGAGCTCGGCGAAAACAAACGAGTCACGGGAAGAAATGAGTGTGTCACCAAGCAGGAGTTCATCGAGGTCTTCCATGACTTTTGCACACGTCCAGAGATCTACTTCCTCCTGGTGCAGTTCTCAAGCAACAAGGAGTTCCTGGACACCAAAGACCTGATGAGATTCCTGGAGGCTGAGCAGGGCATGGCTCAAGTGGGTAACACACAACAAGTTTGCAGAATTAGACATATTATGAATCCAAGGTAGAAGTAGAGTTGACATTAAAGCTCCTGTAAACAGTTTTTTCATGTTCATGAAATAGCCTTGAAGCCTTTTATGATATACAAAAGCAAACAAAACCATCAGAGACAAGAAACTGGTGTGAGGGGATGGGTGTGAGCCCCGTTTTTACATAAAAAGACACATTTGATTGTCAGAAGTCAGCAGGAAAAGTTTTTTTTATCGGAAATTACATCTTTAATGTGTAATGATCAAGATAAGCAAAGACTGCCTTGTCCACAGGGGGCGCCGATACTGACACAAAGCGAAAGTTCCCTACAGGAGCTTTAAGTATGGTTGTGATAATTGTTGTACTAGTGGATGCCAAGTATCTGCAAATGTAGTTCATAAGGACCTGAAACCTGACAGTGTAAAATGAATCAGGGCTCCTTGTGGTCTTGGCCTATATTGGCAAAACTAGGGGCTGGTCTTAGGCAAACCTAGACCTGTCATAACTCTCAGAAATCTTTATCTAGTCACTGATCTACGAGCTCTTTACTGACTGTTAAGTCTAAGTCTGGCATACATCCTTTAGAGCAGATGTAGGCCAGGGTTTGTAGGGTTTATATAGGGCCACATGAGAAACCTGAACTGTGTTGGAGGGCCAAACCAACAATAACTTCAACTACAAATCAGGGGGGTTCACACATAAAGAACAGCAAACCCAGATAAGCAACTACTAGTTAAAAACAAGCCAAAAAAAGCACACCCGTGACTCACGAGTTTTACAAGCGACTCCTGAGAGAAACAAGCTTTAGGTTTTTTATAATAAACAGACTTGGCAACTATAAGGCTTCTACGTATATTTCGCAGATGTTTAAACTTGTCTCTGTTCACGAATCCAGATCTAGGATGTACGCACGTGCGTCCAAACAGAAACAAAACAACAGCTAGGTTTTCAAAATAATAGCAACACACTTGTATAGCATGTTGATGATTTGTTTGACGGACCTCACGAAGGACCGTGCAGGGACATCCATGATGTGGCCCCCAGGCCGTAAAATGCCCAGGTCTGCTTTAGAGGCTGTCTGAGGGTGGTCTAAATGAGGCTCTGACTCATGCAGAGGTGGCATAGAGTATGTGAGCCCACACACTAATAATTAGCATTTACTGATGAATAATATTAATGTATCACACTCTATATCGTTCTGCATCTCACAAGGAGAAAAGACAAGAATTTAGCAGAACAGGGCCTAGATAGTTAAGTACTCCACTTCCTTTTCTACTTTTGGAGACTCTGCGCATCACAGGCAGGCCTACATTCAGGCAGTGCAATGTTCTGCACAGGACACAATGAGCTCGTAAAGGTATAGATTGTTCTTTTTTTTTTTTTTTTCATAGCACTAGAACAGCAATGAAGAGGAGGAAATTCTCTCTTTCTGGTTATTCTGGATATGTGTGCTGCAGAATTTTGGACGAGCTTCAAAGAAACTTCTAAGACCTATTATGAAAGCCTGATAACAGAGAAAACAAGTCAGGCGTGCACTGGTGATGAGTTAATCTGAGTCCTCCAGCTGCTTGTTATTAGTCTCTACTCATTCATTTTGTCCGTCGTCTGTGTCATTCAGGTGAGTGAGGAGGCCAGCCTGAAGCTAATCCGGTGTCACGAGCCATCAGAGGAGGGCCGGCAGCAGGGATACCTGTCGCTGGATGGCTTCACCAGCTACCTCACTTCTGCAGAGTGCCACCTCTTCGACAGGGAGCACGACACAGTGTGCCAAGACATGAGCCAGCCTTTGTCCCACTACTACATCAACTCCTCCCACAACACCTACCTCATAGAGGACCAGTTTCGAGGTCCGTCCGACATCTCTGGCTACATCCGAGCACTCAGGATGGGCTGTCGGTGTGTGGAGGTGGATGTCTGGGATGGCCCTGATCAGGAGCCTGTTGTGTGTGTCGGACACACGCTTTCTCCGCCGCTTGTCCTGCGTTGTGTGCTGGAAGCAATCGGAAAGTTTGCATTCGTGGCGTCGGATTATCCATTAATTGTATGTATTGAGAACCACTGTTCACTTCAGCAGCAGAGAGTCATGTGCCAACATCTTACAAGGATATTTGGGGAGAAGTTATACACTGAGACTCCAGACAAAGAAGCGTCATATCTTCCATCGCCATGTGACTTAAAGCATCGAATTTTACTGAAGGGTAAAAAGTTAGATGCAGGTCCTGATGGGCATGACGGGGAGGTAAGTGAAGAGGACGAAGGAGCGGAGATGTGCCAAAGGATGAAAGCAGCTAACAGCGCCGGGGCTGCACCTGGAGGTAATGAGAAGGATGTGGTGCAGAAAAACGTCCCTTTAACACCAGTCACTCAGCCTAGCCCTGTTTTTCAACCCCCTAAACGTTTCCAACTCTCAAAGGAGCTCTCCGATCTTGTAACTCTTTGCCGCTCAATAAACTTCACTGACTTTACAACGTCATCCAAATGCCAAAACCCTTGGGAACTGTGCTCCTTTCACGAGTCTCTGGCTGTGCGTCTCGCTGGCGAGAGCCCTGGTGACTTTGTCAATCACAACAAGCACTTCCTGTCACGGGTGCACCCCAGCCCGATGCGTATCGACTCAAGCAACATGAACCCTCAGGACCTGTGGAAGTGCGGTTGCCAAATTGTGTCTATGAATTTCCAGACAGCAGGACTGATGATGGACCTGAACACAGCCTGGTTCAGGCAGAACGGGAGCTGTGGTTACGTCTTGAGGCCGGCCATCATGAGGCAGGAGGTGTCGTACTTCAGTGCCGACACCAGGGACACAGTGCCTGGTGTGTCCCCACAGCTGCTCCATGTGAAGGTGGGTGATATTTACCATGATGATTGTGGGTAAAACTACCAACAAGGACTACAGTTCTTCATTTTGATCTTTCCTCTAGGTGATTAGTGGCCAAAACCTGCCTAAGCCAAGGGGTTCGGGGGCCAAAGGTCATGTGGTGGACCCGTACGTGTATGTGGAGATTCACGGCATCCCTGCTGATTGCACAGAGCGACGCACCAGGACAGTGACCCAGAATGGAGATAACCCAATCTTTGATGAGAGTTTTGAGTTCCAGATCAACCTTCCTGAGCTGGCCATGGTTCGCTTTGTGGTGCTGGATGATGACTTTATTGGCGATGAGTTCATAGGTTGGTGTCAGGGGGGCGAAGATTAGACCATCAGTGGAGTCAAACATTTATAGTTTAGGTTTAATGGATTTGAAATTAATTTAGATCTCCTTTCCAGGTCAGTACACCATCCCTCTGGAGTGTCTTCAACCGGGATACCGACACGTACCCCTCCAGTCTCTGACGGGGGAGGACCTCATCCACGCCAAGCTGTTCGTCCATGTGGCTCTGACCAATCGGAGAGGAGGAGGAAAGCCTCACAAAAGAGGTCTGTCAGTGCGCAAGGCACGCAAAGGGAGGGATTACCCGGCTCTGAGAGACTTGGGGGTCCGGGCTGTCGACGAGGTTTTCAAGATGGCGGCTCCTCTGCTGAGAGAAGCAACCGACCTGAAGGAAAACATGCAGGTGAGCAGGAGGTCTTCATTATGTGACACAGTCTTTAAACCTTTTGAGTTTTTAATAATTTCAGTGGTATTCTAAATAAACTTTTAGAGATAAAGTTGTTTTAATGATTTAATGTGGTCAGCATGAACACTGACTGATCTCAAAGTTAATCCATTTTGTGCTTTTGAATTTAATGTTTATATTCAACATCTTTTATTGGTCAGGAACAATCAAATGTCAAACGGGAAACCATTGATGTTATCTGCTTTATTTCCTTCATCATAAGACAAAAAGAAAAAAACAGGTTGTTTTTTCTCCTCCTTTGTTATTCAATCTTAAGAGATGATTCATCGTACTGATAAGAAAAAAAGAGAGAGACAAGAGCCACAAGCAATGAATTTTCTGCAATTTTTCAAAGCTGATCTAACCTTTATGAGCCGGGGAGCAATTTGTTCTGTTGGCGCTTGCGTCAGCCCGGGGCCATTAAACAATAATTATATGTTCAGTCAGTGTGCTGAGACTGTTGGCATGTGCATGTCTTGATTTCTTCCATTTAAGGTTTAACAACTACTACAGCTAAACTGCAGGAGCGAACAGCAGGAGAGCTAATCGGTGGAGGGAGGGGAAAAATAAATAGCTCCGTCACAGTGGCAGCTTTTGATCACCTGTGTGTTTGAGTGTGAAAGACAGAGAGTTGTACATGGAGTGAGGACAAAATTTCATGTGATTTTATTTATTTATGTAGCCTGCGGTGTTTTTCCCATCAGAAGAAGACAAAGATAGACTTTCATGTGTCATGTTTTGAAGGCTTCCTTTGTGCTCCTGCAGAACTCAGTGGCAGTGTTCAGAGAGCTGTGCGGAGTGTCGGCAACAGCCAACCTCATGCAGTGCGTACTCGCTCTGGGCTCCAGGGTGTCAGGACCAGATGGGGCGCCCTTACTACTGTTCGACGTCCGGGACCACTACCCAAGCCTGGAGCCCCAGGGGCCCTTACCAGACGTCCTTCGCCGGGTTGTCTCCACATATGAAATGGTGAGGAAGGAAGAAACCGGCACTTCATGTACTTATGATATACTGTATATGTAATATACATTTAGAGGAAGGAAAGGCCAAACAAAAGCAACACAGATTAAAAAAAAGACTCCTCCCATCTCCTGTCTGCTTGAATGAACAATATAAAACCCCTGCCCCAGACAAAAGTTTCCTTTTTGGCCAAGATTTCCACAAACAGACGGAGAGAGCCCTTGTTGTCATGTGGCAGACAATGTTCCCATTTGTCCCAGCTGTAGAAAAGACACATAAAAACTTAAGTGACGATTTAACCTTGGTCTAAAAGCTCTGTGTGTCTCCACCCAAACAAACTGTAAACTCTCATCGACCCAGGAGAAAGTTCCTTAATGGATTAATTTATGTAATGGGCCTTGAATAAATCTAGTTGTAAAGAAAAGGAAAGGAGAGGCAAGAGAGGACAAAGAAGGCGGGGAGAGGTGACAGTGAATTGGTCTGTTTGTGAGCAGCAAGTCAGAGAATGAATCAGCGTCTGTGTGCAGTATGTCAAGGTTAAGACTTTAATTTAAGATGCTTTCACTTATCTTTGTAGCTGCATGTGTGAATTCAAGCAGCTGCAATTTTCAACCAAACTTAACCTGGATTTTTTCCTGCAAGCACCGTAATAAAATATCCATATGAAGCACGTGAGCCAGCAGGTAGGGGCGATGATATTTGTACCATGTGACCAGTGCAAACCCAGAACAGCAACATATATGGAGGTGAATAACAACATCAAGAAGATAAGGACGTGGAATCAAATTCAAGACAAAAACAACAAAGATGTCAAATTCTAACTTAAGTTTTATTGATACTGATGCAAGTATTTAACTTTGAACGCTCCATATTGTGGAGCAAAAAGCCTTAAAATGCAGATATTTTAAAAGATAAAAAGAGATTTGTAATACTTCAGTTTATCTGGCTTTTTGCATGAAGCTCACATTTAAGCAGGATTAAGCCCTTTACTTTTACACGACCATTTCTAACGTCTCTGCCCCCGCACGCTCACATACACTCAGAAATCTTCCTCATGCTAGTCGTGATCTGAAGGAGAGGAGAGAGCTTTTAAAATGTACACGGTGAAGCCAGTCTTAACTTTTTTATTATATCCAATAACAGAATACTTTGCCATCTGGACCGCGCATATGGCCCCATGTTACTGCGAAAAGTTTGCATAATGATACCGATGGCACCAACCAATCATGCACCTGTACCAAAAGACACCAGTTCTTCATTCCCAGCTCCAGAGCTCACTAATCACCTCTTCTTGCATAAACAAGCAACTTCAAAACAGTGCTTCAAAAAACTTTTCAGAAAACTTTATGATTGTGTCTGTGAAACCGCTTTAACCTGTATAAAAGATAAACAACAAGACATCTCTGCAGAACTAAAGACAATAGATTTGGAGTTCCCTGAATCTATTTCTGCAGTGGGGCTACAGGTAGTTGTCTGAAGCGTATGTGTGGGTAAATGTTTGTATCTGTTAGTTGTGTCATTACAATATAAACCTATGCTGAGCTTTTACAGTATCTGTCTGCAGCACCCACCTCTGCACAAATATGCTCTGCACACTGATGCACACACAAAGGAGGATATAATCAATAAGCTTCTGTAGCTACATTGATATTTGAAATGCAATGCATGATAAAAACAAGTTATTTCAACACCCGTACTCTACAATACAGTTGTTGAGCATGGAGTTGTAAACGTTTGTAAAGTATCAGATAACAAATATAAACCAAACTTCCCAGAAAGATGAAAATTATGACTTAAATTCATGCAATAGGAACAGAGTTCCTACACAGGTGGAATTTCCATACTTTTCCATATCCTTCATTTTAGAATTATTTTTTGGAAATACCTACTTTTCTGTTTTAGAAAACAGTATTTTATAACTGTGGTAATAGTCTGGAAACATAAATATTTTTCCAGACTTTATTTTTTATTTTCCATACTTTTTAAGACCTGGAAATTGATCAAATTTATTTCCATACTTTTCCATACTTGCATAGGAACCCTGTAAGAACCAACTCAGAACAGAGTACAGAATGCATGCCTGTAAAAGTCTTATTTAAAAGTGTCACCCAGGTCCCATCTGTTAACATGGAGGCTTTACGACTTAATGTAGCCTTTCAGTAGGATGAGCAGTTTTGGCTTCACATTTGGGAAGCTACACTGTGCCTCACCATCTCCTTTTATTCCCTCTGGGTTTGGTGTGACTGCGGCTGACCACCACGAGTGTTTTTCCATACAGATGTGGTCCAGCACTGGTTGAAGTGTTGGTCTGACTTGTGTTGCTGCAGTTAACAACATTAAACCCACTGTTTTTGCTGTCTGGCTTCTGCAATACTTTTAAAATTGATATTTACTCAAAGTGCACTTCTTCACGTTTCATATTGGATATTCCCCAGGAGACTCGTGGGCGGGGTGATGGACAGTCAGTATGAATTGCCAATTTAGAAATGCTGTCCAGTGAGCAGTATGTGTGCGTTATGAGTGAAGGAGAGCAACAGAAGCAGGCTGCAGTGAAGATAAATGGATCTGTTTCTGGCCTTATTAAGTTATGATAAAGGTTTCCATGTATAAACCGTGACACTTTAATTTAACTCGGGCTGTTTGTCACTGCTACGCGACCAGCAACTGCTCAAGACCTGTGACTGTCTGTTTGTGTGCCAGTGAGTAAAAACACGCGCGTACGTTTGTGTGTGTGTGGTTGTGTGTGTACACTTCCGCTTCAAGCCGGGCGTAACAGGGTTGAAAAAAAGCTCACCCTGGTGCTGAATACCATTAGCATAGATTTGAATGGTGCTCAGCTAAATAGATTCCACACCTCAATCCTGATGCCTGCAGGAAGAGGCAAAAAAACAGACACAGGAAATCGGGATAAATGTGTGTATTTGCACATGTGTGAGTGTGTTTGTGTACAGTAGAATTGAATCCGGTCAAAGTGGTGTACTGTAGTTAATCCCTTATTTGTCGAACAGCATTTTCCCCCCACAGAGAGGTCATGTCCCAGCAGGCTTTGTTGTGAGAGGAGGAGCAGAATTAATCAGGCAGAAGCAACTCCTGTCATTCCCCTGCATGTATGCATATGTGTTTGTTTATGCGTGTGTGTGTTTTGTGCAAGTGTCGAGCTGTTAAATTAGTCCCTGTAGGCGCCTTCTCATGCAGCCAGACTTACATTTTTACTGTTCATTTTGTGTTTTACCGCTAAAAGTGTACACTCAACAGGCCATTACCTTGATCATAATGATAACATAATGCAAAACACAACAGTAGTATCTGTTTGATAGTAGGAAGCTCCCCTGTGGTTTAAATCAACCTACGTTCACTGTTTAATGATTGGTTCTTTAATGACGGACCATTTGTGCTACACAATGTGATTTACGCACTGAAAACAAAGGGGCGGGATGGGTTAATGGTGTATGATGCTCTTTAATTGTGTGTGTTTTCTAATAAATGCCTCTCTGTCTGCAGATGGTCCAGGCGAGCCGAGCAGTGATCGAGCTCTCCGAAGGAATCTACGACAGGATCCTGCATGTGCAAACAATGGGTGTGTAGGTTGGCGTTTTTGTGTGTACGCTCATGTCAGTGTGTGTATGTAAGGCTGGTATGTGGAGCATGTGTCATTATGTGTGTTATGAGTGGAAACAGGCTGTGCTCGTGTTCTTAGGCCACTCATGACAACTCCCACACAGCCTCTTTAACTGTGCTGGTACCCACTCAGCTGTGGCAGCTTGTGTCATTAACTTAACAGCACTATTTTTCTTTCTTTTCTTCTCCTGTCCTCTAATGTTCTCTCCTTTTATTCCCTCTAGTTCCTTCATGAAGCACTTTAAGTGTCTTTTTCTCCTTTTCCTATTCTGACCTCATGCTTTCTTATCTATGCTCCTTCATCCTCTCATTGCTTTTCTCCTCCTCTATCTAAGCTCCTACGTTTTAAAGCCTAGACTCTCAAAGTGTCCTCTTTTCTCTTCTTCCATGTCTTCTCTGCTCTTTTTAATTTCTTCACTTCATCATATTTTCTTGCTTGTTTCCCTCAGTACTCTCCACTTTCTCGCTCATCCTTTCTTTCTATTCCTCTGATGTTTTGCCCCTTATACTTCTGCTTTCTTATGTCCCCTCTGCCTGTCCATTATATTTTCCTTTCCTTTCCTTTCCTTTCCTTTCCTTTCCTTTCCTTTCCTTTCCCTTTCCTTTCCTTTCCTCAAACATCCTTTCCCTATTTTCCTCTTTTCCTTTCCTTTCCTTTCCTTCCTTTCCTTTTCTTTCATTCCCTTCCTTTCTTGTCTGTTGTTTTCTTTTCATTCATTTCCTTCCTTTTCCCTCCTTTTTTCTTTCTTTCTTTCTTTCTTTCTTTCTTTCTTTCTCTTTCTTTCTTTCTTTGTTTCTTTGTTTCTTTCTGTCTTTCTTTCGTTCTGTCTTTCTTTCTTTCTTTGCTTTCCGTCCTCCCTTTTCTTTTCTTTCTTTCTATTTACTTCCCTTTTATTTCCATTCTTCCCATCTTTGCATTTCCCTTTTCCCTTTCATTTCCTTCATTCACCTGCATTTTATTTTTATTATTTTTTTCCATCCTTTCCTTAAATTTCCTTTCATTTCCTTTTTCTTCTTTTCTTGCATTTTCTTTCTTTGTATTTCCTTCCACCTCCTTGTTTAGATTTACCAGATTTTCATGTTTTATTTTATTTCCTTATCTGTTTTCCCTTTATTTCTAAATCCTTTTTTTTCTTTTTTTCCTCCTTTCTCTTTCTGTTTCATTACTTTCTTTACTCTCTTTTTTCACACCCTCATATACTTTGTGCTCCCCTCTTATTCTTGCTTTTTTCCTCTTTACTATTCCTGGCTTTTCTCTCTTCTTTATTTTTTGTTCTTTTTCACGTACCTTCCCCTTCCATTACCCTTTTCACTGAGTGCACCATTACCATGTTGTCACTCTGTTTTCTTATTCTTGTAGCGTCTTCTCGCCTCGCCCTGCTCTCCTCTTGTTGTATCCATTTTCCTTTTACACTTATCTCATTTCCATGTCTTTCCTCTGATGCCCTTTCCTTCATTCTCTTGTCCTCACCTCACCCAGGGTATTTGTTCGGTCCTGTCCTCTACACACAGTCAGTGCTTTCAGACGGTTATGTGAGTCTCTGACGGGCTCACTTCATTTGTATGTTACAAGCGGACTGATTTGAAATTGACACGTCTCCCATCATCGATCACCCTTAAGCCGAGGGCAACACATCTGACCAGCCAATATTATTTCTGTGATCTTTGGCAGAGGTTTGTTTACACGGCTGGGCCCCGGGGGTCATCTGACATTAGTCAGCCAGACTGTCGTCACTGTTGGGATAAACAGACGCACACATCAACACACACTTTACCCTCCCTCTACGTGATTCAGTCTTCAGCTGTCACCCTGGAGACAGTGTGATTGACATTTGGAAGCATTCACCAGAGAGTTTGTGCAAAAAATAAACACATTCACTTTTTTTCAAGACTCTCTGGGTGCTAGATTTGAAAAAAGCTGCAACTATACACGTCATCTGTTTTTAAAAAGTGGCTCTGGAGATGTTTACTCGAGCATCTTTGGGTTTTATTAGAGCTTTGTTGACAGTCTTAGGAGCTTTTTAGCACCACTCTTGAGAGGAGTGTGAATACATAAGAGGTAATGAAGGAGGAATTAAGATGAACCTGAAGCGAGGTGATATTTCGAGGGGAGGATGATGAGTCAGTTGGGCCCATTGAGAAGACAGGGGAAGTGTTAGACGGAGATAAATGTTGTTTACAGATTTGCAGACAGCTCCTCTTTCCTCCCAGACAGTCCACCCTATCGCTCACTAAACTTTATTCCAGGTTCTTCCTCACAGCAGCTTCTTTTCATGATCAAATCATCTGTGACATATTCATTCACCTTAAGCTCAGTTCTCATTCACTGCTAAAATACTGTTTAACCGCATTGTTTCCTGTCATATATCTTCAGTTTCTCGTGCAATCACATGCAGGAAAAGTGAAAATGGTTCAGCCTTGTGCTTGATGCCAGCACGTTCACCTGATAAAGAGCAGCCACAGAGCCTGAGGCCTGATCGCATGAACAAAGCTCTTCCTGTGTGCGCAAAAAAAGATGGCGATCAGGTGATCCCTAGGTGGCGGTCCTCCTCTGAGCCTTGCAAGAGAGGGAGGGCAGCCAAGAGGAATAAGCAGGTCACCGGGAGGGAGTCGTGGGACGGCTGGTGGCAGAGATGGATGTCTGGAAGTTACATCAGAGCAAAGAGATGAAGCGCAGAGGGAGAAGCAAACCGTGGGAAGATGAATGGCAGAGATAGATAGCTGGAGGCAGCGCTGTGAGGAAGACAAGAACACCAGGGGAGAAGAGAGAGAGGGAGAGGATGCATTTTAGTTTGAGGATATGTTGCAGGGTTAAAGGGCTGCCTCACTTTCAAACACCTCTCAGTCTTGCCAGTGAATTTTAGATTAAATCGCAGCAAAGATAACTTGGCAGAGGGCTGAAAACCAGCAGGGGGGGCCTCCATTTCTGCTTGAAAGTTGCATGTCTGTAACTCCATCCAAGAGTGATGTTGGTACCCAGCAGCTGTCATCTGACAACAATGGGATGAAGGTCAGCTCCTTACTGTTACTGGTGCAGCTAGAAGTCTTAGCCAAGTCTTCCTTTTTTACTGGGCTGCATTGTCCGGTTAGCAACTGGAGGGGCAACCATGTGTTTAGGTCAACAGCAAAGTTGGAGCACCGAGGATGTTAGGGGGGTTTGTTAACAACCTGAGTTTACATCAGCTGTTGACTCCCTACAGCGTCTGGGGGCAGCAGCCAACTTTCCGGGGCTTCCGGTGTAGCCATCTGCTCACAACAAAGTCCTTTCTGCCAAGACTTTCTTTTCAGTCCTGGGCTTTATTTACAGTTCAATTACAGACTTGAAGTAGAGAATGGAGTCAGAGTGTAACTTATCACACTTTTACTCAGACCTCTGTTCACAGAAACGTAATTCTATGTAATTTATTACAGGTATTAGCAATTACTACCTCCCATGGGAGCTGTATGGAAGCCTGTTTCTGCTAAATCAAATCAAAAATAGAGAGAGGGAGACTTGGCCTTAATAAAAAAATGAAAAATCCTAAACACAAAGTCATTATTATGAGATAAGAAAGTAAAGAAAATCAAATGTTGAAATTATGAGATAAAAATAAGATAAAATAATAAAAATGAGATTAAAAAATCATAGTTATAGGATATGATTGTGACTTTTATCTCATCATAATGACTTTTTCTCTCATTAGTAGGACTTATAATCTCATAATTTTGACTTCTTTTGTCATAATTTTGACCTTTTCACAGTTTTAAGTTACTATCCAAATCATAGTTATGACTTTTAATCCATAATTTTGACTTTTAACTCATATTTATGATTTTTTCTTATAATTAGATTATTTTTTTCAATATATTCTGACTTACGTCATTATTTTGACTTTATTTATTATGATCTCAGCATTTTTTATTCATAACTATAACCTACTGTCTCATTATTTTACTATTCTGCTAAAATCTCAACCTTTTACCTTTTGATTATGTCCTACTACCGATAAAGACTATCCCAAAAGTTTGTCTTGCCATCTCATAATTACAATTTATTTTTCATATATATGACTGAATATTTTAGATTTTGTATGAACAAGTCTACCTTTTTTGTTTTCAACTCGTGAAAACATTATTGTAACCACACTCAGCCCTTTGTGCTTTCCAGCCACTTTTCTTTAAAACACTTATGAACAGTACTCTTCATTCTGCAAACAGAAATCACAACATCTCTAAAACCAAAGTCCAGTCACATGCCAGCAGATGCTACATTAAAAAAAGAAAAACTGTAGAAAAGGCTTCATTAGTACTTTAATTTCTCACTACTTTGTCACAGTCTGGAGGAATTTTGGGTGTACTGGCCCTTTAACAGCCTCAGCTGAGCAGCTCCTCTGACTTGTGTAGCACCAAGAAACACATCTGTTTACATAGATTTACCCTTCATAAACACAATTATATGTACAGTATATGCCTTGTTGTCTCTCCCCATCATGCCTCTTCACAGGTCACGTAGAGGACAGGAAGTGAAGGTTTTGTACTTCCTGTTATGCCTTGCTTGGCAGCCCCCTGAAGGTTATTTTGGCCTGAGGGTCAGGACCCCGTTACTGTGTCTGCACACTGTCCCAGGATTGGCTTGGAAATAATGTTCTCTCCATCGGCTTCGCTTGGTTTCACTGGGAAATAGAAACACACTCATACACACTCACATACACACACTCACACACACTACATTGGCACGTAGGCTTTGAGTTGCCTAGCAACCGCCTGCTAAAGGTTATTATTCAGGCAACTTCTGTAGGTGTGTGTGAGTGTGGAGCAGTTACATGGCATGTGTGTGCAGGTGTGTCCACGTTTGCAGCCGGTTAGTGACTGAAGGGGATTATGGGTAAGGAGTTGGTAAATTATACTCGAATCAAATTTGTGTACACTGAGTGTTTGTTCATGTGTGTGAGTGTTTGTGTTTACATTTGTGTGTGGTCCAAAGCTTGGCATGGCTGGCGTCTGGGCTCTCGTTGATGGCTTGCAGCAATGTGTGCCCCGTGTTAACCCACTTCCGGGTTTCCATGGTAACAGTGGGACAGTGGCCCGGGGCGGTCAGAGGAAGCCAGACACACAACACAACTCAGTGCGCACACTGGAAGTGGCTGCTGGCCTCACTTCTATGACGCTTTTTCTCTTTCTTCTCTTGAAGTGTTTGCTTTAATCCCTCGCTCACATTTTTCATTCACTTCCATTATTTCTTTCCTTTTTTTATTATTCGCACTCAGTTCCTTTTCCCCTCTCTTTGATGCCTAAAGTTTGTGTAATCTGGCAAAGTTGGAAAGACTTGATGTAGAAGTTGGACTCCAGCATGAATTTCAATAAGCAGGGATTAATTAGGAGTGGATAACAATATTAAGTGTGGGCGGAAACGAAGTTGGTTGATAAGAGTCCTTGATGTGAGCGGCTTCATTAAGCGTAGGCTTGGATGAAGACGGGAGATACTACAGAATTTCCCAACTGTGGTGGAGGAAAGCCTGCAGGTGGATGATGCAAACACTCGGACTAAAGTTTCACTGACTTTTTCCACTATTTTACAGTTTAAACAATGCAAATGTTCGGCCAAAGTTAGATTTACAGAGCAGCACGTTTTAAGCTTGTCTATATTTTTCCACTGTTGTATAATGTGTGCAGTGCCCGTGGTGATAGTTGTATTCTGTGTGTGTGGGTTTTAATACCTGAAAGAGACTGGTGTGCTCAAAGCTGTAACTGATGAGCTCACAGAATCAAACTCATCCGTGTCCCCTGTTAATTACAGCTACAGCGCTGATATGCTGACTCTGTAACATCATCTGTTGTTAAATGATGACAGTAGCTTTATTTGAAATGAGAAAAGAGAACCAGTCACACCTTTGGAGATTAAATATCCAGCAGTCTTACGAAGCAAATCCACAAGAAAGACTCGATAGAAATATGTAAATCCCTGCATCAGTGGTTTAACATACATTCATTGACTGTAAATCAGCTTTGACTATGTTCTCCAGCATGCGAACATGCTAAACAGCTTCAGTCCAAGTTTAATGCATGTATCCTTCTTAAATAAGCTGCAGGCTTAAGGACATTGTCGTTGTCCATTATTTTTATGCAAATTATGGTAGTTAAACTTAAATCAGTGACATGAAAGTTAATGTTGGGGCTTCATGATACTGTTGTTTAAGAGAACCCAAGACATTTGGACAACAGATCTCAAGAGATCAATTTGGGTGCGTTAAATGAGCTGAGTTGACACCAAGCAGATGGCAACTGGCAGCAAGCTGGTCCTCACAACAGTGACGGATGTAAGCATTGTTATATGGTAAAAGCATTTAAGATTATAGGGTAACTTAAGTATTTTTCAACCTGGGCCCTAGTTTCCCATGTGTTTGACTGACAGGGAGAACATTTTCCATTATTGGTCCAGTATTTAGAGAGAGCTGAGCAGCCGGCAGCTGCAAACCAGTTAAAATGTAGTTGACCAGGCAATTACCCATTGTAGGAGCCAAAATATAATTATTGAAAGTTTTATTTCTGTAGGTACATCACTTCCAGGATCGTCACTGAGGGGTGTGGTTTTGGGAAGTTTGGCGGGTTATTTAAAAACTCACAGGTGTAGTCAGACAACGGGTTTAATGAGCACTGATAATTTTCTGTTGACTGTTTTTGACCGTTTCTCATTGTTTTTCACCGATTCATTCATTCATCCTGTTTTGACCTCATTTCACCTTTTCAGTTGAAGGCAAAAGTATTGGACCCGGAGCAGCGTGTTTTCTTCCCCCTTTTTGAACAATAAATCATTTTTTCTAACACTCAAATTGGACTGATCATTCAAGCGAGTCACAGTTGTAAGCGAACCTAAACCCCAGCGGCCTTTTTTATTGAAGGAAAGCAGTCGCTACACCCATCCTCAAACTAGAAGTGCAATCAACACAAAAGTTCCTCACTGAAGCATTAATGTTGCTGATGTCTTGATATGAGCTATTAAAGTGAGAAAAATAATAATAATCTGATTATTTCTTTCTTTATTCATTTATTTATTTATTTTAAATTTTGCAACCTTTGGATTTTGTAGAAACTGCTTTTGCTTATATTTTCCAAAGCGAATAATGCATTGAACGGGCTAAAGACACCAAGGTGGAAATATGACTTAAAGCTCCTGTAAGGAACTTTTGGTTCGCACCAATTTTAGCAACCCTTGTGGACAAGCAGTCTAAGCTTATCTTGTCCTCTAGATGCTAAAATTATGGCTTTGACCAAGAATCTCATCTTTCTGGCTTTGTGTGTCACTTATTCTGATTATTTTATGAGGAAATTGCAAAAACTGGGCTGTGTCAATAGCTGCCCAGTTTACATCTACCGCCTCTCACTACTTTTAAGGAGAAAAGTTACAGTATATGAAGTGTCAGTCTTGTTTCTGAGAGTTTTGTTTGCCCTTTGAACATAAAGAAAAAAACAAACAAACAAAAAAAAACACCTGTATGAATTTAAGTCGATCTCAGAAATGACAAAAAAAATCCTTACAGGAGCTTTAAACCTTTTATAGAGAACAAAATCAGTAATAAGACAAGATGTGCCAAACTCAACTCTAGGCTTAACTTGTGCACAGAAGCTTTATTTTTCTTAATTTTCTGAATTTTTATTTATTTATTTTTCTTCTCAACAAATAACTGTTTCTCTTCGAGATAGACCAAAAAAAAAAAGGTTGAATCCATCACTTGACTGCTTTTCATTAAATGACACTGTACGGTGTTAAATCTCATGGATTAGTGGATTATCTCATGGATAACTTTTACATCTTGAATTCTTTTAAAGTAAGTGTCAGAACATTCTCCTCTAATCTGCCGTTCTCTCCTCTCCTGTGTTTTTTATCTTTAGCCATGGAGTTTCATGAGAAGCTACAGAGTCTGGCAACAAAGGAGGGGCTGAAGGGTCGTAAAGTCAGCCGAGCTTTAGAGAGTTTCAGCTGGAACATCACCATCCTTAAGGTCAGTGGCACACAGACACTCAAACACTCACACAGACACACACACACACACACACAAACCCAAACAGCCTCCAGGAAAGACTGTTCGAGACTGCCTCTGCCTCAAGCTGGCTGCTCATACCTCTGCCCTCCTCTTCTTTTTTTTACTCTCTCTGTACTCTCCTTTCTCAGGGTCAGGCTGACCTGCTGGAGCATGCCAGAGCTGAGGTGCAGGAGAACATGAAGCAGGTCCATGATGCGGCTTTGACAGGAAACCTCACCAAGGAGAGTGCAGGATTGAGGAGAGTGCGCTCGCAAACTCGCCGAGGACAGGAGGATAAACCAAACGTGACTAGTTCTCGAGGACCCTCTGAATAGCAAGAAAATGACCAACACGTGAATAAGGACCAAACTGCCATCGTAGCTGCTGTCTTAAACCCCCTTTCCTGTCAGTCAACTTCTTACCCCGCCTTAGTGGAGGGCTTTTCTCACATTTTGAGGGAGCTAAAGCAAGAACTGTGTTTTCAAGAGGGACAAATGAGAGAGGATGAATGTAAAAGACGTCAAAATGCAGCCTGATCGCTGCAGAAGTCTGAGCTGATAAATGACACTGGAGGGACGAATGTAGTTACAGCCAAGGTTCAGTTTACTGTATTAAACTGTAAATACTTTTAAGGTCTATTAGCCTCTTCTTATGTGCAATTTGTCCTGAAAAAGCAAGAAAAAAGTTGTCGTTTTTCTGGCACAGTGAGAGACAAAATATGTTCAGATCCTTTAAAAGAAAGATTTTTTCAAAACTGCCACCTCCAAGTTAGTAAAAATCTAGCAATACCACATGAGGATTTAATATCAGGAAATGGTCTGGGTATGTTTGAAGGAGATGCACTTTCTCAACGGAAGATAAGCAGGACATTTTTCTGAATGTTTGAGGTCTTATAAATGTCTTGGACCTGTGCTGCCCCTGTGTGCCATTTCTCCAAGAAGCGTCCCCCCGCTCTTCATTCCTCCATCTTTATCCTCCTCATTTCACCCTCTGAGTAGTGTTGCCTCACGTACAGTATTCTATATTTTTGTATTCCTCCTGAAACCTCTGTGCTAATTAAACCACCGCTGCCGCCATATCGATCCACTGGACTCGTTAATGTCTGCCTTTAGGGAACAAAAATCTTTACGTTTCAAAGTGCTTACTTTGTGTGCAAAACACTGTACAGTATTTTAATATGTTATCCAATCCTTTTGCTGTGAAGAATATTTTACATAAGTTATTGATCCTGAATGAAAACATTCCAGTTAAAGGTGCAGTAGATGAGGTTTCGGCCTGATCAGCTGCGACGGGAGTTGCATTTCGTGATCCTCCTTTACCGTCGTGATGGGAATAAATAAGTTTTTAAATAAAAGACGCTGTTCAATGAGTTTTTTTTTTTCTGTTACAGGTTGGCTTTGATGTACGTTCATTAATACTGACACATGGGGCACTGTAACAGAGGGCTAATGACAGCTGGAGATAGTCATCTACTGTAAAAGGGAGGTAGACCTTCTATGCTGCTGTATACAGGACATCAAAGCCTCCAATCAGCCTCTAATGCTGATTCAGGATGAAAGACCACAGCTAGGCAACAAAATTGATTTGCATGTGTGTTTTTCTGCATCTTACCCACCCCGGTCAATATCTTTAACTGTGAGTAAACAGTGTCTCCGCAGGGTCTGTTTTATACCTGCTATAAAGCTTTCAATCGTGTCACATCCTCTAATCATCAGTATGTGTTTGAGGAAGTTACCCTTGCTGCATAACCTTGCAGATGTCTGTCAGTCTGCCATTTAGATCCAAAGATTGCATAAATAAACCCTCAAATGTTGCAGCAACCTCTGATGTTGAATAAGGAAGCCGATACAACTGTGGTAATTTCTGCAGTTAATCAAGTGTCCCCTTGAGGCTCACTCTAAAAGCCCATAAGACCCCGTTAACACCCATATTACAATTCCCATCTCTAAAACAGAAATAAACATGTTTGCAGCCTGGTGCAAAACACATTTTTAGTCTGACAAGCTCATTTCTATATTCATGCACACTGTACAGAGGTGAGTTTTAAGAGCATCTGGCTGCAGACACAGCAGAGCTCAAACAAGTGTCTGCGCAGTATGACTTTCATGAGCGTATGCGCAGTTGGAAGTGAAACCTCTGCTTCGATTTCAGCAGCTTAGTAATGTATTTTTATTTTACTGAATTTAACAGCAAAATGTCAATCAAGTTTTAGAGTTTCACATCTGAACTCGCTAGAATCACTCTAGTTATTTGAATTGTGTAGCCCTACACATGCACAGGTAGATGTCAGAGGTTTACCTCCACCTGTATTTCAGTTGTTGTGAAGGGATCTCGCCAGCGTGGGACCCCCTTTGCATCCTTTGTTTCATGTATTGAAAAAAACAGTAACAAAATAATCGGTCTTGTTTGCTTTTGAATAACAAAAACGGCGTCAATATGAATTTTAGTCCTGACAGGAGTTTCAATGTGCAGGAACTAATAGCTATTAATAAATCATACATTTTTTAAAACAAGAATTTATTGGCATTAAATATCAGACGTTGGCTGACCTGTTTTGTATATACGAACATCTTTATTGGCTCATAACAGTTGATCCCAAGTGAGCATTTTTAGCGTGTTAGCATGCAATATTTACAAAAGCTGAGTGCAAATGCAGCCTCAGAGTACTAGAGGCCTATTTTGTTCCTGGAGCCTTATATGGAAGTCGGTGCCTGAGATGGCAGGGCTTGACACTAACTTTTTTCTCCTAAGTTGAAAAAGTAAAAAGCTCACAAAGAAATTTAGGGGCACAATGAGAATTGATTAAATAATGTGTGTCTTATTGGTCGACCTTAGTACTATTACTTGAAATCAATTTTAGGGCTTTTGTCACGACATAAAAGCTATTGAAGGAAAACAGCCTTTTTTAAGAACATCAACCGGTAATTTATTGATGGTCCCTTACTCAATACCCGATATAGCCAAGCAGATTTAACCACGCTGCTGTTGCTATTCCCGGTTATGGAGAGTGAGAAGACACCAGTAGATCCACAGTTAATGTCCATCGAATATCCAACCTAAAACTAACTTCACCGCAGTATTTACATTAAAGAACATTTGTTGCCTCGGCTTTTTTTTTTTGTATGCACGTGCCCCTAAATTTTACAATTCGCACACATCTGTTTTTAGTCACAAATGTGAGTGAAACAGTCGCACTGTCGAGCCCTGGATGGGTCACCCTTATTTCAGCAGATTGTGCACGCCCCTGAATTGCATATGCCTTGTTGAGAGGATGTTTTTTTTTGTTTTTTTTTAATGTTTATATTTTTTTTAAGTTTAAGAGTTTGTTTTCCGAAATTGCGACAATCATGAGTCATAACACCTACACAGAAATACTGTCCTGACAACACGCTCAACATTCCCACACAGACGCAGTAACTTCAGTGTGTGGCAAGAGCTATGTAGTTTTATTGGTCTTGAGTTAATTATGCTGAACGGGCAGCTAGAGGGACATTCTTTGTGTGTGCTGCTTTACATGGTTTCCACAGGACACGAGAACAACTCAGTTATAATGTGAGACATGAAAAAATTAACACATTAAAATGTCCACATTGAATTGATTTTAAAAAACAAAAAGGGAAAAAAATAAGACCGTTGCTGTTTGTATCCAGGACACCAGGTCTGAGGGTTAAAAATACTCTCATAAAAAAAAAAAAAAAGAGGAAAACTAACAAAAATGAGTAAGATCACACAGTCAGGTTTTGTTTGGTTGAGGAGGATAATGGTCAGAGGCACTGGTTCAGGTAGGGGAGGAAGCAGACAGCTTTCCTTGAAGTATCAGAGCAGAAAATGTCCCCTTAGAGGACCCATACACACAGACTCAATAACACAAACAGAGGTGCAATCACGTCTCATTCAGAAAAAAACGGAGCATCATACTCTCAACTTTACAGTAAGCTCAGGAGGAGAGGCTCCTCCGCTGCGTGAGAAATCCATTTTGAGGTCCAACTCTTCAGAGTAATCATGTAGTGAAGGGGTCAGAAGTTCAACGCCACCCTCTCTCTGCGGAGCGGGGCATTATACAGTTAAATATAACGTGACAAGAGACGACATGAGGAGGAGACAGGCATTAATGAGAAAGCATACAGCATCAGCTCACACAGAGGACGAGTAAAGAGACAGAGTATTATAAGTGTGTGACTGGAGGTGTCACAGTCCATATGTGCAATTTTTTCAGCAACTCTGCAGACTCCATCCTCTGATCCTAAGTCTGTTTTTTTTGGATCAGATCCTCTACAGGGGAAATTAAACGGGTACAAGAGGAGGTGGAGGCGGTGATTTTCTTGCTCAGAGATCATTTGGATTCACGATGGTGAAGTCAGAGTCCTTGCTGTGGGTGGAGCCCTCATCTGGACTAGAGGAACCGGAGTTTGGGCTGGCCATGAGGGGGTCGTGGAAGGTCCCTGCTGCACCCTCAGGCTCCAGTCGCACCATGCCGCGCCCTCGTCCGTTTGGAGGGGTGCGCTCGGCTGCAGTGCTACCTCCTCCATCTTTCCCTCCCTCGTCGTTCGCCTGCAGGTCCCCGTCCTGGGACACCAGGATGTAGTCGTCCCAGTTCTTACCCTCTGAGCCGAGAGAAGACGCAACCTGTGCACAGGAGACGATAAATACTGGAACTAGGACACTCTTATCTTAAATATTTGCTGCAGTGTAAGAAGCAGCAGAGGATGTATACTCAACATAAGATTGCATAAGCGCTGTCTGCTGTTTGTTTAGCCTTGGAGCTGATTCTATTTATTCAGTGGACCTCAGCCTCCAGGACTCATATGACTCAGTATTTTCATTACAGCTGACATATTATGCAACATCATTCTGAGTTTGATTAATCTCTAATGGGTCAAACTGACCTAATCCTGAAATCGACAAAACTCTGGTACAAACACCCGATCATTTCTGCACACATGGAGGTCTGTCAGCATTAAAGTAGGACCATTTAGTGGATTCTGGATCATCTACTGTTCTAGCTGAAGCCAAAAACATACAGGATCTGTATTGAGCATGTTCCACATTTGCTCCTTAGAGCAGCCCTGTCTATCACATACAGGATGCGTATTTGGAGCGTAGAAGCAGCGCAGTGCAGCCCAGGTCAGCTGGGCTCAGTTTAGGGAAAACGACATGCTCAAAACAGGTTGTTTTGACTTTCTGTGGTCAATTTCCTGCTAATTTGGATATAATTCAGTGACCGTTGAGCTTCTACTGTATAAGAAATAAAAACGTGATTTTACAGTTTGGGTTTTTGCAGGATTACTCGTGTTTAATAAAGTAAACTATGTTCCTTTATGCTGAGCTGTTACCTTCAGACAGAGTTAGCAGTTAAAGGTCCTGTTGGGGTCCACATGGATCAGGGATTGACCATCGGATTGTTCTATGTTACTGATAAATTCATAACCAGGAAGTATTTCTCATCTACATGAACTGATACACAGTCGGGAGTCTGCATGTGGTGTTTTATTTTGAAATACCAGATAACGTGCAGTTTTCGTGCCTAACATCCTGTCTAGAACGACCTTCTCTGAGTAGATTGACTGTTTTGGAAGTGTAGAGCAACAAAAATAGATTTGGTGCGTATCTTGAGCAGAGTTGCGCTTGATACGCATCTGATACGATGCTGCGATGGAGCTGATATGCGTCCTGTATGCGATGCTGCATTGATGAGAATGGCAACCTATTTGCTGCGTGGTACGCGATGCTGCTGCCACGCTCCGAATATGCATCCCGTATGTTTTAGCCTTGAGCGTGTTAATTAATACAAATATAACATGAAGATCGTATTTAATGAGCCTGGAGATGGATTAACCTGTTGATCAGGTGGAGTCATCGCCTGCTCCTCTTCCTCCCTCTCGTCTGTGCTCACGCTCCCGTCCAGATCAGAGTCCCTCTCCCTCCTGCTGAGTCCCTGTTGTTGGTGGTCACTGAGGTGATGGTTGGCACTCAGAGCAGTCTCGCCAGCAGCTGCTGTGGAGGTGTAGTGATCATCGGCGATGGTGATCTCCTCGTTCTCCTCAGCTTCAAGCTGGCTCTGGTTAAAGCGCAGCGCCCCCTTGAGGATGTCTTTGATCTGGCAGTGTCAGACACACAGACACAGAGGAGGAGGAGGAGGATGTAAATGTGAATAGAGGATAACAGCATGAACACACTGAAAACACCTAAACTCTCTGAGTCTCACCTGTTTGAGTCCAGCAAGAGACACAAGGACCTCGTCTTCTTTCTCCAGGTTTTCTTGGAGAATCACTTCCTGGATTTTACCTGTGGAAGCAGAACAAGCTCAGTTTAATAACCAATAACTCATCTATGTTGGATAAATCAATACGCAACTACTGGAATTGTGAAATACAATTATCTGAAAAAACTGAGCATAGAGTCTTTTGTTTCTGTAAGACCTTTTCCAATGACTGTTTTCTGACTAAACTGCTAAATTAACTTTTATTTATCGTTGATTTCATCTCTGTTTAGTGAGGGGGCCCTTCAGAATAACAGATGTCTGGCATTTGAGCGAGCTGATGTTGATTTTGTTGAATGTGTATGAGGGGATTAAACCACCTGTTCGTCGTGTACTCACAGATGTGGGTGTTCATCATCTTGGCACAGTATTTGCTCATGGCTTCGAGGTCGTTGATCTGACCCTGCAGGAATGATACTTGGGCTTCCAAGTCCTCCTCCTGCAGAGAAGACAAACACACACATGCTCACACATGTTGAGCAGAGTAAAAGCAAAGGAGCTTAGAAGCAGAGGGTGAACACTTAGACATGATGCCTTCAGAGGACAGATCAGGGTTGAAGCTGTGAGATTAAAAAGTGGCACAAACTGAGAGAAGGACGGACGCAAGGACACTGATACAGTTGGACAGCGAGGACATTAGAGGAGGCGGCAGGTGGAGCGGCTCACCATCTCTTTCTTTCCCATGGTCTTGCTGTGGGAGCGAGAGCGGGTGATGTTGAAGAAAGACTCTTTTTTGGTGGCGGAGAGGGGCGGAGAAGAAGTGCTGACATCGCTCCCTCTGGAGGGGGGCAGAGGCGGGGAGGCGGTGGACTGACCCCGCCCACCTGAAAGGCTTTCTATGCTGGGAGAGGAGCTGACTGTCCGAGAGCTTTGGCCTGAGGACGGGACGGGAACACGAGACAAATATAGGCAGGGTGAGGAAGTGCACTTACACAAACATCAACATGTGGACTTATTTTAGCTCCTGTACATTAAGTTGGTACCGTTTAACGTCTATATTTAAACTGTTGGTTCAGCCCTACCTCTGTGTTACAGGAAATAAACCTGATTCTGGTTCTGATTCTGACCTGCATGTTTCTGCAGTCTCCTTTTTTCAAAACCATTTAAGGAAACTAAAAGCTTGAAGAAAATAACCTCTTGGTGTTACTTGGCTTCAGTTTTTATTGGTCTTATGATACAGCTGTTTCAAAAAGTCAAGGAAGAGAAGAGAAATAAGAAATAATGAGACGATTTAATTACATTTGCATTTAAATGACGCATTAGTAAACTTTAATTAAAAAAAGTTAATTAACTTTGCCTCTTAATAACTAACTTTGACTTTATTCTTTATTTAAATGATGTCTTCTAAATGAAATAACTATAATGTGTTCAACTTTTAAACTAACTTTTGTACTTCATTTTTCTTATTTCATTTACATATGTGACATTCTATTCTTCTGTAATGTTTTTAAAGTCTACTTTTAAAAGTTGTTTAAAAAGGTGTTTGCTGCCTGTCATAATAATAACATGAAAACACACCTGAGTGATCAGCTGATTTTCTGCAGGTGGAGTCAGACCCATCAGACCAGGTGCTCCTCTGATCCTCCACCTCTAAGCTAACCTTTTCTTTCCTACGTCCTACACTTACTCCTTTATAACTTCATTAAGACTCTGGAGTGTGTACATTATAGTTGTTGCAGGCTCCAGTGTTTGCCCTTGAAAACACAACACACAGCAAACACGGACACTATAAACAAACCACACACACACACTTAAACATGGCATCACATGACAAGCTCTGGAGCAAATACACAAAGCAAGCAGATGCCATAACAGATCTGTTCTTGTTCATCCTATCAGTTTAATCTAATATGTTAAGCTGTTGTCTCCCTCTGCTGGTCAGAGAGTGTAACTACATTCTCTCCATGCTAATATTCTTTTGTTGTAGTGTGAATGTAAATGAGAAATCAGAAACACTGCTGGACAAACTACACAAGCAGACGTGCAATGATACAGCGAGCATGGACAAATGGGAATTATGGGAAAGGGGGGGGCGTGTCACACAAGCGGTTGCCATGGCAGCTGTTACCTTGTGTGTCAGTGTGAGTCTGCGCTGGATTAGAGACCTGAGACACTCCACCTGAAACTACATCTAACACACGAGAGTCAAACCTGAATCTGCTGCGTCCACACGAGCTCTGCAAAGAATCTGATCATCTGTGGAGTTAATCTGAACATGCAGCCAATCCAGCAGATACACAACAGCCAATGAAAATGCACTAAACAGATGAGAGTCACTCAGCTGGATTGTTCTACATGAGTCATTTTGCTCACCTTTACTGAGCTGGACCGGCATGCTCTCCGACTTGAGCAGGCGGTAGTGCTGGTTCTGAGTGTGGCTCTGGGGCTGTGGAGGGACGTGGCTTGGCGGGGGTTCTGCGAGCGGGTGAGGCAGGGCGGGCGCAGGCACCGCCAAGGGGGAGGTCGAGGAGAAGGCGGAGTGTACCTCGCTGTTGATGGGGGAGACGCCGCTTGAGCCGCTAGATATGGCCGGGGCGATGAGCTTCCTGCCGAAGCTGAGGAGGCTGCTGGAGACTTTGTTGATGTTGAGGGGCGCCGGCTTTGCACTGGAACTAGTGCTGGAGAGACCACAGAGTCCAGTACGGTGAATAGGAAGACACAAAAGACCCCGACAAATACAATCCTCCAACTCCTGATTCATGTGTCAACCACTGTTTCATACTGAGTGTGAGGATTTATCTTTGTTTTAGGGTGGTCAGTGTTTTCTATTTCACCAAATTTTAGACACAGAACAGACGTAAACCAGCAGCTTGAGACCAGCATCAACAGTGTCCATCACAGGAACAATTTAACTGAGTAATATGGTCAATTATATAAAAAAGTAAAATCCACCAGGACCACGTCATGAAATTTACAATTTTTTGTGAAATGAATGTGTCTGTTTTTACTCTCTCAAAGGTTTAACGTCACAGTAAAGCAGCAGAACATGTTTTCAAAGCAGCTCCTGTGTGCGACTGAGCTGTTCTGCTACAAAACTTAAGATAGACATTAAAAAATAAAGATTACTGTGATGGACTACCTGTCCTATGAAAACTTCAAAGCGGTTTTCAGCTTTTCTGCAACAAAATTATAGTATTGATAACCTATGTCTATCACCCCGTGTCCTGCCCTCTCACACTCGCGTCGAGAATTACCTTTACCACAGTCTATGTGCACAGCAGCTGTAGACGCTCAAAGTAAACACTGTTATCCTGTTAGTTCAGCAGTCCATGTGTGCTTACAACACTAACAAGCATCAAGACAAGCGGGACAACACTGTCTTCAACGCCTTTTGGGCTTAACGGAGCCGCTCCTGTGCATGTTTGCATTCATGCCTGCACACACAGCCTCAGTTTGTCTCCGTGTTTAAGCACAACACTCCAGGCTGGGATGTTGTATTGAATAAAGGCTTGAATCTTTATGTCTCTGGCCTGCTGTCCAGTGCTTATGAGCAAAATCACAGCAGTACTCTATCATCACACTCATTTAAAGGAATATTCCGATGTAAATTTAAGTTATGGTCAAACACACCGTAACACCAGGTTAGACACCCTCTCGAGAGATGAATGTTGTCGACTGCTTGCTTCTCTAGTTATAACAACTTTAGTAACAACTGCACGATAGCAATACAAAGTGGTCTACGTCTCCATGCACAAACCTCAACCAAAACGCCACTCTACAGCCACAAATAATGCTCAGAACAGCACCTAACTACATCAACAGTACATATAGGGTCCCAGCCATAGTATTATCCCTCAAACATCTTTTTAGCTTTGCCTGATTTCTTTAGCAAAGAGACTAAACACACCTCACCTACTCTCCTCCAGCAGCCGCTTGTTTGTGGGGGAGTCCTGACGAGTCGATCACCGAGTGCAGTGATAAAAATTCTAATTATTACATCATGGAAATGTATTCAGACCAAGACGCAAAGGCAGAAGAACTCTGCGTCTGCATTGTACATGCAAGATACACAAGAACTCTGATTACATTTCCATGAAATAATAATCATAAATGTTCTTGAGCTGCAAAACTCTGCTGCACTTGGTGATCGACTCATCAGGGCTCCTTCACAAACAAGCGGCTGCTGGAAGAGAGTGGGTGAGTTGTGTATGGTCTCTTTGCTAAAGTAACCAGGCAAAGGTATCATAGGAGCAGGATCAGCAGAGTAGAAGTGTTTGGAACATTTAGGCAGACAGTTTAATGTTTTTACGTTTCTTTATACATACTTTATAAGTTTTAAGTGATAAAAGCTAAAACAACTAAAAATTTTACACCAAATAGGACCGCCTTTACGGCCTGCAGGGGAGTTCAAGCCCAATCTGTTGAGATCAAAGCAGATGATATGAAGTTTTACCGTGTTTTGTTCATCAGATCGGCTCCTCTTGTTTTGTAATAATCCAGGTTTTGCTGGAACTGGTAGTTGACAGGGCGTGGATTGTTCTGAAAGAGTAGGAGGGATAAACAAACAATGTTTGTTTGAGCAAATTTACAAGTCAGAGATAATAGACGTTTCTGGAGTGTGTGTCACACAAAAGAGCCGTCAACTCACTACATGTGCAGGCCTGACTTTGTAAACAAGCAGACCTGTGTGTTTTAGTGTTTCTGAGTCAGCTCATATGAGCGAGAGTCTCTCTCCTGCCCCCCTCTGTTATTTATGATGACGCCCCCCCTCAGGTGCGACTGTGATGTGGACGTGATGCGACATAATCGTTCACCGGGGGGGAACGCTGTCACGACTGATCAGCACCTTCCTCTCAGGAGAGCAGCAGACAGGAGTGTTTGAAGTTGTTGTGTCTGAGTGTGCGGGTCAATGCGTTTAATGGAGGAAAGGGGATTGTTTATCCCGGGACAGGAAGGTGTTAGCTGAGGTTACAGCAGGAGTGATGAATGATTTAAGATCCGGTTTAGTTTCTCACAGAAGTAAAGGAAAGAAGGTGAGTGTGTGTGTTTGTGAGAGGAGGAAAGGTTAAAAAAAAAACAAAAAAAACAAAGAATATTTTAACTTCCAAATAAATCTCACACTGTGAAACAAAGCGGTGAAAAGAAAGGCTCTCAGTGAGTTGTATTGACCGGCATCTACCCTCTGGTAATGCTCAGCAGCACTGCTGTCTTGATATCAGATGTTCCCCTCATGACTTAAGTGGATCTAAAATATCAAAATGTCAAGAACAATATTCAAGCAATATTTAGGGAGAACTTGACACACAAAGTCGATATGAAAAAAGGCAAGAGAGTGTAGCAGCAAAACGCAAGAAATCATTTTGTGTTTCGGTTTCTGTAAAACTGTGCTTTTGTTTTGAAAGATAATCTACTTCTGGTAGATTATCAATTACAGAACGGATAGAAAGTATGAATGTTGAACAGGCAGGAAACTGGAAGAGGCACAAGATTCAGGGTGACTGTATGTCCTCTTTTACCCAGACATGTCCTCTTTTGGGGGGCTGTCCAAGGGGAGTTTATAAAATCCTTCAAATGTCTGGGTTTTTTTTTTTTTTTAGGGGGGAGAGTGGGGGTATGTCAGAATATGCATTTAACTGAGTTAGAAGCGTGTAAATAACACTCGACCCGACCAAAAAAAAACCTCAAAATTTTGAGCGTGCACAACTCCACCGCACATAGTAGTGTCCTCTTTTTGGGGATTCAGAATATGGTCACCCTAAAACAAGATTTTAAGAAGCCTTTTCATCACTCAGAAGGGATGCTACAGCTAGCTCACTAGCAGCTTCTTCATCTGTCTCTCATTTTTTGATGTGGCAACCAGCTTAAAGGAACACTCCCAGTATTACCCTACACTTTTTCTGTTGTTGAATGGTTTTTGTTAATACTGGAATAATGGTCACTAAGTGGCACTAACACTCATCTCCGTTTGTTTCATTACCGGCTAACGCCGCCCCCTAGAGGCTTTGAGTATTTTTCTTTACTGCACTTCACTGCAGACCGATGGGTCCAGCGTTCAAGTCTTTGACACGTGCGTAAACAGGTTTAGATGGTGATGACTGAGGAGGAACTGAATGAACTTGTTGCTTTTACTGCTTAGCTGTCACTTCCCTGTGAGCTGTGCTATAATTTTTGTTTCAGTTTCTTGCAAATGTGTTACTTCTCATTTTTTGGTGAAAGCATGCTTCACTTTTTACTGGCATTATGGGTAAACATGTCTGACAGTGTTAGTTTTATTGGTTGCACGGGTGAAATGTTCAACACGACCTAAATTTGGTGTTTTGTACATTTTCAGAGCTTTACTCAGAGTGACACACAGCAAATAAAGACCTTATTTCTATATTTAGATATTAAACCTGTTTAAATCTGTGCAGCTTCCTGTTTATTATTAACTAAATTAGCTGCTTCGCTGACTGCACCTGGGCCCCGTGTGTTTACAGTAAGTGCATTTAAATCACTAATGTGTAACCACCGAGGCGTGAGGAACAGAAACATTTGCAGCACTTGAAGCTTTTCTTTTTACACCTTTTTTTTTAACCCTGCAAAAAGCTTTCCTGGTGTGATCTATGCAACAGTTTTTTTCAACCAGTTTTTTTTTCCCCTCTTAGGTTTTACTTCTGCTAATCTTCTCCTGACTCAGCAGAAAAATGAGGGAAATCAGTCAACTCTTTGTGCCAAAATAATGAAGGCTCATTCAGCAAAATATTCAAGCTTTGGGAAAAATACACATCATGTTCAGTATCTCTCCTTTATCTTCATGTTAAATTATGATGAATTCAGCGCTGACTACCAAACAGACTGTCAGGGAGACTGAAGATGAACACAAACATGACCTTAATACGACTCAGCTGTTGGAAAGTAAATCCTCATGTTGGATAATTTTACTGTGGATTTTCTGGTCTGGCTGCTTGCTTACTTTGGGGTCTCGGAGGAAAAGAGCCTTCTGCAGCAGAGAGTTGATGTCTCCTAATGGAGGGTAGTGCATTAGCAGGCCCAGACAGGTCTGGAAGTTACTTGCAATCACTGAAACAGACACAACAACAACAACAAATGCAGTATTAGTTTTGAAAAGGGAGATCTTTCATCAGAGGCGATGTATGAATCATACGTTGACTGCGATCCTTAGAAGTCTTTAAGCTCAGTCCCATGAGGGACTTTATGATTACCTTCAAGTTCGTTAGGGCTGTCAAAATTGCTCCAAAATTACGTTCGAATATTTGTTCTAAAAATAACACATAGGTTCGAAAACATTTAAATATCTAGCTTACACAGCTTGCATATAACTTTGTCTCACTCAGTATTTTTTCTGTCTACCGTGTCTGCCCCAAATCACAAGAATTTCAAAAAGGAGCTTCTAAAGTTCTTTGGAGTCCAGACCACTCTCCAAGTTTGGCTCCAAACATCACACCATCTTTATCTGCATGTCCCATGGACGTATTTTGTCGAGTGTCACTGCAGGTGCAGCTTCTGTGACCTGTCCCTGACCAGTCGTTACAGTGCGCTCACCTGCAAAGCAGTCGCTGTTTTTTCTCTTTTTTTTCCCCACTCAGTTTTTCCCGCTGGTTATTTAATATTCAAATATTAATTTTCACATTCGAATCTTTAGAATAGTCCCTGATGACCCTAAAGTTCTCATCTTAGAAAGGTTTCAAAAACTGTGAAACACCAGATCTAACTTCATTAGGTTCCTTTGAAAGAGACTTTAGATGATGAGACAGTAGAGCTTGAACCTCCATCCTGAAGCAAAGATCTACTGGAGTCTATTTAAAGCAGTATGACTCCATCTGATTAAATGAGGTGGAGTAAATCACATTCTTCCAGTTAAGTGTTCCTTATGAAATTACATGCTACAAAGACAACATATTGGATTATTTCAGTAATAAATGGAGCGTACGGGCGTCTCGAATGTAGAGCAGCATGGCCACAAAGATGTAGTCCACCAGGTCTAGAGTGATGCTGTCAGCAAACAGAGCGTCCCACACCACCAGCAGGTCCTGGAGCGGAAACTCGCGACCGAACAGCAGGCGTACCCACCGGCTGCAGCAAAGACAGAGACACAGTGTGTTTGTATTCAAGTGTACAGCTCAGAGTAAATAAATTGATCTGAAGTGAAGAACACTCACATGCCGTAGATCTGGGGAGCAATCTCAAGTCTGTTGAGGTGCATGTGGAGCTCCACATCGTGCTTTTTCACCAGCTGGTCCTGGATGCGGTTGACTTTGGTCACTATGGCAACAGAAGGCCCTGAGTCCTGGGGCCGGGCAAAAGGGATGCTGGTTAGCATCTCTTCCTTACCCTAGAAAAACAGATTTATTTTTTCACTTTCATACCACTTAAAAAAATCTCTTTCAAACATACAAACTCTGCATTCTTGGACAAAAAATCTAAATGAATTAGAAGTGCCAGATTTCACTCTTAAAGGATTTGTATAAATCATTCAGCCTTCGTATTAAGGTCTGTTATAACATCAAGAATGGGCATTTGATTATAATTGGAGTTTTTAGCCGGTCAGTCACTTGCTCGATAGCGCTCATGCACATTCTTGATGTCTACAGCCGCTCTCCTATCCATCCCTTTGCTTTTCAGACACACTCAGCTACACACACCTGCCTCTAGAGGTGGGAGAAAAAATCAATACAGTATCGTATCGCGATATTTTGTCTGGTGATATATCGTATCATCTCATTTACAAAGTATGAATCTTTCAAATTAATTGCTCATATAAAGTCAAATCTATGATAATGGAAAAATAAAATCAACTGTTTGTCCAGTGAGGTTGGCAGAGTTGACATCATCGAGCAGGAGTAAGTTAGTACAACAAATATATATGTAAGGTTAGCAAGATGTGCTATATGAAAATAAAATACAGTAAGACAAATAAGACAAACAAAAAGGAAAGACAAATGCTAAATTAGCTGAACAGTTGAAAAAATTTATAAATCACAATATATTGTATCGCAATACTCAATGTATTGCAAAATGCTAAAAATCGCAATAATATGTGGCCCAAGTATCGTGAAAATATCGTATCGTGGGGCCACTGGTGATTCCCACCCCTACCTGCCTCCTCCAAAACATAGCAGGTAGCACATTAATGATTCTGTCTTGATTATTGTATTTTCATCAACACAAGGAGCCGTAGGCCTATTTGTGACTCTAATTGAAAATTGATTAAAGGCCTAACACTTTCTTGAAGGCACACTTATCAATATTTGGTTAGAGCCCCCATATATTAAGCAGAAAGGCTTTCCATAAAGGCAGTCTCCTGGCTCTGGCAGAGCAACAGGATACATTAGTCAAGTAGAGGCCTAGCTTCATCCTGACACCTTTACTTTTTTCACTGAATTAAACCAGAAGAAGCCGGGTTAGCTGGTTTGAGCCTCTGATTAGGATGTCTCTCTTGAGGTTTTCTGAGCACAGTAGACCCTGAGCTCACTGATGGGATTATATCTCCCATATGTCCTGGGAATACCCTGGAATCCCTCGGGGGGGTTGGCTGAAAAATGTTCCTGGAGAGAGGGATGTCTGGGTCGACTTGCTTGGCCTGCTGCCACTGCGCCTTGACCCCGAATAAGAGGGAAAAAAAAACGGCTCGCCAACTCAGACTGGATGCATAGTGAGGAGGATAGACAGGAAATTAATGTTCATGTCAACTCTAGATCTGTATTGAAGTACAGATCATGTAAACCTAACAGCATGAAGGAGGACAAACAGAGATGAGCTCTTATTGTGAAAGGGTAAACTACAAACAAACAGCGATCATGAATCAAAGATGCATTTACAAAAACAACTCAGCGATCATATTTTAGTGACAGTGGATCAGTCTAAAATATTGATGTAATGGAGCTGTTTAATGTTCACCCCTTCACAATAAGAGCTCATCTTTGTTTGGCCTCCTTGATACTGTTAGGTTTACATGATTTGTACTTCAATATAGATCTGTGTTGAGGTTTTAGTAGAGTTTACATGAACCTAGATCTGTATTGAAGTACAGATCATTTACACCTAACAGCATTAAGGAGGTCAAACAGAGATGAGCTCTTATTGTGAAGGGGTAAACAATAATCAGCGATCATGAATCAAAGATGCATTTCTCAACTCAGCGGTCATATTTTAGTGACAGTGGATCACTTTTAAATATTAATGTGATGGAGCTGTTGTCAGCTGTTGGATGGATTTCTACACAAACAACTTTAAACAACTTTTCAGTGTGCTCTGGTATATTATGTGCAGAATGATAAAGAAAACTCCCTCGCCAAAATAAAACATGTTTTTGACTGGCTACACAATATTGATTTCCTGACACAGAAGCTACTTAAAGGAGTGTTCGTCATTGCTCTGGTAAACACCGGCATACAAGCAGGACTCAACTCTGCCGGGTTGTAACTCAAAGATGTTAATAGCCTTATGAAAACAGACCGTGCACAATGTCATAACTCCTGAGCAGATATTACAGCTGACAGGCACAGTAAATGACTGTTTTTACAACGTCGAAGAGAGCTCTTCACATCAAACTGACCTTCCTCACTTCCCTCTCATAGCTGGAGAACCACGGCTCTGCTGTCTCCATCAGCTGCGAGAACATGGCACTTTAGACAGAGGTGTGCAAACGAGTGGGCGGGTGAGTTGATGATAGAGAGAGATGAGAAAAAGGGGACATACTGTGAGAAAAGACAGACTTTGAAACCAATTCCAGTTGCTTTGAAAAGGAATGAAACCTTTAAATACTTGTTTAAGGGCTGTACTCACTAGGCATCATGCTCGAGGTACACTGGGTTTAACAAACAATTCATCTCTTCACTGTGGAAAAAGAAAAAGACGGAAACATTGATCTCCTCACTTGCAAATGTGGAAACATTCTGGCCCCTGAAGCACAGGAGGGTTTTAAGGTTTTATAGCAGCTTAAGGGGCCACTAAAGGGTCTCACTGCTGACCTGGGGCTTGCCGTCTCGCTGGCGTGCTGGAAGGCTTGATGGTCACAGTGCAGCACAAACACTATGGGGGCCAGCAGCTCGTGCATCCCCTGCAGACAGAGACGAGGAAAGGTAAGAGGGGAGCGCAAGACACGTGAGGGCAGGGGGGAGAGAGAAATTATGGTTCATTTGTGGTCAGTCCTTCTTTAATAGTGATCCACGAGGTTTCTAATCGGTGATGACGGCTTTAATTTAGATATTGTTAGCAACTGCCCGGCCGTGTGTCACTTCCACTTTGCAAAAAAAGGCGCTGCACTGGCCGTCTATTTATTCCCTGGCACCTGTTACAGACTCTGATAATGATTAGGTTACTAAGGCATCTTGTTCTTTTGTCTGGACACACGGAGGGACCCCCGCACTGACACAAAGGCTCAGCAGGAAAAACCAAATGGGAGACTTCAAAGGTCTCATTTCAGAGGATCTTTAAGATGTTTGACATTTAAGCTCAGGGAACAGGTTCAGACTGAGGGTCAGCCGTACCTGTTTATACAGTAACTGTTCGTTTTCTCTGGCATAACAGAAGAGGATGTCTGTCAGCTTGGTCCTCACATCCTCGTCTTGGAAGTAACGAATCTCAGGAAACCTAAAAAAGAGGAAGAGAAAATAAAGACTTGGGTAACTTTTGGTTTGAAAGGCAAACAAACAGACAGGATGGCAACAACAATACTAACGTTCTTAACACGTCCTGTTTGATCATCCCCTTCAGCTCTTTATCTTGGAAGAACTTGTTCCACAGGCTCTGGACAGAATAAAGCAAACAAACATTACTCAGACGCTACAATAAAAACAAACAGTCCACAATATTTGTGTCATCTTTACTCCATTTATCTGTATTTCTTTACATCTTGGATGTCTCTTTTCTCAGATTGAATTTATTCAGTTGTTCCTTCCTCAGAGGATTTTTTAATGGCTGATGTCTCTATTTTCTGAACAGTACAGTAAGTACCAGATTACAAAGTTCTCCCCAGGAGATGTTACAGAACACAGAGTCAACTGTGTGGACTGTAAAAGCGAAAGATGATGTTGACCTGCAACTACAACTCATGTGGCTGGTAATCATCCAATCAGAATATCTGGTACATCTTTATTGGGAGGTGGTGCAGAAAGTTCTACTCCAATTAAATCTGTTGAATAACTCACTCAAAATGAGTCCATTCTTTATCATTTGTTCAAAAGATCCGCTAAAGGGAAATTCCAGTTTAATTTTAAGTTATGGTCAAACACACCGTAACACAGAGTTAGACACCTCCTCGAGAGATGAATGTTGCTGAATGCTTGCTTCTTTAGTTAAACCAACACTGCAATCGGTATGATTGCATTGATTGATTGAAATCAGGCAAAGCTAAAAAGATGTTTGATGGCTAGTGCTATGGCTGGGACCCTATAGGTACTGTTGATGAAGTTAGGTGCTGTTCTGAGCATTATTTGTGGCTATAGAGCGGCTTGTTGGTTGAGGTGTGCGCATGAAGACGTAGACCACTGTGTATTGCTATCGTGCGGCTGTTACTCAAGTTGGTATAACTAAAGAAGCAAGCAGTCTGCAACATGCATCTCTAGAGGGGGTGTCTAACTCTGTGTTACAGTGTATTTGACCAAAACTTAAATTAACGCCGGAATATCCCTTTAATAAAAAAGTCTGAAAGTTTTGGAACAACAGTCTGTGGATTAGTTGCTGCTCACATTATACTTTATAATTATGTTTCAAATGAAGGACTCTCACTCACCCCCTCATCCTGGGATAGTGGGTTGTTGACCACCAGGTCCTGCTGGCCTGCGGCCTTGCGAGGATTGGTGATGTGCTGTGACACAAACACAAACATACACAAAAAACACCAAATGCAAGTTAATAACAGCCGTTAGTATGATTCTTAAAAAGGCTGCACCTCTAGAAGTACATGGCAACAAAGAGCCTCAAGTTTCCTGTGAGGTGGGCCAGATTTGGAAAACAAAAGCATAAAGATCTAGGACTAGGACTATGAATGTATTTACAATCTATATTGAATCAAAAATGTGTGAGAATTGAGGTTTTTCTGTCTAAAAACCATAAGTCTCTATTAAAATTCTTTTATCCAGTGTGACTCTCTTAAATCCTCTTTGCCTAAACTTCTTAACAAAAATCTGTTTGTCTACTTTAATGAACGAGCTGGTTATCCTGCTGATAAAATGATAATCTCCTTATAATGAAGTAATGTTTGAGAGAATGGACTCCTGCTCTGTTTGGCTGTGTTTGCAGTGAGAGAGGTCATTTATTTAGGGTTTATCTAACAATGTTTTTATGTTTAGGGTTTACACTTGTATATATTCATACGGTTAAATAGCCTTTCTTTTAGTTAAACAACGAGTGAGCCACAATAAAGTGTTAGAGCTTAAGTGTCTTCTTTTAAATTTACTTTCATGTGAAACTTTTGTGAAAAGTGAAATTTGTATATTTGTTCACTTACTCACTCACCAGCCCCCTAACTGTGTAGATACGAATTGGTTTATATCCCACAGCAAAGATTCAATGACCTAATCTCACATGTAGAATGAAACCAATCAAAGAGGAGTCTGGCACATTTCATCTCTGCCTGTTAACCCTGTGGCCAAAATGTTACTTTGTATTACACAACAAGGAGCCCTTAAGAAGCTTATTTCAAATAATTAGTTATGTTGAAGTTACTAAACTGTCGGGCTGTAAAGTCCTAGTCAACTGGTAGACTTATTGGTAGATACGTGTTGAGTCGACCAAAATTCTGATTGCTTGACTTTATTTTTTACTGTCAATTCACAGTCTATGGATAATTTCATCAGGAGGAATGTACCAAGTGCTAATGGGGGTGTTTTCAGAGCACCCCACCATTTTGGCTTCGCCCAACCCACTGGAGACTGGCTGGAGACAGGGAGATTGAAAAGCGTCCACATCAATCAACGTTTTGTGGTTTGCTGACTATAATATTTGTAATATTTGTTTTTATTTGTCTCGTTGTGCTGATATCAGTATACTTTCACCCCGCCGAGCCGCGCTCCACCGTCACTGTCCTCCCCCACCGCAGAAGGGTTTGCCGTCAGACTCACCCCCCCCAATTAGTCAATTTTTGGTCGAAAATTTCAGGGTTTTAGACTCAGACTCAGGCTTTTTATTGTCATTGTATGAGGCATACAACGAAATTAAAAACAGCTCAGAGTGGTGTTTTCCTAAGTGGAGTAATAAAAAATAGAATAAAATATGAAATAAAATAGTACAAAATAAAAAATAGAATAAAATAGAATACTGTACAAAGTGTGCAACAGTGCAGTGTCATCGTACAATGTAAAGTTAGTCAACCACAATTCAATGTTTCAGGTTAAATAATGATCATGTTTAAAATTAAATGGAAAAACTGATAGATTTGGACCACCATTTATGCAAAAAAAAGCGATAGTTCATTATGCTCCCCATAAAAATGCTAAAGCATCTGTGCAGTTTAACAGCGTCCCATCATGCTTGTGGAAAATGCCACAGAGCGGTGCTCTCACCGTCTCTTTGATCTTTTCATACTGGGCTCGCAGCTCCTTGGTCTTATTGATCCACTGACCCTTATCCTCTGGAAGAGCCTCCAGATACAGCTGCAGACACACAGACAGTAAAGTGAGGTCAATGTGATGCTACATCAGGAAGAATCCCCTTCCACAGAAGTCATAAACCTGCAGAAAATTCCCACTCTCAAACTCCACAAAAGAAGCTCCAGCAGCTGCCAAAGCTGCATCTTTTCTGCAGCAGGGAGATTGCCAAAGCCATTTTAATCAAATTGGATAGACGTGCTCGATCCATTTGGCACTTACCTTCCAGCATACGCTCCGAAATCGGCTGCTCCTCAACCGACCACTGATGCCCGCCTGCCGGATCCGGGCCAGGTAATTACTGTTGAGGAACAAGTCGTCCCATTCTTTCCTGAGCAGAGGACGAGAAGATTTATGAGCTTCTCAACCCAAATTGGGCACAGTGCTCCATCTAATGTGTCATCCAGCGGTGCACCAGTAGGCTGGAGCACAAAGCTGGATCAAGAGTTTGGGTTCACGCACACATACACACAAATATGCCCATGCATGAGAAAGTGCTTGAAACGCTCACCTGTATGAGAGGAAGGTTGACTGAGGCTGTGAGTAAGTGCTGCTGTCAAGAGACCCTCCTGTTAGGGGACAAACACAGCCACCAGGGGGCGATGTAAACAGACAGAAACTAAACATTGATCAAATTCAAAGTTAAATAAGAAACTTGACTTCCAAAAGACCCGTTCAGTCGAGCAAAAAGGGCCAGAAGCAGAAAAGTGACGACACAGGAGAGAGTAGTCATACTCCTCTTTGTTGTTATTAAAGGTAATAAGTGTAAATTGGCCTGCAGCTGAACATGCACTCAACTTAGAGAGCTGTCTATCAACATTAGTAACAAAAGTGGATCATTCCACAGGGACACTCAGCATGAATATTCATCAGCTCCACAACACGCCAGCCCCCCGCAACATTTCCTCTCACGTAAACACGAAAAAACACCCTCAGCCCGGGGGCGTCGCCAGACACGTCTGTGAGTCACCCTTTTGCAGTGAGATCCAAATTTATCCTGTATTATCTGTTGAGATCTACATCTTCAAGGTGCTGTGACTCTCCTCACAGGAGCAGAGAGAATCTTTGAGCATCTATCAGTCTGCTGAGTGAGCAGAGGATGGTTCGAGATTCTGATCACACGATAACCTTCAGGAAAAAAAAAATCATGGTATTCCAACTCATACTGCATGAGCAGGCATCATGGGAGCCTGTTTGTGATGATCCCCTCCTGTCTCCCTCCTCATCTTGTTTTTCTGGTTTGCTTCAGGTGGAACTTCTACTCTAGATTTAGCAGGCCATCTGTACACCAAGAGAACAACGAGGGAGCCACATCTAAGGGCGATGAATTATGATCATTAGTATAATCATATCCTGCCAAGTCTGTTTATTTTGATGTCAGGTAGACATCAGGTGACACTCATGCAGGCTGACACACAGGTTTGGTGTTGGGCTGAGCTGAAAATCCCCCAAATTTAACTGACAAACCTGTAAGCCTAGTACAGCGTTAGTTCTAACCCAGAACAGTCATAAATGTAGGTGCAAGACTGTAGAAGCCATTTTTTAGTTTATATGAGGATTTTATATTCAAGTAAACAAATAAGTATCAGTTTAGATGATTAATTGTGAGGACCACGTTTATGTAAATACGTGATTTGAAAGCAATTAAATGGGTTGTTTATGTTGATGGAGTCGCAATCTTTTAGGTCAGCTAGCACAGGTGTGCAGATTAGTCCTTTTGTTTGGTCCAGGTTGAGACCAGCAGTACGCAAAATGTTTTTTGAGCGTGAAATGTGAGCTGAATTGAACCTTTTTTAAAATTTTGTTTCGTTTTTGAACGCTGAGCTTGATGGAATCCGCAACTGTCAAATAAACGGAACAACCGCAGACCTGTGAGTATTGGGATCATTTTATAAATGAAAGTGGACACTTGTCAGGACATCATTAAGGCTTGTCTCATTCGAGTGGTTTTAAACCTGTTTAAGGAGAAATCTGTCACTACACTAAAAGTCTTAACCACAGTTGAAATACTTGAGTGAGAGCTGACATACTGTTGCGGTTCTTGTTGAAGTTATTGAGCGGATCCAGACCCGTCTCCTGCTGCTCGTCTGTCTGGAGAGGGTGACGGGTCTCAAAATTTGGGTGCTGCATGACCGCAACCCAACTGGATCTGAGGGAAAAGTAACAGGAGACAAAAGAAGGTCAGACATGGGGCCATAAAAAGCAAAGATTTAATCACCTGTTAGTGCTTACAGACAAGTTGCTGTTAGCCATCACTCCCACAAATCAAATTTTAGGTAGCTTGTCTCATGTTGTGCACGACTTTTGAACTCGGAAAACACTCCAAAATCTCTGCCTGATAAAGTAAAGAGTTCTCCTCCTGACTGACAGATAGGGAGACTGACCTTTGATCAGAGTTTGTGCTGACATGAATCTTCTCTGGCGAAGAGCACATGTTTTAGACACTTGCTGACCCTGACCTTTCTGTGAAGGGCTGCATGTTAAATCTATCTACAAGTTCCTCTGCTACTATTTAGCTGGCATGCACTGTTTAATGTCAGGACTTACTGTCACAGTCTTGTGATTCTCCTCAGCCACAACTCAAAAGGAAAGCTGGTTCTGGAGGAAGAAGAAGAAGAAAAAGAAGAAGAGGAAGAAGAAGAGGAGTTAGAAATAATAATAATAATGAAGGTAAACAGATTCAGTGCTCGGGGAAATAAAGAATACAGTTCTGAAAGAGCCAAAATGAAAAAAGGAATATATAGATGTGATAATAAAACGAAGAAAAACTAGCAGCAGAAACTAAAAAACCTGATGTCACAATATTCCCTGGATTTTTACCATGTGAGGACGTCTTTGAGAAGAGTGAAGCTTTATTACAACAGAGAGTAAACTCCAAACTTTGTATCTTAAGAAAATTTATTTATAATCTGATTCACTAAATACCACACTTAGGTCATTCAGACGGCAATATTTGCACCATGTTGTCTCGGTGGCGAAGTCGTGTACTGCATGCAGAGAGAGAGTAAAGCCCTCATTTGGGCGGTCAGATTTGGATTCCACATTTAACTTATAACTAACTAAATACATTCAATGTTAAAACTGTGTTATTAACAAAAAACACAACAAGTAATATACTGTAGGTAATAAAAGGTTGTTTTTGCATTGTATAGACCCACCACTGGATTGAGCTTTTGTAGTATCCAAAAAAAGTGATTTAAGTAAATCCCCACAGCACGCTCTCTCTGATATATCACTATGCCACTATGGTATGTCACTTTCAGTCAAAATTTACATTATAAATAATATAATAGTTATATATTTTATGATATAAAAAGGACTCTGTATGCCTCCTTGTGGAAAACCATTTTTGGTGTACACAAAAACTGACAAATCATCAACCAGGACACATTTTAAAAGCTACCATAGCGGTTTATCTTCACTTTTTTATAAACACAAAAATGGTGCGCCACAAGGAGCCATACTGGGTCCTTTTTTGCTGTTAATTTTTTGCAGTTATAAAATCAATCATTAATGTTGTATTTTCAGACTTTTTTTAAATTGACTCTTACGTCATAAACCCAATCAGCTGATCAAGTCACTGCAGGCAAAACAGCCTGTTATGTGGTGTGTCTAAATATGGTGCAAAAACAAAGTGGTAAGCAGTGATTCCAATCAGGTCATCAAATAAGAAACAGATGAATGAGTGTTCTACAGGTATAAAAGGAACAAAAAATACAGAAAACGATCACAGATGTCAATGGATCTGATGCTCTGCTTTGTCCTCAATAATGAAGAGGGAAGTGTTTTTTCAGTTTTAGACACTAGGCAGACAAAACAACTCGGTTAACAATTAAAACATGCACTTCTACTAATTTTCTCACAGTTTACGGGCTAATGGTTTGTCAATTAAACAAGAAATGATTAAAAAAAACACCCAAAAAATTAAAGTAGTCACAGTTTATAGTGATAATGGTTGTGTTATTCATATCTGAGTTTGACGCAATGCAGCAGAGCTAATGGGTAAAGTGAAACTGAAGCTCCAGTATTACACTTAAGTAGACAAACAGTTACTCATTAAGCAGTTTATAAGAGCGAGTAGTCTAAAATCCTTAAGACACTGATAAAAGACACACTAACTATTGACTTTCAACCAAACGATCAGACCTCGGTCCAGTGCAGGAGGCTTGAACCGGTCAGAGTGTCAATAAACCAGAGAAACCTTTTAGAGGTGAGCTAAGAGCAACAAGAAAGCTATAGATCTGTTTACTTTGCTGAAAGTTAAAGTTACTTAGCTGTTAGCCTTTACACTTTTACCTTAAATGGACAATAGCTCTGTGCTCAGCTATTTCCTGGGTAGAGGAAGCATTTCAAGTATGTCACCATGAGCAATGAGAGATCGCTCATCTGAAAGTGAAGCAATCAGTGACTGTTAGTGATGATAACAATGTTCATTCATGGGCTTTAGGTCTTTGTTGTGATGAGCACTAATATTAAGAGAGGGGATTCCAGCTTAGATGCTTTAATTGCAATACAATGAAGGTCCATAATTATTGCCTTATTGTTATTATTTTTTTTTTATTGAGTGCAATTTGGTCCCTTTCAGCACACCATAATTTAGCCACCAGAGCATCTTCCTGATTCCTGCTGTGGCTGTGATGGAAAATAGTGAAACCACTGTGCTTTTGAATGGCATATTTCTCTTAAAAAAATAATAATAATAAATAAATAAAAATAAACAGGAGGTTCAGTCAATGAGTCAAAAGCAATATGCACTTTGGGTGAGACTTTAAGTATCTCTGAAGCTCTATAAGTTTGAGCTACCTTAAATAAGCTCAGCATACATGTGAAGCTTATCAGGCTAATGTCAGTGGTAACCGCATTACGAAAGCTGGCAGGGACCTATTTTGAAGACCTGTGGATCAAGTTTTATCAAAAAAGGGCGAAAACGGAAAAAAGGGCGAAAACTGACTGCAGGCAAGTCAACACTGTCGATTCAGGTCTAAGGCCCTTGGATCCATATATTGTGACCTGTCAGGCCCTATCATCATTGGGAGTAATACACTCATGATATAGAACCTGCATAACATGAAAAGCGACCGAAGTGGAACTCCTGAAAAGTGCAAATCTACTGCTACATTATCCAGGAATGATTAAAGTATTAAAAGTATCTCAGAATAACTGCACAGCACATTGACAATGACTGGATAATGCACAGACTTACTTAAAATAGAAATAAATGCTGTGTTCTCTATAAAACTTAAAAGCTGCTTTTAAAATACAAGATATAGTAGGGCTGGGCGATAAACCGAAAATTTACTGATACCGAAATTTACGACAATAACAGACGTCATTTTGCCCATATCGGTATATTTGGTGTCAAAAAAATAAATAACTAAAAGTTGGTTTTGGATGTGTGTAGGTAGGCTATGGTCTCATGTCCCTCTAAGACGCTGTCCTACGTCAGAAACGTGACTCTAGGTTCAAAAGTTGTAGCGGCTGCTGAAGTAGATGAAGTTCATGTGGGAGGGGGTGAGCAGCTTGTGGGGTAGTTATCGTCCGTTAATCGTTATCGAGGTGAACTGCTCAATATATCGTGATTTTGATTTGAGGCCATATCGCCCAGCCCTAAGATAAAGGTATTTAATATTAAAGATAAAAAAATCGGCGATTTGTTACGATTTTCAGGGCTTAATTATTTGCCATTGTTTGAAATAAACACAACACAACATAAGAAAGAATTACGACAGAAAAATAAAGATATTTCAACCCTTAAGTAACTTTTAAACCAACAATCACAGTTTCAGAGGAGTTTAACTTTCTCTGAGAGACGTCATAATCTAGGTTAACCAATTCTTCAGTTTTTCGTCCAGCTCTGGATTATTCCACATTTATGAATATGTTCAGCTTGATACACAGGCCCACAGAACAGAATAGCTCACTTCCACAGAGCGTCATGTTCTCATACTCCTTATTAATTGTGGAAATATCACAACACAAAAGGCATCTTATAAACCTATTAACCGTGTGAGTGGAACACCGCTCGATAAATCAGCTCCACGCAGCTTCAAAACAGAAATTATTTTATATGCATAATGTATGTGGCTGTTTTCTCCGGAAACATCTGTTCTCCTCAAAGACTAATGCTCTCCTTAAGTCTGAGGGTTTCCTCCCCCCTTCCCTCATAAAAAGGATATTATCCCACTGAATAATCGCAACTAATCCACAACTATAGGGAATGATATTGCGAATAAGCATCTCCAACAATAGCCGTTTTATTTTTTAGTTTCACTTTGAAAAGATTGACTTGAAAGATTTACACAACTTTGCCAGGCGACAACAAACAGTCCTCAGAATAACAATTCAAATCTGCATTGCACAAAGTGTCAGGATGTATTTTGAGGAAGGCATTTCCCTACAGGCTCGCAAACGCAACCACACTTTGTCCCTTCTTTCCAGAAATAAAAGTTGCTCTAAAGTTTGCAGATGCCTTCACAGATCTCTCGCTGGGACTCGTGCTTTCAGATGAGATGTCTGCATGTTGAAAGATGATGTAGGTAAAAGACTCCAGGCCTCGCTGCGTTCGCCTGAAGCTACCCGTCTGATAGCCTTCATTACTTCTACCCAAAGTAAATAAATAACAAATCCGAACTTTACTACTTAATAATCAAGGCAAATTAGCTCCTGCATAATTTAACCCACAGCACCTGGAGACGCCTCAATAATTCAAATGTTTCATGAAATATCCAAATCAATACATAATGAAATGCATAAATAAATCAACAGACAAATAACAAGGAGTCCATCTGTTCGGAGGTAGAAGATCTGCTCCAGGATTTACAACAACAACATGCAAGGCAAAACTAAACTGAAGCTAGTGAATGTGCTCTTCAGGATTTTCTCTTCTTCTTGTGTTGTAAATTCAAGTCAGACAACCTCAGACTGACCCGTAACTACTTCACTCTCTTTTTTCATGCATTTAATTTGACACGCATCGCAACCAACACCTGATTTGAGCCTGTAACCCCACCACCACCACCACCACCACCAGCTCCCGCTTGATCAAATCCCTGCAGCATCACATTCCTCAGGGTCATGAGAACATTTCAGAGCAGCAGATCAGCCGCACAGCAAAGGAGATAGCTAGACTTTGACCATAACACCGGCAGCAATGTTCACATTCACTTCATCTCTTCATCAAAACAGAGGCTGGTTCCTCTTCCTGCATTTTTTCTTCCTGTACATGCCCTGAAATGGGGGAAAACACACACAAAGAACAGCTTTGACCTACAAAAAGGCACAAAGACTAAACTATTCTGGAACTAAACCCAGATTAAAGTGTATTAAACGTTCTGCTTAAGTTGGCTGCAGGATTTCCATTTAGTTACATCGGACAGAATTACAATTGAACCCCCTCTGAAATCAACAAGGTGCAGTTTGTTTTCAGCTTTGAAAATGCTTCACATACCACACTGGTCTTAAGATTGTATGAATAATGTTGCACAAAGAATCCTCCAATCCTCACTTTATCTCACTGACAGTTGTCCGGTGGGAAACAGATTGAGGAAAATAATCGGTGCAACATGAGCTTTTTAGGATGGATGAATATTCAAACAGGATTCTACAAACCGTGATGAGAGCAGCCGTCACTGGCAGCTACAGTCAGAGCGGCAGACTGTGGTCTAGTTAAAGCGAAACTCTCCAGCTAAACAAACTCACATGCCTCTACTTCAGCTCGCAGTGAGAGCCTGGGAGCCTTCTTAGTCACATGCTCTGTTAGAGGCTGAGAACACGGCGGGGATCTCAGGCCTAGAGAGAAATACTGTTACTTGCTGGGTCTTGACTTATTCAGCTGGCAAATACACATCGAGAAGTTAATCTGACAGATATACACAGAGTGGAGAAATGGATCCCAATAGGCTGACGGTCAAGGCCTCCATCTGGATTCACATGCCTGGATAGGAAAGAAGAATATGTCTGCTCCAAAAGAGTCATATGTGCTATAACTGAGAGGGGCCGTGCATTAATTCTCCACTTTACTTCGAGAGCTTTGGCTTCATTTGGTGATATCACCCATTCAACTAAATGTCAGTCTTCACTTTTAGTTAAATATTTTTACACTTTTTCATTAAAAAAAAGTTTTTTTTTTCTCAGATGCGGCAGATTAATCAAATTAATCAGTCTTTTCAAACTTTCATTCAATGTCATTAAGAGGGTTAAAACTTGAGCCTGTATTTTAATATGATTCAAAATTATGTCTCTCACTTTTTTTGCCCATCAGTCTTTGGCTCATGATCCCACAGCCTCCCGATCTCTCATCATGCTCATTCTGTGCCTTGGCTTTTCAGACACACACCTGAATCTTCTCCTTCCTCTCCCTGCTCTCCTCCCTCCGGCTGTGGCTGCCTGATAGTTTGTAGCACTGTTGCTCCATATTGTTAGCCTTTTCTTTGCTGGTTTATACCATTCTTACAATGCAAACCTTTATTTCAGTAATATTTCAAGACTTCAGAAAACAAGTAGCCTAGTCTGCACTAATGTTAACGTAGGCTTGGCTACACTAACATGCACCTGCATGTGAGACACAAAAGCATGACAGCTATAACAAAAATACCCAACCATGCAACGAAAATAGCATGGCGTCTAATGCACTGAACTTAATTGCACTCCAGAGCCTGTAAATAAACACAGACAGCTACCATGGCTAACCACTGCAAAGTTAAATAACAGGTTGATTTTACACTCTTCACATTATTCTCATCTCACATTTTAGCCTCTTGGTGTCTAAAGATGTTCCTTGTTTTGCTTTGCAGCTTCCTTTTAACACAATTTTAATGATAGCCACCATTCATGTGGGTCGTCCCTTCTTCAAGTTGGTTCATCCGGCAAGCCAAATAAATATTTTAATCAATACATTTTACAGACCCTGGTTAAATATAATTACAAGCTCATTTGAGTTGTTTTCTTGAGGTCCCAACCTAACTTAGAATATCATAACTTGCAAGCTGTGAGTTGCAAAGGCACAAAGCAAACTTAGAAATTGATGTAACTTACCTCATTGAAAAAGACAACAATGTTTTATGTTGTTTTACTTATCGCAGTGACCAGCTCAATGTTTAGCTTTCTAGAATACAACGAAATTTCCCTCTTTTCATGAGTCAATAAGACTTATTGTTCTCTAAAATAACCATAAAAATAGGTTGACATGCTAAGAAGACAACTGCAGCTACCATATTCCCACTAGAAAACAAAGTGAGGAAAACATACGGAAACATGTCCTCTCTAGGCTTCTGTACTTTCAGACTCTGCCCTAATCTTTGCTTTTTTTCCCCCACTATGAATAACAAGATGATTTTCAGGGATTTACAAACTGCATAACACTTTTTCCAGTTATGCAACCACTTCTTAGGGATCACAATAACAATCTGTTTAAATTTTACAGGAAAAGTGAGCTGTAAACCTTAAAAAAACTGCAACAGATGAACTAAACAGAGATATACAATGCAAGAAAAACTAAAGAGAAACCTTCAAACATCTGACAACTCTTAATACTCTTCAGGAACAGCAGTTTACATATAGTTCCCATATCACATATACTGCCCTGTTTCCTCTCTTTTCACTTGTCAGTGCTGACAAAGGCCAGCTTTTGTCTGTGATCACAGTATGCAGGTCAGTTTCACTCCCTCCTTTTTACACTTAGAGGCACAGCACACAGCTCTAATAAGGAGCCTTTCTGTCCTCTCTGGCCTGCAGACACTGCTGTACTTTCCTCACACAAACACATTTGATCCGACCTACTTCTTAGAGGAGTGGAGAGGTGTGTGAAATTACATTGAACCGTGCAGGGAAACAAGCTGCAAGCAAATCTCTGCACTGTTTAAACCCATCCCAGAGTCTGACAGGCAGGCAGGGTGGGACAGCCTGAGGAAACAAGACTACTGACTACATTAGCAGTAAGAGGAGCACTTTGAACACTTCTCATTTCATCTTTCATTTCCAGCATTGAAAATGTAATTCAGCGTAAAGGGCACATTGTGTCCGTGTTTGCTGCAGCACGGATGATGAGAGTCAGTCTGCAGGATTATCGATGCAGGCAGGGCAAAACGCCAAACACACGCTAAGCTAGCCTGCTGTTTGGCTAACAAAGCTAAAAGAAAGATAAACCAGCAGAATAAAGGTAAAATCACGCGCTATAAGTGTCAGATTTGACTGAATCTGACTTAATGTGACAGGCAGCATGTTGGATAATGTGAAGTTTGGCCCGTCTGTTAGCATGTCGTAACCGAGCCGATGTACGGGCCTGTCTTCACTTCCGACACACATCTGCTACTCCAACACACAGGACAAACTCCTAACACACTCCTACACACACACTAACATGCTGGCAAAGGCACAGAGTTATCTCTACAGCCGCTGCAGGCTCTCAGTGTGTTTTAAGTACCTGTTCAGATCACGCAGGAATCCTCATTCTGCTCTGTCCGACTGTCTGCTGATTTGTAAACAGTAGCGGGTCAGGCGGATGTGCTGAAGACCAGCTGACTGATCACGTGACCTGGAAGCTGGCGCTGACGCTGCTGCTAGTGCTGTCTGCAGGTGAATCTTGGTGCAGTTACTATAGTGGAGTTACCTAAATCTCCGGGACTTAAAACGGTATGAATAAATTACAAAATAAAGTTTTAAAAGCGTCATGACATAACGCACTAACGGGTTATAAATTTAGCCAGAAAAACTGAACGTTTATGGCTCAATTAGCAGCAGGACACGTACGTTTTTCAAATGTTTGTCAGCCATAAGGGAGAGTAGGGTGAGTTGAGCCACCCCCTGTTGCTTGGAAATGGTAAAAGAAATTGATCATGTGCCTAAATATTTAGGAGATGGGAATCAATTCATGGAGTCTGTGAAGGTTAGAAGCATAGACTGTATATAGTAGTAGCCTATATAGTATATATAGTATATACAGTCTATGGTTGGAAGCACATGGGTGAAGGAGTTAGACATTTATCTCCAAAAATAAAAAAAAATAAAAAACACTTTTCACTCTTGAAAGTGAATTTAGTCTGTCTTAAGTTTTATTAGAATTGTGTTCAGACCAAAAAAGTTGATGTATATTGTTTTATACATCAATTGTGGTATCTATGAGCTACAACATGAGGTCGAAACCTTGGATAGAAGTCCACCATTTTACCTTAGAGGACTAATAAAGTCATAATAGTAGTTCTGGGGTATGTTGGCTGAGAGTCTGATGAGAGTTTCAGTTCAGATTGTTGAAATGTGTTACTTTTTCTTTTCAAGAATACAGCTGTGAATGTTCTGAATCACTTAAAGGCATTCTCATGTTAAAATGGCTTTTTACAAAACAGCTTTTTAGCATTTATATCACCCATTCTTGAGAGTCGGGACAAAACATGTCCTACATAGAAAAGTCTAATTTATTCAAAACAATTAAGAAATTCCAAATGTTTGACATACTCAAAAAGTTAAATCTAACAGATTTGTGCATCCCAATCCTATTTTTTAGCACAGATATTTACTTTTCTGGGGGATATTTGTTTAAATGAATCGTCTGTGGTTAGAAGGTCCATGTTATTGCTTGTGTCCTCAGCAAGAGGTAACAACATTGACCAGCCCCAAAAAACTTTAAAAAACTCTACAATTGTGAAAACATATACATCAAATAAAAATTCAGGGCTATAAATATATAAAACAATGCATGGCCTGAACATCAAATAACTTTTTGCCTAAAAATCTGCCTATCAAAGTTGTGTCCTCAGTTTCTGTCAACTCCATCAGATTATTCTATAAACCTCATTAAATCATGCAATATCATGGTCAGCTATATCCGTGAGCACCCCTTTTCATTTCCTGCTTCTGGTGAATGCAACACCACCACACATGGTCTGGTAAGTTTTACAGTTTTTGATATTTTAGACAAACAATGTCAATATTTGTATGGTCACAGCTGGACCATGTCAACACCGTCTCTCCGTTATTATACTTTTTTTTAAACCATAGTGAGTTCAATGAAAGTATTATAGTGAGATTATCAGGACAGCTAGCAACTGCCAAAAAAGTACCTAGCTGCACTGTACAATATATGTTTTGGAGGGAAAATACATGCCCTTATGTCAACTTCGTCAGACGTCAACTCCGTCAGATTTTGTGTCTGACGGAGTTGACGTGTAAGCTGATGGAGTTGACAAATCCACCTATAACCTCTTAATGTGCTGACATTCTGCTATTATTGAACATGCTTAAGGAAAACAATGTTATTCCAGGGTCTTATCTGCACATAAAAGTACATATATAGCATATATTACGTTATTTTACCATATACTTCTGACTTGTAGAGTAGACCATGGGCAGGCTGTCTGCTTAATTATAACTTTCAAACTTTCCCAACACACACACACACACACACACACACACACACACACACACACACACACACACACACACACACACACACACTTATATCATTGATTGACTGATTAATGTACATTCCTAAAGGTGCAGTGTGTAGTTTTCACTACCGAAAATCTACACACTGGCTTCTTATAGAGTGCGCAAGAAGTTCTATGTTGCTCTTTTAAACCCCAGTGTAGGTGGGATACCAGACAGAAGAAAAAGGTTATTGTTTTTATATTGTTAACTTGGACCATCAGACCTTGGGCTCTATTTTCGTGTCCGCCGGCGACATGGCGGAGGGTGGCGAATCCCGCGCAGTGGTATTTTTTGTCTGTCAGAGCTTGGCGTACAGCCAGTTTGGTATTTTCGTGGACTGAGGTGCACCGAGGTCCGCCAAGCTGGGCGTGGATGTGTGGCAGGGGGAGGTGTCCACAGAATCAGCTGGCGCAGTGACATTTTCGTGCTCGCTGCTGGCGTGTAAAGGGCGCTGAAAGCTCGCTGATTCAAACCTGGTCAGCTTTCAGCGCAGGTGGAGCCGGATGGGCTAGTGGTATTTTGGGAGACCAGCGGCATATCGGCCTCACCAGTAGGTTCCCACAGTGTCAGGAACATTTCCGTGCAATAAATAATCAATAACAACTAATAATCTGAGTTAGCACATACTTTGGATCTATATAGATATATTCTGATCTATATCTGATCTGATGAGCGCATTTGGCACGCGTTTGGACACACAACCTGCTGAAACCACATTAAATTAAATATCTAGTAAATAGACACACATGATGAAGTTAACAAGATATTTAATTTGTCTCCCCCATTTTATCTTCCTCTTTCTCTTATTTCTCGCGCAGCTCGACCTGGACATGTCTCCGTGTCCTCTCTCCGTCCTGCTGCAGCTGCTGATGCGGTGGCTGAACAGATGATTTGTTTCAGTGATCAGATGAGTTTTTTACTTTAAGCGGACATACGGATATTATAATATTCAGTTTTGTGAGCCAAATTTATTTTATATGCCAACATCTATGAAAGAAAGAGCCAGGCCACGGAGCGCAATTTACACACATTTGTGGAAAAGGATGTTTGTCTTACCAGTGGGTCCAACATTACACACACCAAATCCATCTGTGCTTATACGAGACAGTGTGCAGGGCGCCCTCTGCAGCGCTTACAGCGACACTTGTTGAGGGGCTGCCTTCTGTCACCATCGTGTGGCATTGCTTCAGACATCCCTTGATCTCTTTGACTACTTCACGAAAATTGTAATACGCCTTGCCAGTGGCGGATTCACAGGCGAGAATAAGAGCTGATGTTATTGGTCAATACAGGTTTCGGCTGTGTTAAACCCACTCCACGCCCTCTCTCCTCCCTCCCTATGACCTACGCCGCTGGAAGGAGCTGAGTTAGGGAGGGGGGATACTTATGCCAGGCTGCGCCACTCACCAAAACACGAAAATGTGCTTGGGAACGCCTTGTCGGCACGGTGGTTAATTGCATTAACGATATGTTCAGTATGAAAACAAGGAGTTATTAGTTCTTAATCTATTTTCACCTATTGACCTATTGTCAATCGGTTTAAAAACACATTTGTTCAATAACATATGCAACGTCATCAACTCCGTCAGTTTCTCGTCAACTCCGTCAGATGTTCCTCAACACCGTCAGATGTATGTTTTTCTTAATTTTTGGAGAAAAAGCAAATTGTTTCTTCAATTTATATTGTTTAAGTAATAAAGGAGCATTGGCTCTACTTCCTCTTGTCTCTTATTTACTTACGGAAATTGTTTTTATAATACAAAAATTAAAAACAAAGTTTGAAAATGCAACTATTTAGAAATCTCGGTTTTCAAAATAGTGTAAAATCACACATTAGGTTTATATATTATATTTCATGGCATATCAGAGTAACTAAACACTATTACAACATACATCAGAACTCTAGATTCTTGTTGGACTAGAATTATTAAAATTATATTCTTTTTAGTGTGTCTGATGGAGTTGACACAAACCCACTGTCTAAGGGAAACATTTTAATTTATAGAAAAATTGTTTTTATTTGGAGCCTGTTCCTTTACGGGGTTAAATAGCTAAGACCGTTCTCTACAGTAATAAATAACTCTAATCAATATAGTGTGCATTCTCAAAAAAAGTTTTTTAGGAAGTGTTTTGTCCCGACTCTCAAGAATCCCTGCTATACAATAATAATAAAAATGTATATATTGTACCAGTTGAATAATGTATATTAGATAAAAATAAACATGAATGTGAAGAAGTGACTGTTATTAAGGAGAGAGAAGGTGAGGGAGGACTGGCGTGGAGAGCAGAGGGGTAGTAGGGATACGGCTCAACTTACCCCACTCCTATGGTAAACTTACCCATAGGAGACCACTTTTTTGGCATGTTATATTATCAATACAGTTATGTTTACACTCATTCTGTTGGTTTGCAGGGATGCACAACATCTTGAAATATATGCAGATACACCAGTTAGAGACAAAACTATGATTGCCTTGATGTAGTGATCTGAAATATGAAAATTGGCTCATCTTACCCCACTCTCCCCTAAATAACTTTTAAATTGTTGACAGCCCAAATTTGCAAAAACCTGTCTTTTAAGGTCAAGTTGCATCAATTAATTAAAATTTTGATTATTTAACTCTTTTTTTTTTTTTTAGGTCAGAGGACAAACTGCATTGAAGAATTTTCCCCAATGAACTCAAGCCAAGACCCTTGAGGAGAAAAAAAACTTTCTTTTTGAAGAGGGATCGGCGTTTTACACAACTTGGCGACCTGAAGGCAAGTGTGGAACAAATTACTTTAATCTTATTTTACTTCAGTAGAGGTAAAACTACCAGTCTGTAAGTCTGCTAAAGTAGCATGTGAAAAATACCTAATTGAATTTTACTTAGATCCTTGGTACTTACTTTAACTCTTGGTGGTTGGTTTAGTAGAGTAAGATATGCCAATCAAAGTACATGAAAGGACAATTCCTAAACTGATAGTTTTAATAGGCTTATAGCCAACAGAAGTAATGTGTCAGGTGATTTTCATTCTTTATCTAGCAAGGGTGAAGTTTTTAAGATTTTTGCTGCATCTGTCAGCACTGCATTTTGTAGATGGTCCCTGCACACTGAGCTCATGGCTAACTGAGCACAGAGGCTTGTTATGAAAAGAGCCAGAAACAAGGACCTCATTTATTGTAACGAGTGAAAATAGCTGCCAATACAGCAAGCAGAATGCTCTTGATAAGTTTATTTAAACAAGATATCATACTTTGTGGTGTAGACTTCATAAAGTCAATCAATGGAAACCTAATTTTTAGCACTTTTTATTCTTAATGCTCTCTAAAATTTTGTGCAGTACAATAATTTCCTCAAAAAAAAGTAAAAGCTGATTTTAAAAGCGACTCACACAGTCCACCAAAAAAGCTACTTGATAATAGTAAAGGGAGTAAATCCAGATACTTACCACCCCTGCCTAAAGATTACTCCAGTTATCTAGAACTGATCTGAATCACAGGAAAATGTTGTAATTTGTATTTCCTAATTAAACAAAAGTCACTGCACTATTGTTAAATAAAACTGACAGCAGCAAAAGTATTGACTTAATTTGTCCTTTACATGCTTAAATGGTGTCTTCAGACAAAAATTCTCATCATGTTGACTTTTGCTTCAATTATATACTTCATTTAAAATGTTTTATGTGTATTGTGTAAAAACAGGGCTATTTCTTTACCCACTCACACAAAAAATTACAATGTGAAAACCGTCTGTTTTATTGCTATTAATCTTACTTGCTTCAACATGAATTTTAGCCTATTTTGTAAATATCCAAAAAATCCTCACAGGAGCTTTAAGCTCCAAACCATGGCTATAATAGATTTATTTTGCAAATATTTAAATCTATTTCTATCTCTAAAAATACAGCATTTTAAAATAAAATATTTCTGAGAGGTACCCCATGAGGAAAGTTAATCATGTTTTCGCTAATGCTGGTTGATGAAGCGGTAACTTTATCATGCAATTTTAAACACACATGTAGCCAAGAGGTCACTGTTGCTGTTTTTTTCAACATGAGGATGCCAGATATAACAATTTACTCTTCCTACAACAAGCTGCTGAAACAGGTTTAAAATATAAGGGCAAAAATGTGAAACTCATACCAATTTATGCATATTTCTAATAATCAGCGTAGTTTCTTTTAAGCTTCATTGCCAACATCACAACAACCCTTGAGTGTCTTTCCAGCTGTCTCTTCTCTGTTATGTCAAACCTATCAATTTAGGTTTGGACAGTAACTCCAGCCAGTTTGGACTGCAGAGAAAAAATTAATCAAGAGATAAATTGAATTGCAAATATATCATCGCACAATCTGTGGCTTTCAAGGTTGTTGCATGCATCAAAAATCAACAACAGATTTCATTGTTGAATAAAAAAAAATGGTGCCAAGGGTGTGAATAGATAGATAGGTTATGGTGGATCACGGCGCTGAGGAGAAATTAAACACATCAGGAATAAGCCAGAACACTGAATGAGCTCTGCAGCATGAGGGTTCATTAACGCCGTTTTATGGAGACTTAATTGCAGCAATTTTCGAGGTTGGAAAAGTCAAGTTTATCTTTAAAGGGCTTTCATCAAACAGTACCACAAAAGGCCTCCAACAGACCAAAAACGTGACAAAAGTAGCAGGACCTTCATTTAAGAAACACAGAAATACAGAAAATTTACAGATGATTGTATTAGATTGCATTAATGAGCCAAATGTGTATCTGTTTGTGTGTGTAGATGCATTCATGTTTGTGTGGTGGTGGTGGGGGTTGACACACGGCAGCTGTAATGACCGTCACTGCCATTACCATCATCATCACCACAGACATGGCATTTCAAGAGCGCCATTATCATCATTATTACGGCTAATATTACTGATGATGAGGCTTTCATGGCCTCTTGTTGGCCCTGACTCAGGTATCACCATGGAAACGGATGACAGAAAAAGAGCATGGCTTTATTGAATTACTCCATAAAGCTATTCTTATCAAATGGGGCTTGAATGTTGCACTGTCTGGGTGCAGAAAGGGAGGAAAAATGAAAAAGCCCCCGAGGAGAGACAAATGAGAGTTGGGGCAGAAAAGCAGGGAAAGAAATGAGACTGATAAAAAGAAAATGGAATAAAAAGAGACGAGAGACAGGGAAGGGTGAAGCACAGAGAGGCATGTGATTGTGCAGAGACACAGATCCTTTGGTACTGGAGAGCCTGCTGATCAGCACAGAGGAATATTGTCTGGTGACTGAAAACAATGATAGCGATTTACCAACAAAGACTCAGTATTACATTAGAGAAATCATTTGTATTAACTCACAATGCCAGTAAGGACAGTGGACATCAGAAATACTCATTAAATCTTGAATTGTTCTCTTAGAGCAGAGCTCTGTTTGTCTTAAAATAACTGTGACAGATGAGCTTCACCTCTCATGAAAGAGTCGCTCACTAATGCCTGTAAAATTGGTGAAATTTTAATATTTAACAGCTGTAGGCAAAACTACTAACTGCGTATGGATAAGATATGACAGCTAATATGATTTTTTACATCACAGTTTAAAGCACTGAGGGAGAGCTGACATGTAATCAAGCTAAGCACTGCAAAGCTTCAGAACACAGTCTTTTCAGAGTCCCGGTACTGATCTTGTTGTGGTGCTCATGTGTTTAAGTCTTAACTACAATTAAACAAGTAACGTAAACATGACATTATTCTCATAATAAGATAACTTCAATCTTGTGATATCATGACTTTACTATGACTTTATTTTTATTTCATCTTAAAGGGATATTCAGCATAAATTTAAGTTATGGTCAAACACAGTAACACCGAGTGAGACCCCCCCCCCCCCCCTTGAGAGATGAATGTTGCCAACTGCTTGCTTCTCTAGTGATACCAACTTTAGTAACAACCGCACGATAGCAATATACAGCAGTCTACATCTCTATGTGTAAACCTCAATCAAAAAGCCACTTTATAGCTGCAAATAATGCTCAGAACAGCACCTAACATCATCTACAGTACATATAGAGTCCCAACCATAGTACTAGCCATTAAACATCTTTTTTAGCTTTGCCTGGTTTCTTTAGCAAAGAGACAAAACACAACTCACCCACTCTCCTCCAGCAGCTGCTTGTTTATGGGGGAACCCTGATATGTTGATCACTGAGTGCAGTGGAGTTTCGCAGCTCAAGGAGGAACATTTATGATCATTACTTCATTGAAATGCAATCAGACCAAGACGCTAAGGCAGAAGAACTACCGCGTCTGCAGTGCAAAATGATTATTATGATGATTATTACTTAATGGAAATGATCTGCTTCACTTGTCGTTACTAAAGTTGCCATAATTATAGAAGCAAGCAGTCAGCAACACTCATCTCTCAAGGGGGTGTCTAACTCGGTGTTACGGTGTGTTTGATCTTTGCCGGAATATCCCTTTAACGAAAAGTTCTTTTTTGAATATGGCCCTAATACTCTGTGATACTGTTTCTACAAATTCTATCCAATGATGTTTCAAACTTTAGGTCTCTGGCGAAAAAAACATCCCAACTCACAGATTTTATGCCTGACTGAAGTTCCCTCTCTCTTTAGACGTTATATTGCAGATCTATTAAATTTCTGCCAAACCAAATGAACACTTTCACTGATTAACTGCAGCTGAGATTTATCCCTCCAGTCTTCAGATACTTTATTATTAATCTCACCCAGAGCAGTAATATATTAAAAATTCTCACCAGGAAAATGAAACGCTCACAACAAAGGAAGTGAAACAAAAACAACACACAATAAACTGAACAAGCTTTCTTGTACAAATGAAAGTGCTGTCTTTTTAATTTAAACATTTCATACACACTGCACAGCTGAAGTCTTTATATTTCTAGTCCATGATTGGTCTTTCATGAAAAACATTGAACATTGTGCGGTCCATGTGAAACAGAAAATGAGAACAGCTCAGTGTGAAGCACATTTTCAGTCACTTTAGGACATTTTAACAGTCAAATCATATTTATTCTGTCTCCGCTACATGAGGATAAATCATCTCAAAATAAAGACCACACTATGTGTAAACGTAACACTTACCCTAAAAAGACATTGCTATGTTTGTAAGGGAGAAGTAGGTTCATGCATCTATTGAAATATTCAATTTAGGACCTACAACAAAACCATATATGGAAGTTGAGACATAGGGAGAAAATTGACTAACTTGGTTCTTGTTGTACTGATAAGTTTAGCGATGCTTACAGTGATTTGTCTAATTTTTTTAAGCTCTAAAGAAAAACACTGCAGAGTAGAATCTGTCATGTACTAAAGGGGAATAGAAATGCTTCATATTAGCTTAAAATCATCAAAACAGACTCAGGAAATTTGATGTCCTCATACACTGTGACAGACAAACTGTAAGACGACTAATGTGAAATATATATGAGATGTCCTGGCAGGTAGTAGTTGCACCTTTAACAACTGACTTGATCATAAAAAATCATTGTCATTACTCTCAAATCTCAATCAATCTGAAAGTCACAGTTATTCTTTTTTAATATAGTGATATGTCACAACAGGGCTCTTTGTATTTCCCACTCAACCTGACACAGAAATCCACAGAGACACAATGTTTAAACATTATCTACACAATGTTTTCAGTCCTGTTTGCAGCAGATCTTTAAATCAGAAATGCTGAAGTGTCTTTGTATGAGCACCAGCTTCTCTAGAGTTTCTAGATGTAGCTCTCTTGCTCCTCTTTCACAGGAAGGACAGTTTGAGTCCCAACTTCTGACTCTTTTTCACCTCTGTCTGTTTGATTCTCCTCCTCCTTTTCTTGTCTTTCACTCTCTCCATCACCCTCCTCCCCCTCTTCAGTAGGGTCAGTCTTGAGAAGGTTTGCGTGGTTGTCTTGACTCAGTTTTGGGTTGTCTCCCCTTTGTTGATGCTGCTCATGGTCCTGGCTGTTGAAGAATTGTCGGATGGTGTGTTTGGGCAGACCCAGCTGAGCCGACAAAGTGTGAACCGCCTCCTCGTCTGGGTCAAGACCTACGTCCCGGATGAAGCTCTGCAGGATTACCAGGGCTTCCTGGGACACTTTAAACCCCTCACCTGGGGCCTCATCTCCTTCTTGGACCTCTTGATCTGAACACAACCCAGCCCCATCTTGGTTCTCATCTTTCAATCTGGACCACTTAACTTGGAGTTTCTCCTTTACCTCGCTTTCTTTTTTGTCCCCGTTTATCCTCTCTTCTCTTTCATCTCCATCTCTCACCTGCTCCTTGCTTTCTGCTTCATTGTCTCTCGCCTTTCCGACACAGCCCTTGTCCCCTCCCAGAATGCTCCTCTCTCCCCGCCCCCCCTCAATGCCCTCCTTGCTATCCTCTCTCTCCCCGTTACTACAGCTCCTTCCCTGCAGACGCACTCTCATGTGGGCCCAGTTGCCCCCAGCCTCAGATTCAGCTGGTGATGCAGCACATGGTTGTCGTGGTGACAGGTGGGGGCCTGCTTCTGGCTGCAGGGGCTGGTGGGGTTGAAGGTGGTGTTGCTGTGGTAGAGGAGAGTTTCGCTGGTACTGCAGAGGAGAAAGACGAAATTAAAAAAATACACAAATGTGTTTTTAAGATCTGAAGGAAAGGATCTAGAAAAATGTAATTTACCAATATTTTTATTATTACATTTGGTTAAAAAATTGAATAAAGAAATGGCTGCAAAGTGGTTTCCTTTATGACCTGCTCTGTTCATTTTTCAGCTTATATAACTGTTCTTAAAAGTAACTGGCATCAAATTTTCCATTTCTAGTTACAACCCCTTCTCACTGATTAAAATCTTCTCATAAAACATAAAAAGTTAATAAGGTAGGTTTTATGCTTTTATTGTTTTTGGTTTATAACTCCTCATATGACTCCTCTAAATTAGTTTAATGCAGAGTTTTGAGGCAGCTTTCTTCAGTATTGGATGTTAAAATCTGTAACCAGTTGACCACTAGATGTCTCCTTTTTAAAGTTATAAGTCTGGCCTTTATGTCACAGGACAAGGCAGAGGATAGCAGGGAGTGACCCACAGACTGGAATCAAACCCTGGTCACCTGCTTATATGACACCCAGCCAGCATTTGTCTTATCCCTGATAACAGCAAAACAAATCTAACACTCTTACAGTCAAGTGTTTAATATGATATCTGTTATAATCTGTAGAATAATCCAGGTTAATATTGCTCCTGACAGAAATGTCAGTCATGTTTGTGAAGCACATTTTTTCTGTTAAAGCTCCCACAAGATTTTTTTTTTTCCACATTCATGAAACAGACTGAAATTTATATTTATGCCTTTACATTCTATCCAAGAGCAAACAAGACCATCAGAGACAAGATTGATGATTTTTTAACCTTAATTTAATGCATGAAACCGGTGTGAGCAAGATGAGATTTTGTCCACAAGAGACACAAACCTAAAATTCCTCATGGGAGCTTTACATGTCTTTTTACATTTAAAAAAAAAATTGCACCCCAAAAAATTCATTAAAAAAAAAATAATAATAAAAACAGATGGCTGGATGGAAAGTTAAAGGTAATATGTAATTATGAAACAATTCCATATATTTTCCGCCTGTATTTGTTAGATAAAATGTTAATTCAACTTTAACAATTTTGTTTATCATTTGTCAGTATTATTGAAATGAATTTTATCAATGTAAAAAAAAAAAAATATATATATATATATATATATATATGTATCAGAGTTATATAAATCAAGTTTTTCAACCCTGAATCTGCAAGCATTATTACTCCAAGCACAAACTGTGCAGGTGAAAAACTGAATATAACCAACGGGTTAATCATAGCTTAGTTAATGTGCACACATCCAGTATTTCATTGACTTTGATGCCTGAATTGTTGAAATCATTTTTTCTTGCAAAGATTTTGTAGGCGTTTACAAATATTGTCTGTCCTGGAACAGTGGATTAGATTTAAAATGTAACCTTTTACTGGATTTTTCTGCCTATTGTAGTCAATTTACTTGAAAGTGCTTTTTATTACAGGGAAAGAAAAAAGACAGTCTGTTCTCAAATGCAGCCTGTGTGGAACAAAATCAGTTTATCTTTTTGTGTGTTTTGTCTCACCAGTGTGCTGTCATTGCTCAGCAGCATCAGCCTGTCGCCGCAGTGCTGCTGGGCCGTCGTGTTGCTGCTCTCCTGCTCATAGATGGCGTCTCGTTCTGTCTGCGACAGGCTGAGGAAGCGGCGGATCATGCACAGGTTCTCCCACAGGGTCCGGTTCTCCGGGCTGGGGTCCTCCTTCCACCGAAGAAGCTCACACAACCAGCCCTGCAGGAGTCAATGGTAACATTCTGTTCAGCAATTTGCATCAAAGAAATCAATTATTTGACAAAAAGGGTTTTAATAATCTGTATTTTAATTTTACACTAAATAAGAATACTTTATGTAGCTGTTATTAAGTGCAAAAAGCAAACAGAGAAATGTCTGCTGTGTGATCGACTCTAATGCTTCCACAAAAAGCTCTCTTGCTGCCTTGTGTCCTGCCATAATTACCAAGAAATAATAAACTAAACCATTAGCTATGCTAATCTACTCAATTTGCTCATAATTAGTTTATTAATCAGTGACGATTCCTTCATCAACAAGCTCATCTTCTCATACCTTGGTGAATTAATATATAAGTATTTTTCTTCTTATGTAAAAATGAAAAAAAGGATGTATGCAGGTTTTATTTTAAGTCCCTACAGGCTGATCATGCAGCTGTGTTTAGCAATAAGCTAGGCTAATGTAAGCTTCCTGATGTCAATGGAAACAACCAACAACAAAACTTACAGATTAACAAGTTTCAATGTTAAATTTAAGTTTAGTTCACAACATGCAACTTCAATCATAGTTCAGACTGCTGACTTGACTGTCCTCTTAAAGGCCTAGTCAAGGATGGTGAGCAGAAAGTCACAGCTGAAAAAGGCTGACTGTTCACAGAGTGCTGTATGAAAGCAGATTAATGGAAATCTGAGTGTAAAGAAGAATGCGTGAGGAAAAAGGAGACCAAGGGAAGAGCGCAGCCTTGAGAGAATTGTCAAGAAGAGGATTCAAGAATCTTGTGAGAGCTTCATATTCACAAAGAGTGAACTGAGGCTAAGAGTCAGAGCATCAAGAGCCACTACACATAGACGTGTTCAGGAAATGGACTACAATGTCACATTCCTATGCCAAGCCACTTCCAAACCAGACAGCATTGTATGAGTCTCGTCTGGGCTAAGAGGAAAAAGGACTGGACTGTTGCTCAGTGGTCTGAAGTCTTATTTTCAGATGAAAGTCAGTTTTGCATCTCATATGGAAATGAAGGTCTCAGAGTCTGGAGGAAGAGAGGAGAGGCTTAGAACCCACGGTGAAGTTTCCATAGTCTGCCGTGTTTGGGGTGCTGTGACATCTGCTGGTGATGGTCTGCTGTGTTTTACTGAGTCTAAAGTAAATGGAGACGTGTCCCGATACGATATCGGTCCGATATCAGCAAAAACATGAATATCAGATTATATCGGCCTGCCTCTAAAATCTCCGATATCAGCACTCCAATACAAGCAGTCCATTCCAGACTCCACTCTGGCACCTCTATCTAGCAGCGCCCTTATCCAGCAAGCTGAGCCCACAAAATCACAACAACAGTGTGTACTAAAGTACCAATAAAGTAACAAGGAGTAGAAGTGATGTTGGCCTTGTGGCAGTATTTCTTGTTTAAGTCCAAAAAAGACATTGCAGCTGAGTGAAAAACTTGTCATGCACAATTTTTTGCTAATATCGGATCAATATCGGTATCGGTCAATATTGAAGGCTACAATATCGGTATCGTATCGGAAGTCAAAAAGTTGTATCAGGACACCCCTAGTTTCCACCAGTGGCACCTACCCACAGCGCCAAAGTGACTAACTGAAGAAGCTTCAACCCGACCTCAGCAGTACCACAGGCTGATTACCGCCATGCAACGCCACACTGACCAAATGTTGAGTATATGAATAAACATGACTTTCAGAACTTGGGCTTTTTTGTATAATAAACTATTTTTTTATGGAAATATTCTAATAATTTGCAACACCAGATTTCATATTTTATGAGCTATAAACTAAAAAGGCAAGAATATTTTACCAGTCATGTAATGAATATCAAAAGTTAAAAATCAATTATGAAAAAAATCAACTTTTTCATGATATTCTACTTCACTGAGATGCATCTGTACTGGCAAATAATGAGGAGAAAAGTTCTGATTATATTTTAATGCAAAGTCAGGAGATGATGGAGAGATTTCCTAATTAGTTCAACTTTCCTTCTGCATCAGAGGAAAAGAAAACTTGTGAGTGGCAGATTGAGGAATGTAAAGCCAAGCCAGTTTCAGATTCATGAACTGGAGCATGATTACGTTTGTACGCACTCTGATGCGCACACACAGATCCACACAAACACATTAGTGCACACACAAACACACACACACTTACACACACGCCTGGCTGTAACCCAAGTCTAGCACACAATGCCATCCAGATGCACAGTGCAGATAGAACAGAGGGATCCAGCATGGTTGAGCCTGCCAAACAGCCGGGTAATACGGGGGAAGACAGAGTGAAAGAGAGAAAGGGAGGAGAGATGAGGGGAGAGAGGTACAGAGAAAGTAGAGAAAGTGAAATAAAAAGGAAGGCCGGCAAAGAAATGATAGGAAAAGAACCTCAGGGGTTTTGGACCACCTGTCTGTACTGGCATGACCGCTGAATGACCTCCAAACATCTTCAAGATGAGCAAAGAGATGATAGCAAGACAGGAACAAAGATGGGGAGAATGAAAGAAACACTGGAGGAAAGAAAGAAGGAAGGAAAAAAGAAAGGAAAGTGGAAATTGGAGACATGCACAAGAGAAGAGAAAATGAGACAGCTAAAATCCCCCCATTCCATAAAGGGAAATTATCCTCAAAACAAAAGGCAATAACAAGCTTATGGGGCCGCCATAAAAATGAGAACAATAAACACTCAAATTGTGTGTGTGCCTGTGTGCGTAAGAGCATTTGTGTGTGTTTGTCAGCTCTCGTGTGCATGCATTTGTTCGTGCAGAGTGTCTGCGTGCACAAATAAGTGGTGTGCAAGTGTGTGAGAGTGCATGTGTTTTTGTATGGTGACTATTAAGGCGATAATTTAGGACACAATAGCAGTCTGATGCACTGATGATAGTCCTCTGCAGAGTACAGCTGCTAGTTGATTATCTGGGCTTTCCTCCACAAACACACACACACACTCAAACACACTCACACTCACAAACACACAAACCATCCCTGCTTAAGCTAAGGGGATGTATTCATCATGCAACCAAAATCTGAACTATCAAATAATAGAAATGGGTGCAATATGTGAACGTTTAGGATAAAGCATTTTCATCAGATTCACACCAGCAGGCAAGGAAGTACCTGACTCTTAGAGGCAGCCACTTTTGCAAACAGAGCCTGAGACACTTTGGCTCGCTTCATCTCGTGCTGGATCTCCTCGTAGATAGAAGCGCTCACGTTGAGAACACAACTGTCTGTTCTCAAATTTCTGTCTCCTGCAACTGGGGACAGCCTCGCCTGAAGAGAAAGAAAGACAAAAGAGTCGGGTTTAAACGTGAGCAACAAGTGTTAGAAATTAGCAGCTCAGTGGATTGAAATCAAAGCAGAGCAAATGTTAGGTTGCTCTGCTCATCTATCACACTTTAAAGAACGATTTTAATTTGCAAAGCAAGTGAGGCATCACTTCTTCAATATAGAAACTGGTCTCGTTTCTGGGAGACAGAATGAACCGGTGCGCACGACACTGTCTCCTTGGCTGGAGAAGCAGCTGGCAACTTGATGTGGGATATTAGAGGGAACATGTGGCAGTCTGCTCCCTCTCCAGGCCGACAGAGGAGAGTCAGCAGAGCAGTGCATGAGGAGCTGGCTGCGCCAGATTGAGAGTAAATGGGGGGAAAGAACGGAAAATGAACAGATTATGAAAAGGAAATTATGAGAGAGGATACACCATAGATACAGGGAACGCCAACAGATCTATGGTCTGAAAGTTTTTGAGATACAAACGAAGTCAGAAGTCCTCCCTGTGTGGGCCCTCATGACTGTTGACGGTGTTTTCTGTCTTAGATAAAGTAAACCTGATACTACTACAGCTGTTGGCTGAAAAGGCAGGTGGAGTACATTTTATATATCAAACCTGGCAACATGTCATAGATCATCACTCTCTGTTTCACTCTGGCCGGAGTTAAAGGGAGTCCTGCACTCTAGCCTAACCTACACATGGCATGATCAGACAAAAGAGGCTGGGTTAAGTTAATGTTTACTCCCAAAATATAGTGCCAAAGAAACTTAAAGGGATGTTCCGACGTAAATTTAAGTTATGGTCAAACACACTTGGTGATCGACTCGTCAGGGGTCCCCCCAAGAACCAGCAGCTGCTGGAAGAGAGTAGGTGAGTTGTGTTTAGTCTCTTTGCTAAAGAAATTAGGCAGAGTTAAAAAGATGTTTAGTGGCTCGTGCTATGGCTGGGACCCTATATGTACTGTTGATGAAGTAGGTGCTTTTCTGAGCATTATTTGTGGCTATAGAGTGACTTTTTGGTTGAGGTTTGTTGATGGCTCCTCAGACCGCTGTGTACTGCTATCGTTTAGTCGTTACTAAAGTTGGTATAACTAGAGAAGCAAGCAGTCGGCAACATTCATCTCTTGAGGGGGGTGTCTAACTCGTTGTTATGGTGTGTTTGACCCTAGCTTAAATTTACGCCCCCATATCCCTTTAATAATTAAACTTTATCAGTGTCAGATTGCCATTTTTCTCAAAAATCCTAGTATTGGCCAACTTTAATCCCAGAGGATATGGCAAAAGTTAGAGGAAAGGTATAATTTGTACTTTACTGGAGTGAAAAGAAGGGATCAGAGTGAAGAAAAAACAAAAATCCTTATTTTAAGAATTTAGGTGACCCTTTACGTTTTCAGATGTTATATTTGCTTCTATAAAAATACTTATAGCTCCTGTAAGAAGGTTTTTGATGGTAATGAAATAATAAACAAAAGCAGACAGGACCGATGATGACAAGATTTAGAGCTTTTCTGTTGTTATTCTGCGCGTATCAAAACAGTGCAGGTGAGTCGATGCCAGCTACAAACAGCCCTGTTTATATCATTTTTGTATTAAATATTCACGATAAATGATATTTTAGCTTTCTGGATAAAAATAACCACTACAGTATGTAAAGGACAAGATGTCTTGGTGCATGTTCCTCACATATGCTTTAAAATAATGAATAAGTTAGTGCTAACAGTACTAGCATGATCTTGTTAAGCCTGTAGAATAATTTTCCAAGCTCAGTAAAGCATACGATCATCAGCATTTTAATATTAATAACTCATAAGCGCCTCACACTAAGTGCAGTGAGCCTGATGGTTATATAACTACCTTTTTCTGTGCTTGTCTAAAGGACAGTTTTCACCTGAAGATAGTTTTCACAGCCAAAGAATCGTGATGTACCAAAATTCTCAAAAATCGAGCACAAAATGTTTTAAAATTCACTTTAAATGTCAAAGAAAAACCATACCCCCATGTACAGAGGATACCCACTGAGCCTTAGACGACTATTAGACGTCTCGTCTTAGTTTAGACATAAATTCACCGTCTATAATTGATCTATATTTTAGCCCAAAACTAGACAATAGACTTTAACCCATTAATTATTAAATATTAAATAAAAAACAACTGTAAGCTGTTTAAATGATGGCCAAATGTTGGATTAAAGCATTTTAACAGTCATTGATCAATGTAAAGTGTAGTTAAGACTATTAGACAGCTAGTCTTAGCTTAGACGGCTAAATAACTTTCCTTTTTAGACCAGTGGTAGACCAATTTTAGCCCAGACGTCTAAGGACCATTAGAGGTCTATTAAATGTCTTTTAGAGCGAAAAATGCTCGGTGGGTATAGTCTTTGTTAAGGCAGTTGTTGGTTCGATTCCCTGCCATGACCCTTTTCTTCATGATATTTCCTGACTATCTACTTTCCAACTTTCCCTGTTTTTCAGCGTTTCAATTCAATAAAAGCAAAAAATCAAAAATCAAAAAACTAAACAGCAGCTTCGTGATTTCATCTCTCTCTCTCAGTCTGTCCACAGGCTGACCTGTGTGGGTCTTGGTGGCGTGTTGTTGCAGCTGGGGGTGAATCCCGTCAGGCTCCTGTCTTTCTCCTCCTGGTAGATGCGTTCCCTCTCAGCTTCAGGAAGCTGCAGGAAGCCGTACATCGCCCGCAGGTTCACCAGAAGAGACTGGGAGGCGTGTTTGGGGTCCTCTTCTTTCCGCAGGATCTCTGACAGAAGACCCTGGTAAATTCATAAATAATCACTCGGACATAGTCCCTCTGATGTGTTAAAAAGTTGTTGTTTGAATGAACTTAACAAAAAAAAAAAACTCCATGTTTGGCTCTCATTCAAAGCGGCTACTTATCGAGTTCCTGCAGTTAGGTGTTTCTAGGCTACACAAGATACAGAGCCAGTCCACATTCACGACTTAGCAATCTACTAAGCTATCAAGCTCGCATTATCGAGGCTATATCTGTGTGTTTAGGAAAGCCTTCAAACATCTCATGCAGATTGTAGGGCTTCCATTCAGAGGAGAAATCAGATTTCACACTGGCAGTGAAATAAAGGGAGAAGAAACAGCCTTCTTATTCAAATCATGGATCATCTTCAGATACTCTCAGACTCCTCCTTCCAGACTGATGGAGGCTTTACATGAATCACAAAATGACAAATGATCCTTTAGACTCTATATGGCAGGTTGGCATCCTGCCCGACTTGTGCGGCTGGCACTGAGGCACCTTGGACTTGGCAACAGGGGAAACACGGGGGTGGATAATAACTACCTCTGGTTATTGTGATGAAAATGATAATGACGGTAATAATAATAATAATAATAACAATGGGCTTAGCCTGTCCTCTGAGCCCCATTTCTGTGGCTGTGGTAGCGAATGGAAGATGATGGACACAGATAATGTGGCATTTTAGTGTTTGAGGTGATGGCAGAGATATGGATGAAAAAGAAGCAGACCAATGAAAGAATGAAAGGTGTGATAATAAAAATATGGACCGACAGATTAGAGGTAAAGATTACTGCTGGAAAGAGTTGAGATGGAGGGGCAGTAAGATAAAGAAAAAGGTAGAGAGGGAGAGACAGCATTTCTCCAAGGGGTTGTGATTAGTTGGCCTAGCAGCTGCTTCAGTGCTGGCACCAGCTTTGTGCTGCAGAGAGCTGGCACAAACACGCACGCACACATATATACGCACATGCATGGGGGGAGGGGGCACTGCGGCAAAGGCCATGCCAATGTGCCAACCATCAAGCACAGATAATTATAGGACACATTTATGAACCATCGCAGCACAAAAGATACTTCAAAAGATGACCACCGGTAAACATTCACCTCTCTGAGTTCCATACCTGGGTCCTGTTGAAGGCAACACGCGCAAAGATGGCCTGGGAGATGCCCGCTCTCTTCAGTTCCTCCCTCACACAGTGGTAGATGTCACTCGGCACATCTGTCAGCCCCACAGAAGACCCAGACGAGGTCTGTATTTGAGGCCCAGGTGCAGGGCCTACTCCTGGGCCACAGAGTGTCTGTTGAGGGGCCTGGGGTTCAGGGGGTTTGGAGAAGACTTTCGTAGGCGCCCTCCCTACAGGTGGATGGTTGAGATACTGCTGAGGGGGCGCTGGGTGACCCTGCCCTGCTAGCATCCGGCTCACAGCGTACTGCTGGTTGAGGAACTGGGCCATAACCAGCTGTTGGTTGACCATCTGAGAGCTGAGCGGCTGGGTTACCAAACCGTGAGGGCGCAGGCTGAGGGGAGAGCGGCCACATATGTTGGCTACATCCCCACGAGAAAAGAGGAGAGGGGAGCTCTGTTCAGCTGGGCTACTTGTGATTGGCTGCTGGGTCAGGGTGGGGAGTGCGGGTTGGTCAGAGAAGCTGTCAATCTCTGTGGAAGGAAGGGGAAAATGAACATACAATTATTATCACACCAAAGAATATGACATTGAATATCTCTATCTTGTGTTACAATTCTTAACATAGTTTGAGTTTGCCATTCATAAAGTCCAACACTGTTTGTGTAAGAGCGGCAACTCCTGCAACTTCTGTAAGAACCCAACTGCTGATGGATTTAACAGATTTGCATTTGAGTTGAAATGTGTTTTCACATCCCTGTTTGACAGATTTTTATACCTCATTCAAGTGCCTCAGATTTTCACTAGTTTAGACTGTCATTTCTCACCCCAAGCTTCATTTTAAAATAACCTTTACAGTCACTATTTATTTTGACCTTAAAGGGATATTCCTGTTTAAAATTGAGTTTTGGTCAAACACACTGTAACATTGAGTTGGACACCCTATCAAGAGATGAATGTTGCTGACTGCTTGCTTCTCTAGTTATACTAATTTCAGTAATGACCACAAGATAGCAATACACAGCGGTCTATAGATCCACGTGTAAACTGTAACCAAAAAGTCACTCTATAGCCACAAATAATGTTCAGAACAGCACCTAACTTCATCAACAGTACATATAGGGTCCCAGCCATAGTACTAGCCACCAAACATCTTTTTAGCTTTGCCTGATTTCTTTAGCAAAGAGACTAAACACAACTCACCCACTCCCCTCCAGCAGCTGCTTGTTTGTAAGGGAGCCCTGACGAGTCGATCACTGAGTGCAGCGAGTTTCGCAGCTCATGGAAGAACATTTAGGATTATTTCTTCATGGAAATGCAATCAGACCGAGACGTTAAGGAAGAGGTACTAGTGCAGTACAAAAAATTATGATGGCAAAAAGTTATTATGATGATTATCACTTCATGGAAATGATCCGCTGTGCTCGGTGATTGACTCATCAGGGCTCTCCCACAAACAAGCGCCTGCTGGAAGAGAGTGGGTGAGTTGTGTTGAGTCTCTTTCCTAAAGAAATCAGGCAAAGCTAAAAAGATGTTTGGTGGCTAGTACTATTGCTGGGACCCTATATGTACTGTTGATGAAGTTAGGTGCTGTTCTGAGCATTATTTGTGGCTATAGAGTGGCGTTTTGGTTGAGCTTTGCATGTGGCTCCACAGACCGCTGTGTATTGCCATTGTGCAGTCGTTACTAAAGTCGGTATAGCTAGAGAAGCAAGCAGTCGGCAACATTCATCTCTCAAGGGGGTGTCTAACTCGGTGTTACTGTGTGTTTGATCCTAAGTTAGTTTTACACTGGAATATCCCTTTAATATACTTTAATAGAACACTTTGACTCGTGCTATTTCACCCTGGGAGTAGTTGAATGCTTATGCTAGTTTCTGCGTAGTATTTGCAAATAAGATTTAATTTCATTGTTTAAAATTAATTCTGCTATCATTAAATGGTACCATAAAAAGATCTTATTTTATCCTTAGAGTAGTTGAAAACTTATGCTAGCTGCTTTCTTATGCTTGTAATAAGTGAGGAAAGACATAGTTTTAGCTTGAAACAAGGCCAGGTGTCCTTCTGTGTGTCCACTTTCAACCGTTTCAGTTTCTGATGAAACAGGAAGCTAAGAGGTGCTGACAGGACGTTAGATTCACATTACTAAAACAACATGAGAAATAAAAACAGCAGTGTGACAAGAGGCAAATGAGCCTGACTGTAGTGGTTCATTGAATTAAGAGTATAAAAGTTCCTCTTACTGCTAAAACCTCACTCTGTCAAGGCTGGTTTGCTGTGTAGGTGTGGATCTGGGACATGCTCTGAGACTCATCAAGCACTCTCCATGTTTGCAGGTGGGCTCAAACCCCTCACCTTTGAAGCTCTTGGTCCTCCTGAAGTGCTTATACCATCGACCGAACTCGTGACATTTGGCAGCCGAGACGTTTGCATAGTAAGTGCTATTTACAATGGATGATATCATGCTCTGAAACAGAAGGGAGAAAGACAATAGAAATTCATTACATCTTCTGAGCTACTGCTATGGGCAGCCTGAGTGTCTCAGCTGTTCACACATCTGATATTAATGAACTCAGATCTGTGTTATTAAAAAGACCCCCAGGTAAATAAGATAATAAAGACAGATGAGTGTGTCAGTGTGTGAGAGCTCCATGTGTGTGCACATACTACACGTGAATCACGCATGTGTTTGTGCATGCTTGTGTGTGATCAAAAAAAACACAAGAGGTCATCAGAGACCGCCTCTCTGTCTGTCTGTCTCACACACACACACACACAAAACCACTCATGCACAGTTTTTTTCCCCAAAGACCGTCCTGTGCAATCTTTACATCTGATTACACCTTTCATCTTCTCATATTTATTTTAATCTGCTTCCCGCAAACAAGAGAGGGGGTAAAGGGAGTGATGAGAGAGGGATTGAAAAAGAGAGATGGGGGAGGGAGGACTGGCTCGTATCAGATCTGCAGAGAAGGAAAGAATCCAAAGAAGAGGAAGATAGAGGGGGGTGTCTTTTTTATCAAACTGTAGATGTCCTATGAAGCCTCGGGCAAACATAGAGAGACTAAGTTGATCATTATGAATATTCATAAAGAGCCTTTCCCCAAATACTGCATCATTATTAATGTGATGTTATTTCTGCAGTTGTGTTTCTGTTTTCTCGGCTGGACAGAGATCTTAAAACCAGATTGGGATTTTGTTGCTGAAGCAGTCAAAAGTGTAGAGACATTGAAAGATAGTCATGGAGAGGGAGTGAGAGTTTGACAGAGTAGGAAGCTGACAGACAGACTGATACAGTGACAGGCAGACAGCTTGGCAGGGTAAAGAAGATAGACAGCAGCCTGAGGCGGTTGGGCTTTTTAAGAGATAACCATCTCTCTTTATCTGTGTGTCTCCCTCGCTCTGCCCCCCACACCTTATCTCACACTGCATCTGGACTTCCTGTCAAATTATTGGACCACACGCTCACCCTGCCTTATGTTACAAAAGCAGTCCTGGGACAGTGAAGGGCAAAGACGTTACAGAGACACTTCGTACTCATGAGCTTCCTGTGTGTATTTGAATCAATGCAGTGTGCTTGTGCATGTGTGTGCTGTACCTGGGACAGAGGGCACTCCTTGGCCAGGGTGCTCTGGTTCATGTCCTTTAGAAGCTCCTTCAGAGCGTTTCTCACAGTGGAATGACTCCACTGCTCTGCAGGCAAGTCCTCCAATTTAGGACAGCTTGACAAAAATCACACGAGAAGTACTTGAATGACAACATTTTGACAGATTTTAGGAAGTCCGGTGAGAGACTGCACTTCAATCAGTTTCACCAAAATAATATACCTCAGTGCTGTCTTTCATTTATTTTCTCATCACATTGCTCTCCAGTTTTAACTAAACTTTACTTAAATACCAGAGTGACCCTCATGAGAATAAATGTCCTGCAAAACCCATTTTTTGCTCTCCTTTATTCATCTGCAGCACTAAGACCTCAAACAAGTTTCTAGTCTCTCCAGTATGCTTTAAATTTTGGTTTGCAGGAAGAATTTAAAGCACTTGTTCCTGTGGATTTCACTGTGCCACAACTAAATGACTTCTTCCACAACAAATGAAGTAGTATTAATTATTCCAAAATGTTACAGGACATAACTTTTGATGTCTTTGACCATTAAATTGCTCATCAATATTCATTGCAACAAGCTAATAAAATCAGTCATTAAACTTAATTCGGAGGCATAAAAAGACTGAAAAAGGGAGTTTTCATTATTCTCTGCGACTCACAGAAACTTAATTTGGTGTGTGTTGCAGTTCTTTACATTTAAGATTATGTTTAAACCTGACTATCGATGCAAACAGACATATTCAGAGATCATCCTACCTGTGCAGCTGGATTTTAAGAGTGATAACATGGTGAACATCCTGCAGCATATCAGCCACTGTTGCATCAGGAGCATCTGTCACACAGGACAGAGGCACAGGGTTCCACCTCCCCACCTGAATCAGACCTGGACATACACACACAGAGGTGATTATCATATGAAAAAGACACACTTGTGTAATTTCCTCCTTTTTACAACTTTGTGCGTTTTACCTTTGGCCTGTGCCGCAGAGCTGTGTGAATAGCCTAGTGTTAGCAGAGCCATCTCTATCAGCTGGTTAAACAGCAGGTCTCTCTTGACCAACACAAACTCAGCATGTTCTTCTCGCCTTTCTCTTTCCAGAGCGCTTTCTTTGTGCTCCACCACGCAGAACACTGGCAGAAGACTTCCTGAGGTGATGGACACAAATGAGCAGAAATGAGCAGACATGACATAGAATTGGTTCATGTTAGTTTTCCAATCCAATCCAATCCAGGTTTATTTATATGGCACATTTAAAAACAACAAAGCGCTGACCAAAGTGCTGCACAGTAAAATTAAAAACAAAATAAAAAGAACCAGACAATTAACACGAACAATAAAACAAGACACAGGAACACATTAAAAACAGGGGGACGTAGATGGTTTAGTAAACACATGATTAAAAGACCAAGTTCTCAGGAGTTAAAAGCCAGGGAGTAAAAGTGCGTTTTCAAATTGAGTAAAATGTTCTAGTTTTCTAGTTACATTTTCATCAGAGCTAGTAATAAGATGTAATAGATGGTACCACTGCATATAAGATCCTGTCTGTAAAAAATCTCCTTACCTCTGCTGTGCCAGCTCTTGCTCTGTGGCCTCACTGTGTTGGGCTTCTGGGCCAGGCTGGGGGTTTTGGCTACAGGGCTCCCCTGCCTACTTCTCTCCTGGGCAGAGGGTCCCGCTCCGTTTTGTTCCAGTCGAGCTAGCTTGGCAGGAGGAGGCCGGGGGTCTAGAGGGAGATCATTGCCCTCAGGTGTCATTGCTCCATTACACAGGGCATCCATCTGTGGTTTTACACTGATACAGAGACAGAGAGACTTCGGAATCACACAGTGTGGAGAACAGCATCCTGACTGTGGCATGAGTGGATTGTTTCTGCTGTTTATAAGGATCCGAATTGCATCATATTCATTTTTAAGTAACTTTTGTAATGGCAATGGCATGCGTGTTTTAATAGAGAATAGGTTATAGGATATCCATCATCGTCAATAAGCAACAGAAGTGAATTTGGACACTGAGACAGTTAAAAACAGTACGCACACACATACACACTCTCAGATCAGAAGAATATCCGGGTCAGTATTTGGGAATAACCCTCGTCCACATGCAGCGATAAGGATAACCCTCTAAATCCAGTAGAAGTCCAGTAAACCACGGAGCGCAGTTTCCCATAATAAGCCTCCTGTCATTTCCAGGCGCGCCACGCTGATTCAGTTCATCCTCAGCTGCTAAATGCGCGCTAATCGTCCCACGTTTGATACTGCTGAAGTTTGATCGAGGTGAAACCAACCTGTTTCAGTCCACACAACGTGCATGTCCAAACAGCCATCACGCATTAGCATTCCGGCTGTATGCATCTGTTATCCTCGCTTCCATTCATCTCCGGCAGATGAGCTGAAACGCGTGTCTTCACCGTCGATATGCGTCCTTTCAGTGGCACAAATCGGCTTTTTCACATCGGCGTTACCTCGTGTTTGCTGTCTTAAGTTGTTTTGTGTCTATTCCTCCTTGGTCTCCAACCGCGCTTCGCTCTCAGTGTAACGAAAAAATTTGGCCTCAGCGCAAGTTGGAGCCGACCTCCCATCCAGAGCAGCGGGACCTGCTGGTACTGTGGATCCGGCTTCTGAGAGAACAATACCCGGCTCTGAGCTCTTGGAGTGCTCTCCCTATCATATACGAGGCTCCGGCACTGACTCCGGGACAGCAGTTGGTTACACTTCAAAGCCCTGTGCGCACGCGAAGAGAGAGAGAGAGAGAAAGAGAGAGAGAGAGGCACACACTGAGACACACACACACACACACACACACATAAACACACACTCATAAACGCGGACCCAGCTGCATTAGCATATGGTGTAATAATGAATTCACTAGCGCGCTCCGTAAATGTATTAAATGTGACAATTGCGCATAAATCTATTTATTATTTTCCACTGCATGCTGTGCACGCACTTATTATTGTCTTTAGGGTATTGGAGCTCTCCATGGTAACAAAGTGGAGCAGCACGAAGAGAACTGGATGGCTGATATTAACTTTTGAACACTGAGGTTAATTCGTTAGAATATTTCCCATCTTTAATATAAAGATAATAGTTTTTGCCTCAAAGAGTGAACTCGTTTTTTCAATAATCTGTGAAAGTAAAAAAATCAGAATACTACATTCTACATGTTACAGCTTAAAATCCTCGACCAAAACTGTCTGAATAGATTAGACCAATGCATGGTTGGCTATATGCATTATGGGGCACTAAGCACCGTAGTATAGTACAGTTCAAATGTAATGTAGTTTACACTATTTCTGGTGTTTTCTGTGATACTTCAGAAAACTGTTGGCTAATTTGATTTGATACACAATAGTAAATATACTGTGAACTATTGCAATAGTCCATAAGTGTTAAAATACAAACAAAAGTACACTATTAGATGACATTACATGTTAAATTTGATTAATACTTATTGAAAGGTTCTATCTCTGCCACAGCCTGGATTCAAGGTTCAGGGTAAACTTCATTATTTCTGTGAAGTATAGTTTTCTTTTGCAGCCAGCAGTAAGAAAACGTGAGTAATAAAACCCCTGAAAATAGTAAAAGCATTCAGCTAAACAATATGGATAATACCTTTGCAAAGAGAGAATACTTCAGATCTGCTTCTACTCTTTATTGAATTTCTGTGAGTGGTATGTCGGTTTGCTGTGGAGCAGTGAAAAACCTTTTATCACCTGAGGGGGCAGCAGAGGAGCTGACCCCATTATTTGGGACCACAGGATGATGAGTTTGGGAATCACTGAACGGTTGTATGATGACTTTTACCACTACTTGTTTAGGTAATAGTAAAGTACAAATTATTCTTGTATTGTATCATATCATATATTGCATCATTTATCATAACACGTCACATTGTTTCATATCATGAGATATCTTATTGTATCACGTATCTAGTAACGCGTTACACTAACGCCTTTTTGCAAATATACAGGACTGAAATAGGATAAAAAGAAACACTGTTCTCTAAACAGTGTGAAGTCTGGTATTTTTAAGTACAATGTATTGTGTATATATACTGTATATTTATTTATATGTTTGTTTAAAAGCTTTGCTATAAAAACCATACCATACCATGCAATATTATATGATATACTATACTTCACTGTACCATACTGTACTGTAATGTGTTAGATTGTACAATATTGTACAAAACCATGTAACATCACTCAATTTTGTACGATACAATCTAGACACAATAGTTAAAATCACTACATATACAATATATTATTTTATCAAAAGGTAGACAGCTGGGTGGTTGATATTGTAGCAGTATACAGGAGCCTACAGTATGGTTACTGTTAGTCCTGTTACTGTGCAAGGCAAACACATTAGACATTTAGACAAAGGGATTAAATCAGATTATCATTTGACCCTTACCAAATAACTTTTGACTCCCCACACTATTTAATACTCATAAAAGTGGCTTTGAAATTATAGTGAAAGTAAAATAAATCATGAAAAGGGAAGCAACGTCTCTGTACCTTCGGATTTTAACACCACTGAATCATCAGCATAGAAAATGTCCCATCACTCCTTTGCAGAATCCCAAAGTTGCATCCAAGTATTAGCAGATGTCCTCTGTGCAGTCCACTGCAGACGAGATGCACCTCTGCAGATGTGATCCTAAAAGAAGTCAGTGAAGGAGCACAGCAAAGGAGGGCAGGTGTGTTTGTGTGCAGTGAGAGATCGAAAAACAAGGAAAAGACAGGTCACAAATCCTTCATTCTTGCAGATAAGATTCAGAGCCTTTCTCCATGAAATGTAACACCCCTGTGGTAACAGGTCTGTCTTTTCTGCAGAGAGAAGGGGCACAGAGAAGGCAGATGGGTGGATGTAGTGCAATGAGAGAGTGTGTTTGGGGAGAGGGAGCATGCTCTACTACTTTTGACTAATTAAACAAAGTGAATTAGCTATCTCCCCAGCCAGAACGAGTCATGGCTGGTTACACATCACTCATCGTGACTAATTTGAAGAGAGAGATGTCACTCAGCTGAGTGGAAATATGTGTGTGTGTGTTTGTGTGCATGTGTGTATCTGTGATCGCACTGCTGGGTATGCTGCTGCCCAAGTTCACTGATTTGTGTGTGTGTGTTTTCAGAGATATAAACCCCTCCTTTGTGTGTGCTTGTGCCTTTAAGTGTTGATTTTTCACATTCCTCCCTCTGTCTGTCACCTTCTGCTCTACTATTTTATCACTAGCTTGATACGTCGTCAATGAGGCTGGCATGCTAAATGATAATTAAGACCATTACACGCTCACAGAGCACGCTACCAGTGCAGCACACGGCTCCCTCAATCGCAGCCTCATCTCAGGGGACACCCTACTACTCACACAGTCGTGTATCTCTCCAAATTAGGTTAGATTTTCATTCCACCTCATTCGCCATGGATGTGATGTGGTTATTATAAACTCATGATATGGTTAGTGAGCCTGCTGCCATTAGATGGGTGGAGGCATCGTGTTGGCGCGTTAAAAAGAGGAAATGGATTGCCAACCCTCTGAGCTGCACATTACTGCTTCTCCTACTCATGCACAGTGGTGATCTGAAGTATTTGCAGGTCAACACAAACTCTGATAATCTTGGTGTGCACAGTGCAACACAAAAGACACAGATGCTCACAAGGAGAGTGAAAGACTGACACACTCACATGTTGATGCATGTACAACAGCACTAAGGCTTTCCTAACGGGCTTTCTGGAAGTACTGCTCACACCTTGCGTTCATCATAGGTCTCCAGTGATCAAATCCTACTCTCCCACTTCTGATCCAAATCAACATAATTCAAGAGCTCTGTCTGTTAGTATCAACCGCACTCCAAGTGATGGTTGCTGTGGATACTCAAAGAGTGGGCGGTCCTTCGTGTGGCCCAGTACATGAGCGTGCAAACCACCAGACCTCTGTGGACAAACGGCACCTCTCAGTGTGGACTGAGTGATCAACTCTCAGCATGCATCAATGAGTGTTCACACGTGGAATTAAGGCTAGTCACTTCAATCCAGATCTGGTAAACAAAGCACAGACAAATGAGATATGTCACAGCAAGACAAACATCATCATCTGTACCAGAAACTTTTAGATCAAGGTAACTTCTCTCCAAGCAGCTAAATAGTTCCTGTGGCCCCCTGTTTTCTGCATTTCCACCAAGGCCAGAGGTCTGGAGTAGATCATGCAAATAAGGCCGATGACATCCAGAGACACTTATTTGGAAATTAAGTTACTTGCGCAGCACTTAATTCAAGTCTCTGCTGAACCTTAGTACAAAGAAGTGGTCCCATTGACAGCAGATAAGCTATGTTGATTAATAATAACATCAGATTACAGGTAATGTTAGCTGTTGTGCTAGTGCCCTTTGGTGCCTCTACCCTCTATATGCAAAGGCCTTGAGTTGTTTACCGCTTACAGTCAAACCACAGCAAAACTCAGAAGTTGTCAGCTCTAACATAATGCCTAAAACAACAGAATTGATTGAAGCCACAAAGACGGCCATCTTGGCAATGCTGGAAATTGGCATGAGTGAGAGACAGGTAGCCAAAAAACTGAAAAAAATCCAAGATAGTTTTTCATTACACCAAGAAAGAGCAAAATCTACCTACCAAATTGCTAGCTGGTCAAGGCAGGAAATGTCTTTCAACCCCCATGAGAGGACAGTGCACTCATACGTTCCTGTAACAGGAACCGTCATCAGACCTCCAGGGACCTTAAAATAAGTGGCCGCTGTCAAGAAATGTGACTTGTTCAGCAAGGACAGTTTGAAATCGATTTCTTAAAGCTGGTCTGAAGTCACATGGGGCACAGAAGAAGCCCTCCATCAATGAAAGTCAGAGGAAGTCTCGGTTACTCTCTGCCAGGGATCACAAGGATTGGATTGTTGGTGATTGGGCTAAGGTTCTCTTCAGTGATGAATCCAATTTTGAGTAGATGCCCACTCCAGCAAACTTACTGGTTAGGAGGAGGCCTGGAGAAGCCTACAACCAAACTGTCTTGCCCTACAGTAAAATATGGGGGTGGATCGTTGATGATCTGGGGTTGTTTCAGTATGGGTAGAACAGGGCAAATGCAGTTGTGTGAAGGGTGAATGAACTAGGTCATCACGTACAGAGCGACTCTTGAAAACAGTCTTCTTCCATCAGCTGATAAACTCTTTTCTGGCTTGAATGACTGGATTTTCTAACAAGACAACGCCCCTTGCGACATGGCAAGGGCAATTAAAGCCTGGATGGTGAACCAAAACATTCGAACCATGCCTTGGCCTGCACAATCACCAGATCTAAATCCAATTGAAAACCTGTGGAACATCATCAAACTCAAAATAGAGAACCAAAAGCCCCAAAAACAAAGAAGATTTGGTAGAAATTTTGCAACAGGAATGGGCTGCTGTGACAGCAGAACAATATCATGAGCTGGTGGAGAACATGCCAAGACACATCACTGCAGTCATCAAAAACAGTGGTTATCCAACTAAGTACTAATGCCCATGTATATCATGTGACTAACAGACAGAAGAGAAAACATGGAAAGCTTAAAAGCTTTGTTTTTGGCAGAACAATGCCATCGCTATTGATGTAAGAACTCAAGTGATGTTGGTTATTATCAGGAAAACCATAGAAAATGGCTCAATATCAGCTCTTACGTTAAACTTTCATGAGCTATTTTTGTTGTTATCATTGTATTTGTCCAAACAAATGCACTTT